CCGAGCTGATGTTTTGTTTTTCCTGCATATCCCTCCAGGGCGTCAGTGTTCGATGCAGTGTTTTGTCAATGTGAGTCGGGTAAATCCATGATTTTAAAGTGAAAGAGCACCCAAACAGAACAGAGAGAAATGCGAGCATATGAGGATGATCCTGCAGGATAAGTTATCGGTTTGCCGTGCTCGGCATTCTTCACCTGGTTTGTTAACAGTGTAACCTACCTGCTAAATGCAATCCTATTCTGTTCATGCTGCAAGGTTATTCAGTACAACCCGTCTGAAAATGAACATTTGTTTGGTGATGAAAGGTGTGCTGTTGGAGAGGAGTCAAGTGTCTCCTGCCACGCCTTAAAACCATCTGTTATAAACAGAAGTGTGAAGACTAGTTTGAAATTGGAGCTGCTCTATGTCACAGTGTGGTGTCATGACCAACGTGCATCTCAGACATTGCATAAGAACCAAAGAGAAAATGGCATCCGTTAGTATTTTAGGTTTAGCTAAAGCGATAACTAGCTTATTTCCCACTTGAACCACCTGCATGAGTAAGCATGGCTGTGCTAGTGTTGGCACGACTCTCCGCCTCGGGGGTTGCAGTTGACAGCTTCAACAGCTGCATGACGTTGCAGAGACTTGTGGAATCTGTGTGTTTCTGAAGGATAACCACCGCTTCTGTCGGGTAACTGTTCTGCCTCCGGTCGCACCAAACCCTCGCAGTGAGCGAGAGGCTTTAACTGGAGGCGGAGCAGACCCTGATGCAGCGCTGATGGAGTAAATATTCCTCAGCTAACGGCGCTATCAGCTGTGCATTGGGTTCTGAGGGCTCGCAGTCTTAGCTCTCAGTTTTGAGAGTAAACTTTGGCCATTGTGTCAACACTGCCAGGGCACACCCCCTCTGCTCTCCCTTCTCCTCTCTTTCACTTGCTGCCTGTCCATCCGGCCTCTGTTTTTGCTACCTGCAGCCAAAGGCAGAAACCGTGGCCGTCAGCAGAAGCTCTGAGCTGCTGTAAATCACCTTCATGCTCCTGCGTGTGTGTGTGTGTGTGTGTGTGTGTGAATCTGAAACGTGTCTGTTGGCTTTGTGCATCATGCACGCATTGGTGTGTAAGGGTGCGCATGTGTATGTGCGAGTGGGTGTGTCGTGAGGGCCTTTGCAGGCAGGAAGGCGGACCACAGAGCCCTGGCGTGAAGCTCTCACTCGTCTGACCTACTTTCTCTCCCGCCTCCCCACATCTGGCGCCGAATGAATGCACCAGATCAAATGCCAGCCATTCCAGTCGCTTTCGCATTATTGCTGCATTCCCCTGTAACCGCAGTTTTGCTTTTTCTGTATTTACTTTTTGTTATGTTTTAACACTGAACAGGCTTATGGAAATTCCCTGCTTTGAGGTTAGGAGGATAGAGCTAAGCCTGCGCATTGTTTATGCTTTTCTTACTTTTCTGCGCACTTGTCGAATCAGCAGAGTCCAACTTTGTGAGTGTGGTGCTCTCAGATTTAGCACAAGCCATTCCGGTCCCGCACACAGTAGCAGCAGCAGCATTCGTCCTATTCATTCTTTCTGGCCAGGAAGCAAGCTCCCCACCTCCACAGTCACTAACAGCTCCCGGTATGGAAACTTGAGTGGAAACTTCAATCCTTTGGAGTTGTTGTTCTTGCGCTCTGTCTTGAGCGAGGCTGTTTCCTGTAATGGTTTTAAAGCTGAGCCGTAGCTGCTGCCCTGGGCTACAGAATATCTTTCTCACTGAAACAGGTTGGTTTATAAAGGATGAAGGAGAAGACAGCGGCCCTCTGCTGACAGTGATGCTTGGGGACGAACAACAGCGTCACATGTATCCCGCTTAATGGCCTGCATAATTAACGAGCAGGGGCTGTAAGAAGAAAAGAAAAAAAACCTTGAATGCGACAAAGGGTGCTTTGTATCTGTTGTGTAAATCGTATGTCTGCTCTACTGACTTTTGAGAGAGGGCATCTTGCATGAATACAAAGTATCTGCAACCACATGCTGTAGTGGTTTGAGCAGATGTTCAGCCCAGGAAAAGCCCATCACGCTCATCGAAGCTGTGATCCTATTCTGCATGTGAGAGTAACTCTAGCATGCAGACAAGTTCCCCCTTTCTATTTTGGTTGCTTTGACCAGAGGGAAATGACACTTCCTCCTTCCCCTTGCAATGGGGCGGCCCGGGATAGAGCGGTTGGAGCGGTTGTCCTCCTACCAGAAGGTCAGCGGTCAGATCCCCGATGCGTCCTCTGGTCTTTGGGGCATCAACCAGACTCGCCCCAGATATTGCCCCCAGTATCTACTGGTTTGTCGTTGTAGAGAAGAAGGAAAGATTGAAGTGCGTGTGAGGGGAGGGATTTTTCTGTGGCTTTCTTAAGCCTGCTCAGAGTTTTGACAAAGATATATTTGTTCAGCATTAGTTTAGATCCCCACGTTGTTAAATAGCATCAGCCAGAGTCATAGCAGAGGTTTTCAAAGGGATTAAACATCATATGGGTGTGCTGTTTGGTTTGATGCCGACTAATACAAAGAATAAAAGTAGTTTTTTTTTTTTTTTTTTTTTTTTGGGTCATCGGTAGAAGTTCTAGTATAACAAAGAATTTGAAGTAAACACTGAGGCGTGAGCGTCACAAGTTTCTTCTGAGGCTGCCTGCTAAAAGGGGATTATGAATTGTTAAGCAGGGCACAGGGACACAGGCATTAATGTGAGTGTGTGACGGTGCTTTCCTCGGTGAAAAGCCCCCGGGCTGATTGATTGCGCCCCTTAGCAACCCAAGCAGGCCCGTCCCTCGGCGCCGCTCCTGTTAAGGCCGAGGCCCATCTCAGGGCGTCTTCGCTTTCGTGCGATTGCCGAGCTTTGACCAATAGTGAACTCTCAGGGAATGCAAGAGCTTCCTGTTGACAGCGAGAGCACGCTTGCACAGATGGGTTTCAGAAAGAGGAAATTTGCTCCCTGCACTGGCGTGCAGTTTTGACTGGCTTGTGTCACCCAGTCGACAAAGGCAGATTTGTACTGTGTCAGATGGTGAGGTTGACAGCAGTCAGCTGAATGCCATTAGGCATTGTGAGGACTGTGCACTGGGCAGCAGCGACTTCATTGATGGAGCACCACTCGTAGCTGGGAGGCGGTGGCTGTTTCTCTTAATAGGATTTGAACCAGCAGCCTAAAGCCCCCTTGTAAAGCTGTCCTGCTTACACCATCTCCGAGGGTCAGAGGGAGACCGACTTATTACCCCTTCAATTCCTCTGACATCATCATCATCATCATCATCGTCACTCTGGATTCATTAGCTTAAACTGCTCTTCCTCCCTCCCACACCGTGCGGGCCGGGCCTTCCCGCGTCTGGGCCACTGGAGACATGTTGGTTCTCCTCCATCTGGTCGTCCGTTTGATCTTAAATGACCGTGACAATGAGCGCGAGCAAACAAGCGGAGTCTTCAGGCCGTCACACAGAGGGGGCTCTGTGACGCTCCTCTTCAGTGCGGTGCCACCACATGTTTCCCAAACCGGGGGGGGGAGTAGCCATGCCGGCGCAGGCTGGGGGCACGCCGCCGATCCCTGCTGCTCCCCCGTCCACAGAGATGTCAGTGTGGCTCCTTCCCCCGGTGGCCCAGACTCCACACCTCACTAAGCAAACCCCGAGTGGTCATGTGAAGTAGCATTGTGAGAGGGATTTAAGGACTACTTTCAGTGAGATGAAGAACAAGGACTTTTTTAAAAACCAAATAACGCTGCCTCCTCGCCGAGCAGAGCTGTTGGATGATCAGACATTGAAGAAAACACTCTGCTGTGCTTTCTTGTCACAAAAGGTCTTCCGAAGGCCTTTAAAAAAAACTGTTATGGTATGATTATGAGCTTCCTGTGTTAAACGCACCCTCACACTACATTTAGTGTCTACAACTACAGCTCTTTATGGGTGTTCACACTAAACCAGCGGGGCTTTTTTTATTGTAAACAGCAATCACATGATCTTAGGAACTTTTTAAGATATTTGATTCTTTCTGAAATCAGAGAACAATTTTAGGGCATGCGGCAGATTTTACTCTTCTTTTTTGTTTCTTTTTTTTTTCTGAAATAAGCTTTTTCTGGTAAGAGTGGACTTGAAAAGCTGAAATGTCACCAAAAAATGCTAAAAGGTTTTGTTTGATCTGAAGAGAACAGCAGTTTCTGATAAATACTGCTTTCATTAATGTCATATTTCTCTTCTCCACTTTTGAAACGCGCGATCAACGCAGTTCCTGCTATTCAGAATTCTTCTCGTCTAAACAACGAATCGGCTCGCCGAGTCTAAAATAACAGCTCTTTGATTTCACACTGCTGCGGCATTCCTCTGATCAAATTGTCCATCTCGGTCACACATTAGTCCCTCTTTATGCGGGGCTCTGTCTGTCCAAGCTGAACAGTGTAACTTTGTGTCTAAAACCGTGATGAACAGGCTTATTGACACCAGCCTGCTCTCAGGAGGCCTCTGCCCTTTGCTTCTAGACTTCATGTTTTGCTCGCGTTTCCCACCCCGCCACTCAAACCTTCTGCAGGGGGGGTGGGGGGCGGGGGGGGGCCTCACTGCATTCTTTGACTTATCTTTACTCAACTAAAAGTGACCTCTGGTCCCCCTGGCTCAAATCTGCATGAGTGTGTTAGTGTGTGGGGCCTGTCCAGAGCAGATTGCGGTGACACCAGCGTACACGCGCACACAAACACACAAACACAAGGCACAGTTATGGTGCGTCTTAGGCTCGGTGTGGGCGTTGTTTCTGCTGTGGCCGCTGGGTTAGAAAGGGGGGTGTGGACATTTGGCGCATGAATGCAGTAAAGCCTGACAGCCTCTGGTGGCAGTCCGGAGACGGTGCATGTGGAACTAGTGCAGACTGGATCTGGAAAAGCCTGCCGTCAATCAAAGAATAGAGGCTGGTGCCATGACAACCTGTAGCTCCGGAATTCAAGCCCAGACCTCGACGCAATTCGGGGCTTTTGGGGACTCATTTTTCCGCCTTCATCATGTGAAGATGGCGCCAGGTCTAGACTCTTTTTGCGTTGGTTACAGCTCCATGTCCATGTCCTTGTTTTTCCAGCTCTACCTCCAGACAGGAAGGGGGTGCCGCTGCGTCCACGGCTCAAGGAAAGAGTGGGACTCATAAAATCTGCCTGGTGTGCTCCGACGAGGCGTCCGGCTGCCACTACGGAGTGCTCACCTGCGGCAGCTGCAAGGTCTTCTTCAAGAGAGCGGTGGAAGGTACAAGCTGTTTCTGTTGTGTTGGCCGCGGCGTTGAGGTGGAGGTGGTGGAAAGATGAGTGGCTGACGGGTCTCCCTGTGCGTGCCTCAGGCCAGCATAACTACCTGTGTGCCGGGAGGAATGACTGCATTATCGACAAGATCCGGCGGAAGAACTGCCCAGCCTGCCGCTTCCGAAAGTGTCTGATGGCAGGCATGAACCTGGAAGGTAAGTGTAGCAGCAGAAGCCCCCCCCCTCTGGGCCGCCTCTCGCCACCCGACCTAACCCCCAGACCCCACTCTTCTCCTTTTTTGAAGCTCGCAAAACCAAAAAGTTGAATCGCATAAAGGGCGTCCAGAGCAGCAGTCCCCCGGAGCTGATCCCCTCGCCCCCCGTGGAGACCCACTCCCTGGTCCCCAAGTGCATGCCCCAGCTGGCCCCCACCATGCTCTCTCTGCTCAAAGCCATAGAGCCGGAGATGATCTACGCCGGCTACGACAGCACCCTGCCCGACACCTCCACCCGCCTCATGACCACCCTCAACCGGCTGGGGGGGCGACAGGTCATCTCTGCCGTCAAGTGGGCCAAGAGCCTGCCAGGTCAGCTGGGTGAACCGGGGCCCGCCGGACGGCTTCCGTCGTCGTAGATACCAGCGTGTCTCATCAGTTCTTTGCCCCCCCCCCCCCCTCCAGGCTTCAGGAACCTGCACCTGGACGACCAGATGACCCTGCTGCAGTGCTCCTGGCTGTTCCTCATGTCCTTCGGTCTGGGCTGGAGGTCCTACCAGCAGTGCAACGGCAGCATGCTCTGCTTCGCCCCCGACCTCGTCATCAACGAGTACGCGCCGCTCACAGCTGCCTTCACACACACACACACACACACACACACACACACACAACCCCGGGGCCAGAGCATAACGAGTGTTGGAAAATGTGTGGAGTGAGCTTTTGGCCCCGCCCATCAGCGCTATCGCTCTGCGCCTCAGGCTTCCAGAGGCCCGTCCTCTGCTTTTTTGCCTCTGTCTCTTTCTTTATCTCAGCTGAAAGTTAACTTGCTCGTAATTAGTATCTGATGAGCTTCACTGCGTATCAGTCTGCCTCGCAGCTAAAACTCTGCTTCTGACGTGTGTGTTTTTTCTTCTCCTTTAAATCAGATAAACATTTACAGCGGCAGACGGCTTAGCAAAATGTGGTCAGGGATCCTAATCCCACTCCATAATTGCCTTTTTTCCCCCCTTCACTGGGACTGTAGGCAGCTCCCAGTTCATGGCCTCTGAACAGCTTGTGTTTGAACCCACCAGGAAGCGGATGAAGCTGCCCGACATGGCCGACCAGTTCGAGCAAATGCTGAAGATTTCCAGCGAGTTCGTCCGGCTGCAGGTGTCCCACGATGAGTACCTGTGCATGAAGGTGCTGCTGCTGCTCAGCACAGGTCAGACTTCGGCCAAAGGGCGTCAGTTTGTGACGGTGGACAGATTACTGCTGAGGGACAGGACATAAAACTGTCCCACGTCTTCTCAGAAATGCTACCTGTGCAGGCTAGTTAAGGCTTATGTTTAGACCGGAAGCACTCTGCTTTGATGTCCTTTAGACGCAGTCAGATGAGTTTAAAACCGGCCTAAAATATCTCAGGTGTAGAAAAATGTGTGTTGGCTCTCCCACAGTGCCAAAGGACGGCCTGAAGAGCCAGTCGGTGTTCGACGAAATCCGCATGTCGTACATCAAGGAGCTGGGGAAAGCCATCGTCAAGCGTCAGGAGAACTCCAGCCAGAACTGGCAGCGGTTCTACCAGCTCACCAAGCTGCTGGACTCCATGCACGAGGTACAGAGGTCCTGAGCAGACACGGTGTCACATGCAGTGTCAAAGTCCCTCAGCTCACACAGCTCACTCTTTCTGTTAAAGTCCCACAATTTATCCAGTGCAACTTACCTTAAGCATAGCTAGGCAGATCTATGTTTATTCTCTTATTGATTTGTTTTCTCATTTTTCTAAGGCTTTTTTTCTTATTTTGTGACACTACCATTATTTCACACCCAGGAAAGCCAGTTGTGTGATTAAAGGTGTCAGATATGAGGAGAAGGCGCCTCTTACAGAGGTTAACCCTGTACACATTTTTTATTTTTGACAGATTCCTGTGGCTTTTTGGATTTTTACTCAATTGAAGTAAAGAATATGACTATCTGGACTTATAGCTAAGGGTTAGGCTGAGAAGCACACACTGTTGGTCTGTGTCTCCTAAGTCGCACACGGAGTTGCATCATCTCCCACAAACATCCACATAAATGCTGCCGGTGGGCCAGTGGCTTTACCAGGTGTTAGAGGACATAAACATGAAATGTTTTTTTAACAACGTTTTCTCCTGTTTGGCGCCTGCAGATGGGCGGTGGACTGCTGAGCTTCTGCTTTTACACTTTTGTGAATAAGTCCCTGAGCGTGGAGTTCCCCGAGATGCTGGCAGAGATCATCAGCAACCAGTTACCAAAATTCAAGGCCGGAAGCGTCAAGCCTCTCCTGTTCCACCAGAGATGACTGTTTCCTGTTAGACACAATGCCTTAAAGTCCCACCACGTCCCCTCACCAGCCCACTGCAACATGCCCAGACCCCCTCCCCCCTCCCCAGACCCCCCTTCAGCCCCCGCCCACCTGCCCGGGAGAGCAATGACGAGGACTGACCATCATCTAACGGCAGGAGAGAGTGGTGTTTTCAGGACCCAGCGTGCAGCTTTGGGAGGTGTGCTCACAGGTTGGGTGAGCAGGAAAAGGTTTTGTTTTTGTTGAGCAGTCTAAGATGTAGTGTCTAACAAAGAGTAGGAAATGTTTGTTTTAAAAAAAAAAAAAAAAACGAGAAAAAATCACAGAAAATAGGCTAACATCACTGTCGTCTCAGGTGTCTTACCTTCAAAGTCAGAATGATATCTAAAGTAGATAGAACAAATATCTATGTACAGGTTCTGATAAAGAGTTTTCTACATTTTCCAATTACAGCAGTTTATACAATTTTCCAGGTCGCCGTTACCTGAGAAGGTAACAAAGCTTAATACCATGCTCTTAAGTAAGCCTTTATTATGTTCCACTTTGTTTTTTATAGTAACAGAAATGTTTTTCTGCCACGTGGAGAGAAAGAGTCTGTTTTGTAGTGATTTAAAAAGCATCTTTCTCCTCGTTGATTTAGTAACTTTGGACACAAACGGTGGCTGTGCGCGTCCGTTAGCCGACGCCCACCTCTCAAAGAATGATTTCTCCCACGAGCCGACCTCTTCCAGGTTTACACGTGTCAGTTAAAAAAGGGAAAAGACGTGCCTTTTTTTGCTTCAAATATCACCGTAGCCATTTTCCTCCCTCCTGTACTTCAGCCTGTCACGGTCTACCTTCCTCATACATTGATTGTACTTTTTATACACAACATGCTGATGCAGTTTTTTCCTGTTTTCCTTCGTTTTTCCAGTGGCTGTTTTTATCTGTAGAAGAAGTGGCAGCTCGGTCTCTCCTCTGTGTGTGTAGAGTCGATCCTAACACTCGGCCTGCTTTCTTTCTTTCATGCCATGTCGCGCACACACACTGCTGCACAAGGTGCCAGTTGGGCACTTTGTACTCTGAAAGGCTTTAAGAGACTGTGAAAAAAAGGACTGTTATTCTGTAGCAGCCCGTTGTGCCCGACGGTTTGTTTTTCTTTTCCTTTTAGAAATGGGCCCACACTCCTGCCCCCCGTAGTAGAATGGGATGTGATGGATACCTGAGACTACCAGTCACAATTCAGAGGACTTGTTTTGTTGTTGTTTGCCAGTTTGTGTGGGTTTTTAGAGCAGATACCGAGAGTTTTTAACACGGATTCAAGTGGTTGGAGAAAATGCTACCCGTCCTATTTGATTTTGACAGACTTTAGAAAGCGACCCCTCCTCACCAGGCTTTGAGCTACTTCATGGCTTGCCTGTAAGGACGAGCTGAGCTTTTTGGAACCAGCCGGTGTTTTAACGTGAGCGGAGGAGACCGACGGGGAGCTCGGGTTGGAATTTAGCGACCACAAAGAGACGGCTCGGTCTGTTTTCTGGACAGAGAACAGTTGGCGTCCCTTAGGCTTCCTTTGTTTTTCCCCCTCTGGCAGCTCTACCTGAGACCAGCGCGTCCGGCCTCTCCAGTGTTGTTGTTGTTCTCTTTACAGTTTCTGATTTGGGCCGAGCGGTGGGAGGGGGGGATGTAGGCGCGGCGATGAGCCCAGCCAGTGGTTTTACACGCACGGTCCAGATGTGGATGGCGGTCCACCTCCTCCAGCTGCCGGCTGGCGTCGCCCCCAGGTGTGGGCGCTAACGGCCGCTACCCGCCTCCCGCCTAACGCCCGCCCCATGCAGTCTCTCTGTGGTAAAAGCGTACCATTAGCCTCTCAGGGGACGCAGCTAAAATGCCCCCCTCTTATCTCTGGGAAACTCTTTCAGTGCCAAACTCTTGTTTTTGTGGGAGCCGGCGAGGCTGGGAGGCGGTCAGTGTTCGTATCAGGAGAGGCCAGCGCGCTCTACCTGCTCATCAGGCCGGCGTGGCTCGTGTGTCTGTGTGTCTCGTGACCCCGGCGTGTTGTTTTTGTTTTTGTTTTGGATTATTTTGTTTAAAACACAGAGTTTTGAACATGAATGTGATGCTTGAAGAGTTTCATAGATCAGTTATGGGCAGATGAATGGTCATTTAAACATGAAATGTTGTTCATCTTACTGTTTGTAACGTCACCCCACCCCCCCACCCACGCACATACGCACACACACACATGAAATAAATCACTTTTACACTGCTCCTGACCTCAGGTTCTTTAAAATAATAATATTTAAAAAGGTCAGAATCCCAGAGTACGACGCTGGCCGCGCTCAGCTCTGATGTGAAGAACCAAAAACAGTTTGGATTTATCAAAGGTGTGCAAACGTGTCTCAGTGTTTTTACGCGACAGGAAAAAGGAAAAAAAAACGACTTTTCGTTGACAGATACGGAAGGTTGAGAGAGTCGTGCACCGCCTGTTGGTTCAATCAGCAGATGAGTTCATGTTTTTGTTTTTCTTTAAGGTTTCTGGAAAATGGTTGGAAACCATCCTCATTACCTGTAGAGGGTTACTTTCACATTCAGTGTATCCAAATCTCTGCTGCTGCTCATTTATACAGGTATATAGAGATAAATATATATACAGTTATATATTTGAAATTGCACACTTGCCTCTTCTTGCTCAAAAATGTATCCTGTTTACTTTCTTGTGCATTTTTGAGGAGGACATCTGAATATGCAATAGAACTGATAGAGAGTCTATCACCATCACATAACATAATGTCCTCACTTCCTCTTTCAGTTAGTCTAACTTTTTTTTTCTTTTTTTCACTATATAAGCTACATGTAGACAGAGGATTTACATACGACTTAATCTCTGGAGGCCAGATTTTCAGGAAACCACACGCGTGTCCTGCCGGACCGCACACAGACAGCCTATTTGATGTTCGACTACAAGGTGACCAAAGCTTTCACAAACCGAGCGTAAAGTCAGCTTAAACGGTGGAGCTCCAATACGGCAAAATGTACAGCTATTCTTTTTTTATTTGTCCTTTGTTTAGTTTTTTTTTTACATAAAGCTCTTAACACGATGGCTTTGGTCAAATTGTGTAATACTGTGAATAGGATGGGACTCTTTTTCATACACACGCTGTTTGTGAAAGTAATCAACCAGCTTGAATCTAAAAAGATTTGCACTACCCAAATATTGTTTGAAAATCTATTTTGTAAGAAATTATGCAGACATTAACTTTGAGAACTACAAAGGGCGGATCATGTTTCACTGGTATATGCTTTCTCTATAAAGCTTTTTTTTTTGTTTTGTTTAGCTTAAAACTGTTTTTATATGTACATATAATCCATTGTAAAGAAAATGTGGTGTATTTGTCCTCATACAATAGGTTTTCAGTATCTCCCCCTGTATTTTTTCTTCTCTGTAGCGTGACTCTTGTTGACCTCTTCCTCCGATGATTAAAGGTTGAACCGTATGTGTTTGTGTGGTACCTCTCGATACAAGGAACTTCATGCTGATATTTGCCCTGAAACTAACTCTGATTCTGATCAGTGGACACGGTGAGCCTGTTGTAAGCTTCTTTTTCATGATCACAGCACTTGTTCATCAAATAAATACGTTTTCCCATCCACACGCCTGGTTTCCTTGTCTGACGAGCAGCTTTCAGAGTCTTTAAGGGGCTAAAAGACGCGACGGCAGGACGTTTTAAAACGCCTTTTGCTCTGTCGTTTTACAAAACTGTCAGGTTTTTGCCTCCAGATAAAGGCCAGAAGAGGAGTTTGAATAAAAACAGCCTTTAAGAACCAAGTGAAGACCACACTGGGGCAGCACCTACCCAGTTCTGCCTCACGTAGCAGTGAAAAAGTCCCCCTCATAACAAAGTATCAGATGTTCATAAAACAAAAGGACTGGACATATAGTTTAGGCCAGTTTTTATTCCTTTTTTCTCCCTAAAATCCCAATTTTTTCATGGTTGAGGATCTGTTGAAAGAGTAAATCCATGTAAAACATTCAGAAGTTTGAATCTAAAGTCAATTTGCAGACAGAGGGGTTTTGGTTTAATTCTCGGGCCTAAAGACGATGACATGGGAGGAGTGTGAGTTTATTTATTTAGACATCCTGTAGTCTCTATGCTGCTTTAAAATGGGCAGGGGATCTCTGGGACCTTTGGTCTCATTCTCATGAGATCTAATCAACCAGTCTGCATGAATCTTCACATCTAAAAGAAAACTAAACCAAAGAGTGGGGCTTATTCACTTGTGATTATTCAGAGAAAGTTATTCCAAAGTTCACGTCATCATTTTGTTGACAGAGTCTAACATTATGAAACAGCCCTATTCTAACATCTGGTGAGAACATCTGTCATTGACAGTTACGTGGCATCCAACCTGCTTCCCAATCAAAGTAGGTTCCCAATTTTCTTTTCCTGTTTTAGGTTAATTATAGACTTGTTTTTTAGTCAGATCTCACAGCACTGAATCAGGTGGCCCCCTAATGACGACATGTTTCTGTGTCCAGCTCAAATCTGTAAAGGAAACAGAGGCACGGGATGGTGAACAGGAACGGGTTAACGCAGGGCTCCATCTCATCTCATCGCATTTGCTCCATCTTTTTAGCGGGTCTCGGGGGCGCGCGTGCAGCCTGTGCGCGTTCACGTTCTGACCATCTTGCAGAGACCACCGCAGGGGAGCAGACGGCTGCACGCAAAAACCCTCCCCCAAACTCACCAGCTGCACCCCGGAGCCCAGTTTTTCCCTCCGGGCGGGATGGCGGATGTGTTCTCGCCGTGGGGGGGTCAGCCGGAGGGGGGGGGGCTGGCCGGAGGAGGACCACCGGCGGCTGACCAGGCTCTACTGCATGAATGGCGGACATCACCTCCAGATCCTGTCCGACGGGACGGTGCAGGGCCAGAGGGACGGGCGGGACGCTCACAGTAAGGCCGCCTCCCGGTCAGCCGTGATGCGTTCACGTGCTTGCACACGGGTGTGTCCGGTTCACAGGTGTTGGAGGCCAAGTTACTTCTCAAATAAAATATGCAATTAAAGGGAGCTAGGATTGCCCAGCTTCCGTCTGTTGGTCTAAAAATGTCAAGGTGACAGAACAGGCCGATTTCATGTTCATATATAGATGGTGTTTAGTCCACTGAGAGTTCATTTAATAGCATATAGGCTGAAAAAAATGGAAGTAATTCTCTATGAGCAGCAACAAACTCCATAATTTCCCTTCACTCCTCCAAAGAATCAGAGCAGAACAGCCCAGTCCATGCTGCTGCATCTCAGTCCGGATCAGGACCATCAGGATATTTATGTTATCCCCAAAAAATCTGCGCTTCATGTACTTGTGTGCTCTGATGTGAAGCCACACAAGCCATGATGCTCCCTCGCCCATGCTAAAAAGCTGAGATAGTTCATAACAGATATCAACAGTCCAGAATCTGATCTAAATGTTCATGTCTTTATCAAATATTTCTTTACTCTTTATTATATTGTTTAGACATGTTCAGTATCAGTCCCTCTAAAAAAAAAGAGCACGCTGTCAACATCTAGGCAATAATACACTAATAAAGAGCCCCTTGTTTAAACTATACTTAAAGTATGCCTTTTACTTTAGTCTCAAATAGCTTTCTGCAAAGCCCTCTGATCATAAGGATTACGAGGATGATCACAGGGATCTCATAGCTCTCTGTTGTGAATCATGTTGGTTCTTTAAACTTGATCTCAGATTATTTTCCCTTTTTCAGCTGTTTTAAAGATCAAATCTGTGGACAGAGGAGTGGTCGTCATCCGGGGAATGGAAGCCGAGCGGTATTTGGCCATGAGCGATGATGGGCGTCTGTACGGCTCAGTGAGTATCCCGGGCTGACCGTTAACAGGAGAGCTTCAGCTGCAGCTGCGTTTTGTTGGATCGTCTGTGGGATCTGCTGGAAATGCTCTTTTAGGGACTCCCAAATCTTTTTGCAATCTTCCAAGACTGAATTTTCAAACCTTTAAGTCCCATGTAGTGAAAGCAGCTAAAGCAGTCAGCCGCCGGCTCTTGTTTTGTGTTTCCCTCCCACAGCCCTCAGCCACCGATGAATGCTACTTCCTGGAGAAACTGGAAGAAAACCACTACAACACCTACCAGCCGCAGAAATACCTGGACAACAACTGGTTCGTAGGCCTGAAAAAGAACGGACGACCCAAAGCTGGCCCGAGAACACACATTGGACAGAAGGCCGTCTTCTTTCTTCCCAGAAAGTGCGACGGCTCCAGTGAGTGAAGACACGGAAAACTGCAGCCTGAACGCTAACACCAGGACGAGTTGACCACCACAGGGCCCCCCCCCCACCGATTAGTGACAACACGGGCCTTCTTAATAAAGAGCAGTGTCAACAAAATAAAAGCCTCAGAGCTAAAGGCACTGTGTCCTTCCCCTGCATTCAGTTTGTACATGAACTCGTTTGTTACACACAGAAAAATAAATAAATAAATAAATAAAGGAACCAGAAACCGTCAGCAGCCACAGCCCTTTGGCTCCAGTAACGACCTCACCGTTCCCTTCGCCAAGGCCCAGTGGCGTTCTCTGGGCCATTTGTCTCCCACAGCGAGATTTCACAAGTGTTTTTTAGGGCTGAACATCCAAATATCTGCGTGGCAAAGATGCGGTGCAGATAGATAGGAGGCGTTACGGCAGCGGTGATTCAGGTTTGTTTGAGGTCATGTAGAAAAGATGTGGATTGGCCTGCTTCCTGGGTGAACAGGGACTCACTGAGACGGACTGGGCTGCCGGCCAGCCCGAATGGTTTCACTTCCCTGTAATGTGTGCTGACTTTGCAGATTGGAAAGCAGGGAAAAAAAGGATAAAATAAAAGAGTGAAAACATGTCAGAAAAACATGAAGTGTTCCGCTGTGTGGACACTAGGTGGCACCACGCTGACCCACATATCCATCCTGTTCTGTGGCACTCCTCTGAAACAGGGAAGCTTTTACAGCCTCTATTAAACCCATTCACAAATCTTATCTCCGGGGCTTTAAGACGAACGTCATGGTGCCGACACTTCGAGACTGGTGCCAGCACAACTACTAATTCAGACGGCCCAGGAAACGCATTGAAAGTGACATTTATTTAACACTTAAGATTTTCTGTACAGTTTCATAACAACAAAACCCCAAACTTGTAGCTCCACATCACATAGAAACAAGCTCAACTGATCCGTATTCAAAGCCATGGCAGAAAGATGAAGTTAACTGATGATGAGCATAGCTGTCTTCTTTAATGTGTGACTAAGTAGAATGATGGAACAACCTGTGGGTTATTGGTCATGGTCTTAAAAGGGCCTGCAGACGGCATTATTGGACACAACTGAGACCTACACGCTTTGAGAAAAGCCACAAACATTTCTCCACGTGTCAATTAAACCTTAAGGCTAAAACTCGCCTGTAGGTGGAATTTAAGTCATTTTTTTTAAAGACCAAATAATTTGATCCAGCTGTCTCAAATATCATTAAACAGCTGTAGTTCAAGCAGAGGAGACGTTTCTATGGTCACGCCGCTTTTCCACTGACAGACATCGAGATGTTCGCCGTCTGACAGACGTCCACGGCTTTGGCATCAGCTTCTCCAAAGCCAGGAGCAGAAGATGAGCTCATAGTCTCCACATGGTTTCTGTCAGAGAAAAGCACTGCACCCCTTTGCTGTCAGCAGAGAAGCTCTGGGACTCCTCTGTGGACAGCGTGGGTCACGGGATGGCCGGCAGCAGCTTGACATTTGAAAATACAGGCTAGGGCTTTTAAAATCATCTCTGAAACTGTTGTCAGGTTGAGATCAGTTCACCTGATTTCATTTACAAGAAAATTACCACATTATTTTGTCGGTGCGCCACAGTTTTAAACATGTTTTTTCACGTTTTGTTATGAAATGTCCATGGACATTTATGAATGACTGAAATCTACTGACAATACTGCCCCCTTGTGGCTACAGAGCAGATAACGCTGCTTATAGCCAACAGGTGAGAGAAATATTTGTGGTTACGCATCTATAGCACTTACAGCTTGTGCTGTAGGTGGAGTTGGTCACTAAAAACAGGCTAATAGAACCATTCAGTGATATTAGAGCAGATTACAAAGTGTTGCATGCTATGGCAAATCTACAGTGTTGCACTAGTCAATATCTGTTGGCTTGAAGTGCTGCAGACATGAGACTCTCCATAGTTGTTAGCCTCACGGGCAGCCGCATGCTCTTATGCTACCATCAAATGATATAAGGCATTACTCATACATTACAGACAGATGTAAATAGCACTTGACATTTGCCACTACTCGAGTACATTAAGGGACTATTACTGTTAACCATGTTCCATTAATAAAGATTCAAAACAAAAAGAAAAACAAGTGATATAATTCCTGAATAATTTGCTGTCCTGGATCTTCTTCATCTCAAACTCTTCAGGCAGATTTCTGGTCAAGTCTCTTGGTGGGATTTTAAACCGTTCTTCTTCTTCTTCTGTCCTGATCCGTCCCCATCCTGGATGTGTCATACAGAGAGAGAACTTGTAAGTGAACACGCCAGCTCGCTTTTCATGGATTTGGCTTTCCCTCGGCACATCATGACTTCCCACAGAGATAGTACACCTGCAGTATTCAGGGTGACTCACCAGCTGTTACCCAGAATAATAACAAACTCTTGTGAACAACGGGCCAGTGCAACGTAAATAGTTCAGTTCCATCCCCTCCCAGACCTGCTCCCTCCCTGACTGCAGCACCAAGTGCATTAAGATGTCTCCAGAGTGACACTTAGCTTACACGCTCATCATGGCCACACTAATGGCACTTACCTCTAATAGATGAAAAGTACCCTTGTTCTGGGCAGAGTTGCGTAGGCGGGATCAACCAATTTGCGCACTCTAGAGTAGTTGACAAAGCCTCTGATGAACAGCATGAAGCCTGGAGAGCAGGGAAAACATAAATAATGAAAGATATGATCATATATTCAAAGGACCAAGTGTGCTTTGAAAGAGAGGCACTATCTTTAGATGTAGAGGATTCTAATATCAGACCAGGGAATTCAGTTCACTTTAGTTAAATAAAAATACTTAAGTTTAACAGCACAATGCAAGATACTGTAGAATAAGAACAAGAATGAGTGATTTTTTTTCACTTACCGAGGGCCAGGAACACCCACCACAACCAGTACTGCCCATCAAAGTAACCAGGGAAATAGGTGGAAAACTGCACAAATGAAGACAGAGCTGTTAGGGGCTGCCCAAAGCACTGTCCAGGCCACAGTGAGAGCTTCACTTTTCCTCCTTCTTCTACAATCCTCCAGCCTCAGAGGCAATCCTGGTTGATCTTTAAGTGGCTCTTACCCTGACAATAAGGACCCATTTGATGAGGGACAGGCCAAAGCCTGAGATGGCTCCGTATCGGCCAGCAGCTGATGTGGTCAGACAAAATGACAAAAAGAAGCCAATCCAGTTGAACAGGAATGCCACTGGAGACACAAAAGAGAAAAGTCAGACTTTGCAACAAACTGGAGAACACACACACACACACACACACACACACACACGCACACACAGAGACTTTAAAGAGGACAACTTGAGCTTTCAGACATCCTGTGGTGTGAAACTCCTCTCTCGTGGAATACTGAATCCACAGTCAAAGGTACCCAATCGACAAGCAGCGGTGATCAATGGGATATAGTTCAGTCCCAAACACACCGCAGCTGTCCAATCACAGCCTTGCTCTGCTCCTAACAGGAGGCGTCGGAGCCTCGTCATCCTGCTGTCAGAAGCAGAACACTTCTGTGATCAAACCACTCTTCATCCAGCAGATTATGGAAATATGAGCGGGTTGGGAAGCTTTTTATCTCCCAAACAGTCTGGCTTCCTGCCCTCTGCTGATCACCACAGAGTAAACCCTGCCTCACATCCTCACTGCCATCCATCTCCCACTTCTAAGCCTTTTCAGAGGGTGCAGTGAGCCCTCAAGATATCTCTAAGGGTTGATAACAGTTGACCAGGACAAAAGGCTGTATGTTAACGTATAATGAGGTCAGTATATGGTACGTGACACAAACCATTCAAATGACAAGACTATTCCTTACTGAAGAAAGTGAGCATGAAGATGCCGTCGTTTCCTATTCGCAGCTGGTCAGCATCATCAAAATCCTCTCTGGCCACAAAGTCTTCCTCCTGCAACAGCAGCAGGAAATGTTTTTGTTATTTACATCATCTATTCCCTTCTGATCTCATATGTGGATAAGACTGAGAACAAGAGACGTACCGAGACTCTTCCGGTAACCAGGGGGATGGCGGCCTCTGCTTTGCTTCTCTCGGCTTCATCGTAGGAGGGCAAGGTGGTGGCAACGCTGTACGATGGAGGGTTTGGAAATCTTCCGCCTTCCTCCTTGTACTCAAAGAAAGCTGTGGATGTGGCAATAAAAAATCAAATCCTTAGTACAAAACAATCTTCTTATTTAAACCTGAATTAACTGAAAATTAGAAATGTCACTTTTTCCACTCATATTGTATACTGCCAGATTTACTTTTAGAGTACTTTCTGTCTACAGAGACAAACCAGATGTCGCAATGGTTTGACTGCTGTTGGAAAAAATATATTTTCTCACTTCCTTAAAAAAAAAGAACAAGAACAAGAAAAAAGTAGCAACTGAGAATTTGAAAACTGAACCAAGGAGGGGTTACATAAAGCAGGAAGAAGAACATTAGCAGTATGTGCATCCATTACTGTTTGTATTCTCCACAGAAAAGCCAAGACCTTTATCGGGGTCATTTGGCCATCCTCCAGGGATCCTCCTTTGTATTGTTCAAAAGCCAACAGCACCAAGTCAGACATATGAGCTCACCCAGGAAGAGCTCCCGGCTCACCCTCTTATGCAACATGTTGGCCTTTGCTCTCTCAGGAGGCGAGATTAAAAGCACGAGACCCGACTTATACTCAGGACACTGACAGGTTAAGAACAAGCACATAAATAGATCTCTCACCTACATACAAGGTTCCAACTCACAACAGACATTTCTACTTCATTTCACATACCAACAACAAACTGAAAAAATATTCTACTCTCCCATGTTTCACATTTTCAATCCGTCCATTTCCTGATCCGCTTATTCCCTAATGGGGTCGCGGGGGGACTGGAGCCTATCCCAGTAGTCAATGGGCGAGGGGAGACGTAGACCCTGGATGGTCGTTTCACATTTTCACCTGCTGAATGACTTTATCTTTTTTTTTTTTTTTTTTCTTACAATTTTTTGATCCGAACCCCATGTTGATAAATGTTTGAAGTCTTGTGCAATACGTGCTGCTGTGTGAACATACAACTACTCTGCACAGGTTGAGGCAGGCATCGTGTTGCAGGCAACATGCCGCCATCATATGAGCTTCATGTGCTCTGCAGAAATAACAACAGCTGCTGTTCACAGCAATGACTTAGTGGCTTTACTTGTTGTTGTTTTTATCTTAAAAATGCTTTGTAAAGCAAAAGATTCTCATACAGACAGATGATGAATTAGCAATGATAAGTGATGGAATACCACGTTCAGTTACGGGTGTGTGTGAGAGTGTGCTTATCCACCTGCGTTTGCAGCTGCAACGCTGCTGTAGGGTGGTGGGGCATCCTGGGAAGGACTCTCCTGGGAAGGCTGGGCCGGTTCTTCTTCATTCACCAACTGAGATTAATGATAAAAAGAGAGACTGGGTCAAACATAAATCAGGCCCTTTTGGAAAACTTGACAGCTATGATTGTGAATGCTGAATTTAGGAAAGACGATGCTGTAACGTGACAGATGCTTGTCTGCGGTTATGTTTGGGTAATACATATTGGGTAATACATATATATAGTGTGAGGGGCTAACAAAAGCCTTAGATTTGCGTGAAAATGTAGAAAATTGCCAACTGAGCATAGGTGATGTCATAAGTTGGAACAGAGCAACTTCCACACCATCTGGTGTTAACCAGACAGAGAAAAGAAGCTTGGATTCATCAAATATAACGGGAACTAATTTCTCACTAAAGGAGAAGTCTCAGCGGTCACATTCTTTGGTTCAAAGAAGTATAGCACTTGTAATGTGGAATAAGCCCCATTGAGTTTTAAAACGACATTTTTATGCAAATAAAGCTGATGGAAAAAAAAAGAACTCCAGCAAGTCCACTGTGGTCATATCCATTAGATATCTTCAATTAGTTGTCTCGGTTTATAGTTTACACATTGTTAATATCGTGTATTTATGTGCTTTGAGTGAGAAACTGTGTCAGAACAAACTGCATGTTTCTCAGTTTTAGCGAGCCGATTTGTTTCACTTTGGTTAAAGTCGCTCATGTCCAGGCCATCAGAGGCTGTACGTGTAACCACCGAGCTGCCGAATAAAAACAGCTTCCACCAGCTTAAAATTTGAGACAAACACATTGCTAGGCCGAACATGAAGCCGTTGGATGCTGTGCAATTTTCGGGTTTGTGGTCATTTAAAGCAACTTTTCCTTCAATTGTTCCACGCGTAAACAAATGTCGGACGAGCTCATCGTTGTCGCTCCACTGACAGGCTAATGCAGACTGTCTTTAGCTATCTGGGTAGCAGCTAGCCGTTAGCAACGTTTCAGCGAGCAACCTGTTACCTACCTCTTGATATCGGACGTTGCTGTTTTGTTCTGCCATTTTGTGAGAGGAATAAATATTCTAAATATCCTCCTCCGACTTTAGCGGTGAAAATATGGAGATAAAAGAGAATCTTGAGGACGAAATGTCAGAGGTAGGCTTCCTTGCTAGACGGCCATCTCCTTCTTCCTCTAGCTTGACTTGAACACAGCAGCGGCTTTGAAGCTGCATTCAAGTACCGTCGGTAACTTTCTCAAATACAAAGTAGCTAAAGATATTTTTCATTCAGATACGAAATTCACTCAAAATAATCATATGCATTTCTTACAAAGATAAGACCAAGAGGAACCAGTTAGTTAAAAACATTTGATGAACCAGTTAGCTTTAAACATTTACCTTTGAAATGCCATTTTATAACCATTACTGATGGCGTGATATCTGGGCTACATTTCCATGTTTGCAGGCAAGTTTGAATGTAATATCTAAATGAAAACTACTACAAAAATTATTCAGCATTTTAAGAAAGGCAATTCAATTGAGCGTCTGCAAAATAGTTGAATACAGGCAGCTACTTTTCCAAGCACGAATCTCAAAGTTTACAAGGAGAACTTAAAGGCAACGTACGTAGCTCTGTATTGTCATGTGATTTGAAGCACAGACCAAAAACCACAACACTTGGGATTTTTAAAAAATCAAATTGAGTTTATTACAAAGAACAAAACAGAAAAAAAGATGTAGAAACAGTCCCTTGAAAATCTGCAATACATCAGCATGAAATGATCTCTATGGATAAGCTAAGTAAGCATCACATTATAGAGAGAAGGAATCATTGGAGTGTACATTTTTTCCGCCCAAAATGCCTTAATATCCATATAAGGCATGAAAGAGATTGCTTCAGATCTTCTTCGGTTCTAAGGGAGGGAGCTCAACCAGCTTGTTGTGCACATGCATCATCCCTGTAGAGGGGGCAAGATTTATTAATATGTGAAGACTGAAATGCACACAGTTTATGCACAGCATGATATGTAAAGCCTGCTGTAAGCTCCCACCTTTAAAGTACTTCACAGTCTTGACCCGCAGCTCCAAGGTGGCATCTTCATCACATACGAAAACCGTCTGCGGGTGCTGCTGGAATGCGGACACTGTCCACATGTGATTCACTCCCTCTTCAATAGCTTTGTATAAAGCAAACGCCTTGTGCGCACCTGTGATGAGAATCATGACCTGAGAAGAAAGTTATAATGAGAGTTGTAAGACTTCCAAGAAAACATCCAGCCATCAAATGCAGTGTTCAGCAAAAGCATGAAATTACAGAAACAGATCATTACTCACAAGCAAAGGGAAAACATGACCAACAATAATTTAGAGTCCTGACCTCTTTTGCATCCATGACAGTGCCCACTCCCACAGTCAGAGCCATGGTGGGCACCTTTGAGAGGTCTCCATTGAAGAATCTAGCATTAGCCATGATAGTGTCCTTAGCAAGGGTCTTCACTCTGGTTCTGGAGACCAAGCTTGAACCTGGCTCATTAAAGGCAATGTGGCCATCCGGTCCAATACCTGACTCATGACACAAAAATTGGTTTTTAATGATAACTTATTCAACAACGACTGTGTGATCATTACCCGTAAATAAAATGGACTTCCTGATAATACTTTTTCCTTCTGACCTCCAACAAACAGCTGAATTCCCCCAGCAGCTGTTATCTTCTCCTCAAAGGCTTCACACTCTGCTTGCAGGTCAGGAGCATTGCCGTCAAGAATGTGGGTGTTCTCTGCTCTTATGTCTATGTGCTTGAAGAAGTTATTCCACATGAAGGAGTGGTAGCTCTCTGGGTGATCTCTGGGGAGTCCTACAAATGAGTTTATGGCAGTTAAATGTGAACTTACACAAGATCAGATCTTTTAAAAGATGGGTACCTACCAACGTATTCATCCATGTTGAAAGTTTTGACATACTGGAAGGAGATTTCTCCTTTTTTGTAGTACTCAATCAGCTTCTTGTAACAACCTAAAGGAGTGCTTCCTAAGGAGAGAAAAAAGAACATTTATTCAGTGAACATTTAGCATTAAATTAATTTTCAGCCACATGGGACCACATGGGGTCAGGAGGGGACCACATATAGGTCCAATGTCCATGCAGATAATGAAACATTGAGTGGGGTCTTCTAAAGCATTCCATTCCCTTTAGACATAAGTATTTGATTGTGAACGCCAATACTTATTGGCCATTACTTACGTAAGTTTTGGTGTTTGTAGACATTTCTTTCCAACCACGAATGTGGAAATCCTGACTTTTGAGTTAAAAAAGGCACCATTGTGCTGCTGTTCATCGGTACAGTTAATCATTTATCTTGGATATATCAGTCTCTCAATTCTGTATCCAAGTTGGATTGTGAGCTGTCCCACTTAAGAACACAGCTTGATGTAAATGGGTTCTAGACTAGCCAGCGACAAAATCTAGTACATAAGCCTTGTTCAGCCTACGACAATCAGATAAACAGAGGGCAAAACTGCCATGCTAAACTTTTAGATGGATACTTCTTATAACTCATCAAAGTTTCAAGCAATGTCACAAAATCTGGGGTTGGCGGATGTGGATGGAATTTGCAAACCTCAGCACTGTTACTAAGGCAGTGCCTCAAATACGGATTTGAGTTGCAAAAAAAAGGAGAAAAAAAGACGCAACAATCATAGAAATTGTTCTTCGTTTTACCTGTGGGGAGTCCCAGGGTAAAATATCTGTCGGGCCCAGATTTGAACTGCAGAATCTTGTTTCTAATGTACTTTGCAGCCCACTCGCTTGCCTGGTCGTAGTCGTTCAGGATGATCAGCTTCATCTTCCTGGCGGAAAAGGTCAAAACAGGCACAAAGACAAGGGACGGTTTGCGAGCATGAAAAACCTCTGAACAATTCAGTTCAAAACACACCTCAATCAGACTTTAGACCCATCAAGGAAACTACATCAGTCAGCTCCAGCACATCGCTGCCACTTAACTCACTTTATAAGGTCAAAGCAGCCGTCAAAAAACAAAACCTGGAAGCCAAATGTATGGTTCCGTATTGACAATGAAACAGCGTAAGGGTGGACGAAAACAGTTTTACCTCTGCTTGTGTCTCTATCTGGAGCTCCTACAGACAGGAAAGGCTCTGAATGGATCATGTGATCTGTGCTGTCCGTGGCTGCGAACGCGGCACGGAGCGGAGGTGACGTTCAGTCAAGTTACAGCCGTTACAGCCGTGAGGCTAATGGACCGAGCTAACGCTAATTAGCTCGTCCCGTTCAAATGATGTGAAATGGCCACAAGTGGCAGTCCAGTGGTGCAGAGCTTTGTAAAGGCTTCCATTCCTACGTTCGCTTTGGTGTATGAGCAAAGAGAGAAACTTCGGGCAATTGTCCCCTCTTCGAAGTTCAAGTTGCTAGGCAACGTCAAAAAGGGTGTGTGTATGTGTGTTTTTTAGTGAGCCTCAGCCATGTTCTTAATATTCGAAATTTTGGAAACAGTAAAGTAAATATTTTGACTATTTGCCTAAGTAAGAGCGGTTAAATGTAACTGAATGCAACTGTCTACTTTTAAAGTCATAAAGTTTAAATTCAATAGCACCAACCTTTCTGAAACTCAAATACTGTAGCGATTGTTCAGTTTGTGAACTGTAGGATGTTTCACAGACTTTTTTGTTTTGTTGTTATTAAGTATTCTGGGATGCAGAAAGTACTATTTCTGGTTGCCTTTTCTATGTTATGATACTATATTTAATAGTGTGTAACTTCAGCAATGGGAATCTTGTCCACCTGCTGGAACAGCCAAGAATTCCAACGCTCAAAATAAAACCTGAAGTGAGACCCAAATCCAGGTGAGTTGCAAAGACCACATCAGGGATTTGCTCAAGAATTGAGAACTTGTTCACAATAGGTTTAGTGAACTGGACATGTCACTTTCTAGGGACATCTTTTAAGCTTAAGCTATTGTTTACAAAGTTCACCTGTTACCTGCCACTTTCCATGTACACTCATAGGGTAGGTTATTCCCAAGCTAAAAAAACAAAACCCTAACCCAGTGACACCGACCTCAAGATTTATTTTAAGAATCTAAATGAGTGTTCAGGGGCTGCTGAACTGCCCAAGTGACAACAATGGCACAAAAGAGTTTCAATCACTTTATTAAAACCATATTGTGACACAGACCAGAACACTTACAGAGCACACAACAGAAATAAATACCATCATGTGTACAGCGCTCGTTGTCAAACAGAGTTATTGCAGCTGGCTTTTGATTTAAGTCATCCAGAAAGAGAGAGGGCATGCTATGTCATCAGACAGAGGTACCACCACAAGTTGAGCTCAGAGTGCTCAACACCCTGCCTGCTTGTGACTGTGTGCAGTTCCTGAAACACTTCACCAGCTCTGATATGCAGCCAGGCTGCATCTCACTCTGACTCATTAAGCTCCTGTTCAGCTTGGCTTCAGGAGGCGTTAGGCTGCTTTAATCAAGGTCCATGTCAGGCTTGCTCTCCGTAGTGTCTGAACTTGGATTGCCTGTGTTGTCAGCCGCTCCCTTATCTGCAGCTCCTTCCTGGGGCTTCTCCTGTCCGTTCACGGGACCGTTCTGCTCTGCGGATGCCTCATCCTTGGGAAGGTCCACCTTGGGTTTGGGCTTGCTAACAATTGGATTACAAGCAGTGAACAGCTCCTGGAAAATGTACACAAAACGTGTTTAAATGGAAAAAACCAAAACACAAGCAATATGCCAAAAATATGATATATCAAAGTAAAAGATTCAAAGGTAATATACATTACATCCTTGCTAAACCACATCTTGTTTTGACAAATTGTTTCTAGGTTTTTCATTTTTCAAATTATAATTGTGCACCCTGACACTGCTCACCTTTGTTTTTGCTTGAATGTCTTTGACTTTGAAAGTTGGGTCAAGTGTCAAGCTCTGCTTGCTTTGCTGGTTCATGGCACTGTTCATCCAGATCATCGTATCGTTGGTCTGTTTGTCCACTTTGGTGACATCTGCTTCTTCTAAGTGGTCGTACAGCTCATCCTGAGAAAAAAAAAAAGAAAAGGGCAAGATGTGAAAGTGGGATTAAAACAAGTAATTTATTCTGTTTTGATTATATAAGTCCATTGGTATTATTAAGAAAAGAAAAATATCACTGTGACATGTTGAGTGAAAACTGGATGATGTGAGGCATGAAATAACACATCTTAGTTTTACCTTCATTTTGTAGGCCTCAACAAATTTCATGTACTGCTGAATTTGCTTCCCCAACTCCTCAAAAGCTTTGGGCCTGTCTTCAGCCTCCATATACCTCTCCTGGATTGGCTGGCCAAGTTTCTGAACAGCCCACAGTACATACAGCAGTTTAACAAAATGTGGATTTATACTAAACAAAAAGGAAATCATGTGAGCAACATTACCTTCAACTCTGCCAGCTTGTCAATGTACACCTGCTTGGGTTGGTCCTCTCCATCTTCATAAAGCCAGTTTTCTGTGTCCTCCAGCTTCAATGACAAAGTATCTCGATCCTAAAAGACAAGAATAATGTCAGAGTTTGTCTACTCTCAAGAGGTCCGAAACAGATTACAAAAAAAAAAAAAGACTCACCGATTCACTGACAAACTTCTCCAGCAACCCGTGCAGTTTGTCCCTCATGTCGTACACATACTCCTCCACGTTATTCTTGGCATCATTCCTCTCTTTCTCCAGCTTGTCCTGCATGATCATCTTTCCCTGAGGAAAATCCGAAACATTAAATGTGGCCGCAGAACAAGCAGTCTGAGGACTGGATTAATTAACACGTCTAAAAACACAAGTTACCTCGTTCTCTACAAAAAGATTGAGCATGTCGTTGGCTAGCTGCCACTGTGGACTGTTTTCTATTGGAAGCTCCAGAACTTTTGTTTTAACTTTGGCCTTTTTGGCTTGTGGGGGCTGGTCGGACTTCTTCTCGCTTTTACCCTCTTCTGTGCTGGTCTGAACAGGAAAAGAAGCAAAAGAGTATTTAAAAAGACACAAACAGATCTCGCCCTGGATTGTGGGTGCTGATTCGCTGCATCAGTGTTGGGTTAAGACTTGTGAGGTATTACAATGTCTAGCCCAAAGGCATACAAAGACTAGAATCATTCCCAGCTTGTGAAGAAGGCGTTGTCGTACCTCCATCTCTTCATTCTCTGGTGGCGTCTTCTCCTCCGTTTCTTTCTGAGCGTCGCCCTGAGCCTGCTGCTCCTGATCGGTCTGCATTTTGCTCTGTTCAGGGACAAAAACCATGTCTCAAAATGCCAGGCAGTGAAGTTGTAAAAGAAAACAAAGTAATAAAGATCCAGCAAAAAAAAAATGCCTATAGCATAAATCTCTCCCATCTCTAAAATGAGAGGTATGCAACATCAGGAAGACCAAATGTGGCCGATGTACCTCTGCCTCTTTGTCAGCGGGTTGTTCGGTTTCCATTGGTTCCTCCGTGTCGTCAGACTTCTGGACTTCAACCAGGGAGGCACTGGACACGCTGAAGATGCCGTGAATGTTCACCCTCACCTTGACCTTCACCTTAGAGCTCTCTCCAGTGGCCTGTGGGACAACCTTCTGGATCAGAAACTGACCTGTTGGAAAGGCAAGCAGTAGGTTAGAAAAATTCAAAGTCAACCAAAAAGAGACAAAAACAAAACATTTTCAAGGACTCTCTGCTGTGCTTAACGGGTAGACAGACATTTCGAACCCCCTGGTCACGGGGATACAAGTTTTCATTTCTTACCAATGGTGGGGTCAGGATAAGGCAGCTCATTAGGAGAACTGTAGTAGGCCTCCAAAGAAAAAGGCTCTTTCCGATAGAAGGTCAGCACTTTGGAGAAGGGGGCTGCGTGGTTCCTTGGGAACACCTCACAATCGCTGAAGGAGCAGAAAATGGACACAGCTGCCGTCAACACTCTGACACTATGTCAGAGTCGAGACTAAAAAAAAAGTCTGTTTCTCCTTTACCTCAGGCCTTCCTCTGCGGCGGAATGCCACTTCAGAGAGATCGGGTACGCAACGGCGTCTGTGATGGAGAATTCGCGGACTTTGAAGGCCGGAGACAGAATGGCGCACTGTGGGAATAAATAACGGTGGCGTCAAACACGACAAGTGACAGGGCTTGTGGGAAGACTGTGGTGGGTTGGAAGGGAAGGCCGAAGAGCGCTGTACCTGCAGGGCACATCCTCTGGCCACCGCCTCATCCGCATTCAGCGTGGTGCTCAGCTCCTTCCCAAAGAACTTGCCGATTCTCTCTTTGACTGCGGGGATCCTGGACGCTCCGCCAACTATCTCCACTGCATAGATGTCGTCCTTTTTTAGTTCTAACGGGACCAGAAAGAGATCAGTTTAAATATGAACAACAATAAAGCAGTAAAGAGGCTAACTGAGGATTTAAGCTAAAATAACACATTTAAAAAAAAAAAAGACTAAATTACTTTTTAAAACTGACACTTACTGGCTTGTTCCAACAAGCTGTAAAGGGGAGGCTCAACTCGGGCCAAAACATCGGCACACATCTCTTCAAACTGACCCCTTATGCAACACAAAGTCGAGACATGGTTTTAGCTTTAAGGGAAAACGTGTACGGCCACTCAGAGGTAATTAATCATTGCTTATCTACCTGTTCATCTTCCCAGTGACATCAATGTCGTTCATGAAGCACTCGATGTTCAGCGGCAGGTCCGAGGAGTTGGCGCTCATCAGTTTCTTCAGCTTCTCACACTCCTGGTAGAGCCTGACCAGAGCCCTGGGCTTAGACTTTACATCCAGCTTGTACTTCTTGCCAAACTCCTCACAGAAAAACTTGACCAGCATCTCGTCAAAATCTTTCCCTCCCAACTGTGGGTCACAGGCTGTGGCAAGGACCTGGAGGGTCGGGGGAAAGAAAGGTGGGGAGGAAAGAAAAACAGGTTAAAAAAACAAGGGACAAGGTGGTTGTGAGGATGAGACAAAGGGAAACCTAGAAAGGCACAACAAGCACGATGTGCAGATCTCTGCCACGTACCTTGAGTTTGCCCTTATTAAAGGCACACACTGACGTCTGGTATCCAGAGTGGCCCAAATCCACAAAAATCACATTCCTGGCCTTCTCCTCAGGTGCAGGGAGGTCCTGTTTATAAATTCCATACGCCAAAGCCACTGTGAGGACAGTAATAGTGGAGGAAATGTCAGCGTGAGCCGGGTCAAATCAGCGGAAACATTCTAGCCTGAAAATCCAAACCCAGACCTGCAGTGGTCTCATTCATAAGCCTCAGGCAGTTGAGTCCAGCAATCTGAGCAGCATCTACCACTGATCTCCTCTCAGCATCAGTGTAGTAGCACGGGACCTGGTTACAACACATAAGCATATCGAGTCAAAATGGGCTTGGGCGGAAGCAAATCAAAGGCTTATAGGTGGGTACATTCGATCCAACAGATCACGGGAGAGACTGGATGGTTAGCCGGCGGCCGCGTACTCACAGACACCACGCAGTCGGCCACGGGCTTCTTCAGTGCGCTCTCAGCCGTCTCCTTCAGCTTGGTCAGCAGCATGGCGGTGACCTGCTCGATGCTGAACACCTTCTCCTCCTCCATGTACATCACCTTCGGGGACAAACGCAGGAGTTAAGGTCTGCCCTGCATGACTCAGCTCACCATTAGCGCTCTGTTCAGCAGTATGACCTCAACAGAGCAAACTGAAAACTGATTTAAGGTTAACTCTTACAGCATTAGCATGGCATTTCAAGTCGACCTTTGATGGCACGAGCAGTTAACATCTCAACCTAGCGACAATACTGCAAAACTGGAATTAGAGTGCTGTTTAATTCCATACTTTGTCATTTTGGTGTACAAAGTAAGCCTCGGAACTTCCATATAATCCAAGTCGGTATAGAATTCAGTAATGATGAATAATAATAATAATGTCATTTAATGAGCTCTGTTAGTAGTTTAAGACCATTTTCTCTCTTCTTCAGATACCAAACCCTTCATAACCACAGGGTGTGTTATACTAGCAAACATTTTCTAATTAGAAGCAACCATGATCTTTTTAGCTCTCGTGCTCAAAACACCAGCCATGTTCAAGTAATATTTAGCAGTCACTGGTACTGCCGGCCAGTCAAATGAGACAGAAAAGTGGACGGAACCGACTCTGCCCTCACCTTGATGCCCGTTGTTCCCGTGGGCATCTGTGCGAGGTCATAGACCAGGCTGTTTTTGATGGACTGCACGAACGGATCGGAAAAGGCTCTGCCATGGAACCTCTTGAACCCTTGAACCGTGTTCTTGCAGTTTGTGACGACCTGTTGAGGGAAACACAAAAGATCTCTGAAAGAGAGCTGGTGCACCCCGAGTCAAGCTGTGACTTTGTGTCAGGAATGCTTATTTGGCGTCTGTGATTGACCAGGTGTGCCCACACTTGGCATGCCTCCCATACACAGCACTATGAAAGCATCAGTGGTTCCTCTGTCCGGTCGCCGGTCCAATGCCCGGCAGCCTCCCGGCTCGTGGGGGAAACATACCTGGCTTTTTGCAGCTGCACCAATAGACCGATTCCGGGGGCCGAATGAGACACATGCTCTACAGACAGAAAACATAACCGATTCACTTATTTTCATTTCATTTTATTCGTGATAGCTCTGTTCTTATTACCTAGGAGATTAAAATCATATTTTTGACAGCCATATTACTATTAGCATGGTTGTTTTCAACAGGAGCGCAATAAGGAAAATAAATAAATAAAATGTTACAAAGCGTAATGATAAAAATTGGAACGACACCAAAGAAACCGATTTAGATAACTACAAACGTGCTTTTATAAAAGTATAACTTAATTTTAGAAAAACAGAGCGACGGCGGGGGGAAAAAACTGTCAAGACATTGAAAATCGTTGCGTTTTACTTTTCATATGACAATGTTTCATTTAAACGTTGCTGCGGTTAAGACATTTCCCACGTTTTCATTTTAGAGACACTAACTGTGACCTGATTTTCGGGATCTCGATACAGACTTTGAATCCGACAATAACGCACAATGGACTTGGAGCCAGGAAGCAACCGGCCTCCTCTCATCATGTGCCCATTCATGCCTGCAGTCCATCAGTCACCTGACTGCACGGCTCAGTTTTTAATTTTTAAATTACTTACAGTCTTTCGCGTCCCCAAAAGAGCAACGTCGACTTTAATTACAACAGGCATCTTCTCACTCGAATTGTTTCCAGCTAGCTAGCGTTAGCTTTAGCACTCACATGCAGTTTCCTGTTGTGAAATTTGTTAGCATGCTAACTAGCTGAGTAGCGATGTTAGCTTCACCCAAAATCATGATGAACTTAAAAAGGTCGATTAGTGTTCTTTACTTGCTATCCGCACAGACAGAATGTCACAAATCATGTAGAAAAACACGACTAATCACACTTACGGTGTACTTCGGTCGCTGTATTCATTAGCGACAGTTTCAATCCCTCCGGCTCTGGCTACTGCTACATAGCAGTTCATAAACCCCACGTCAAAACCTACAACTGACATCGTCAATAGCTAACTAATCGTCGTTAAATTCTGAGGAAAAACAAAAATGTGGTCAAGTGTTAAAGGCGGCAGCAGTAAGTACGGTGGCTTCCAGTCAATGGACAGTGATCCACCCTTGTTCTTGTTCCATGAAACTGGGCAGCAACATGCGGTGCGCCGGTGAGATGCGTGAGAGCGTTCAGGAATTTTCTGACAGTCCTTCGACCAATAGCGTCCCGCCGCAGAGAGGCGCGAGGCTCCGCTACGGCGCCCCCTACAGGCCAAAGGCGGTACTGCAGGGGAGGTGTATGCCCACTTGACAATGCCGCATGTGATATTTGCTACATAGATTTATGAGACCCTTTCCATCATAACATTGTCAAAAACTTGTTTTAGAAAATTAGTTCTCCATTTTTTGCATTTTAACCTATACAAAAATCTGCAGAAACACGTTGATAAACTTTTATTTCAAGTTTCTATTGATGACGGCTTCAGGAACATTACACATCTGAATCGTTTATCATTTTTAGATAATTCTTATATTACCCCAGGTTACTAATTGGCAGGTCTTGCAACTTAGCCAAAATAGAGTACTGAAAAGTTGAAAATATACACACTGTTCTATTACATGTCAGTGCCTTTTCGGTTTTCAATCTTATGTAGCCTAATGTCAATACATGTTTAAGAAGGAAAGGTGGCGTACAGTGAAACTCAATGTAGTATTTTAATGCCAAATCCAGTTTCACTAGATTTTCTAAAGGCTTGTCTGATTTTCATCTAATTAACATGACCAGTACGTGAGTACATTGCAACAAACTGGAAATTACTAATAACATCACCATAGTAGTGGCCAAAACTAATGTGCAGTGGCGCACCTATCACAATATCTGAAGTCTGAAATAGGATTTAGTTTTTAAAATGTATATAAAGTGAACTATTAACTTACATTTATACAACAGGAAAAAGCCTAAGAATGGAGGCTTATGCAGTGCCATTGAGTGTGAGACAAATATCCTCTTTTTCTTTTTCCCAGAGAAAAAAATGGATATACAGAATTTTTCTCCCATTGAACCATTTACTTCAATGATGGACATTTCAAAAGAAATCCTTTTCATGAGTTGCAAAAAAAAAACAAACTCAACTTCACTAATGAGTAAAATTCCTGTCAGTAACGACACATAAGTCTGTATCACCTTATGTTGTATTCACTGAATCATAACAATTGTTTATTTGAAATCTACACCAAATAAAACATGGTTTAACTCACAACAAACTCAAATAAAAATGGACTGGTTTGGCATAAATAATATTTAATCTTTATTAGTCACATGTATATGACACAAAAGCATTTTTTGAGAAGCGGCATGAGAGATTTAGGCGTCGTTCTCAAAGTCAGCAGCATTCTTCCTCTTGCCCTGCTCATAGGCACTGTTGCCCCAGGTATAGGTCAGATACATGAGGGTCATAGCTGCAAAAAGGAGCGCAACACTAGTTCAGAGAACATTTGGACTTTCTTTAATGAAGCTTCGATGTAAAAAAGAAACATTCAACAATATATACAGTCTGTTTTTTTATGAAAAGAATACAGTATTTGGTAAGAGATATACACAAATACCAAAATGACAACTTACGAGGGGCAACTTTGAAGAAGGAGGCTGTGAACCTTCTCCACACATTGGGAATTCCCTTTGAGAAGTAGTTGGGGAAAGCCCTCTGCTCAAAGGGGGAGATGCTGTATGTTATGATGTGCCTAATCTTGGCCAAGTCCCCGAAGTGGCGGCCCATGATCACCAAAGATAACCTGAAGAGACATAAAGAATACAAACGCCACAAATTCAAATGAGTCATTGTCAGTTCTTTACGCAACTATTAGAAAGCAGTACTGAATATACGATACATGACTGTGTTTATATTTTAAATTAACCCCTTTAACTGCATCGAGTGGTTTTGACCTGAAGTCTAATAGGCTGCAACATTGGCTAACGCATGTAGGATATTTAAAAGTAGCTTAATGGCTAATCGCATGTATAGTTTAAGTCACAATACAAGTATAAAGGCTTGTTTTAATACACAAGTTACATTCGATCAATAGGCGATAGGGTGCCAGATGTTACGAAACAACCCTGCTGGGTTCATATTTAGCATCACAAACTAGCACCATCAAGCTAACTGCTAAGGTACAAACAGACCGTAAAACGTTTACCTAACCCATGAGCTGGCGTAGACGTTTTTACTAAAACTCACCCAAACTAACTCAGTTGAATCATTTACTGAAAACAAATCACAGATATGTCGATGATACAACCGATTAACTAAACAATACGCAGTTATATTGGTGACATTGAGACTTACCGTCCTGATTTCTCACAGGGTTAGGGTTTAAGAGAGTTCCGGTCGGTGTCCTCCGTTTTAATGATGGCGGCGGTAGTTCTGTGATGGCTGGTGCCATTTACCTCCCCCTGGTGGCCGGAGTTCAACATGACGATCCTCATGTGCGGCGACCCAGCAGGGTCGAGCTTTTACGAGCTTTTTAGAGAATTAGGCTGCCACTTATATTAAAACAGGGGCTTTGAGGAGGTCACAACTTTTCTTTTATTGTTGCTTGTAAATCAGAGTAACACATTTTTTCCAATATATTATTGTTCATACACGCAAGCTTTTCCCAAGAAATAATTACATATTTTTAAAAGGCTTTGTATTCTGTCAAAATGACCAAGGTACTAAATCTAACAAAAAGAGGGCATCTTTTCGAGAACGGCTCCAGTAAAGGGGAGGAATTCAGTTTTATTTTATCATTATGGGTAATTCAAAATTTTAAGTGTTTAAAAAAAAATTAAGTGTTAAACCTGTTGTAATTTACTCTTTGCTTCTATGTTTTTCCAAGGTATAAGTAGAATAAAAAACATTAAACATGCTGTGATCTTTACCAACGACAACATTCCATTGCAATCATTTGAGTATCAACTTGTCTAGTCTGTATAATGCAATTACTTGGTCTTCTTCACCTGAATAACATAATTAGATTTTTTTTTTATCCTATTCCAGTATGGAAAAGTAGAGTAAGATGTAAAACGTGCATTCTGGAGGCTGTGTTTGCAGATTTAGTTGCCTGATTGTTGTGTAGACTTGTAAATATTTATAAGGAAAAGATTAATGAAAGGACATGTCAGTCAGAGAACTATTTTTCTTCACCACAAAAAAACAAAACAAAAAATGTGGAGGACACAAACATTTTGGTATTATGCAGATTGAAAACTCAAAGGCAGCAGCTATGCACAATTTTTCTTTTTTAATTTTCCAACTTGTCAGAGAACGTCTACATATTTCATTCTTTTGTATATTAAGCCGAGCACAGACACACAGTGAATTCATCCAAATTGCATAAATAGACATGCATTTAGTCACATTTAACAGACACAAATACAGGCATATAGCCAGTTCATATGCAAGTGGTCACTTAGTGACCAGAGGTGATAAACACACACTGAAACCTTGACAATTTTCATTCTGGAGATCATGAAGACTGCTGCCACTAAGGTAGCTGTCTGATATCCCCTGGAATAAAATGATATATAAAAGGTTTAAGAGATTATGATTGCTTTTTCATTTTTTTGGGATCCAGAACAGGGCTACTTAAAAATATGGTTATTTTGATAAATTAAAGAGTAACGACAGACCACCCACACAAAATAAATAAACAAAAATTAAGGCTTTAAAAAAAAACAAAAAAACAGAAAAACACATCAGTCTTTTCTCTGAGAGTGACTCAATCATATTGCAGACAGTAACTTGAATAGGATGCATTTGCACCCTCCCCCTGTTTTGGGGGAAATAAATGTCATGCTTCCAAGTTATGGTAAAATATTTTTGGTTTATGCAAACACTCCTTTTTTCTTGTATGTGTAACAATTTAGTAAATTCATGAAATCACAGAGCCTGGTCAGAACATTTTATGCATGGAAATAATTCAGCAGCGACGACCGTTTGGGGGTTGGTTGGTGAAGGTTTAGCGACACGTGCACCTCGTGGCAACCATGTCCTTAAACTCCTTGAAGACAAGGGAGCCGTCCTCTTCAGAGATCATGACGCTGAGGGGGCTGTAGTGGGACGGCACACACGAGGGTCTGGGCACAGAGGAGTCAAGCTTCTCGTTGATGATGTTTTGCACCATGGTGTGGACGGGGGAGCCATAGATGAAGCCCATGGTTCGGGGGCAGATGCCTCTGCAGTATCTGGGATTGTACTTGGGTGGGAAAACGATCCAGTGATCCAGTTTTAGCTGACTGAATCGCACCCTGAAATCATACAAGGCACAGTCACTTGTTGGAAATTCAGAGCTCGACAGAAGCTCAGGCAGGTAGATGTTCAGGCTTTTATCACCTCCTTTGCTCTTTGGAGATTCTCTCCTCCATCTCCTCCTGTGACCATGCCTCTGAAACCTGTGTGGTGCAGCGGCTGGCCTTTGACCTGCCCTGTGACTGAACATGGACTTCTCTGGGGAAGTTTTGCTTGTGTCATTGAGATAAAGAATCAGCGGCGGGGACCTCAGGGTGAACTCCAGTGGGCCCCGGCAGTCGCTGCTCCTCGACCTCTGTTCCTCTGAGCAGGATATATTGACCAGCAGATGTATGTTGTTCCTCTGGAACTTGACCAGCGGCTCAAGAAATGAGGTGATGTCAACCTCCAGCCAGTTCCTGAGGTTCCCTTCTGTCCTGGCTGTGAAGTTGACGGTGCGCTGGATCCCAGGACACAGCTTGCACTGGTCTGACCGCTCACGCTCCTTGATGCTCAGGATGCACACAGAGTGGACGGGCCCAGCACAGTTGTGCTCAGACCTGTAAAGCAGGGCCGACTTAAGAAGCTGCTCCTTCTCTCTAACTTGCTCAAGACTGTAGGACAGATCCTGTGTGAAACTCTCTGAAAGAGAAGACGAAAATATGAAGACAGTGGCAGTGCCTGACAGTGCCTGCTACTGTACCTCTGGGCATACTTAGCTTTCTTTGCATCTTCTTGAGAATTTCTGCTGACCTTTTTATGTAAAATGTGTATTTATTTATTGGTCAATTTGGATGCTGTGCTGCTGAAAAGACTATTACTGGTATCAATGGCATTTCCCAAAAAGTTGTAAAGATGCATAAATATGGAAAATTGTTAAACCAGAGCGTTCATGTAATGCCTGTAATAAAACATCATAGAATGAGAAGTGGATGATTAGGCATTAGGATACGGTGCAAGTATAAAATAAAACTTTCCCTCTCTAATTGCTTGTAAACACACAGGCTTCCTAGCCTAATTGATAACAAGCAACAAGGAAAAAACAGAACAAAAAACAAAGACAAAACAAGAAAACCACATTCGCAACATTAAGATTTCTACCCTCAATGATACTCTTCACATTTCTGTGAGATTCCTTATCCAATCTGTGTGTTATGTTGTCAAATGTGTTATATTTGTTCTTTGGTACTTTAAACAGAAAAAGTAGAAATATAAACAATCTGACTCCCCTGGTTGATCAAAACATCTGATAATAATGAAAAGTAGTAAAGCACAAACAGATTTTTTTGAGTTTTTGAAAATTAATCAATTTGCAACAAAGAATAATATGTCAACATATCAAACCCTACTGGCATGATGCTTTAATGGCGCTCTGATTTGTCACTTCAGTTTGTTTTTAAGTAAATATTATGATACATCACCAGCCCTGAAGTTATAGCACTGTAAATATAATGTGTTTTTTTATGTACTTTGTTTTTTACAGTCCAGTTACAAACCTGTCAAGATGTCTGCTCGCTCACCTTCATTACTCTGCGCCAGACATTCATCCTGCGGGTTGATCAGCCGGATGGTGTTGTACATTTCGTCTTCCTCAACACTCCGCTGCACCCTGGGGTGCTTCTTGTAAACCTCCGTCAGATATTGGACGTACTTGTGCTGGGGTTTGGTCGTCGTCTTCTTCTTCAGCCCCGGGCTCCACCTGGCCCCTCCGTACTCGGACAGAGCCTTGAGCAGCGGGGAGAAGATGCTCCTGTACGGGAGGGAGAGCTCGCCCAGGCTGTGCAGCGCGATGGTGGCGGCCTGGGAGGAGCTGACCTGCGGGGGGCCGCAGGCCACCAGCAGCAGTGCCAGGACGGTGCGAAAACTACGAACGGAAACTGGCGGCAGCTTTTGTTTATCCATTATAAGGAAGAAGACCAGTCGAAGGTTGGAGAGAGACTCTCGGCCGAGAGCGCGAGGTCAACAGGACCGCGCACGTGTCGCAGCAGACTAACGGGCGCAGGTGTCTCCAATCTACCGCATCAGTCAGGACTACTTTTTCTAGAGAGGAGGAGCGCGAGGAGCTGGGCGCGAGCTCCTCTGCGAGAGGAGCATCCCACCAGAACCAGGCTCATTTTAAACTCTCAAAAAAGAGTCACAGAACAGTCCCACAAAAACCGTGTGATGCATAGGCTGTTTAACGTGTCATTATGTGTTTTATGTCAGTGATGTTTATTGTGTTTATTATTATTATGTGTGTATACATATTGTCATACAGACACGCACATAAGATGTATGCACACATACTTTTGAATACAACGTTCAAAGTGTGGGTAGACACTAGAGGACAGAAGCACACTGGACCAGCAATACTCATGTTTTATTGATTTATGTATTTATTTTTTCTTATTGTCTGTTTGTTTTTCCGGTTTCAACCCATTTTCTCATGAATACATTTCAAAGTGATTGAAATTTGATAGCTTATGGCATTTTAGTGGTGTTCTCTTGAGCGGTCTGTGGCTCTGAGTACTTTGATTTGTCACTTGTGGACTAGTAGTGCTTTCTCATGGAGCACGCTGAAGAAATGCTCTCAGTACTGAAGGAATCGGATGTCCTGTGTCTTCTTATCTTTGGCGGTCGGTACTGAAGAGGGGCTACCATGATGTGCACGAGAATACATTGTGTGATTAGTTTGTTTGGCAAATAAGCAGTCTGGTGTTAATGGTTTTCCACAGGTCTGTCATTTTGCACCATCTTTCTCTCTTTTTCACGTTCATATATCTATACATTTATATAAATATGGTCTTGTGATTCCTGATCAGATGCCCCCCCCCAAAAAAAACTCTTTGTAGTCTTTGTCATCTCATCACTTTGTCTTGCAACTTGGCAGCAACAGTTAGTTTAGAGGAAGGTGGTGTAGTTCAGCTTTTCCCTAACAGGAAGTGATGCAGGCCGGGGCCACATCTGTTCCAGAGACTCTTATGTGTGGGTATCCTGCCAAAACTGTGGAACATAAGAGGCCTTTTTTGTGTAACTCCCTTTAATAATCAATAGATTAAGAAGGAGTTAAGAAGTGGATGAGGTGGGTTTAATCCGATCATGTGGTCTGATATGTTGAGCTGTTGTTTTAAATGCTGCTGTCCTTTGTTGTTATGCAAGCATAATCTTTTCCAGATAGTACAACAAAGGATGTTGTTTAATCATTTTTGGCTATGGCTGGATTTCCTGAGCTTCTGCTCTTCATGTTATCTGTTATCTTTGTTCATTCTCTGGGTCAGTAAAGGTTTTGGCTTTGTTAAAAAAAGCCAAAACCTTTACTGACCCAGTAAAAAAAGGAAAAAAGAAAAGCTTTCAAACATGTCTTGTTTGAGTACAGAAGTCCATTCAGTCGGCCAAACACAAACAGTGACGATGTAGTTTAGTAGCTCACAAGTTTACGTTAAATTTGTCATAAATATATATTATGGAGTCTTGTCAAAATGTCAGTGTTTAATATAGTGAGACTTTAATGAAATTACAATGATTAACGTCAAAGATTTTCTTGCCTTTGTTTCTAACAGGGGAAAGAATTTGAACTCTGAAATTCTTTAAGAGCATTATCAATATGATTGATTAGTGAGCAGCTTGGGGCTGTGCCTGATAGCAGGCCAGAGATGGGGCCCATGCTTCTTCACTACGGGGCCTCTCTCAACAGTCCGGAATTTGCAAAGAAGACAATGAAGGATATATCCCATAAACTGCTATGAAAAACTGCTTGAAAATTGAGCATCTTTACTTTTTAAGTAACGTCTCATTTTTATTGAAACTAGGACTAAATATTCTCCCTGCATAAAGTTTTGTCTCACAAAAAAGAGTGTTTTAGTTAGGATTACACAGTTAAAGTGTAAATAAAAAAATCGATAGGTACACACAATGGCAGTGCAGAATTACCTAATTTCTCATATCTCTTACTGACAAAATAAGTTAGTTGTACTAGTACAGAAAATTAGTTTAAATTTTAGATTTTTGAGCAACGGTAAGAGGACCACTAGGGAAAATTATTAATACTACTCATCAATAGTACATCTAACAGTGATACACTGTAGCAAGCTTTGTAAAAAGTCTACAATAAGTACACATATATGCATTATAGTTATGCATTCATTTCTTTTACCACTCATGAAACTTAATGGTTGTCTTTTGTTTCTTCCCCACGTGAGGATGGAACAATTTACTAATAGAATTGAATCCTTTTCCATGCTCTTTGTGTTCCTCTTCCTCCGCCGTGCCGCTCCTCTGCAGTGGACCTCCCAGAAGTGCTCTGACCTCCGCCGTCACACCTTTCCCCAGGTAGTGGAAGGCCTTCTTCCCGTAATTATCCCTTTCGTTCACATTTGCTCCGTAACGCTGCACGAGCAAAACCACGGCTTCGGTGTGGCCGTGGATGGCGGCGATGTGCAGAGGCGTGTACCCTCCATGGGCCTTGCAGTTGACGTTGACGGAGGTCCCCCTCTTCCTGGAAATGTCCAGGAGCTTGTGTATCATGCTGCTGTTGCCGTCCTTGGCGGCCCAGTGCAGCGCTGTGAACCCCGACATGAAGTCTTTCCTCTGGGCTAAGCGCGTGTCCCGCAGCAGCAGGGTGTGGATTTGTCCCCACAGGCCGGCGGCACACTTCACCAGCCACTCGTGGGCCAGAGGCTCTAAAGGCACAGACTCAGAGAACCTGCCATCATCGGCTTGTCTTGTGGTCTTGATTTGGGGCCCCGCCGGGGGCTGAACGCCCTCCTTCTGTCTAGTTTTCCAGCTCTGGGGTTCTTTTAATAAGTCCCCTTTGCGAGCTGAAAAACTCGAACTTAAAAGAGGCAGTGGAGAGACTTTGGTCAGTGGTTCGTCTGAAGTTTCACGCTGATGCCCCTGGGAGAGGAGCCCGCCCCGTGGGGCCGGTGCGGAGTCTCTCGGTGGAGATTTCACCGCTATGAGAGCGAACACCGCTCCGGATTTGCCCGGGTTTGTCTGGACTCCGGAGATGTTCAGGACTTTGACAGTGGTTGCGTCTCTGTCTGGGTCTGGCCTCCTTTTCTGCACGCCGTCCATGCGCGCGCGCTCCTCGTCACCGTGACAATGGGCCGTGCGTGAGGGGCTGCACGCAGCTTTGTTTCCACCATCAGAGCGAAGCCCCCCGGCTGGCTGCGCCCGGAGGGGAGAGGTGGAAGAAAAGCTCGCGTTCAGGCTTGAAAAACTGTCGTCCATCTGCGCTTTCCGGGAGACATCTGGTGGCAGCTCTTTGGCAAAATCCTGGTATCTTTTCTTCACAACCACAAACTTCACATCGTCGATCTGCTTGACCACGGCGACGCTGTTGACCAGCTTCTTGAAAAGGTCTCTTTTGTGCTGCTTTTCGGCCGGATCGCTGCAGCTGATGCGACTCTTGAAATTGCTCAGCAGCTCAGAGTTCTTCACTTTACCGCCGCGCTCCAATAAAAAGGACAAAACTGATTCTTGGGTCAAAGCCATCTTGTCCCGTTGGAGATAACCCAGGAAAGATGTGGCAGAAAGCTTTCGGAATAACTCCACTGCGCGTGCTCCTGTCCTCCACCAACCTGCTGCTTCCGGCGCCTCTCCAAATGAATCCACCCGTGTTTTTAAAGCGGGGCACTCCCCACAGCCGAGGGGCAGTGCAGACTGTCCCGAGAAGAGGATCCTCCTATTGGAAAAGCCAATCAAAGTCACCATATTACTGCGTTTCTTTCGTGGACTCATTTCAGTTTTTTAACAGTGCCTGTAATATATTGTTTTTAGCAAACGCACCATAAAGTCGTTTACAGTTTCTATGTAAATAAATCGGTTTATCATTTGCAAACTGAGACATTCCTTTTTAAATTTTATTTTCAGGCCTGCTCATGCTGCTGTGTAGTAATCATTCTGAAATATGTTTGTTTATTAAATGATTGTGTCTGTATTGAGCATGTAGAAACAGTACAACACTGAAGGGCCAAATCAATAGCAAGTTAAAGGTGTGTGGGTAATTACATTATATTCTTTACATTTTGCATCATATTTGCACACAACTTAGATTTTGGCATAAGACACACAGATATGGTTATCTAATCTATTTAAATGAAAGCCTGCTGTCATATCAGTGAGTGTCTTTCTCTCTCTCTTTCTCTCTCTCTCTTTAAATGTCAACAACTCATAAGTGATATAAGCAAGGTACTTTGTCAAATGTTAACGGAAACTGAGAAAATGTTGTAACTGTCCCTGACACCCCATCTCAGATAAAATAACACTGCATTGCTGATATTCCTTTGTCCTGGTCAGGCTTTGTCCTCAGTGATCCCACACTTCCTATGAAGGAAACTGTTTCACTTTTTAAATTCTTTGTCTCTTGTTTTTCTTTTAGCTACATGTTCCAGATGTATTCTCCTCTTTTCATCTGATCCTACTCTTTAGGCATCACCTGCTGCTCCCACATAGAAAAAGCTTCCACATGGCCATAGTGATGCATCATAACAATAAAAAATGCAATAACGCAAAGCAGAAATTATTCTTGAAACACAGCAACACGTGTCTAAAAAGTGTCATTAGAACACTGAAAGAACATACAAAGCATGGCACCACATGTCCACAGCCTGTTCACTGTGCGGCTGTCACCATGCTTCACGGAGGGGACCAAAAAAAAAAAAAACAAATAAAAATACTAAATGATTTGACTGCTCCACAGTATCTTTTTCTGTTGCTAGGTTACCGATGGCTTTTATACGTATGCAACGGCTGAAATGACATAAGAGACTGACTTTGCTTTATAAGAGAGGCTGCACAGATGTTTAGTGGCGCTGTTTGCCATGCATCCGGACATTTTCGGACCTCGGAGTTGCGCAGGAAATGTGTTGACCAGAGTAAATAAATAAATAAATAAATAAATAAATAAATAAATAAATATAAAGAAGAAACAGCCGACTGAAGCACGTGATGTTGAAAGCGTAGCGGGGCTATAGTGTAGCTGGTGGTTTCCCATAGCGACGGCTGGCGTAATTATCCCGCTTTGCATCGAAACTAAATCCCCGAGACCCACTTGGCGCGGCCCGTGGGTTTGCTGTAGTGTCGCCCTCCGGCACCGAGGGGGTGTAGCCTGGAAGGGGCCATACTGGAAGCGGGGCGAAGGGCAGCAGCTCTTGCCGAGGACGCATCATTCCTGCGCACGGCCACTTGTGACGATGGCGACCGGCGAGGTGAGTGTTTACGCAGCGAGTGCGACGATCCACGGTGACAAACGGCCCCGGTGTGAGTGGGAATGGAATCAAAGTGGGGCAACGCGTGTAATTCAGGTGTAGGAAAGCAAAGTGATGGTAATGAGGTGTGTGTGGGGAGTGCTGCGCAGGGGATGGCCACGGTGCTGAGGAGGCTCGTTATGTCTAATGAATCGAGAGGAGACGTGTATCCGCAGTTGGTTCAGAGAGGGGGAAAAAATGCCTCGTCTCTACGTTTTGATGAGTCTCTGGAGGCATGGGGGAAAGCTCGCCTCAGCATCCAGCATCGGCATGACACTACACAGAGCCCGAGCATCAGTGCTGCGCTGTTTACAGCGTCAGCTCCTCTGACAGGTGCGCAATTTACCGAGCGGAAGGATATTTTCAGCGACAAGATACAGCTGGCACAGAGATACGTTGTTCAGATACAGATTACTGGTAGCGTGCTGGAAGGGGTACGCAGCAGCCTCCGGCTAGTCGGGATTCAAGGCATTGCTCAGCAAAAAATAAGAGAATGTGCGTCAGCCAAATGTGTATTTGTGGCAATATTGCTTTCAGATCTGTCAACGCTGGAAAAGCATACATTGTATGTAGTTTTGCTGAAAAGTTGGACTCTAAAGAATGCAGGCTAGTGAGTTGTCTAATTGCGATGGGGGGTTATGGGTACCAGGGCAGCCAGCAGCTTGGATATCCTCCCACCCTGTGAAATAACATCCAGATAAAGAGCTCTTTGTTTGTCTCTGTGTGTTTGTGTGAGAAAGAGGGGCAGAAGCGGATGATTGTTGGATTGGACACATCTTGGTCCTCATGATGAGCCTTTTGCAAGATGCCAGGATCCCTGGGTGAATCTGGTCTAGGATGAACAACCTCCCACCACACTCCAACCCAAAGCAGCATTCCCTCTGTACAGTCACATCCAGGCTTGAGCGCCCTGATTACTTCCAACATTTCCATAATTAAATAAGGACAACAGATAGTGTCATAACTGGGAGTGCATATGTTTTACATTAGCTCTCCCTCATGAAAAAAAATCAACACTCAGTGCTGAAAATTCTGTTTGTTAGGAGCTGGTTTATAATGGTAGTTCCCTGCTGTGTGAGAGTGACTGAGCATTACCGTTACACTATCCTGAAACTTTTTGATAAGCTCAAAAGAAATGAAACGTGACAACGGGGCTGCTTAATTGACATGATTCTGTTGCGTAACTTTAGTTGATGAACTCAGACACAGAAACTTATTATAGACCAGATTATTTGATGCGCTCGGTGGAAGATGGAGATGACCTCAATTCTTTTTAGCTTGTAGTGGAGGGGGGGGCTGGCATGTGTCAGAAGAATGTTATTCATTTAATCAGTCATTTATTTTACTTTTTTGTCAGATATTTGCATTTTTTGGCATGAGGGGCATCAAATAACATTCTTTGTGATGCCTGTTTCCCAATGCTGTGCATCAGATTGAAGAAAAGCGAACGGTGGAGCTCAGTGGCCATGTTGGCTTTGACAGTCTACCAGACCAGCTGGTTAGCAAATCAGTTGCACAGGGATTCAGCTTCAACATCCTCTGCGTGGGTATGTGGAGCACGTCGTCCGGCCTGTGTATTACTTTCTAGCAGCTGTGCGTCTTGATGTCTTTGTACTTCATTTTCCTTTTGTTCCCCATCCAGGTGAGACAGGGATAGGCAAGTCAACGCTGATGAACACGCTTTTCAATACAACTTTTGAAAACGAGGAGGCCAGCCACTATGAGCAGGACGTAAAGCTACGTCCAGAGACCTATGAGCTGCAAGAGAGCAATGTCAACCTGAAGCTGACCGTTGTGCACACAGTGGGGTTTGGAGATCAGATCAACAAAGAAGAAAGGTGACTTTGTGGGATTCAGAACTATGTAAATTAGATATACAAGAACACAGTAGTCTTTGACTAAACTTATATTCAGTCATTTACATAAGAGAAGCACAAACGATGGAACATAAAAGTAGATAGATAATAGATAGCATCAATAATTCCCCTCATAAAGATCAGTGACAGTTTACACCCCCCCCTCCACTTTTCTAACGGTTAGACTGAGCATGAAAAAGGCGCTTGTGTTGGCATGTGGAGTGGGTTGGAGAATATGAATAAGGGAATGACTGCTGTTAGAATGAATGCACAGTCAGTAGCTGATTGAGAGGTCTAACAGTAGGAACTATGAAGATCTTGCATTCTTGGCTGGGTGCAGAGTTTGTAGCCCCGGCACAAACATGCCACTTAAGCAACAGGAAATAATATCTGTCACACTTGTAAATGTACCCATAAATCACTAGCGCTGTTGGGGTTTTTTTGTGTTTTTTTATGTGTGCAGCTTCAAACCCATCATTGATTACATTGATAAACAGTTCGAGAGCTATCTTGAAGAGGAACTGAAAATAAAAAGGTCCCTGTGGAACTACCACGACAGCAGAATCCACGTCTGCCTGTACTTTATTGCCCCCAATGGACGTTCCCTGAAGTCTCTTGATCTTGTCACAATGAAGAAACTGGACAGCAAGGTGAAAATGGATTTAGGCTCAGTGAACTTCATCAAATCATCCCATGTCCCTTAAATCTGCCACTCACATCCTGTTACTCCACTCAGGTTAACATCATCCCGGTCATTGCAAAGGCAGACTGCATATCAAGACACGACCTGGACAAACTTAAGGTCAAGATTATGAGTGAGCTGGTCAGCAATGGAGTGCAGATATATCAGTTCCCTACAGAGGACGAGGCTGTTGCAGAGATCAACTCTTCCATGAATGTGAGTGCTGGAAACACACCTTTTCCATCCCTTAGGTTTAGTTAATCGCTCTGAATATTATCCTTAATTTTGTGTTCGCTCAACTTAAGTGTGTGTTTTGTAAACACAATCCGTTCCATAAATATTTGGACACAGACAACTATTTTGTAAGATTACATCCACTCAACACAAAATAAAGGCTTTGTTTTCATTTTAAAAGGTTTGAGAAAAGTAATTTAGATCCAAGAAATGACAACAGTTGCATTTTGTCTACACACTTCATAATCTGTGTTGCAGACTCTTCTCCCCTTTGCTGTGGTCGGGAGCTCAGAAGATGTCAAAGTAGGGAATAAGATGGTAAAAGCAAGGCAGTACCCCTGGGGATCAGTGCAGGGTGAATTTGCTGAATCTATATATTGCTTTTAAACACACAGTAAGCATGAAATTGTTGCACAAATGTTGAATGAAGTGCAACATGTGAAGTGACCGGGCTTCTTTGTTTGTTTGTTTTTTAAGTGGAAAATGAAATCCACTGTGATTTTGTCCAATTGAGGGAGATGCTGCTTCGTGTTAACATGGAGGATCTCCGGGAGCAGACGCACACTCATCACTATGAGCTGTACCGTCGCTGTAAGCTGGAGGAGATGGGCTTCAAGGACAAAGGCCCGGACAGCAAGCCGTTCAGGTGAAATTAGGGACAGTCATGATGTGATGCAGCTAGGCAGTCAACTTTATTAAATCCGTTAGAAAACATCCCTTGCTCCCCTGCTTTCATATGAAGTCATACTTGTTGCACAGCAGCTGCTCGTCTGATAAGCCGACGAGGCAGTGGTCATAAGAACTTGATGACAGTTAAAACATCTTTGATTAGAGGAGAACCGAAGGAGCAATTCAGATTCGGAACGCCTCGAAAATCCGAGAAAAAAAATACCCTGATTCAAGGTTTTAGGATTACATGACCTACACCTACATGACAATACACACCAGCAGAGTTTAAAGGAATATGCAAAGGATTTACTGCAACAAAAGTACTAGAAAACAATTTACAAGTACTTCTTCTCACATGAGGCAGTGAACCTTTTTATTTGGTGGGGGTTGGTTGTATTTAAAACTGTCTTCAATGAGCCCCTCAGATTTGCAGAGTCACCTGACGTCCCAGCGTGGGGCTTAGATTACAACTCTCAGGCCTCGCCATCTGCATCTGCACTCGCTTGACTTAATGCTGCATTATTTTTACAAAATGAGCAGACAGAAGTCATGCCATCTCTGTCTATCAATGAGAAAAAGGAACAGGGTTACACAGAGGTTTGTCCTCTTTTTGCGTTTGGTTGACGTGGTAAGATACCTTTCTGTGGACTGAAATGAGGACACAAAGCTTAAAAAAACCTGCTAAGTTTCCAAACTAGAAGTCTGACTTGTCGGGTTATTGGCTTTGCTTTCTTTTTCTTAGAAATGTAATATTCAGAGTTTTTATTTGTTTGTTTTCTGCCTTGCATTAGAACATGACATGATTTCAAATTAGTTTAATAAGTATTTCTATAGTCATTTTCACAGAGATGAAATACTTTTCAGAAATGTATTTCCCGAAGATTTTATGGCTCAAAGCTACATGTAGAAATAAGTTAAATGAAAGCGAAGAAAAGGTTTTTGTACCCTGTATGTTTCGAGTTTAATTGATACTTTGTCAAAGGATGTCAGATTTGTGTGGACCATGCTCACACTGGCCCCACGTTACGGCCCATAAACTACAGAGCTTTTCCCCAAAACGGATAAGACATTAACCATTGTGTTAAGTTGTACTGATGCTGCTTTTTTTATCTTTAGCCTTCAGGAGACGTATGAAACTAAGAGAAAGGAGTTCTACATAGAGCTGCAGCACAACGAAGAATCCATGAGACAGATGTTTGTTAACAAAGTCAAGGAGACGGAAGCAGAGCTGAAAGAAAAAGAAAAAGAGGTGACTGTTGAACACATGTGATAACTTCTCATTGATGAATGTACTGGTGTATTTTCACAATATACCCTGTGTCATCCTCCTCATCCTTTGCTAGCTTCATGAGCGGTTTGAGCAGCTCAAGCGCATGCACCAAGATGAAAAGAAAAATCTGGAAGAGAAAAGAAGAGAACTGGAGGAAGAGATGAATGCCTTCAATAGAAGAAAGGTGGCGGCTGAAACACTGATGGGACAGGCCCTCCAAGGATGCTCACAGCAGCCATTCAAGAAGGACAAGGACAAGAAGAAGTAAGTCCCACTCGCGGTTTGTACAACCATTCATGCCACTATACGGTAACGACACAGACAGGCCACACTCACAATATATAATCCCAAGGTACGGATAACATTTAGGATTGTTTATGTGGCCTTGATTGGACGAGGAGATGATTAACAGGATAGTATTTTGCTCCAAGAGGCCATTCCGGCTCGGAAGCTGATACAGGCCCAGATTTAGAGTGACACTGTGTTCCCGGTCACTTTAGGAGGGGTCACAGCTTGCATGGCACGGTCCGTTGTCTCTGCAGGCTGACCTGCCAGACTGCATCTCAGGCAGGGGCACTTCTGTTTACCCTCAACTCCTTTCACTGATGCTCAGGCCATGTGCAATGTTGATGATACTCAGACACCCCACACAGCGCTCTAATCAGTTTTACAGATGGAAACATTACATGTCAGAAAGTAAACATGAGCATTTAAAAGAAGGATTAGCTTTAAAATAATTCAGTCACAAGAATATTATGATTGTTGAAAAATAAACAACTGTTTAAGATATGAACACACATCTATCTATCTATCTATCTATCTATCTATCTATCTATCTATCTATCTATCTATCCATCTATCTATATGTATACATTTTGTCAATGTATGCTGAAAAATGGTATACCGAAAGACTGATGCATTTCAATTTCATTCACATTATTCTTTTTATTCATTCTTCAGAGTCTTCATGTTTTTATTTTGCCATATTTTTTCTTTTTTTTCCCCATTTAGTTGATTTATGGATCAAAACATCCCAGGGAACCAGGAATGTGTCTGCTGTCAGCACTGGAAAAACAGGCTGCTGTGTCTGATGTTGCTTAATGACACAGTATGTTTTGACTGTCTATATGGGAGCCGGAATATTATCATGGCTACAAGCCATTACAAAAATATGGATAAAAAAAGTGGCTTTGCATTGTGTATATAATTTCTCACTAATGCTGACTGTGCTGGACACATAATAACAAATCCATGAACTGTTTGTATAACATGCGGCTTGTCCTATTTTAAATTCAACCATAGGTATGCATGCTCATCTTTAAATGTACATTTAAGTCTGTGTTTTTCAGTGATACTCTAACAGGACAAATTGGCCAGTGTCTGACTGAACTGTGCATTGTTGTACTTATATATCACAGTGTTATATAAGCACAAATTATTTAGAGATATTTAATATTTTAAATATTTATTTTAGAATTTTTATCTACAATATTCTATGCTAATGTATAAAATTCACAATGAGTAGATTAAGTCCTCAAATCATAGGGAATTAAAAATGAAATCCCTTCATTTATAAAGTTTGTACCTATTTTAGAGAAAAAAAAGACATCAGCCCCGGGCCATCTGTCACTTTTCAGCTCTCCCAGTGCTTTGATCATTTCATCTCATCAGCCAATAAAAAAATAAAAAACAGCTTTTTTGATTGCATCTATCGTCTTTGTGACTTTAACTAACGCAGCTGACACTAGTTTCTTTACAGCGTCAGCAGTGAGTCTATCAAATCACGCCTTTTTATTTAAAGCTTCACTTTAGTTTCTCAGATCACTGGATATGGAGAGCGGGATAAACAACAGAAAGCTTTTAGTTAACATTTGCTCTAACGTTTTTGTGCTCTATGTCTTTTCAGATCCATCCTAATAACTGCAGCTTACTCAGATGAATAATTTGTTTTTTCTTTCTTCCATAGCTTCTTTAGCCTTCCATCTGCGTGTTCCTTAACCTCTGGAAGGCATTTGAATTAGAGGACTTTCTTCCACATCAAACCTAACAGACTAACAAGTGTTTATTTTTTACAATGTTTAATAAAGATTTTATAGGGATTAAACAACCATGGAGTTGAGTAAAAGTCTTCCACGTGAACTAAACTACCCACTAATCTTCTAAGCAGTGCTCTGTAGCATGGTCTCTGCATGAATGTCATTCCTGCAAGTATTAAAACATCTCTTTTGCCAGAACCTGTGTCGGTAGCAAATGTGCTGTTTTTCTGCATTTTCCATGTCATGCCTGTAGTTTTTGACTGATGGTAACTAACACTGTGAAATATATACTAACGTGCTATTGCTGTCAAAGATTGTAAAGATTGTACTCATAGTTAATTATATAATTATTTAGAAGCACTTTAAATCGTTTCTAGTACAATATGCTAATCCTATTTGAAATAAATTGTGCCCTGTCATCATAATGTTTCTGACCTTTAAATTACTTCTAAAAGGTGTAGATAGAAGTATTACATAGTTTAAACAGCAAATAACAATATATTCTGTAAGTCTGGATGTGTGTGAGTATATATATATATATTTATTTATATATATATATGTTCAGGACTGAATTGTATAACGTCATTAAATCTACATGGTGGACCCAGTGAAGATTTGTAAGTGCTAATGTAATAAAATGTGTCTTTACTTGAAATGTGTATTGTTTTCTCCATAAATACAATCTGTTACAGAAATGAGGAAGGTCATTGACTGAAAGCTAGTTGTTGTGGTAAACTGTGACCTCCCCAGACTAGTGCTTTCGGGATTGTTCTAGAAACTTCCCAGTAGTCGTCAGTTCAGTTTAGTATAAAGATAGTACTGTGTACGGTACTGTGCTTGAGCTTCCAAAGTAGTCAATTTATTCTCTTATCCTTTGAGTTGCTGCTATGCTGTAGTTTTTTCTAAATCAAGCATTTTAAGTATCATGTAAGACAATGTATTATTTAATAACATTTTATAGTTTTGGAGGTAGTTTTACATAACTGAAAATCCAAATAACATATAGATATAGGTCTGTCTCGATACCCACAGTATCAGATGTAAAACGTGTTATTTTCTCATTTACAAAAGTTATTTCATTCTATTTATTAAGAAGAGCGAACTGATTCATTGCTCTTTTGTGATTGGTTTGTTAGCCCACCGAGGGTGGAACAGGCTTATGAATGCCAGAAGATATATCCAATGAAAATTTAGAATTAAGCCCGTCATTGCTTTTTGACCAATGGCAGCTCAACATGCTTGGACATGGGCTTTTTATACCTCCTTATTTACCTCCACTGTCCTTTTCCCCATCGCCTTACGCCTAGGGTAGGGGGTGTGCATAGGCAGTAAAAAACCTATGCTTCAAACTTTCTCTTGGGAAAGTTCAAACTTACATTTTTTGTTTTAATTCATCTTTTAATTCGCTTATTAAAAACGCGTGAAGATTTTTTTTCTACATCCCCTCTTTTATAATATTAAACCAACCAAGGTAAGTAAGCTTCTTTAAAAAAATTAAAAAAACAATATCTAAAATGATATTTACATATGGTGAGATCCATAATGGTAAGCGTTATCATGTTTGATGGTCAGATAACATAAATTTGTAGCGCCACCAAACTTCTGAATGAATGTTTAGTTAGCATTAGCAGTTGTAGCTAACACCCTTCACCAAGGAATTGGTTCAGGGCTTTTTGTCTTGTTCTCCTTAGTTTATATAGCTTACATTACAAATGTGCTTCCACTGCAGTGTGTAACAGTTTGAGCCAAAGTTTGTGTCTTTTAAACTGGATTGCCTGTGTGAAGAGTGTTGTCATGAGGCTCAGCTTTAGCCCTCAGTTGTGTAAGGAGGGACATGTCCCGACATGCCCCGAGAAGGCCGGGGCTCCGAGCCGCTGGCTACGAAATGAGAATTATTCTTTAGATTCTGTACATTTTTAAACGGTTCCATGGACTCAGATATAATACAACGTTTAAAATAACCAAAGGAAACTGTGTGTTTTAGTAGTTGATTTGCCCACGTCTTGTCGGGCCCTGTTCAGTAATGTACAGTGACATCTGTTCGGGAGGACTTGTCACTGGGAAACTTGAGAATATGGAAATATCCTGCTGATTTATTACTTTTTCAACCGTCATGATCAGTTTACACGTGTAAACGAAATATAGTTATATCCTAGATTGATAGAACATTTTTTTAAAATGTGAAGTAAACTATTTCCAGTAGGTCCATAATGATTATATTAATGTTTTAATTGACCTCTGAATGCAACATTTCAGTGGAGTGCTTATTTGTAAAGTATATACAGCCATGTCTATGTTTCCAGATGATTATGTACATCCTTAAAGAACTGATACATTATTCAGTGAGTAAAAATGTATTTTGGTTGATGTAGCCATCATCAGATTTATTTCCTGTCCCCTCAGATGATTGACACAGTGACCGGACCTGTAGTCCAGCCCTTTGCTGCTCAGTTGAAGGCCTGGATGGACCAGGAAGCCCGTTACCAACCAAAGCTTAGCGGCTTAAGGCTCATAGAAAGTGCCCAGGACAACGGCCTCAGAATGACCACCAAAATGAGAGAGCTGGAGGTGAAGGACCTGCTTTCTCTCTCCAGGTTCTTTGGTTTCAGCTCTGAGACTTTCTCACTGGCCGTCAGTCTGCTGGATCGATTCCTTTCTGTGATGAAGGTTTGTTGATGCACCAGTGTCATTGTGACTTCCTCATGAAATGTTAAACCACTCATAATGACCCCTCTTTTTTTAAAAATTTCTCCCACAGATTCAGCCAAAACATCTGTCCTGCGTCGGGTTGTGCTGCTTCTATATTGCTGTGAAGTCTTCTGAGGAAGAGAAGAATGTGCCCCTTGCCAGCGACCTGATCCGCATTAGTCAGAATCGCTTCACCGTGTCTGACATGATAAGAATGGAGAGGATCATCATGGAGAAGCTCTACTGGAAGGTGAAGGCCACCACAACCCTCCACTTTCTTCGCTTTTTTCACAGCCATATCCAGGAGCAACTGGACACTGACGGGTAGGAATGATCACAACAAGCAAATCTCTACAAAGTGACTCAAGACTATTCTGTTTGCCCTGATATGGGTTCTTCTATTTAATGGCAAAGTCCTTAAGTTTTCAGAGGAGTGTAAGAAAATAAATTTGACTATGTAATTTTTTTTTTTTTGTACTTTTGCGATGTTCTTATGGGGCCTAAAAATCACCTTGCCCAACTAAAAATGTTCCTTTGTTGTTTTCTGTAGCAGGAAGGTACTGAGCATTGAGAGACTGGAGGCCCAGCTTAAAGCCTGTCACTGCTCATTTGTCTTCTCTAAACTGAAGGTAAGCTTAAGTAACTGCCCTTTAAAAAAAATTAACTGTGGTATGAGAGTGTGTTCTGTACCAGAAATGGAGGAATCTTAATCAGTTAGCATTGCAACTATGAACCTAACCTGCTTGACTTTTAAAAAAATCTTTTAATTATCTGACTCAATTTGAGTGTGAGGTAGCCGGTGTCTCCTTCCTGTATTCCATATTTAATCAGATACCAGGGCACATTCATTTCTGAAAGTTTGCTACCCCAGAATCTTGCTGGCTTGTTTGTAGAGACAAAATAAGCTCCATGACACAGCAAAGCAAGATCAACCACCAGTGGTGACATGAAGCTCCCTGCTGTGTCTCCCTGTCATCTTTTTTAGAGTAGGAAAACAGTTCTTTAGTTACTCGAGTTTCTGGAACATATTTGTCACTTTCCTTTTTTTTTTTTACTGGTTCATCTTGATTTTGAAAAGGCAATTTCTAAATGATACATTTTCTGGACATCTAACATCTACTTGCATTTATGTCTGCAGCCGTCTCTTGTTGCTATATCTCTGCTGTCCTTTGAAGCCCATGATCAACATCACCCAGAACACATCGGCAAAATATCTGAGGCCCTAAAATGTCTGCAGAAACAGCTGAATGTGAGTGCCAATTTGTTAAATATATGCTTTACACAATTAAAAAGGAGTTCTGTTCTGAGTTTTCTTGTCATTTTGGTGCTGTGCAGGTTAAGGATGGAGACTTGGTGAGTGTGAGGGAGCTGGTTGGGAAGTGCCTGGCTGAATATGCCACCACCAAGTGCTCCAGGCCCAACGGCCAGAGACTGCGCTGGATCATCTCAGGAAGGACCGCACGCCAGCTGAAGCACAGCTGCTACAAGTTTGCCCACCTTCCCACCATACCCGAGTCGGGCTTTTAAAACTGGGGCTGACAGATGGGTGACCTTAAATGCTGCGGCGCAGGTTCTGACTGTCCCCAGAATTACATTTGGTTTGATCGGATTTAAATTATTTTCATGTCATACGGTCACCCACCTATGGCTCAACTTATTTTTCTTACAGATCTTCATCACTGATGATGGATTTCTTTAAGAAAAAGCTAGCTTAGTAAGAATTTGTTTCCATCGACTTTAGTAATCATTCATTCATCAAGCACACTGTATATCGGTTCTGTCCCATGACGAGGAGTAATGCTTTGTCGGAAAGGCTTTAAAACTGCCACACTGCTAAGTTTTACTTTCCTGGTTGAGTTGCTTGCACAGGTGTACAGTATGTTATTGAAATCTGTACCAAGGTTTTTGGTATTTCCTGGTACAGGTTGCTGGCTTTAAGCTAACAAGTATAGAACCACCTAGGTCCTCAGTCCACCATGTGGAAGAGGAGGGAGAAGGATTTTGTGAACAACCAAAAAGGAACCAAGAAATCGGGCCCAAGATCCTTAACTCCCACCCTAGGTTGCTAAACTGTCCTGAATGCACACTCCTACCCAAGGTGATGACTTTTTTTTTTCCCCTTTTGAAATGGCGAAGGATCTGTAGTCCCTTCTGACAATCCTGTCACATGAAGCTAACTACACAGTTTGAGCTGAAGTATCAGCAGATACAGATGAATTGTTTTCACTGATTAGTCTGTGGAGACACTGAACTACCACATCTAGTTGATTTCAGTTGATATGCAGAGAACACTTGAAAGTGGCCATTGCAGTGGAAATATGGGTTTATATTTTGCTTGCATTTTCTTTGCCCGTTTCCATGTGTAGTTTGTCTGGTTAGTGACAAAACGAAGTGTTCTCAGAGTAGAAAATGGTCAATGCAATATACCATCCGGTAAAGCTATGTACTTGTACCTTTCAATAAAACTTTATTGAAAAGCCACAGCACTGTGTATTGCCATTAATAAAAGACAGCATATCTCATGGGCTTCTTCCAAGCAGAAAGTACAGTTCTAATCATCTTCCTGTTCGTTAATGCACCTTGTAACTTGCCAAAGCAGGCGTAAAGAGGGAGAGACGATACAGAGCTGCAAAGAGTCTCTTGATAAAAGTCTTATGGCAATTTTTATCGTCAAAACTTGTGGGGGAAAAGTTTTTGAAAACCCACTGCTCTACTGCATTCCACAGGAGACGGTGTGTTCAAGGATTTTACGTTATGGCAACAGTCACTTCTGTAGGCTGGAGAAATCTGGACCCCCACCAGCAAAGTTCCCAGATATCTCTGCACCACTGAAGTCGAATCCAGGGTTCTTAAAAAGAAATGAAAAGTACTGTTAAAGAATGGGTAACTACTGAATATTAATGGTAGTTTTATTACTAAATCCTGAGTACGCTGGGCATTAGAATGGTTTCAGACCACAAAAAGTTAAAGGATCCAGCTCAAGGAATGAACTTAGACATCTAACTTATGCCTACCAAAGATTTATAGGCACAAATTTGCATATCAGAACTAATATTACTCTTGAAGAGTGACCCCAACATGAATAGTAAAACTGAATAAGTGTATCATATCTATATTTACAACCAATAACGTAGTCTCAACTGGCAGTGTGCTTCTGAGGAGGCTCAAACTGACCTCTCGCTGGAACCTCTCCAGGGTGAGCTTCCTCTGCATCTGGTCCTGGACCCAAGCATTCGCACAGTACTCCCCCTCCAACAAAGAGGACCAGCAGTTTCCTGCTTCTCTGTTGGTCTTCATCAAAACAATCCTAATCAGACATTTATCCTCTAAAAGAAAAAAAAAGGGGGACAGGAGGTCATTTCAGTCCGTTTTAAGAATGAAAAGGGTTCTCCACAGTGTCTTACTCACCCAGTGTCCATGTAGCCTCATCAGACACAGTTGTGTCAAACAATCTTCCCTGAATGTACAAAATAAAACGTTCACATAGTTGCATGGAAATGTACAATTTTCACTTTATTTCACTACATTACGAGATGGACCGATGCAAGAAAATATAATTAAAAGCATCAATGTTTACTTTAGAATAGAATAATTCATGACTACACTGATTCTAAATACAGCTGAAGAAAAAGAATTACACATGCATAAAAAGACACATATAGGAGTTCTGATCTCAGGCTGAGGTGACACAGCAAGTTCTCCTCTGCTGCTTTGCTCACATAAGTAGGTTGGTACCAAAGGCCTCATATTTTTTGGCCTCAAAAGCAAACCAAAAAAGCCACCATTCCCTGACACTGCGCTTGAAGGGAAAGGCTCCAACATAAGACTTACCGAGAATATTTCGTTCCCTTTAACATGCAGCTCGATGTCTCTGGTTCCTAAGCGGCACTTGACTTCTTTTGCAGACGTACCATGAGGTACGTTTACTTCAATAAAAACCTCCTCCATGGTCTGGTACCAGGAGCCCCAGGGTGTCTTACAGGGGACGACGCCGCTCTTCTCCTCGAAGTGTACCGACATGCTGCGGTTCCACGCCGGTTGGCTAACCTCAACTAACTGGTTTCAAGCGTATAGATTACGCTGGCATTAAGAAATTAAACTAATGCCAGTATTGACAATGCCAAATTAATTCTGACTATTTTCTAAATGTTTGAGAGTCTAGTAGTAAAACTACGCGTTTTCTCCCATCCCAACTATGTGTTGTCTCCCATCCCTCAACAAACTTCTTCTTTCTTCTCTGTCTGTATTATTTCCGGTTACACGCCTCATTGTCGCAGCAGCGCCACTAAGCGACTGACAGCACGAATTACAACAAAGCAAACTTCTGTTGAGAGTGCAGTAAACAAAAATTTGTCAATGCATTTGGACAGTTTATGTGCTAATATTTCTGCCATAGATTTATATTTTCATTATTCCTTCAAGTAAATAAAAAAAGCCTTAAGAGAAACCCACACAATCTTCTGTTTGTCTAAAAATGGAGTGGATTTGCTAATCTGTTAATTAGATTACTGTTCTTGCCTTGGTGTCTGTATCCTTAAGCAGTCACTGTCAGGCACATAAAAAGGAAACATACTCTTTTTCCTCTTTACATGTCTCACTTTCTATTTATGTATACTTTGCTGAAAAGGTGATATAGATTGCTGCTGGCTGCTGTCAAGGATGGCCGTCACCTTACGTTGTGTTGTTTTTATCATCTGGGTTGGGTGAGTCTTTTCTCTTTACTTGTCAACACATTTAAGTTTACAGCAAGGCTGGGAGCTTTTTTCTCTTCTGTTTTTTTGCAGTCTAGGTAATGTTTGGGGAAATGAAAAGGTTTATTCGGACAACATTACTCGAATCTTGGATAGACTTTTGGATGGTTATGACAATAGACTGCGACCTGGCTCTGGAGGTAATACAACCTACAAATATTTATTACTGCCAAAATTTAGTACTGCTGTTCTCCCTAAAGCTTTGTAGATTTCAGAGTAACCGCAGACATTAGAATTTCTTTTACTGTTGCAGGTAGTGTTACAGAAGTGAAAACAGATATATTTGTCACCAGCTTTGGACCAGTTTCGGATGTTAAAATGGTAAGATATCCTTCCTATAAGATGTCTAAAAACGGGTGAGTGTAAAAGATGACAGTGCTTCAGGGATCAGCCTTATGGGCAGTCTGCCATGAGAATGTATAATGAGCTTTAATCCTTCTGACCGGCCCCATGACTCCATTATTGATGGCCTCTAAATCAATATGACAACATGTCAGATGTTGGGAATGGCTGAATGGATTGATTCATGATTATATGCAACGAGTGGCATTCATCTTTGCCCATTATCTCTCCTCACCACTCACTGGATATTGAAATGTCTTTTGATAATTATGCATGCAAATTTGAGATTGCAGGTTCATAGAAAATCATTTTAGCATCTAATATTATTGTGTATATGCCACAGGAGTACACCATGGACATGTTCTTTCGCCAGATGTGGGTCGATGAGCGTCTCAAATTTGAGGGGCCTATTGAAATCCTGCGTCTGAATAATCGGATGGTGGAGAAAATTTGGACGCCAGACACTTTCTTCAGAAACTCCATGAAGTCTATTTCTCATAACATGACCACGCCCAACAAGCTCTTCCGTATTATGCAGAACGGGACTGTCCTGTACACCATGAGGTGATCTTGAGTGTTGTTCTGTCGACAAGGTCAGTTGAGAGCAGGTTTACAAAAATAGCTTTGTGGGACCCACTGGGGTGTTTCCTCTTGCCTTAGACTGACCATAAGTGCTGAGTGCCCAATGAGGCTTGTGGATTTCCCCATGGATGGTCATGCCTGTCCTCTTAGGTTTGGAAGCTGTGAGTATCGCTGAGTTAAGAAATGCTAAGATTATCATGATGTTTTTGACAACAGTAAGTGAACTTTGTGCTGTTTAAATTTTTCCGTCAATATAATTTTTATTTCCAGATGCATATACCAGCAGTGAAATTGTATTCACTTGGAGGAAGGGGCTAACAGCTTCTGTCGACTGTCCTCAAGAGTCAATGAGTCTTCTGCAGTATGATCTAGTGGGACAAAGTTTGTCCAGCAAGATATTCAAGTCGAACACAGGTAATACGCTCTGACAGCTATTGTATTACTCATCTTATAAGGGTGCACTTATTTAGTCACAGCAGGAGCTTTATGAAAACACACCCTCACAAGTTGATTCATATTTTATTGAAAAATAGTATTTGGAATTCATTTTTTAAACTATCAAGCACAAAAGCAAATACTTCTTTGAACGGCCACTGAAGACGCTAAAGGCGGCGGGCTTTGAGTTGAGTGTGGCTTGCATGCACACACAGTCGGAGGGTCTGAGCCGAGAAGCCGTGTCCTGCTGCGAACCCAGCACATTCCAGGAGCAGAGAGGAGAAGGATGAGGCGGGCTCTGAAACATAACGATGACAGACATCTAAGAAACACGTAGCCTTAGAATTCAGTGTGTCGGCACGCGTGTGTTTAGACTGAGCGGGATGGCATTATGTGCGGTGGCACTGCATGCTGCCCTGCATCCTACACATCACCGGGTGATTCTTTCCTTTCATATGTCTTCCACCTATCTCTGTCCTCCCTTTTTCCCCTGCCATTCTCCCTTCTCTCTTCTTGACTCTCACGTGGCACCTCACTCTTACCAGTTCACCCCACTTCCCATGGCATCAATGTGTCTGTATGTTTTTTTCCAGTTTTTTATTTTATTTTTGCCAGCTCTATTTTAGTTCAAGGGCACACAAGAGGATGCAATCTATGATTACCCTACCCTGTCCCTCGGGGCGGCTTTTCTTCACACGTGCTGTTTATCTTGTAGGTCACTACTCTGTGCAGGTGGTCCATTTCCTTCTCCAGAGGAAGCTCGGCTACTACCTCATACAGACCTATATCCCTCTCATAATGGTTGTTGTACTGTCGCAAGTCTCATTTTGGATCAACAAAGAGTCTGTTCCTGCGCGCACAGTTGCCGGTATGGCCCTCTTCCCAACACCATCAGACTATTTTTCATGTTCCTGTGTGTAATGTTATCAACCACATATATGTAATTGATGGATACTTGGTTTTCCTTCAGGCATCACCACGGTGCTCACCATGACCACCTTGAGCATCAGCGCCCGCCAGTCTTTGCCCAAAGTCGCCTACGCCACAGCCATGGATTGGTTTATTGCTGTGTGCTTTGCCTTTGTTGCATCGGCCCTCATTGAATTTGCAGCGGTGAACTACTTCGCCACCTTGGAGCTCAACCGTCTGAAGAAGCAGAAGGCCAGACAAGACCGGCTGGAGGCGTTGGCCGCCGGCAGTGAGGATGACGACACGATTTCGGTGAGATATTGAATTATTGGTAACAGTCAAGCTTTCCCTGTTATCATCTGTACATCATTGTAGCAGGTGCCCTAACACATCTAACATTTTTTGTAGAAGCAGAATCACGTGAGTCATTCTCATGATTGCCTTTCCAAACTGGTGGTGCTGAGCTTCTTGAGGGCAAAACTCATGTGTAAGGTTTGCTGGTCTTCTCAAAGTGCCAATACTTTAAGTTTGCAAAAGCCAGTGTCCTGAGATATCAGCACCGTTCAACTGTGTGACAACATCAGCCTCAAATAGCACAATACACCCCCATCTTTGACTGAAATGTAGCGGATGAGAATCATTGTGGGTCATATAGTCAGCAGATGGATTGACTTTTTGAAAAATAGGGCATCTTTTCGAGTTTTCAAATGCATTTACATAACTAATAATGATGATGGAGGTAATGAGTCTCTTCATACAGTCATGCCTGTGATGAGTGGAGCCATGACAGCTGTAGAAGAAAGAAACCCTGCAACACATTGGTTTCTTTTTTGTGCATTTCCAAGTAGACGCCCTGCCTCCTTTGCTCCTCGCATTAATAGCACACCACACATTAAATAGTAAAATGGAGCGTAGTGGTGCTCTTGTCTCAAGCTATAGGCTTTATGCTAATACACTAAGCCACCAGAGCATACTCCCGGGATCTGTCTCACGTGTAGAGCTCATGGTTAGATGTTTTAAAAATAGCTTCCATGCCAGAACAGAGAACAATTCCAGCATTGCTCGCTCTAATCTTTCTTAGCCATCCTATACATTCCCCCAAAAAAGATGACCTGCTGCACTCTATAGTTTTCACCACTTCTAAACGTACATGACGCCCACTTTGTGGCATCGTATGTGTGATATATTCATTCTTACATTTCTCTTTTTTCCTTTTTTATCTCACTGCATCTATTTCTGATTTTGCTTCACTTGACTCCCACCAGACGGACAGCAACCCCAGAGAAGGCCTGAAAAGGAGAAACCACTCAGTGAGCTGCAGTGAGCCAGGAGATACTCCACCTATGCAGATTTTCCTCCAGCAGGGTTCAGCCTATCCTCAAGTCCCCCAGCTGGCCGGGACCAGCCGTATTGACAAATACGCCCGTGTTCTCTTCCCCCTAACCTTTGCCCTCTTCAACCTAGTGTACTGGTACATCTACCTGGCCAAAGACACCATGGAGAAGCCTAGGTAAACGTCTCACTCTGAACTATGTTGTACCCATTATATTTTTTGTAACTTCTAATAGCTACATAAGTGAAAGTATCAAAGCCGAAGTAGAAAATGAAGGTTTTCTCTCATATTTTGATTTTAAAACAGACAGTTTTGTACTTTGTAGCAATAACTTTTATAGTCGGCTGAAAAAAACTATTTGTTTGTAGAATTCTGTCCACAAACTTTTATGTTTGGAGCTGTAAAACCTTCAGCTGATCCCAGTTTGTCTATTTTACTTTTAATTTAGGATAATAACGTGAATTTCTTTTCTTTGACTCTTTCCAAGGTCAGTTTTAATCTTCCAAACGTCCTCTGCTCAAATGTAAAAACAACGAGGGCTCTCCCACCTTTATTATCAGTAAAGAGGTGATCAAGAAATCCTGTGCCCTTTTTCTATCTCAGACCATGTGATCATTAAGGGTTGTTTAGATGCTCGTTTGCAAACCTCTGATTCTGCATTTTGTGGCAAGGATGCAAGACTGGGTGACTCTTTAAGCTATTTTTGTAGTTCTGAGTGTAAAGTGAAGAAAGTGCATGGAAATATAGTGTTTTAAACTTCCTGAGGGTCTTTTGAAGTAACATTTCATGGAATCCTATGAGCAGTTCTCTCGAAAGCTTTTAATGTTTCAGAACCAACTTGATATCCATTGGGAATTTGAGCCTGACATTGAAACACACATTTCCCGCTTTGTAGAGCGTCTTATTTCTTGGCATCCCCTTAGATGAGCTCATGGCAGCTTAGTATTTCTAAAGCTTTGAATTGAGCAAAACCATAATTTTCAAACAATTATTGTGAACAAAGAGGACAAATCAAATTAGTTTTATTTAGTGATCTCTTCCTCCAAAGGTGCTGAGAATGAGGAATAAATAAATAAATTCAAATCTCCTCATGTCTGTTTCAAAGCTTCTAAAAAGCAAAACAGACAAACAAGAAAACACTGTATGAACATGTTTATCAGCTTAACTAATGTTTTTCTTTCCTTTTCAGACTGTTTTGCTTTTACAGGCTAAAATTATGAGGAAAAAGAAAGATCAGCATTGCATATTCTTTTTCATTCAAACGTTGATCCTCGCATGTGCTCCTCCTTCTTCTTTGCATGCACCTTTGAAATGTTGTGTGTCAGAGCAGCTAATCTGGAACACCACGTGAACGACACAGCAAACAGGAAAAAAGAATTGATTAAAAAATGGATGAATGGTGTTTTTGTATCTTAAACAGCCACCATCCTGCCTTATATTACAGCTTCGGTGGAAAGCTAAAGACATAAATAATTTCTAGTAGTGAAGGAGCCCCAGGAGTTGTAGGCAAGGAAAAAAGAGAATGATGTTGGGTAGCATTGTTGCTGCGTTCAGATGAGGACTGTGACGTTTATCATCCTCACAGAGTTGCTATACAAAAATGCAACTAGTGGAAATAAGGTAGAAGGAAGGCATCAATCTCTTTCATCTTTCATATAAGGTTTACCTGCGGGCTGGCAAAGCCCCCCTTCTTTTTAATAACAACAGTCTTTTCCATAGGGAATAACACCAATCGAAGCTCACTCTGTATAATAACTGCATGGAGTAGTGAGTGCTCACTTTCCAGCTTATGAGCGAGCCACTTATAGAGCGTACAGCTCTATGTCCAAGAAGGAAAATGAGAGATAGAGTGAGAAAAGACTGAGAGGGGGAGACTTGTTATGTAACACTGAGAAGTGCAAATCTGCTCATCATGCTTCTCATGTTCCTGTCAGAGAATTTTTATGGCTGTTTTGTTTATAATGCTGTGCAGGATGATGAGGGATAACGCGGGGGGGTAGCGGCATCATATCCCCTTTTATAGCCAGTGTTTGTGTTGTTACTTTGAAGGGCTGAGAGGATGAGGAGCACCAGAGCAGCATGGACTGCACTGCAGAGCGAGCAGCTCTGGTGTGGAAGCAGAGATGTTTCTGTGTTCCGCTCACATTTCTTTTTCTTTTGCTTTGCTGTGTTCTGATAGGGACATGGATTTTGAAACCTAAGACGGGTTGGAAGGAGGCACGTGCAGCCTGAGAGACCTTCAGCTTCGATCCAGCCAGTTTCACCTCGCCCTCCCTTCCCTTTGAGGAAGCTCTCAGCCTTCACTGTGCTCCCATCTGACAGAGGAAATAAATCAGAGACTCATTTATACTCTTGCCGCACATCTATTCATTTAACAGGCTGCGACCACTGCCCACTTGTGCTCTGATCAGTGACCGATGAGCTGCCTGTCACGGGGCCTCGTCCACTTATACCCCACCACACACAAGAATAACTTCTCACACTCAGACAGACGCCACACACACCCAGGATGCAGGATGCTCCGACACGCGCTTGTACACACAAGCCCAGGAAACACATCAAAAAGACAGGGATGATCTAATCTATGATGGCTGTAACTGCTGGTGATGCAACAGTGAACCAATGCTTTCAGAAGCCTGCCCTCTACAGAAGCACAGCTCCCACTACAACAAGATCAAAGACAGTTTAGAGGAGGCTTGCATCCCTCCTTGCAGCTTCAAAAATGTTCTCAAACCTGAGAAAATGAATTAAGGGACTATGTTTTCCATCCCATCTCTCTTTGCTGGCGCTCTGGTGCTCCCTTTGCAGTTTCTGATGTTCTGTAAATCCTCCGGGGGAAGATTTGGGTATGATACCGCTGGGAATCATATATAATTGTTGAAAAATAATATTTGCGTATAAAGGATCTATGTAGTTGTTTCCCATTTACTAAAACAACAGCAGAAGAAGATAACTTAATCTGGTGTCTTTAAGCCTATGTGCGCCCCAATGTTTGACCTTGTGAAGATACAGTCAAAACTACCTGACTACCTGCCATGTTACAAACACGCAGAATAAAACCAGTCTAAAATTAATGTCGTGGTTGCTACCCCCCACCCCCTCTCCACTTGCATAAATGTGTGTTTCTTCATTACGCACAATCACTTGTCCCTTTAATAATTTTCCCTGCAATGGGAACTGCTCATCCACCATCATCAGTCTCTACTCTTTGATCTTGGGCAGGCTGCACGCATGCGCCCCTCATTGGCTCCTCTGCACTGTTTGGAGTAAGTTGGATGTGCGTTCTCCTCACTCGCATCCAGAAGCCGCCTCGAAAACTGTTGCGATGGGGAGGACCAGGAAAAACCACTTTGGGATTTTGACTTTTTCCTTACTGGTGACTTTTGTCTGGGCTCAAAGGTAAATCCGTTTGTATTTTCCGTGTCATCCTGCATGCCATCTCGCTTCCCTTAAAGCCTACCTGGAGTGTGATTTTTGCCTCACACCACCGTCTTTCCTCTACAGCGTCAAGGATCTCAAAGATCCGAGTAATATGCCTCTGGTAAAAGAGACGGTGGACAGGCTGATGAAAGGATACGACATTCGGTTGAGGCCAGATTTCGGAGGTAACCAGCAAACTGCAAACGAATTGTCATGTTTTCACGCCCTCCTGACGTGCGATACATGTTTAATGAATCGCAAAATCTGCTTTAATTTACATAATCACCCCTTCACACTCAAATAGGCCTTACCAATTAGGCTAAGAGAGACGATGTGCATATTCCATTTGATGAGAGGCTTTTAACGTGATCGATACCGTTAATCAATGTTTGATTACTCCGCTAAATAAATGAAATTAACATCGTTTAGGCAGATGTGGGCGCCAAATATGAAGATTTCTGCTCATGTAGATGATGCTCACGTCTCCTGTAGGTGCGGGGATCAGAGAGGAACCTGTGCTCGCGTCACGGGTTTGTTAAATTTACATGATAGGAGAATTATTCCCATCCCTCGTACTAATGCCTTCTCCCCTTCACAGGTGCGCCGGTTGCTGTGGGAATGAACATAGACATCGCCAGCATTGACATGGTCTCTGAAGTCAATATGGTAGGTGATTTAAACAATTTTTTTTTTTACAATCATTAGCCCAGCTTAATGGTCCCAATTGTATGTGGCATTGGTAAGTGGGCTTCTTACCGGTGTGCGCCCAGTGTGCGAGACTGCATGTGAGGCATCCTTTGAGCGCCTTTTTTCTTTTTTTTTGTTTGACCATTTTCTCAAACACATCAACGCCATCCCCTCCTCAGTCTCTGCATTTGCAGTGCTGGTGTGTTGCTGCATTTGAATTCAATCCGCACACTCACTGGCGCACTCGGACGCACAGCACCGGCGGCGCGCACAGAGAGCTGTGTGTGTATGTGTGTGTGTGTGTGTGTTAGTGTGAAAACGCGTGTGTGTGTGCGTGTGTCTGTGTACCTGCCTCAAGCATCGGTAGTGTGATTTGGTTGACACATACAGATGCACGCACAGCATCCCAAACCTCCACGCGGATGCCGAGAAAAGATAGATATAAAAAATCCCTATTCTTCTTCAAATGAGCATCACTTTGCCTACTTACTCAGCAACCAATCACACCATCACGGTCTACGTAAATGATCTTCCTCCTACTAGTCAGATGACGTAAGAAATTCGTTCGTAGCCGTGTAAATGAAGGATCGCACAGCATATCTTAAGGAGGAAGACAAAATAACAGGGGGTGCATCAAGATGAACTTAGTGCACGTTCTGGAGAGGGCAGGGGGAAAAGTTCAGTAGCCCATGGAGGAGCCCCAACTATTGATCCATCACAGACAGACCGGCCAACCGCAACCCACACAAAACCAACTGTTACCTTGAGTCACACTCAGTTTCAAGAGTAAAGTGATAGATTTTTATAATTCACTTATGCATATGGTGAAGAAAATGTATTTATTACAAAAAAATATTATTGATTGAGATAAAAGCATGTGAACGTTATATTATTCAAAGGCAGTAAAAGTTTAAGGGTATGATTTCTGCCATTAAACGAGGAATCTCTTTGTTTGAGACTGGTGTGGTGATTTTTAACTGCACCAAATCACGTTTGGCAGATAGAAACAGCAGCTTTACTTTGAGTGGGACATGGTTAGGCTTCTCCTTTGATGGAAATGATTTTTGGTGGGATATGCAGCCAGAATGAAAGTGCTCCAGGGGTCCAGGGAGAGTTGAAATGGATCCCTTTTCCTTTTCTTTCCTTTTTTTCCTTTTCTCTGCCTCCCTCCCTCCCTCCCCCCCTCCCTCCCTTTACTTTGACTGGATCCCTGGCTGTGACTCTGGGCTCAGTAGCCATGTAATCCACCTCTGTCTTGCTCCAAAGGGTTATCTCACTGAAGAACTAAGCATCTATGCGAGCAGTCATCTGGAAAAAAACACTGCTTCATACATCCATGTGTGTCTGCAACAAAACACAAAACTATGCACAAACAGTGAATGGCGGCTGACGTCATGCAGCTCCCTGTGGCTATGAGAGAGCATTCATCGCTCTCATTTCTCTGAAAAGCACTTCCTGCCAGAGCCACGCAGGCGTCACTCTGATGCGACAAATTTAGACATAAAGTAAAAGGAAAAAACAACAAAACGACAAACATCCAGCTCCTTGCGGACCCGTGCTCCACATGTTGTTGTTACCTTGTGAAAAATCCTCCCTGCTCCTTACATAACAGGTTGGAATCTCCCACTGCATGTCCTCCTCTTTTTCTTCATGGCCAGCTCCCTCATGGCGCAATGGAGGATAACAACAGTTGACGAGATTGATCCCAGAGAAATCAATAATATCACAGTGCACCGCGATCACTGGGATGGAGCCGGTGACCTGTGCTCGGCGCAGAACTGCTTTGATCTTCTTCATCAGAAGCAGCTGCTTTTAAGATTAAAGTGCTGAGGGGGAAAACAACCAGAAGAGGCGAGGATTAAACTGGTGAAGGCACTGAAGAGCAGAGAGGTGAAGGTTACTGTGATCGCTTTCCACCGTTGCCTCTACTGTTATCTAGACTTCAGAAGTAAGCCAGAGAGAAGGTTCTTGCAGTGCTTCCTGTTAAGATCTGAAACCTGTATAACTTGAACCCTTTAACATAATTTAGAGCTGTTTTAGTCAGGATCCCTTTATAGTAAGATGTTGGGTAAAACCAGCATATAGTTTCCGTTATTTTAAAATCTTGCATCCACCCATTTTCTACAATGCTTATTCCCAACGGGGTCGTGGGGGAGCTAGAGCCTGTTCCTGAGCCTGACTTTAAAGTCATGATATAAAATTAGGTTAGTTTTCACTTTGAGATTATTTTATTTTTTTGCAAAGAGAAAGCTCTTTGTGCTCAGTCACATTCCGTCTCCATGGTTTTAAAGAGAGGGTCAGCTTGAAGGCCAGTCTTTTGAATTTTTATTGGCCACCACAATTGTTGCAAAAGATGGAATATTTGTGGTAGAAGGCAGAATTTGTTTGCAGTCTGAATATTTGCTACTAGGTGTCCTTTAATGTTGCTAAATAATTAAAGTACATAGTGGTGACATTCTGTTTTCTTTATCAGCTGATTTAAACTCTTCATCAAAATTATGCAATTTCTCATGTGGGGGAAAATCAAAAGCCGTCTGTTAATTTTCTTTTACTACCATCAAATTGAACAGAAGGATTTGAGGTATATTAAATGTTGTTTTGTGTAGATTTGTTCGATAATCAGTATTTATGAAAACTTTGTGATTTACTCATGTAAAGTAATCTGTAGTTCTGAAATTTGTTTTGCAATGAAATGTAACTGAGGTAGCGGATTTGATAACATTAAATGTCAGCAGAAGTCTGCGAGGACAAAACTATCGAGATACATGAATGGGTAGAACCCTCAGGGAAAAGATAAGATATCTGATACAGAGGGGATTTCTTGTTTTAGTTTGGTGTGGTTTTATCAGCCTATCAGTGTGAATCACAAAAATAGTTTCGCTTTAATTTATTTACTATTTACAAATGTGTGTGCACAGAACAAAAAGTATTAACCATAAAGTCAGCAGTCCCTCAACTGGTTGTCTTCTGGCTTAATCAGAGGCCAATAAATGTTAGCTGTTGTCCTTAGAGGTGTAAAGATTTGGTTATCAGATATTGGTAATGTCTGCTCAAGTCTTATCATTTTTCAACTCCAAAAACAAGAAGAATTGCTCTTGTTTTAATAGAAAACCAGGAACTGAAAAAAATATGTTAATATTCAGACACTTGTAAGCAGTAGTTTAGTCGGCATTTGTCAAGATGTTTGGCTTTTATACACATAGTAACAGGGCAATAGATAGACATGTTCCTTCTTTAAGTACTGTTAGTTTTAGCAAAGAAAGATCTATTTTAAAAAAGCATGCGCAGTACTTTCCTATATTGAACAATGGTTTGGATTTTTTTCCTGATTGGAATGGTTTTTAATGCATCAGGTTCTATCATATGTACCTGATTTCGAATGAAAACAGTGTAACAACCTGAAGGAAAATGGTGGACTCTGCCGGATGAAGTGGAAAAAATATGACTGGATTTGAAAAGCAGTGTGTGTGTGTGTGGGTGTGTGTGTAGATCAAGCATTATGGTGGTGAGCAGAGCTGTATTGTAGACAGCTGCTCGCCTCTCTAATTAAAGACAAAAGCGCCTCTGGTGAAGAATGAACTCCATGTTTCAGCTGAAGCTGAGTGAAGCCATTGTGGCATTTTTGTTCTGTGTTAACATGAAGGGCATCCGGATGGTCCAAGATGTGTGTTCCCCTCCCTCTCTGTGTAATGACCACATAGCAGGCATTTTCTTTTGTAAATTCTGGTGTGATCCACAGCGCTGGCCCACTGAGGCTCAAAGGTCAGCCATGTTGTCGGGCAATAAAAATGTGCAGGTCAGTCAGCATCGTGGCCGCAGCCTCGCCTTCATGACATTACAAATGTGCTATTCTGAGAGGGAAGTGTCCTCCGAGTCCGAGGTGTGACCACACATCCTCGCTGGGTGGGCTATGCTGACTCACTGGGGTTAGTGCAAAACACATCACAGATATGATATCATGGCGGAGACTCTAGTTTTGCTGTTTATCTCTGTCTGTTGGTCCGGCTCGGTTTTGGCATCTCCCTCCATCACTCATCTCCTTCACTCAGCAGCTAAAGTTGCATTTGCATAATGCTGTTTGTTTTTGCTGAAATCACAAATCCAGGAACCAGACTCCAGTTACGGTGCATTAAAAAGTGTTCTGCACACAGCCGCTGCAGCTGATTAAATACAAGTCGAGTCTGTTGTCTCAGCGATGCATCAGCGGCTGCATAATAATGCCTTCTGCATGTAATCCACATGTCAAGTATAGCTGCAAAATGCACTGCGAGGCAGGAATAAGGAGGGAGCTAAATGAGTATTTTCGTTCCTCATCTTTTCTGCCTCCCGCTCGTTAATTACATGTAAAATACCTGAGGTTGGTGGTTGTTAAGAAGCACTGCCTGTACTATAATACCGTTCTCTGAATGTTAATTAGCTGACTGTGAATTATAAGATTTAAGCAAACCAGCTGTGGTGGCTTCTGGGATGGAGGAATTAGTGGGGCGTGAGTGTTTCTTTTATTAAGATCATTATCCTGACAAGCACTGGTATCTCTCTGTGAGTAAAGGGATATGGCCGTCAGATAACGGCAGGCTATGGCCGGAGGGATGGAGAGGCAGGCCTCAACAGTTCGGCACATCGGTGTGGAGGATGCAGCTCCTGTGAATTAGCAACCATTTTGATCTTGTTTGTCCAAACTGATCCTGTTCCATTTTATTTTCAGCTTGTGGAAAATAAGCTTGTGTTATTTTTACTCAGTGTTGCCATGACAACACAGCCTTTTTGTTAGGGGGGGCGATCTGGAGAAGTCAAGGCAAAAGCAAATAATGCATCTTTTTATGGATTTTTTCTTCTCAAGATTTTAAATGCTGGTAATTCAGTTGAACTTTGATCCATTTTTGGAGATTGAGTTTTTACAATTACTATTTCGAAGATGGAGATACATGCAAATGATTTTGTCCATCTATCATTTTGAATACACATCATTACTACTGCTTTCAGACACATCAACAGAAGGATTGAATCTTAACATTTCAGAAGTTGCACTGCACTGATTTTAATAAGAATTATCGATAAAAAAAACTACAAAGATTAATGTTTTTTGTAGATGTATTCAGACATTTTTGTACTCTATTACTTCCACTGTTGCTTTGGCTCCTCACTACTGTTCGCTCTGCTGAGCTTTCTGAAAAGCTTAAGCAAAGAGCGCAGGTTGTCCATTAGTTAGGCTGACAGGATGCACAGAGAAACAGATGAATATGTTCAACAGTATAAATACAACATAGTTAATCATTTCTTACATGCATGCTGGGATCTCTGCATAATGTTTATTTTTTTGATGGATACTTTGTTAAACTAAAAGTGATTCTTAGAAAACACAACTATACCCAAAGTTAAAATGTGGATTTTAACTTATCTGGATTTTGATACATTAAGTTTTTCAATGAAAGTGGTCTGATTTGTGGTATGAGGATACATCCCTTTCCAGACCTAAATTAGTTTAACAGAATATATCACTTTTTAAATAAAATATTTATAAATTATTATGAATAAGCATTCCTAGCATAACACTGAAATAATACAGTCATACAAAGATGAAAAAGGTCATACCTGTTGAAAACCAACTGACCCAGTCATGCTGTAAGGCCCCTTGCCCATTGAAACTAAGCAGCTTATAAAAGACCCTTTGGAAAGAACATGGGATTGGGGTTTTCACACCCCGCCTACGACCCCTAATCTTAAACACGAAACCCAGATTGAAGAAGAAACACAGAGCACACAAAAACAAATATATGAACTCAGGGTCACTACTTGTTTACTAGAAAAAGCTCATGGGGCACATCAACACACAAGAGGCTGAGGTGTACCCTTATAGCACAGCAGACACGGAGCTAATTTAACAATCAAACCTGCATATCAGATCTGTTACCAATTTTTCACAGATTCTTTTATAATTCTGGTTTGTAATTTTTGTTTAAACCTGTTCACAAACAGACACACAAACTACAGTCAAACATAATTAACAGATATAAAAGTAACTTTATCAAATTGAACAGTGTTGGGACACCTCACAGATGTCAAATCACTAAAGAAAGAAAACAAATTGAAAATAACATCTATAGGCTTCCAAATCTGTTCTTTTTTATTCTGTTTAACAGTTGAGATTTTGCTCGTGAGTTGCTATCAATACGCTTTTAGTATTTTAATTGGAAATGGAAAACACAACATGGATTTATAGTACAAGTTTTGCAGATCTGAATTTACACATCGATCAATACATCCAGTGAGGCTTGTCCATGTGCAGCTTCCTCATATGTCATTTGTGACAGCTCATGTAGTTTAGTAGTGGACTTTTAACGACTCTGGAGTGGCAGAGAGCACAGAAAAACACAAATGCACTCGCTGACACTCCGTCAGGTTCTTAATGGGAGTTTCGTCAGGGAGAGACTGTCACTGAGGGCCCAGAAGTGATGGTTTTTCACATTAGCAGGGACTTACTTGTGTTTTCATTTATACATTGGATGTAGACATGCCATTTCTTATAAAAATGTTAACACCTTCCATTAGATGTATCCTCGCTGATGCTCGTTGGGCATCCGTGTGATGTTAATGGAGTTTGCGAGAGGCACTTGTGACAAGGAGACTGAAGGTCGCCGTGGAGACCGACGCTCCTACACAGCATGGTCTGATTAGCTTTTATCTACAGCTATAATCTTTTTTTGGATGCAACAAAGTCTGAGGATGGACTTACTTTCAGTGCATGACAGATAAATCAGGGTTGATTTTCTCCTCTACTTACCCGATCCTGGCTTTTACAGGGACTTAATGCAGCTGATTAGACATTCTTGTTCTCGTATTTAGTATCAGTCCAGGGGAAAATTTAATTATGTATGCTTTCTGTGCACAAAACCTAACAAGGTTATTCTGCCTGCTTTTCGTGACAGCATACATCAACCAACACCTTTCCCATTACTACAGAAGAGGTATTCCATGGCTGTGGAGTTGTCTTTTTTGCAGATTTGACTTTCTGATTACAGCTGCTCCGATAGTGCTGACTGAAAGGGGAGGAAGCTGCGTTTTGTGTCCCCTTCCAAGCTCAAGTGATGTCCAATAGGAATGAAGCAGCACCATCTGTGAGACTGTAATTACGCTAGCTTTTTACTGTGCAGCCAGGAGGCAGCATGTGGGCCCAGGTGTTCCCTGCACATAGCTGTACGATTAAAGCTTCAAACCTACACAAAGAGGCAACGCACACATGCAGCCTCGTCCCAGAAATGACGGCAGACGTCCAGGGTCAAAGCTCAGTAAACCTAGCCAGTCACACTTCAGGATGATTTGTGCTCAGCAGGGTTTGAAAAAAAAAAATTACAGATAAAATTGATGAAAGCTGGGCTTAAAGTGACTGCTTCACTTTTGGTGTCCTGGCTCGCTGTCAGGCTGTCACACCTTCCTGGGGACCCTTGAGTAAGCTTGTGTAATGTTATTAATAACACCTGTGCTTCTCCTCCCGCTGTGAATCATTCGAGTAGTACCACCGAACCAAGTAATCAACTTAAAGAAAATTAATCACCGAACTGTTTGATGATTATTCAGTTACGTGAGCCACATATTAAGCAGGAATGGGACAAATTGCTATTTTTGCTGGCCAAAGTTTGGAAGTGCTTCCCTCTTATATCATTCTAAAAGTTCAATTTTAAAGCTCTGAATGAGTTGTAAGTCATACAAAGCCTTTTTCATGTATGCTGTGTGTGCGTGTGTGTTTCAAAGGGGTGACTTACAGCGGTGACAAAAAGACGAAGACAAAAAAGCTATGGAGCAAGTTATTATCAACATTGTAACTAAATTTTAAAAATCCCATTAAGAACCTTGGTCATGTCGACAATCCATCTCAGAGCAATGACATAATCAATAAAGCCAGTTGAGATAAGTTAATACAAAATTGATATTGTATATCACTGTCCGCCGGTGTAAACTGTGGAAAAGTAGGCAGGAGTTTAAGATATAGTGAGGCGAGGTACAATTTCTTAATCTGGAACAAACCACAGTCTTGGACTCCCACAAATGAAGAGAGATGGTCGATTCGTGTTCCATTTGGTTTAATGCAACCCCTAATGTTTTTCAAATAGTGCATGCTGATATGTGATACCTATTGTTCTCGGAAGCTAAACACATTAACAGTACATTTACAGAGCTCACACACCTGCTTCTAAATTATGGGGGCTGTAAATTTCTCATCATGATGATAATATTCTAACTGTTGATAGGTAGCTTAAATGACTTACCTTAAAGCTGCCGAGGTGTTGGTCCTTAAAAAACAATTTTCTTGGTATGGTCGCTCTAACCACTCATAAGTAAAGCTATAAAGGTTTATTTGGCTTGGTTTGAAAATCAGCTGTACCACGTTAATAGGTTGTATTAAGCGTCAAAACAGAAAAACGGCTGCCACATAACCTGTGTAAATATTTGCTGTCCTTTTACAATTTTGTCAAGGAATGCAAAACATGGTGCTAGAAACGTGAGTGTACCACAGGAGATGCTGCCTCAGTGCACGATGTACACCAGGTCTGCAGGCAGCAGCTAACGATCCCAAAGGTGATAGAGATATCCGATCGACAGGCCGATAATGAGACAGAGGGGGAACAAGTGCAAGGAGAGGACTTATTTGGAACTCTTGTAAAAAAAACAAAAAAAACAACTGGATATATCTGTCCCTGCTTGACTTTTCATTCCTGAAAAAGTCAACATGGCAGCTGCACGTGTATTTTTAGATGCACTTTTTTCACAATGTTTTTGTCATGCACACTGCATGCAAAGAATTGTTCGACTTTAGGAGTGAAATTGGCAGTTTCACACAAGTGCTGGTATAAAGACTCAAAGGCTTTGTTTCTTGAGCTGTACATTTATGTATGCAAGTATGTATGTTTGTCTGTATATGCACAATTTCTTTTCCCACACAGTGGTTACACTGCAACACACTGTAGCAAAGCAGATCCAACTGCAGTGCTGTGTTTTACCATGGCTGTGTGGGCGTAAGCCTTTTTTTAAGACGGAGAAGCAGTGAAAAGAGACAGAGAAAGAGAGGAGGAGGTACAGTTCGCTGCCACATCTCTGAGCATGTGTAAAAACAAACTGTACAAAATGAATACTGTGGCTTCTTTACCCCCAGGTTAAATGGGGGGAAGTTTCCTGAATCTGTGTAGCTTGGGTTGTTTATTATGCAAAACCAGAGAGCAAAGGGAGGAAACCCCAGCTGCACTTAGCAGCTCGCATTAAGGGGACAATCTGTTAACTAGAAAGTCCCTTCATTTGTCTGAGTGGAAGAACATTTTTTGAAACATTTAAAAAATAGTCAGCCAGCCCAGCTAAGAAAGTTTCCCTCTGTTTTACCTCTGTTTATGGACTCAAATATGAATCCCCTAACCCCCTGCTACCATGGCCTATGGTACAGGCAGCAACCTTTCAGCTCACCATAAACCTTTTGGTTGACCCTCTAACCATTCAGAATCACTGTAAAATAATCCACTAAGCTGTTACAGCTGTCATGCTGGGTACGTGTTGGTCAAATGGATGTCAAATCAACATCAACAAAGATTTCTTGACATTGGAATTAATGTAGAATTGTTTTTAGTGTATGTTTGGCTTCAAAATACAGCACTAACTTCCTTTGAATCCTCCCCCAGGACTACACCTTGACCATGTACTTCCAACAAGCATGGCGAGACAAGCGTCTCTCCTACTCTGAGATCGCATACAACCTGACTCTGGATAACCGAGTGGCCGACCAGCTGTGGGTGCCCGACACCTACTTCCTCAACGACAAGAAGTCCTTCGTTCACGGCGTCACCGTCAAGAACAGGATGATCCGTCTCCACCCCGATGGCACCGTTCTTTATGGACTCCGGTGAGCCTTTTTATACCTACCCTTCCCGTCACTGTTAGAACTGATCAAAATGTGGAATGTCATTGTGTCAGGCACAGCAGGGACAGATTTTATTATGTCTAGTTTTAAACTGATTCTCTTATGGCTCTTTTTTTCTTCTTTTTTTGTGGTAAATTACTAAGATCATGAAGCAAAACATGTGTTTTTTCATAATAAAATGACTGTGAATGGCAAGAATATTGCCCACAGTTAATGATATGACTTCTGAATCCAACCTTGACCTACTCCATTTGCGATATTAAAGCTGTGTGAGCAACTATCTCCCAAGTGCACAAGGAATTAGTATGGGGCCGCCCACAGGATTGCATTCTGAATTGATTAACAAGATTGAAAAGGAAATAAACCAAGGCTGGCAGGTTTGTTGTGTCACACCTTTTATCAGTAGGGTAGTGTTTAGATCAGAAAGACATTGAGAGAAGGCACTAAATGATATGGAGTAATATTGTAGCATGTGTTTTCTCCCTTAAAATTAAATGGATTATTGTGGCAAGGCCATTTGAGGAGTATGGTAGGTGAGAGATCTTGGTGTATTGAGATTTAGTCAAAATGACCAAATGGGATCCCCTTTATTGAAAGTTTATCTTCCTGTGAGCATCAGTTAGTATCTGTTCACAAACAGCAGACTTACTGAAGACTTTCTCTGTTGAAATAGCTGTTGAAGGCCTATAAAGTGGAAGATAATGTAACTTTTGAAGAAAATTATCTTCTTTAAGAAAACTTTGGCTGGTAAGGGTGTCAGAGAGACTTGGCCACTAAAGGTGACTGGGCATCTGACTCAGTAGCAGCCTTTCAGTTAATCTGACTGCTTTCTTTATCCAGGTAACGTCACTGATGGGATGAAAATAAGGCTTAAGCTGCCATGAAACAGAGCTATGCTGAAACAGGAGCAGCATGCCTTTGAATTGTAGCCTTTTATGTCTTCTGATGATCATCAATATCAATATTTGAGGAGTTCCAATCAATAATGAAGCAGGGTGGTGCAAAACAGAGTCTGATTGTGTACAGTGGTTCAGCCCATCTACAAGACGTAGTCTTTGTGGTGCTGGACTGGGATGCCTCTGAGGAGGCTGCCATCCATTATTGATAACTCATAATCAATAATGTAGCAGTTCAATACAAACAGTGAATGTGTATTTTCTACCGATGCTGCACATTTGCCAGCACAGCCCAACACACGCTGTCCATCACTGCGCCGCTGCCTCCTCTGATCTGTCGCCGGCTTTTTGTGTGCATGCGTGTGTGCGAGATTAGCGTGTGCTTGTGTAAAAGCTGAGGTTATTGTTGCTAATTCAAGATGTTTCAGTGTTCATCCATTCTCTCTCTAGACTCAGATGCCCTTCTTGCGCAAAGACTGCTTAAAAAATTTAAGTATCTGCACTGCAGCACATTATTCATTGCTGCATTTGTTTCAACAGCAGAGAAATGTCATTTAAAACACTCTCAGTCAATTACATAACGTGAACACATACTTTTGCATAACGGGCAAAAAGGGACACGGGCGTAGAGAGTTGGCTCTCTGCGCCTGTTGTAGAGTGTTGTAAAATTTGGGGGCATGCGTGCAGCTCAGAGACCTGTTCGTTACCTCAGATTTGTTGTCCTTGTCTGCGCCGTCGCCTTCCGGCGCCTCGTTTCTTTTTTTCTGGTTTCCGGGGGTTTGGCGCGGGTTTTATTTGACGCTAGCGAGACCAGACACAAGCTGCTGTCAGAGTCAACGTGGCCAGATGCCGGCACGCTCTGAGCACGCAGACGTGTACCTGTGGAGACGGGCCGGCTGGCTGCAACAGCAGGGCCTTTGTGGCTGTGGAGGAGACGGCTAACTGAGGAGAGGCTCACTGACTTCAGGAAAGAGACATGTGAGCGATTCTTCTGCCAAAGTATCTGCTGGATATGAATCCACTCAGGCAAGTGTCATCTGTGGAAATAAAAGCCCTGCAAAGGAAGCGTTTAGGCTGAAGAGTTGATGAGGTGCAGTTGAAGGTGCTGACCGACTTGAGGTTTTTTCTGTAAACTGTACGTCATCTTAAATACAATACTGTAGTTTCTGCAATATTGAATCGTGAGCAGGTTTCCAAGCATGGGTTGTTTTTACACGCAATGTTCAGAGGGGTCCTTCGATTATGGAGTCGAACAGTTCCACCTCATCCTCCTCTGCAACTGTGATCGTTCTTTTTGTTGTTTAGTTTGTGTGTTTTGGGTTTTTCTAAACTTTATGAGAGTGCAGTATTAAATCGAGAAAATAGTTTTGTCATTGTCAGGGAGATGAAGTGCTTTGTGGCGCATTTGGCTTTGAGCTAGAATTTCATACAATGAAAAATCCAATAAATCCAGTAAATAAAAAAAAATGCTGATAAAGCTTCTCATCTCATTCACTCCAGTTTCACAAAGTATATAAATACGTTGTGATTAACTAAACCCAACTCATCAAATTTTCTCCTATACTGGTTTGATATTATTTTTCTATCTTTAAGAGGCGGCCTTCTCTGAGCTTCTTTCCTGTATATGAAATGTTACACAGATCTCCTTTAGAATAAAATCTAATGAATATAAAAATCCCTGCAAAATATACGCCAAAGGAAAGTACATTACCTGTCTCAGAAATGAATGTGGATTTGTGCCAAACTAACTGTAATATCATACCTGGGGAACACTAGTAGATTAGATTCTGGTTAGTCTGGAGGAGGCACTGGAAATTGGATCTGTGCATGTGTGTATGTCTGTGTGTGAGCTATCTACGCATGTGTACGGGTGGGTGTTTGTGAGTGGGTGAGTGTTATTTTTGGGGTGCGTGCGGAGGAGGAAGGGTGAGAGTGCTGTTTACTCCTTATTCTCTGGGTATATAGTGCATCCCAATCCTGCCAAATCCTGGTCTTCAATTACCAGGAGGAGCAGAAAATTACAACAGTGCTCCCAACTGTCACTTTAGAACTCAGTTTGACTCTGAGGGAGAGGCAATCTGATCTAATTACCCATCCCCCGAAAAGACTCAGCCAATAGCACACAGAGAGAGATATGCCCATTAATGTGCTCATAATGGGAAAACACAAACTCCTTTTAGCTTTTCACTTCATGCAAGAAGGAGAATAAAAACCAAAGACATTTGGGGTGTGATTCCTGATTACTTTTGTGGCAAATTCACAGACAGAAAGGGACTCTGAGGGAGAAAGACACTGTAGAGAAAGACAGAGACCTGAAGGTCAGACTTCATTCAAAATGGAGAAATTATTCGGATTCTCCCTACTCCGCCTGTCATTCCTCTCCCACTGAATATTGTAGCTCCTATTGTGAGAGGACACATCCTTGTGCCGTGGAGACTGATGTTGTCTTTTGTCAGGCATAGAGTGTTCCACTCTGCAGCTCAATAGATCATATCCCATGACCTGGAGGAGAGAGCTGCCCTCTTTTCTGTCCACACTGTCAATAGGATCACCTTCAGAGCTATCCATCTCTCCCTTAAGTTCCCAGTCAAGAAATATGGTTTGCATGTTGTGTAGCTTTGTCTCTTCTGTTGTTTTTTTTTGCAGACATGTTATTTCCAAATCTGGCAACAATGCCTGACCAGAGTGAGATGGTCCAGTGTTCAGTTCTTCAGCTCAGCATTAGCTTGCTATCCAAAATGGATTTTTTTTCTCCCAATCTGATTTAACTCCTAAAAGCATCATATTACTTCACGGCCCTAGCTGTGTGATAAAAGGTCAGTCTAGTTAAATCTGCATAGATTTTGCAACCTGCAAAATCCCCCTTTGCTTTCTCTCGGCTGTGATGCTCCCTCGAAATGAGATTCTGTCTGGGAATTTGCGGTGGTTGTGTTGTGTCCGTAAACAAGGTCATTTAGAATAAAGGTGCACAAGCTGCCTTAGGGGGGTCCACACACACACACACACAGGCACACAGAGCCTGGGCTGAACCACGAGAGGACATGCAGAAAAAAGAAAAACAGTCTTTTTTTGGACTCCATGTCCATGTCCGACGCAGAGCAAATGTAGCGTGTTTGAATTGCATGATCCGCGAGCGCCCAGCCTCTCTGCCGGCAGGTTGGGATGAGAGGGAGAGACACCAGCCCTGATGTTGACGAAGAGCAAACAAGCCTGTGCTTCATGATCACTGCAGACGTTCGCTGCAGTAGAAGATGACGAAGCGGAGGAGAAGCAAAAACGGGGAGGGAATCCTGCAGAGAAACCCTCATCTGCTTCTCCTCCTCGCTCACTATTAGCATCTTATTAATTACTAACATATGTTTCGGACATGCCGGGGAATGCAGAAGAAGCCCCAGATAAAAAAAGCTTTGAGACCTTTGCCGATGATATTGGAGGCCTATAAATAGGATGTTATTTTTACCCCTGTCATTTTGGCCTCATTCACGCTTCTCCCCTGTGTGTTTTCTGTGCCACCATGATGATTTAGTGGTGGTGCTGATGGTGAGTGATGGGTTCCTGTCTGGCGAGCACAACATTCTACCAACTTGCGTCCATAAAAGGGGTAAACTAGGACAGAAATAAGACTCCTGTGTTAATCCCCCAGCACACCATGGCCCTGCTAACTGGCTCTTACATAAGAGCCCAGAGAGCAAGCAAAAGCGGGAATGACAGAGAGCCTGAGAGTATGAGCGAAAGACTTGTCTCGAAAAATAAAATCCCAAACTTCCCAGGCATGGCCCAGTGGAGCTGTGCGTCTTATGTGGAGAGATTTCAAATGAACTTTTTCTCTTAATTATTCAAGACAAAGCACTCTCTAAGTAATGCAGTCCCAGTTAAGGAAACAGTCACAAATTTACCACAAAAAAACAATAACAAACTTTTTAATTTATGTTCATGGAAGCTATGTTCATCAAGACTAAAGAATGTCAAATTTAACCAATTTATTCATCTAAAAAGTTACACCTGAAAGTAACGCCATAACTGTAATATGTAACAGATATGTCGAGATGCCTAACTATATTATTTTCTTTAAAGGAAATGGCCTGTTGGAGGGCCCTCACAACATTAGAAGTTTCTACTATAAAAAAAAAGAAAAGAAAAAAAAAGAAAAAGAAGTTTCTACTATATTATGGTGGTTATTTACATTAATATTGCCAAATGGGCAAAAAAAGTCATATTATGCTGCCTGTCAGTCAATGTCCTCTTTAAATTTTTGCCCTTTAGTTTGGCAAAATAATTATGCCTTGAATGTAATTGTAGAGAGGGATGGAATGCTGTAAACCAACTATGAATAAAAGGAATTCAAACTCAGTTCATTCTAAATGTAGACCGGAAGCCAAATAATAAACAGACATAAAACATTTAATAACTTCACTCAGTTTTCTACAATTCTAAATATAGTATGTCCTCGCCTACTATATAAGCCACTAATTTTATTCCAACATGCACAGTCCATGTCTGTTTTTTTAATGTTCCAAATTAAATGTAATTGACCTGAACCATATGTTCCATATGTGTCTTTGAGATTATCTGACACACAAGACAGGAAATAACCAAAACTTGTGTCCAGTTGTAATTTGTAATCTCTATTTTAGCAGCTACAGACCCCAAATGGTGGACGGCTTTATTTATTTTCATAAATGTATTTGTATGTATTTGAAAAAGAAAACATAACTAAATGATAATGACACGTTTGTGTCACTTGAATTAAAAAATAATGCCTTCATTTTTTGTATCTTAATTTTTTATAGAGCCCTTGGTATGGTGACGTTTTTATTGGTTGGTCCAATTCTGGCAACTCATGCAGAATTAAAGTGATAAACTGGTAGAGTGACAGAAACCATCTTTGACAGGGGAAAACCTGCGGTTACGACCTAAACCTTAACCTATACTTGGAATTGTCCCACAGGCTGCTATTTTCCTAATGGATGTGTGATGCTATCGTGTTTTATATCCATCTGTGTGTTTGACGGTGTGTGCTGGTTTGACTAACAAGTCTTGTTAAGATAGATTCAGTCTCTGTAGTTAAAGTGTGTGTCCGATCTCTCAGACAGCCTCGGGGGCTTGGCATGGCTGGATGCCAACCCATCTCAGCCCAGGCCAACTTGTCATGTGTAACAGGAAGTGTGTTGCTCTAAGCAACCCTGTGGGACGCGGCAGTTCCTTATTACGGGATTGTGTGACCAGAGGTTGAAGCTTGCTTTCAATTCATCTTCTTTTTTAATAAAACAAACTCAGTTCAGAGTTGGAGTTCCACCATATAGTTCTATACACGGGATAGGCATCTAAGGAGTCAATTTAGTTCATCTTTCAGTAAACCAAACAAGGCAGACACCATTTGAAAAATTCTCTCGACTGTGTCTTCTCAAATATTTGGGATGCTCATGTTTGTTTTTTGCTTTTGGTTGACAATCTAGTCAATATCACACTGTAAAAATGGAAAGATTTTTAGTAGACATTTGATTTTGTATACTATACTCTTCCAGTCGTCTTTTAATGGCCTGCTCAAGAATAGAATACATGAGACAAAGCACCAAACATCCTCATCAGCAGACAATGTTTTTCTTTTCTTTTTTGTACCGATGAACAAGATGCTTAGTAGATTATTAGATACATTCTAACTTTAATCCAAATATAGCTGTGAATTATTCGTCAAATTGAAAGCAACAACAAAACATTCATGCAAACATCAAAACTAACTCAAGTGGAAAAAATAGCTGAAAGGGTAAAAAAGCATGAAAGTTGTAATGAACCGGGCTTCAGGCAAGGGCACTAGGATATGTTGTTCACCTTATATTATATATAGTTTATGTTATTAAATGTAAGGATCATTTTAAGGATGCTTTTTGCAGTCACTGTGTATAGGATCAATTTGGGAACCATTAGTTCTGATGTTGTTTATCGTTGTTTTTTTTATAAGAATTACATCCTACACTTTACCTTGAAAGACAAACAATAATTAATAAAACTTTCCTACAGCTCTAAACTCTATTTCATATTTCAAAGCGCACTTGAAACCCTCAAGATACGCCTACTGCTTCTTTATCCTGCACATTCACAACTTAAATGATTATGTTTAATGACTTAAATGAAAGGACGTTCATAACATTTGTTGCTTACTGAGTATAAAGAGGTTGGCTAGCAAGTTGTCATTTGAAATCACATTTGTTGTTTGATTCTAGCTGGTAACTCTTGTTGTTTTCACTCTAACCTTACTGGGAAGTTGCTAAAATCAAGAAGATTTTTTTCTAATAAAAAGAAAAAAAATACATTTGACTCTTTGTGATGACATTCTACATGTGGTCCTTTAGTTTAGGGCGCTTTCATGTCAGGTTCCTCCAGGTTTGTCATCTTCCTGCTGCAATCTGTACATCATACTGTGTAGTCAAGGTCACCCAGAACCAGCCCAGCGGATCATGGCTGCCTCCAGCAGCTCTGTGATGAATCTCCTACTTCTCACCCCTCTGTGCATAGGATCACCACAACTGCCGCCTGTATGATGGACCTGCGCCGCTACCCTCTGGATGAGCAAAACTGCACCCTGGAGATCGAAAGCTGTAAGTACTGTTGTCCCTGACAACCAGCTCTCACACCCACATGCAGATGTAGAATTAAGCAAATCCCACATAGAAATGCAGCTCTGCCTTCCCAGTGGCACCAAGGTAGAACGAAGCCCGATAAGATTGGATGTTAAATGGTGAGAAAAAGCTGATGCGATATCCAGAGATATTCATCAAGAAGAGGAACATAACTAATGGCTCTGTGACTGATAACATCCAGCCTAATTAATTCAACTCCAGCTGCAGTGGCTTCCTAAGGCATAGAGGAGCCTGATTAGGTCCAGCGTTTCGGGATGTGCTGATTGTGAATATGCAGCTTTCTGCTCCAACTGCCTCTCTGTGTTTGTACAGTACAAAGAGCTTATTTCACATGGAGTTTGTAATTGTATGTGATCCGGCGCTCTCGAGTGAAGGGAGAGGGGTAGAACATGAGAGTGAAAGACGGGGTCCTCTGCGTGTTTTATCTGGGTCCCCGGAGAGAAGGATTATGGAGCTGGGATGTGGTGTAGGGCTCAGTCTTTCCAGGTTTGATCAGACTGTTGCCAGTAGTGGTAAGCAGCAGAAAAACAGCACGGGTCAGAACCGCCCTTCACCGCTCCTCTCCATTATACTCGCCATCTCTCTCCCCTTATTGCTCCCTCTCTCAGTTTCTCATCTCCTTTCTTTGCTCAGTCTCATCCTCTCCTTTTTTTTCCTCCCATCCTTTTTATCTCTCTGCCCATCACTCATCTGCCCTTTTTTTTCTCCTCCTCTCAGCCGCCTTAAAAATGCAGGCACACACACGCAGTCTCTCACATGCTCCAGTTTTGATCACCAAGCAGTATCTACTCTCATATGGATTAACTGGCAACGGTTTTAACATTGGAATCTCTTCATGCCAGAGCATGCTATTTTATTCACACTAATGAGCCCAGAGAACACTTCCCTTGATAAACTTGATGCATTTTTAACAGACACAAGTCTTTAAACTCAACTGCAGTTCACCATTACAGCTCAGGCCGCTGGTCTCATATGCTGGGCGGTAATGAGAGATAATTGATTTCCACCTCTACATTACTAAACATCCATTTCACTCATGCAAATACAGGCTAACAGGTGTAAGCATGTCCTTGCTTTCATTGGATTGTCCTTGTTTTGGGCGGCCCACGTTAAGAGTCCAGTAATGTAACAAATAGATAACCTTAGAACAGATGTATCTCACTATAATGGACCGTCATCCTTTTATTTACAAGCTATGAAATGTTGTCCTACCAAAACTGCCCCTCTCCGATTGCTTTAACGCTTCTCAAATCCTACTCTGTCATAGCTGACATGAGAACAGCTGCATGGACCCCTAATTGGGGATAATGCAGATTTTTATGAGATAAAGGAGGGCTCACGGCACTGAACTGTTTCAGCTTCAGTTCCAGTGTGGTCAATTTTATGTCTATCATTCCAACCAAGTTAGAAATTCAGGTTATGTGAGCCGAAACAATAAAGAGGGTTTTTTCTGCTTATATTTGTTCCCAACCTGAATTATTTTGTTTTGTTATATATAGTTCAAGACACCAATGAGCCACGTTGCTGCACCAGCTGACGTAATACTTTATTATAATAAGCGCATGCACATTGGTTTATTTTGAGTATATCCCAAAAATGCTGTCCTGCTGCTGCGAATATTCACTAGAGCGCCAAATGTTCTGCTCAGCTGCAAACCTCAACAAATGCATAATTTACTCTTTTTTTTAGTAATGGCCATGACCTAGAGGACCCAGCTGTTTGGGGGAATAAGTCTGTCTTTTTACAACCAAAACTTCATGTTTGTGCCCAATAGCTTTTAACTCAGTGCAATATAACATCACACAAACATGAGAGACGGATAAACATTTTTCATAGCACTTAGAAATATCATCACAGATGAAGGGATTGCATTCATAATTGAATGAGCGGTTCATGTAGGGTGCCTACCAGTTCCTGGAGACAAAAGCCATTGCTGATATTATTAGTAACACCTGTGATTCTCCTGCTATGACAAATCAAAATGTCTGCTGTGAAAAAGGCCGGTGGGTGCAACTGGCTGCCTGTCTAACCAATAACAACTGAACATGAGCACCATGACTAACTTCACCTTGAATGTCAGCAACTTAGCAACAAAGAATTTTGCGTTAATTTTTAAAAATCAAAGCTTTTGAGTTTAATTATTCATCACATCTGAATAGGTCACCGCCTCTAATTTGAGCATGAGGCAAGCAAAGTAGAACTTCGGAGCGAGGAGATGGCTGCTCTCTGCATGGCCGTGACGCTGTTGATGTCAGAGACAGAGAGTTCCCAATGCAAACATGCGTCAGAGTGGAAGTACACCGATGTTTTGTTTCTTCATTAAAATCAGATTTCTTCTTTAAATAAACTGTCTTTCTGTTGTAGAGAAGAGTGATGTGAATTATTGATGGCATGTTTTAAACAGGTTTCCCTGTTGGAGTTAAGTTCCTTCTTTTAAGTGGTTATGAAGACCGCTAAAGGGAACTTAACATATCGCTGAAAATGCAGCCACTTGTTCTTGGTTAAATATTCATGCATGATCAGTGGCCGTGGTTTTTTTTAAGAACTCTCCAAAGTTTCAATGTTATGTTTCAATATGTGAAAGACTGTGAGAATTTTTGGAAAGCCCTACCCCCGTCATTATGTATTTGTCTGTATAAGATGATAATATTAAATGGCTGCATGGAGCATTTTAAAACATAACACGTCAACGTTTAGATGTGGTCTTGTTATATAGCATTAGAGTTAAAATGTGAGTAGTTTAAACACCATAACTAACCATTTCCAAAGAACCCCTGATATTAATGTTTCGCAATTTCTCTTTTTCCATACATCATCCTCATCTTGTGTCTCCTCAGATTTAATCTGAGTCCTCTTGAAAATTTGAGCGAACTTGTAGGGAGTGGACCAACAGAGATGAAACCACAGACAGTGACATTTAACATTACTGCACTGTGCTATGATGTATTACACCCATTACTGGATGATGATAATGAGTGTCCTACCTCTCTTCTCTGTAGATGGATACACCACTGATGATATTGAGTTTTACTGGCGAGGTGGAGATGGTGCCGTGTCTGGGGTTGACAGAATAGAGCTGCCACAGTTCTCTATTGTCGACTACAAGCTCATCTCCAAGAATGTTGTCTTCTCGACAGGTGCAAAACACAGCAGTTAGCTCTGTATTTGCTCTTTTGTCTTTGTGGCATTCATTATTTCATCTCCATAGATCGCTTTGCTACCTTGAAATGTGAATGAATCATTTTTTTCAAAAGCATCTGCATTAGCACCATTCAGAAAACCTAATTTCTCTGGCTGTGCCCTCTCCCAGGTTCCTACCCCCGCCTGTCCCTTAGCTTCAAACTGAAGAGGAACATTGGCTACTTCATCCTGCAGACATACATGCCTTCCATCCTGATTACCATCCTCTCCTGGGTCTCCTTCTGGATCAACTACGATGCATCAGCTGCTAGAGTGGCCCTGGGTAGGATCGCCTTGCCTCTGCTTAACAGTGACCCAAAGCCAAACGATAACAGCCCATCAAAGAAGCCATTTGACAAAGATTCATACACAGACTTTTAAATTTAAACCTTCTAAATCCATGCATTATTGTGTCTAAAATAGGCTGACTTACCGCCTCTTCATTTTGTCTAGCATTGAGTGTTTTTTTTATCGTATGCTCTAAGCATGTGAGTGATAGCTATGTGAGATAGGCTGCCTGGCTAAATGTCTATTTTTCAGAGATGACTATATGCATGACTCATGCAGAGCGAGAAGAGCTGCAGCCTGACCTTGAAGCATGCTCCCTTTCTCTTTTCCCTTCTGTCTGACTGAGCCTCTCAGTGGTAAAAATTTCCCACTTATCAGCCAAATCACAAATTACAGCTGAACAAAAGGTGGCATCAGCTGCTTAAATGCACCTTAATGTTTTATACCACAGCCATACCGGTTCAGGCAGGTTAGAGCCTGAGACAAGGTTGTTGGGAGGGTGATTTTTAAAGATGTGCCTGTACGCTCTCAGCATCCTGAGAATATGCAGCAAATGAGATTTGAGGCTCCATGCTACAGAGCTGCTGGAGGGTTATTTATATTACGTGTGAATCTGACCAAATGCAGATTGTGCAGGCAGATGAGAAATGTATCATACACAATGTGTGGGTGTTTAGAAAAAAAACCCAGAAAAACAGGTGAATCGTGCTGTGACTAGAAGCAGATGTTTACAAAGGCAATGAGGAACAATGAGTACATTCTCTGTCCATATGGATACGTGGTTGGCAATAACCTGCATGATATAACTGTGACAGTTGCAGTCTCAGGAGGTTTGTTTGGATGCTTTTTTCCATATGGGGTCCAATTCCGTCAGGCTTGTCTGATAGGTTTTTATGATGTAGAAGACAGACATGAATGCTTTGCACCTGATCTCAGCTATTTTGATTGAGTGCAAATTCCAGTAATTCACTTTACACTGAATGCTTTCACTTATTTTTAGTAATGGTGTGTAATATGCAAGAGGAGGTATGTTGATATAATATTTTCTTAACCATTTCTTTGGATAGGACCTTTTCCCTTATTTGATATAGTCTGAAAAATAAAGTTATATGAGGCTACTATGGCTAACTTGCTAAGTATCAATACATTCAAATCAAAGATAGTCATTTTGCCACTAACAGAAAGGGGGAAAAAGCTCAGGAAGAAAAGAAGGGGTGAAAAGGTGTCTGTTTCAGAGCTTTCATTTAGGTGAGGGTCAAAGTTTTAAACTACAAAAAGGTATGCACTACATAGCTTCACTCCAATAATTTTAGAATCAACATGAAAGCATTCCCCTGAACCTGAAGCATCCGTTTGCAGTTTTTTATTGTAATGCTCATTGCCAAATTTAACAGCTTTTACTCTCTATGTTTCTGCAGGATAGTTCCCCAACTGGTTATCAATATAGACTAAGAATAGATGGAATTTGATATTTTAGTTTAATTTTTTTTAAATGCCTTGGATTTGGACACAAACGCAGAGAAATGGAACACATATAGTCACTTGCTGCTGTCAGAGGTTACCTTCTCAGACCAAGGAGTGTTGTACAGAAATGCATCTTAACCCACTGCATACGGTTGGATTTATTGGGATTTTTCAGTCTGAATTATCAAACTCATGGCCTGACAGATTCCCTCCCCAGAGCTGTGCTGCCATCTTCTCTTGTCTGTATTTATACTCAAAGCTATATTTCAGGTGAACCACACAATCTAACGACTCCCTCTAATTTGTAGGTATCACCACGGTGCTGACCATGACCACCATCAACACACACTTGCGAGAAACCCTACCTAAGATCCCCTACGTGAAGGCTATTGACATGTACCTGATGGGCTGCTTTGTGTTTGTCTTCCTGGCCCTTCTGGAGTATGCTTTTGTCAACTACATCTTCTTCGGTCAGGGGCCCCAGCGACAGAAGAAGGCTGCTGAGAAAGCAGCCACGGCCAATAACGAGAAGCTGAGGCCCGACCCTAACAAGGTACGTGTGTCGGGAAGTAAACCTCCCCTCGGAGTAACCGTGCTGTCTGTTGATATGTGTGTTTTTCTGTGAGCGCAGTTGACTTCTTCCCCTCTCAAGGCCAATGTGATACTGTGATCAATGCTTGATGTCCTGTACCAGTGCTCTTTACTCTTGCTCTAGCTCTCCATTTTCACTGGTGTGCCGACGCGCAAACTAAAATCTGAAACAGTGAATGCAGAAGCAATGACTGTTTTTTAAATACTTTATCTTCACATTTCTCTGTCTCTCAAAGGTCAAGGCACCTTGGAAAATCACTGGCTGCAGCACCAAAGCCCTCTCTTTAAATTTTACCAAGCTGCTAAAGTTAGCAAGAACAACACCAACATCAAAACAGAGATGATAAATAAAACGCCCTTTCCTTCTGAGTGTGGCAAGCTACCATTTCCCCTAACAGTGCTGATTTTGTATGCTTGCAGTGGCTGGTGGGAAATGTAGTTCAGAGAGATGATGCTCTGTATGCCAGAATGAAACAGAGGGAAATTGACGCATATGACTCGATGTGGGATCCCATCTTTGTGGACGATGCCGCATTAGGACTAGGCGATCAAAGAAATAAGGTACTGGAGGTTTTGAAAGTCAAAACTGACAATTTCATCAATCTGAATCAATCCAGATCAGAGGAAAATGCTGTAGTCTTTGTGCATTTCTTTGATTTTTATAGAATTTTAGGGGAACCTTGATCATCACTCCCACCATTGTGTTTTTTCCCTCTCTTGGTTTGCTCTTCATGCATTTTCCTGACAAACATGGCTTCGCAGTTTCATTTCTGCAGGCACTGATTTAATCTTAACTCTAGATGTACATCTGAATTGATGGGAAATGACAAACACCCGTAGCCCCTCTTAAGATAACATCATTAAGATACTGCAAATACTGTACGATCTCTGAGGCAATTGATAATTCTCTTGAAACTATGTGAAGCAACTGGGAAAAAAACAAACATCAGAAAAAGAGAAAGAAATCATTTGGAGTTTGACAAAAAGCACAAACTTAGTGGCTTCGCTTCAAAGTGAGTTAGAGAAAAGAAAAGAAAAGAATATATCAAGCTGACCTATGCAGGGGGAAGGGATTGGGTTTTAGGGATGTTTTTCCTCAGAAGTCAGGCTATGGATGAAGAAATGTTGATCCGAATTCACTTCCCACAACGTTTCTCCCGACTTGCCCAAACCTTTTAGCCACTCCTCCATCTTTGCAAAGTCCTTACTATTTCTCTCAACCTTCTCCTGTCACATTTTTTTTATACCTTTGCTTTATTTTCTCTTCTTTTATTTTTAATTCTTATTTGTTTTCTCTTGATTTGTCTTGTGTATCGGCAGAATTTTAACCACACTGGTTGAAATTCTGAGATGACAATTAAGGTTTCTCCATGATATCTAGTTTGTGGAGCATTCTATGCTCCTTCAAGACTGTTATGTCATAGTGTTGTGGTTGTATTATCACTCAGATATTGACTGATGGATAATCAATGATTTATTCAGTGCTTTGAATTTGACTTCACTGTAAGTAGCATAGTATTTGACTCATTTGCATTATCCATTTTAGCACCTCATCAGTATTTTTACTACACAAATTGCTTGAATATCATTACAGCTATTTTTGCATTGATTAATAACGCTCAGAATTGGTTTGAAACTTTCCCTTTGGCAGTAACTTCTCATGGCTCCGCATGTTTTTTTGCACCTACAAACAGATGACCCCCGACGACAACATCCTGTTCAGCGCCATGGAGATGAAGAATGAGATTGGCGGCGCCGGGGATCTGTCCCGGGGCCTGGGAGCACCCGGAGATCCCCGCAACACCATGCTGGCCTATGACAGCTCAACACTGCAGTACCGCCGGGCAGCCATGGCCCGCCAGAACTATGGCCACAGCGCCTTGGAGCGCCACGCCCAGAAGAAGTCACGCCTAAGGAGACGGGCCTCCCAGCTCAAGGTGAACATCCCAGACCTGTCTGACGTGAACTCTATCGACAAGTGGTCCAGGATGATCTTCCCCACTGTCTTCTCCTTCTTCAACGTGGTCTACTGGCTTTACTACGTCCATTAAACACCGGTCTGGTGGCTGGCTCGCGTCATGCATGTGAAGAAGCAAGGGGGGGAGGCGGGGGAGGGAGAGAGGGGATTTAAGGGGGAGAAATCAAGAAAGAAAGAGGATGTGAGAGAGAGAGAGAATGTGAGATGGAAACAGTGCGCTGACTTTTTTTTTAGCAGGTCCGTTTTAGACAACGTGAGGAGAATGCAAAGACTTTTAGATGGACTGCAGCAGCACCCACTTCAGTCAGCAGTGACTCTTTTAGGATTTGGGAAACACCTTAAAATGACTGAAAAGCACTCAAAAAAAGGAGTGAATTTTAAAAAGACAGTATTGGTGCCTGTTCCAGAATTTCAATATATCACTAATATTTGTCATTCGTAGCTTACTCTCTGTGGATCAAATATTTATGCTTGTGTTTGCATATACTTTAAGGATTTCTTTTGTTTAGTATATATTTACTTGGTAGCCGAGCTGTCTGCATCCAGGAAAGCTTTATAAATGATTTTAAAGGAGTCATCCTTGATAGTCTATTTTCCTATAATTACTGTATATCAAAAACATCCTTTAATAGCATGCTTCTGTTTGATTTCATTTTCATCTCCGTCATGACGATGTTGATGAACCACAAAGCATTTTAGTTTTTACTCGCTGAGATTTTTTGGCAGTTGAAATTTGCAGTTTTTGGCTTGGCACGACCCAGCTGGGTGGACGGATGTGTGGGCATCACCGGACGGCAACAGGTGGACAGCAGGGGTCGCTCTCTTCTCTCAACATCGGGATTCCATTCCTTAATCGAAAAAACAAGACCCTCAACTTGTTGAAGACCTCCTTTTTACCTGATGAAGGAGCAGTACTGTGGACACCGATGCTTTGGCTGAATTTATTATTTGATTTTGCTGTGCTGACAAAATTAAGTCCATTTAACCGTGTGTGCTTTTTCTTTGTTGAAAGAGTACATTTGACTCTTGTCATTTTTTGCCATCGTGTCAGAAGCATCAGAGACTGAGATCGGCTTTAAGGCAACCGAAGCTGGTGTAAGAACTTTCCTGACAAACTGAGTTTCATTGCAACAAGAGTTGCTGCATAAATATGGCAATCCACAATCATCATTAATCAGTAGAATTGAATGATAGAAGTATGATGCGTTCCATTGTGATTAGATTTCTGTTTTGGAAAACTGTAGATAAACATAAATCATATTTAAAGAAAAAGAGATAATTCATTTTTATAAATCAATAGTCACATTATTGTGTAAATACTATGGATTTATTCTATTTAAATGGGTCTTTGTTGTTGTTTTTGCAGTTTAAATACAGCTCAAATGTTCCATTCAGTCAAAAAATCAAAAGAAAAGAAAAGAGTGATTTATCTAAGGAAGAATAAAACACTATTCACAACTTTGCTGACTGTACCTTTGGGACTTTTCTCTCTCTTTTTTTTCTTTTTAATGGACTCTAAAAGCATCTACTTGCTAAAACTAAAGCACTTCCAGACACCAGTGACTTTTGGGTCAACGTTTTGCTCAAGAAACGACTGAACAAGGACCCCACTATCCAGGCATTGAAGTCAGGCATATTTTGTACAAAGTTTCTGTAAATTCCAATTGTAATATTTCATAATGACTGTAAATATCTTGTGTAATGATTGTCAGCTATTATGAAGATGTATCTAAATTCAATTAAAACTCAATTCAGTCTATCACATTAATAACAGAGTACACTGGTGGCAGTTTTATGTTTCCTGTGTGAACGTGAGATTGGTGGCTGATTGAGTGTCTGAAAGAGCGAGTAAACAACAAAGCTTGACACGGGGAATGAGAGGGCAAGCGAGAGAGGCAAATGTAAGGGTGGGCAGAGATGTAAATGCTGCAGCTGGGGACTACTGGCTGCGTAATGGATGGAGAGGCAGAGTAGCTGGAGCGAGAGGTGGAAGTGGTGGTCAGGGCTGAGGCTGGGGTCTGAGCGGGGCTGAGCTCAAGCCTGGGCCTCAGGGGACATTAACGCAGAGAGCCATAGATATGGAGGCCCTCTTTATACTTAACTTTGGGCTGCAGGGGTCAGAGCACCATTTACAACAAAAAAAAAAGGCACGCAGTGAAAGAAAATTACAAAGAAGGATCCATCCATCCATGCCTCAGTCTCCGACTGCATCCTACCCTCACTCTGCAAAGGAACTGCACTCTGTGCCGCGCTCGCTTCCTGACCTGCCCACGTAAATGGATGCTTGTGAATATTTCATGGTGCAAAACACAGAATATTTCATATTTAAACAGTGATTTTGTTCTAGCAGGAACTAATGTGAAACTGGTGTTTGATTTTTAACGTAGGGGACCAAAAGAGAACAATGATATATCAGCTGCCAAAACATCTGAAACTGTGTGAATATTGTAAAAGTCCTATCAGAAAGTCTGAGTTATGCAGGAGCATTGGGGGAACACGCAGCTGAGATTGGCTGCTCTTGTTTGAGTGTATCAGAGCTCCAGGTTGTTGACTTTGCCTCTGTGTGTGTGTGTGTGTGTGTGTATGTGTGCGTATTTGTGTGTGAGTATATGATGCTTCTGGGAATAAAAAGTCTGAGTGCAAAACTACCTATAAAAAGGCAAATTGGTGTGAAAACTGATGTAATGTGACATGTAACCTTGTTCGTCCATGCAATGGTAAAACTCAGCTCCCCACCACATCACAGCAGATGTATCCTCTTACCACAGCAGACAGATGGTTTGGACGAAATTGTCCTGTTTTCTTTCTCTATCCCCCTCTCAAAAGGGGCATCAGTGCTGACATCTAAAACAGGGAGGGGAGGCAGATGCTTCCTGCTTTGTAGTGTTTCCGTGTCACTGGCGTGATTAGCAATGCACAGACCTCAGCTCTGTGAAGTCATGTGTGTGCACGTGTTTAAGGTCCAAGAGTGTGTTTTGCTTGTGTATTAGTGCAGTCACAGCTGCGCCACTGTGAGGTTGGCGAGTCAACCAAGCCAAACCCTGCTGGAGCTGACTGGGACGGGTGAGGGGGTGAGTCTGGCACACTTACATCACGCCACTCCCCTATTATACATGTATGTGATGGAAAAACACATTAGGCTGCCCGGAAGAGAAGAAAGCTGCTGCCTCATCTCTCCACAGATAAAACTATCACTGTTTCTGACTGGTTGTTGATAAATTAACAACAACTTGCAACTGCAACTTTTTTAAAATAAATGTGTGTTTCAGGGCGTTTATAAAAACTTAGGATACAGGTAATTTCAAGTCTGAGCATTGCCAGGTAGACATTTCAGTGATGTTTCAAAGCTATTGTGACATGTTTGTGACTTTTTAATTCAAGCACAATAGTTGATTGATCCCAATAAAATCAGGCCCTGATTTTCTTTGCAGAGCAGGTTAGTCTGCCTGCTCTGGAAAGGGTAACATATGTCATCATGAGGGAGTGGAAAGCATCCTACGTACGTGCCATCTGTTGTCGTCCATCAAACAGTTTTACGCAAACGCCTGTAAACATAGTCATTCACCCATTTTCGCGTTATCACTTTGATCAAAATCTCAAGAGTCAGTCGACACGTCATGCAAAAATACCCTGTAAAAATGCGGGGGAAACAGAGGATTTCCTCGCTTATACCTGTAATGGGTGTCATCTTTTGTGTTTTTCATGTTACAAACAACGAAGCAGATCTTAAATAACTGCGGTCCGATTTTTGTCCACTCCCTGTTTTGGCGCTGATTTCTTACACGTTTGCTCAGAGTCGTCTACTCTGTGTTCAGCTGTCACTTACAATCTCTTTATGATCCCCAGCAAAGCGTTCTCCTCTCAAATGTAAGACTGTTATGTCATTTGGGGGTTTTGTCACAGCTGTTTTTTTCAAATATGTATAAATCCTTCACCTTATTATCAAAATAATCTCAGATGCAGGTATGGAAAGAATAGACTACAGAACAGACTCCCGATTTAGAGAGTTCATTAAAATCATCTCAAGTGATTATACACGTCAGCCATTCCTGCTCCATTTCTGACCACAATTAGATGGCTGATTTCCCCAAACAGCTTCAGGGCAAGGAATGCAAACACACCTGCCATTGCAAGGGGGCGGACTCAAAGAAGGTGTGTTGTCATTTGCTTTAATACAGGCCTCACACACTCACAGGAGAGTCACAGCGGGAAAGAACGGTCCAGTGGTGAGTGTCTTTGACTTTCCCAAAGATGAGAAACTGGTGAGTAAAAGAAAAAGGAATCTAAAGACAGCCATGACGTGGAGGAGCCCTCTGGCCCTTGTGAGGGATGCTCTGCGAGGTCAGAGGGCACGGGAGAAGGAACTCCGCAACTTGGTGTCCAATCTGCCTTACGAGGGACTTGAGAAGAGGAAGCAGCCCAATCGTTTCTTTCCTTCAAATGCCATCAAAACAACCAAGTACACGCCTCTGTTCTTCATTCCCATGAACCTTTTTGAACAGTTTCACCGACTGGCCAACATCTACTTTGTGGGCCTGGCGATTCTGAACTTCATCCCTGTGGTGAACGCCTTCCAGCCCGAAGTGGCTCTGATCCCAATCTGCGTCATCTTGTTTCTCACGGCCCTAAAGGATGCCTGGGAAGACTTCAGGAGGTACCAGTCAGACAGGAAGCTCAACAATACCCCATGTTACATCTACAGCAGGTACTATGTCGGAGACTCCCTTGTCCCGATCAGAGATGCAGTTTTTTTCATTCATGACGTGACGCGTACGAACTATAACAGTTAACAGCTGTGTTTCTATGATTCTTATCTTCGAACTCTTCAAGGGTGTAGATCTTTGAGATTATGTACTACATGTGTGTTGTACTCCTTCTGCCCATCAGCATCCAGTGAGAGTATTTTACTTTAAAGTACATTATGAGCGGGGGATAACGACAATAAACCTCTGCATAATGTTGTTGACATTTAATTAAGTCATAAACTTCTTATTGGGTAAGCAAAGTCTGTAAGCTGAGTACCGATCTACTTTTGAATTGATGTGAAAAAAAAGTCTATCATCCATAAAAGGGAAAAAAAAACATTTTCAGCCCTTTCTCCTCTGAGATCTTGTTGTGGGATAAGGAGGAGGGGGGGTGAATTTCTGAGCATGTGTACAATGATAAATCACCAATCTCTGGGGGGGTGATTGTTCACCAGATGCTTAGGAGTGGAGGGACGAATGCCAAAATAACTGTGAGTTTACGTTTGTGTGTGCGGCAAATGGGTTCAGGTGGCCTGAAGTATGAACTCTCTTAACACAGCAGTTTGGACACTTCAGAGAACTTGGTGGCCCCTCTGGAGCTGTTCGTGGAGACCAGTCGCCATAACATATTCAGCTGTGAAGTCATCTTGACCAACCAGCTGTTTTTTCCTCATTGGTTTGGGAGGCTTAACCGTCCCTTTAAAAGTGTAAAGTATAAAAAGTGGCTCATTATGAGGCTTGAGAATACATTTGAAATCCTCAACCTTTCTTCCCTTTTTTGGTGAATTTAATCTGGGAGACAGAAACAGTGAAAGCGGTTTGAATACAAATCAGGAAGAGAGCTGCGACGGTTAGTCCACCATGCATGTTAAGGCCCTCATGGAATGCAGTAGGATGAGAAGGATTTGGTCTTAATTCATGAGACCTTCTCAGGTGCACGTCCGTATTTCCCATCACCCCTTATGTTTTCATAGAGGTGTGAAGTGCCTGTATCGAAGCATGACGTGTTTATCTTCTTGCACATTCTTGTTATCTTGTCTCTACATCAAACACTTGTCAATGCACTTACGCTAAACCACAGCGTCTGTTAATCATGCTGTTTGAATGCAAAGTCCTTGCATGTATTGTCATGCATGCCAAGTGTTGTTCCCGACCCAGAGTGGAAACTAAAAAACCTGTCACCACACCTCAAGGCTTTTCTTCTTTGTTATATTTCACCCATTTAAAATTGTCAACCCGTTTCACAAATGTACTACCTGACATCGGTCACATGCAAAATGTTGTAATGTTATGTGTCACCTGTCCTTTGATTTATTTCCGTTAAATACTGCTAATTACAAGTTTTTTTTTACTAAAGAGACACTAGGCTGTAAATTAACTAAAACGTCAACAGGGTACAAAAAAATTCTGTGCTGGAATTGTACATATATGTAGATTCTGTTTCTGTGACTATTTCTTTTCTCCAATTGACTGGAAACTGGTGAAACTTGTAGCGTGACTGAAATGGCTGTCTAGCAGCACAGTAGCATTTTTATTACTTTTGAGGCCAAGGAAAGGCAGAATTTAGGTGTTTTTTCTTTAGACAAAAACAGTTTCATTTAGGTATAAAACAGGTGCTTTGTTCCATTTCTAGTCTCCTGGCAGCAGCTTAATTTGAGTTTTCAGAGCGCTTAAGGATTTGCTCAACTCTTACAAATGGTGTCAAATTCCACAAAGCTGAATTTTTATAATCATTTAAATTAGTTTAGAAAACTTTACATTTGTACCAGGGATGTAAAACTATCTTTGCAATGTGAGAGCTCACATAACCACTTTGAAAATGTACCATTATTATTTCAACTGAAACAGATTGACAGAAAATATCCATGTGATAAAAGTAGTGCTTTAGTACTTGGTCATTTCAACATTTTAAAATAGTCTGGGGCTTTGTCTGGAGTGAGGTGTGGTGTTCGGGAGCAGCCACCCGATCAGGTCTTGCATGCAGGGCAGCATACCTGCAGCTTTGTCTCACTAATTGTTGGCCAGCTTGACGTGCAGGTTCCAACCATAATGCTCAACACTTTCTGAGAGGTCTGGGAGAAGACCCATTTCATGAAGTTCATTTAGGTTCCCTACTATAAGCACATCCCCTGAAATATTCTCATTCTAAATTAGAGCATATGAATCTGGGCAACCATCCAAAAACATCAGAATTGATTTTTTTCTTGTGTTGTAATTGAAGCAGATCCTGTCATTTTCTTTACTTCATAAACATAAAGTGAATTTGTTGGTCGGAAGAAATCTGGTGCCGACCGTGACGCAAATGTTGAACCTGTTAAATGTGATAAAACGGCATCTAAAACGCATCCCACTGGAGATATATGTCCTCTGTTATTGCAGGAAGGAGAAGCAGTTTTTGGAGAGACGTTGGAAGGATGTGCGGGTGGGAGATTTTGTGAGGGTTGTATGCAATGAGATCGTCCCCGCAGACCTCCTTCTCCTCCACACAGCAGACCCCAAGGGAGTGTGCCACATAGAAACGTCCAACCTGGATGGAGAGACCAACCTGAAGCAGAGGAGGGTTGTGTCTGGACTCTGCATATCGGTGAGGTTTTGTTTTGTTTGTTTTTTGGCTTGTGTTTCTGCCTCCTTTCCCTTTTGTCCTGCCTCACTTCTTCCCCCCTTCCATCCCCACCTTCTCACAATTGACATTTAAATCTCTTCAAACAGCACTCCGCTGACATTATTGGCACTAACCTCGGGTTGTCCTTATATGCCAAAGGGAAGGATGACAGCACAAAAAACATACCTGTGTGTGTGTCTGTCCGGATGACTGCTGTTTTTCCTGAGTGGAGAAATTGTTCCGTCATTCTTGTAGTGCATGTAAAAATTTCCATTCACACACTAATGAGGCCATCGTGTCTTCTTATTTCCCAGATACCAGACTTTGAACCTGAGAGCTTCAACAGCATTGTGGTGTGTGAAAAGCCCAACAACAATCTGAATCATTTTAAGTGTTATGTGTAAGTATTAAACACACAGCCCCCTTGAATACCCCAAAACAAAACTAAGCTAAGAGCCTTTTGGAGCAGCCAAGCAAAACTAATTGCAACCCACTTGCTGGACTTTCTAATGCTTGCAGACGCATTATTGAGGCTGTAATAGACTATAATCGATTTCCTCAGGCATCAAAGCCTTTTACGGACGGTCTTTCCTTGCTGTCCGGCTTTGGCCATAAAGTGAGGGAATGCTAATAGGGAATGTGTAAGCAATAATAAACATCTAACAAGATCTGACACTAAAGGTTTCTCGCTTTCTCTCAGTGCAGAGAGAAACCTGATAAGGAAAAGGTGGGCGCTGGGATTGAGAGTCTGCTGCTGCGTGGCTGCACAGTGAGAAACACAGACCATGCCGTCGGCTTTGTGGTGTATGCAGGTATTTCCCCAGCCGGTTGATTCATTTTACCTCGAGCTGTTAAAGAGAATGTATCATTCATCTTCATTGGGATATTATACTCTCTATGAGCTGTATGGCTTTATATTTATCTCAAATATTTGTACTACTATAAAGTCAAAACGCGTTAATTCTCTTACACAGAAGACACTGCTCATGATGTCTGAAATACCTTGTTTATAGTCCAGCCTCTCCATTCATTAACATAGTGCGGAGCACATCTGCATAATACTGTTGTCATTGCTAAAAAGACAAGCATTAAATAATGGGGTTATTCCTGTAGTCCCCCATTCTAGACTGATCAGCAGGTAAATTAAATCATCAGTATCAGTATCAGTAATCAACAGTATTTTACATTTTCAAAACATTTTGTTAGTTTTGTCCAAAGCTATTTAGTGTCGAGTCAGACTTGTTATACTGGCATATAGACAAATGTTAACCTCTATATCCATTAATGAATTCTTATCTTAAAATTTGGAAGGTTTGTCATTAGCTGTGGAAGCTACTCTGTCATTTATTGTTCTCAATGCAAACACAAATATTGTCAACTAAACTTGTGAGATAAAGATAGATTCATTTTCAATTAAATACTAAAACAGCTGAGGCTGAAGAAAAATTGAATTAATTTCACATTAGTTTAATCATAGATAATTATCAACAAAAGTCATATAAAAATATGGAGAAAAATCTATTTCCAATCCACAGATGTGCTGAAATAAATTTATGTTCATTTCCACACATGTTCAATTGAGCAGGATGTGATCAAAGTCAAACAATTATACCTTATCCTTGTATTAAATGACCCAGAATCAGCACATATCTCCAGACAGGATATTGATTTACTTCTCAGACAGTGGAGTGACTTAATGAACCGCTTTCTTCTTTTAGGCCATGAAACCAAGTCCATGCTCAACAACGGCGGGCCGAGATACAAACGCAGCAAACTAGAGCGGAAGCTAAACATTGACGTCTTCTTCTGCGTCATTCTCCTCTTCACCATGTGCTTCATCGGAGCACTAGGTCAGTAAGGAATTACATCACTCTAACGGAGTCACTCCACAGGCTGACTCATTTTCATTCATGGGGTAGCATTAGATTTTTAATGTAAAAAAGACTTTGTTTGGCCACAGGCCCAAACAGATGCTAAAAAAAAACTTTAAAAAACTAGGAGGCAGGCAGACACAGTTTGGTGCCAAAAATAACTGTTTCTTTCTAGACTGTGTGATTAATCCAGCTGTCTTCATGCCCACAGGTCACTTTGTCTGGCTGCTGGCTCGGCCCGGTGTGCCCCCTTACCTGGTCCCCGACACCAACGGTCACTTGGACAGTCCCAGTCTGGCCAGTTTCTACATGTTCTTCACTATGATCATCCTGCTGCAGGTGCCTGACCGAGACTATTGGGACTGTTGAGAGAGTTTTCATGATCTTTTTGGAGTAATTAAATGAATCACCTTCTGTCTCGTCTTCTTTCCTGCTGTTCTCCTTATATTTACCTTTTTCTAGTCCCAATGTTTTATTCATCAACTTATGCCATGTTTTATTTCCCCCACTGCCTCTGGTAAATGTCATTTCCCTCTCTCCAGATCCTCATTCCCATCTCTCTCTACGTTTCCATCGAACTGGTCAAGATTGGCCAGATATTCTTTATCACGAATGACAGTGACCTCTATGACGAGGAGACAGACAGTCGAATGCAGTGTAAGGCTCTGAACATCACAGAGGACCTGGGACAGATAGAATACATCTTCTCAGATAAGACCGGCACCCTCACTGAGAATAAGATGGTGTTTCGCCGATGCTCCATCATGGGTGCAGAGTATCCACACAAAGAGAACGGTAAGTCTCTGTGATGAGACGTGCACCTTTAATTTGTTTTATGCTTAGCATATCAAATAATGTGTGTACATGCGTATTTCAGAATAATTTAGATGAAATTGATTAATTACAGTTGAGGTAAGGGAAATTATTAGTCCAACCGTTTCAGTTTACATTGCCATCTTTTTTAATTCACGATCAGCACCAAATCTGTAGCAGCACCGAAGTGTTGATGACTCACTGTCAGATAATCCCTTAATCATTTTTTACACTCTTCTCAACCATATGAATACACTACCGAGCAGTTAATGAGCAGCCCTTCCTTGGTTTGTGCTTTTTACCTCAACTTCATCCTACTTTTGCACCCCAATTTAGAATCTATCAGCAATGATCACAAAAATATATTTATTCCACAGTCTATTGCCATCCTAATCACCAGTGTTGCTTCCATACTCATACTGTGAGTCTATCTACCAATTTATCACTTCAGTGACCATGTGCCACACATCATATTTCATACTCATGATTCTTTACTACATAAATGTGATTTTAAATTGAAAGATTGAAGAAAATGCTTTATTTTCCATAATATAATCCATTTGGTAAATGTTGGGTAAAGATTCAAATAAAATCACATGAGCCCTCACAATTTAACCTAAACCTATACCAAAGGTGGGGACATTTTACTATTACATGAAATATATCAGCTCACTTTTTATTTGACGGCAGCAACAAACCTAAAATAATAGTGGGATGGCGATTTTTACCCCTGTAAAAAAACTTTCTATTTTTAGCAACCGTCCGTTGAACTGAAAAAACTGGTTACTGGAACTGTGGGAAGAATGTTGCCACATTTTAGTCTAGCAGCTCAACATTCCTGGCTCCGTTTGTTTAGTCTGTCATGTTTTCCTTTTCATGTTGCTCTAAATGTTCTCAGAAGGGAAAGGGCTGGTGTACAGGCAGGTCCGTCCAGCACCCAGACTCAGTGACTACAAAGTTGAACTAATTGCTGTACGGGGATTAGCATTGTCACTTTTTGTTCCAACTGTTTGAATTTGAAAACTAGTCTCTTTCAGGTTGTTAATATATTTTTCATCACTACAAATCAAACATTAGTTTATGAAATTTGTTTATCAATGAATTATTTTATCTTTGTTCTTAACTTTGTGAGACTGATATGTCATTTTGGTTTACTGGGTTTGCAGCCATTCGTCTAGCTGTCCTTGATGAGCCAGAGTCAGAGGAGGAGGTCATCTTCGACCAAAGTCCCAGACCCCGACAGATGAGCTGGTCTCTCGATGCTGAGGACGCCAATCCAGTAGGCAAGCCACCTCGGGGCAGCCAACGTAGGAGCAGTGTGGCCGTACATACCCAGACTGATGTGGCCTTCAGCAGTCCACTGGTAAGATGAGTACTCGGTCAGTAAGAAAGACAAAATCATAGCGGGGATATTGTGATATCATAACTGGATAGGAGCATAATTAGATCACTTTAAATCTATAATCACAGTGGTTTCATACAGTTAGTTGGAATGCTGTCGCAACCCAACATGGGATTATAACAGCTCCTGTGTTTGTCGCACCAATCTCTGCTCACAGTTTCCATACTTTACAATGCTATCTGTCAGAGTGCATCCCAAAATGTCTGCATTTATCAAAATGCACCTCAGGATCATTTCGGTTGGAGCATCAATATGCCAAAATATCAATGTTAGGATCTGAACGAAAAAAATATTGGACCGGCTAGTTTTAAACATGGATCTCCTTTTTTAGATTTATTCAGGATCTGATGTGACACAAAGAAAATGTCAAACTTCTTCATTCTTTACCTAAATATGAACTATGACTGAATCAAAAAGGCCTCGTGGTCCCAGTCCCTGACGCAGATGGCCGAGCCACTAGGTTTCACTGATGAGCACATTAATTTTGGCACAGCAATGCCCCCGTGTCCGTGATGGGACATATGGTCACACTGAGTACTAGTTGGCTCAGACCACTGATGTTAAATCAACTGTAAACGTGCAATATAGATTACTCATCACTGTTTAAACAGTACAGTATCTCCATGCCTATTTTTGTCCATAGGGTTAAGAACAGGAGCCTGGAGATGTAGGCTGGAATAGAAAAAGTCAGCAGAGAGTCCATTTTTAACCTTCCTCATGTTGGGTCTCTGGCAAAGCAAGATGTCCGTATGAGTGTAAACTTCCTCCTTTCATCCTGCCCTTCATGTATTTCCTCTTGATAAATGGACAAACAAAACAGGATGGACAGTTTGAAAGCCAAAATCTTGCACTGACCCCCTGAGGCAAAATTAGGGGGGAAAAAACTGAATGTAAGCGAGTTGATCAGGACACATTCTGTATTTAATTAACAAACTGATTAACTTTCACTCCATCAGGAAACCGAGGTGATTCCAGACAAGAGGCTGCTTCAGCAGATTAGCCGGGCAGAGAGCTGCAGCAGTCGAAAGACAGATCCTTACTTGGATTTCTTTCTGGCTCTTGCAATTTGCAACACAGTGGTGGTTTCCATGGCAACAGCTCAGAGAAGAAGGGTACGTTTACTACGACGGTGTGAATGGAAAACACAGATGGATGAGAAAAAAATGGATGAAAAGGACAGAAACTTCCAGGTTCCTGAATCAGAGATATTGGAAATATTTATGATAAGCGTTTTATGGGAAAATATAAAGGAGTGATTGTCAGGTGATTTATAATGCTTTCCATGAGCCTAAATGTTTTAGCCTATAAATGTAAGTTTTGTCTTTAGTTTTTTACTAAATTTGCCACATAGTAGTGAAAGATTTGCAGGGGCATTTGGGGTAAGCCTTATTAATTTGAGCTTTGCTGTTCCCAACTGTGCTGTCCTGATTTCTGGCAGATGGCAGAAATCTGTTTTTTCCCCCCTATGAATTTGTAATTAAAGGTAAATGCACAAAAAGAGCCAGAGTGCAAATGAATGACAAAATCATGACTGACGGATTTGGCACGGGATGAAATATGGAAAGATTTCTTCATTTAAGGAGCTCTCTGGTTTGTGTCTTTTCAGACGAGTGTGTCGCCCCGTTCCTCACAGATAAGTGGCTCTGTGGACACTCTGTCCAATCTGGTGAAAAAAGCTGGCAACCTCCTCAGTTCCTGCCAGCTCACGTCCAAGAGGAACCGTAGCCTCTCAGAGGAGGCAGTTATACAATGTGTCAAAATGGAGAAAACTGTTGACACCAATAGACACCAGACGTGTTCGCTCCATCCTCCATCCCAGGGCGCCAGGCCTTCAGCAGCCTCGGATGATCTGTGCTATGAAGCAGAGAGTCCAGACGAGGCCGCCTTGGTGCACGCAGCCAGGGCATATGGCTTCACCCTGTTAGCTCGCAGCCCTGACAGTGTGACAGTGAGGCTCCCGTCCGGGGAGGACTTGGAATTTGAGTTGCTGGACACCTTGACCTTTGACTCCAACAGGAAGAGAATGTCCGTCTTAGTGCGACATCCAATCACCAGGGAGCTCGTTCTGTACACTAAGGGCGCGGACTATGCCATCATGGAGCTACTTGGAACTCCATATGCAGGTAGGACAGATTTACAGTGCAATTATTAATTTCTTTCCATCATGATTTTGTCACACTTTGGGTCATTCCATGATTCAAAGTGACACATGTAGATTTCTTATCTCCAGAACACCTGAGAGGCGGGCAGAAGAACATAGCAGCTGATACTCAGTATCATCTCGACTGTTATGCTAAAGATGGCCTCCGAACACTGTGCATCTCAAAGAAGGTACAAAACAATCAACTTGATGCCTACGACTACGGCTTTCGTGCTGGATAAGAACACAGCTTTATCTTTTCCCTGCAGGTTGTGACTGACAAAGTGTATGAAAGCTGGTTAGTGGACAGAAAGAAAGCACTGGCCGCCATCGACAACAGAGAGGAGCTCCTCATGAACACTGCCGTGCAGCTGGAGACAAACCTCACTCTGCTTGGTAAAACACATCGGCCCGATCCTTCACAACACTTGAAAAGCCTATCCGTGTCAGTCATGCCCGTCTGTTAACGCATGTGGCTCTGCAGGGGCAACGGGGATTGAGGACCGTCTCCAGGAGAGCGTCCCGGACACCATCGTGGCACTGCGGGAGGCAGGGATTCACGTGTGGGTGCTGACAGGTGACAAGCCAGAGACAGCTGTCAACATTGGCTATGCCTGCAGGCTGCTGGAGGAGGAGGACCTGGTGATTAACATGAGCTCCAAAAACAAGGTGAGCTGGGTGCAGGGAGCCTCACTCAATTGTTTTCCTTGTTTAAGCAAGGAAAATGATAAAAAAAACAAAAACAATAGGAATTCTATAGTAACAATGCAGAATTTTGACGCATTAGATGAGGAAACCGATTGTCTTTTATTCAGCCAATAATAACACTCTTTTAGCTAACGTCAGCATTAAGAGTTAGATTTAGGATAGCTGATTACTGTGTGTACTAATTGACTACAAGTGCATATGTACAGAACATCTTTAAGAGCTGTATCACTCATGATCCTCTTGCCCTTTCAAGTTTTCTAACTTTTCTTAAAGTGAAGTTCTAATTGGTGTGCCATGTTCAAAAGGAGAAACATGACAAGCACGTTTTTTCCATGGAAATACACTTGCTGCATGATGACATGATTTAATATAACCATTGCGACTGTGGTTTCAAGGAGCAAGTGTCATGATGTATTCCCTTATTACAAGATAATTCAGTTAAATTTGATCTATTCAGTCAGGTCAATTTCTAGAAATTATTATGTCAATTACCAATACTAATCACTGCAGTAAACTTTATGAGACATAAAGCCCAATTAAATCCCACTAAATGTGGTGTGATTAAATCTTATTTAAATTCTGTTCAATCCAGAGAGGGAGCTATGAGAACAACAAACAGAAAACACATGTAAAATAATAGCTTTTAATACAAAAAATTGTCTTTGTTTCTCTTCTCTATCTACATGTTACATTCACCACTTACATTATATGAAACAAGATACTTATTCAACATTATATACTGAAAGATCCCTTTATGGCTTAGAAGCAAAAAAAAAAACTAAATCAGAATATTCTAAAAGAGAAAGAGAATATACTGTCAGAAATAGCCAAATTACATAAAATACGAATGTATGTAAAGCATGAATAATTGCATAGATACATAAATATGCACATAAATAAACAGATCATCTTGTATTCGCCGGTGAATTTCCTCAGATTTCCTAATATATCTCTGTGAAATTTTCACAATTCGTTTGACAGATTGGATTTTTCTTGTGACTCATTTGAGTTTGTGGCACCCCTATCATTCAATACATTTACTGTTTTCAAGCAGATTGAAGCTAGCCAGTGAAGCACAGTTTGCATTTCTCATATTTTGTCTAGCTGATTTCAGCTGACTCTTTTAATGATCGTTCAGAGCAAGCTGTTTCTTCTTTCCTCTTGTGCTCTGGGTCTTTCAACTGTGAGCTTATCTCCTTTCCAATTTAATTCAACTGAACCTTTTTGACCATTTTTACATTTCCTCTAAAGGTCAAACCCTCACATTACCATCTCAGAAAGACAAGGTGTCTTGTGAGGGGCATGTCTCCATCGGGTCATTAAAGATATGGTAGCAGAGCATTAAACCTTTCATGACAACTTGATCGTGTCGACTCATCCTGGAGTCAAATAGAGAGAAACTGTTTTCCAGCTGTGAGCTATACACATGAACATTTCCAAAACAATGGGGCGGCAGTGCTCCCCCAGAGACAGGCTAATGATGGATGGAGTAAGATACCCCCAACACAATAACTAATGCTTCTATATCTAATTACCATTCTAATATTACAGCCTCAGAGGAAATACCCTGTAATGAACAATTTTTTCAACAACTGTAACTCGATGACCACTTGAGAGATGCACTCCCACATCCACTACTCCAGAAAGCCTAATGAATTTTATTTAGTGCTAGCTGAACTAAAGTAGTAATTTCTGAATAGTAATCTGAAGCATTTAGACACAATAGCTAAGGTGCATCAAATGGAGCTAGAGCCAAATTGAGCTGCGGAGCAATGTTCATTTGTCCATAATTATATTAAAGTGTATGTTTTTAAAAGAGCATTGGGACAACAGCAGCATTTCAATTTATTTTAGAATAATTTTTTAAAGTTTGTTTTCTTATTGATTTTAAAGAAAATAATCTGGAGGAATAGAAATTGCATCTTTAAATGTTTTATTTCTCAAAAACTAAAGAGTTTGTGTGCTATCACAAAAAGACAGCTCCATTTTTAGCATTATTGGGGTTGGTTAGAGTCAGGGTTAGGGTGAGTCTATCCTAGCTGACAACACGTGAGAGGCCGCAAACACCCTGGAAGTCCTGAAAAACCAAAACATGATCCTCAAAGAAGCAACTGCTGTTTTTCAGGTCACATGCACATCCATCCTGGACTGCACTCTGGAAGAAGTGAGGAGGCACATGGCCGATCCTCGCAATGTGGACACCACCCCAAACATTTCTCTGGTGATCGACGGAGAGACACTGACCATGGCTCTGTCGCCAGACCTCCAGAACCGGTTTGTGGACCTGGCAAAACGCTGCCGCTCTGTGCTCTGCTGTCGAGTCACTCCCTTACAGAAGAGCAGCGTGGTGAAAGTGGTCAGGGAGAAACTTAAAGTCATGACACTTGCTGTTGGTAAGAAAATCGAATAAATAAGAACTCAGTATTGTTTTAATTATTGAAAAAAACATTTTGCATCTGCCTCTTGAAACAAAATGGATAAAAGACACGCATGTTTCCGGTGAATTATGATATTTAATCCAATAATATCTCAGAACTTCACGGTTTTGAAAATATAACACTACAACCAGTGCATCAAATGTTAATGCCATAAATCAAAAATTGATATAACAGACAAATTCTCTGCCTCCAGTCTCAAAGTCATGCATATATGATTGAGCTATTCCACCCACTCTGGTTTCAGGTGATGGTGCAAATGATGTCAACATGATCCAAGCAGCTGATGTTGGCATTGGGATATCCGGCCAGGAGGGGATGCAGGTTGGACCTCATTTCTTTCAGCCCAAATGTTTGTTTTTTTACCTTTCCCATCAAAGCCTTAAATATTCATGATTCCTCTCCGTCGTTGGCAGGCAGTCATGGCGAGCGATTTTGCATTATCTCGCTTCAAACACCTGAAAAAACTCCTTCTGGTCCATGGACACTGGTGCTACACTCGACTGGCCAACATGATCATTTATTTCTTCTATAAGAATGTGGTGAGTGCTCGTCCTGAATAAGATTGCTTTCCTGTATGAATGCTGCTGGTTCGTCATCTAAAAATTTAAAGTTTCATCTGCTCCTCAGGCCTACGTGAACCTGTTGTTCTGGTATCAGTTCTTCTGCGGGTTCACTGGCACTACGATGATCGACTACTGGCTGATGATCTTCTTCAACCTCTTCTTCACCTCTGCACCGCCCATCATGTTTGGCATCATGGACAAAGACGTGTCTGCAGAGATGTTGCTCGGGGTCCCTGAACTGTACAGGACTGGTCAAGGCAAAGGGGTCAGTGAGAGAATAATGACTCATGTGTAAATGTTTAATATAGGTGACAGTGATTGGTGTTCTTTTTTCCGTTTTGACTAAACTTTAGTTTTTCCCTTTAGGAATACAATTTTCTAACTTTTTGGATCTCCATACTGGATGCCTTCTATCAGAGTCTGGTCTGCTTCTTCATTCCATATTTGGTAAGACTTTTAATAGTCTGTAATTACAGGTCCACAGTGATGCTCCCTTGATTGCGCATCATTCACTGATTGGGTAAATTGCTGCAATCGTAATCACAATATGTGATGATAGAATTAAAAAAATATTCTGCTACGTTTTTTTTCTTAACTAGTTGAGCAAGGTTTGATGTAAATATATGGTTCAAATAATGTGATGGGTTCTTTTAGTCACAACTCTTAAAGTCTTAAATTTGTTTTCAGTGGTTCTGATATAATTAAGACCTAGTCAGATAAAAACAAAATGGACTCATGGAATATACTGAGCATAAGTTAAACGTTATGTAAAATTAAACAAAGAAGAGTAGCAAAAACTGTTAGTTACATTTAGGTAACTAACAGTTTTTGTTATGTCTGGTTTGTTCTTACACATTGAATTTATGTTCTTATAATTAGCAAAAAAAGGGCCAGTTTCTATTTAACTTTTTTCTGTCTAAAACTTGATCAACTTTTTCATTTTTCTCAGGCATATCAGGATTCAGACATTGACATTTTCACCTTCGGAACTCCACTGAACACTATTTCCTTATTTACCATCCTCTTGCATCTGTCAATAGAAATCAAATCCTGGGTGAGTGCTAAACTGAATGGTAGTTTTCTGTAAATTGAATCACAAACACTTCCACTAAGTTAATGTTCCTGCAACTGCACAGATTTTCCCAGTGTTATTATGAAATAAAAGATTTTTCGGTTGGAGTCAAAAGGCCATTCTTGGGGGAAGTGAATATCATCAGTGTTTATAATTGCGTTTTTTGTGATTGTCTCGTAGACGATTGTCCATTGGATCATCATGCTGGGCAGTGTGGCCTTGTATTTCATTGTGACACTTGCCTACAGCGCCATCTGCGTTACCTGTAATCCTCCATCCAACCCGTACTGGATTTTCCAGAGCCAGATGGCCGACCCCATGTTCTACCTTATCTGCATCATCTCCACTGTGGTGGCTCTGCTGCCCAGGTATCAGCAGCCTCATCCTCTCCATATCTGAGCCCAGCAGGAAACAGTGTTTGAATGTGGTCTTGTCGTCATTTTGACATGGTTTTATTCAGAGGATCATAGCGACATATTGTTGCCCACCACCCTCCTCCTCCACACCATTTGTCCCCCAGTTCTGGGTCCTTTAATTTTCTGTTTAGTGTTATTGTATGCAAAGCTCCAAACAGGGTTTCCTAATACAAAACCCTGTGAGAACACAAGGTGTCAGCGTTTGATCATCTATTAAAAATTTTAAATATTTAAAACAAATTACAAATAAATATATGCTTAATCAAAATTGATAGCAAATGACAATAGTAAAAAAGAAACCATTAGTTTTTCTTGGGTGGTAATTAACAGATTCTTATCTGTCTTTCGCTACGCAAAATTTTTAGGGTAAATTGGCTTCAAGACTAAAGCTTTGCAGATCACCAGTTGAAATCAGTCAAGACCATTATTGTACTCTGTTTTTAATGTACGTACACCAGATCAAAACCATTATCCTATTCATATGTGTTGTTGAGTATGTTTTGTTTGTACGAATCATTAACTATACAATCAGGATGTTGTTCTGGTACATATACATTCCAAGTGTTAATTTGGAGGATCATCTGTGGCATTTCTCATCTTCCTCCCTGGTTTCTGATGCTCCTGAAAGTGCTGATATTTAGAGGAAATGCTCTGATTTACATCAAAGGGGCCGCATTTTTTTCATTGGCCTACTTTTTCACGGCAACACTCTCTCCCCCAGGTACACATTTCACGTGCTGAGGAACTCTGTCGCCCCCTCTCCGCTCATACAAGCCAAGCATCTGGACAGGATGGACCCCACGACTAGAGACCAGTGGATTCAGGAATGGAGGAGCTTCCGCGGTGGAAGACCAGTCAGACGCTCCAAGTTGGATACCCCATCCTCTTCCACCCTGGAGGCCCCGGACTATTATCCTGAGCCATTATCTGTTTCTGATGCAATGGGGGACGATCTCACATTGAACGCTGTCACTGTGAACTTTCAGAGGCCTGTGCAGACATAAGAAACAGGAACAGCTTGATAAGAAAAGAAGAGCACTATGATGATTATTTATTCAGGAAACTGTAAATATATGATCTGCTTCATGAGTGGAAATGTAGAAATGTTTAATTTTTAAAAATGTCATAAGGGAGAAATACTCAGCTCCTCCTGACGGGAGCTATTTTAGCAATAAACTGCTTTGATAAAAGCACGTAGGCCCTCTTATGCCCTCCTCATGACAAACTAACACATAAGCTTGTTACATTCCTGATGGGTTTTCTGCACACAGTGGTAACCCAATTAGTCATGCATCACACCCTACCAGAAAACAACACATTTGAGAGCAACAAATGCCAAGCTGATTTGATATGTTCATGTCACCCTTATACCCCAAACAGTCATAAAGACTAATCCTGTGTGACCTGGAAACGGACACACTTTTAAATGTAATTAATACATACAAATCATATCAATTTCTTTTGCACAAGCTTGTACGTGTTTGTATGTTGAGGGAACGTCTACATCAAAAGGATAGCATTTTTAAAGCATCTGAAGGAAAGCCTTGCAAGCTGCATAGACTGATACATTTTTTTATGGAAATGGGGGTGCGCAAGTGAATCCACATGTAAAAATGGCTGATTTATCATAGGCATACTTCATTATACAGTAGCAGCTGCTCTTATATAAGGACTTCATGCCTACAGTTGATCAATTGCTGCCCTCTAGTGCTTAAAGAAACAAGCTGCAAAAATATTACACAAAGAAAGTCGAAACATACCTAAAAGACAGACACCTGTTTTCATAATCATTTTCATATTAGTAAATTATACAAAACGATCATTTACACTGACTTGCCCAGCTTGCCCATGACTGCAAAACTTCCATTGAAAAAACAAGTCAAAATTTTCTTACAATGAACACAATGAACAAATCTTAAAAGATTGTGGTAAAGTGGCACTGAATGCTGTAGGTCTCTAATATATAATGTCTTGAACATTTTTCCCACATAGAAAACAAAACAAAACATGATGAACACCACTATAAGCCGTAAAGCTAAAAGCCCCCTATCTCAAATACAGCAAACCATTGTCAGCCTCAGTCAATAATCTAATACATAAGTAATTTAAATCTCCATTAAAAAAAGAAAACCCCTCTTAAATCTCATTTTAAAATTAACTTAGCTAAAAAAAACACTTCTCTATGTCACTTTGTGCAGGCAACGCTATCACGTCATGGGAAGAATATTACACTTAGATTTTTCAGTACAACAAGGTGAGATTCTCACTAGCTTCAGGTGCAGACCATGACATTAAGCACCACATTAAGTGCAAAAATATAAAAGGAAATTAACGTCAGGAGTGGAAAAAACTAAATCAGTGAGTCTGCTAAAAATATGATGCTGCTCAATGTGAAACGTCAAAGTCCTCACAGAAGCGAAAACACACAAAAGGTAACAACACAAAGACTCATTGTGTTTAACCTGAAGGTGAGTGACTCAAACTCTTTGAAAAACTCTACTGATTCAGCTCAGGATCAGCTCACCAAGGTGGAAAGCAAGTGTGACCTATCCTGGGAATATCTCTAATTTAACATGAGATTCTAAAATTAAAATAAAAAGCAAAAATTAGTCAAATGAGCTGCAATGCACATCAACAGCCAGCAGTGTCCATCATCACAGGCAGTGGCTGAAAACTTACACTGACCATTTTTACAAACAATACCAGTTCTAGATAGAAAGCCACAGACAGACAGACAGAAAGCAATCCGTCTAATTTTTTTTCATGAGAAAGAGCATTTTCAAACAGCTTTAAATTCAATGAAAGCCAAAGTACGTAGGAGAACTTCAGAAATCAGCCTCTTTCCACAGAGCCGAGCAAAGACATTTACTGTCCAAAACCTCAGTTGAACAGCCAAATATCTGCCGTCATGCTCTCCTTATTCAGTGCCCTCCACTCCGGGTTCGTGTCAGTCTACCAGGTGGGCATCATGTCCGGGAACCACATGCGTCCCAGGTGCTTCGACACCTCGCTGTGAATCTGCTCCATGTTGTAGCTGCTGTCCGGGATCAGCACCTCCTCCATGATGGACAGTTGCGTCAACCTGCCCCCGCACATTTTCACAAACTCCACAAAGCCGCTGCAGGTCACTTCGCACTCGCCCAGCCCGATGGCCGTCAGGCTTTTGCAGCGCTCTGCGATGCGGATCAGCTCTTCGTCCAGGGGTTCCAGCCCGTTGGCGCACACCACCAGCTCAACCAGCCGAGGGCAGTTCAGCCCGATGCGGCCCAGCATCTCTTTGCTGACTGCCCGGCCAAAGTACAGGTGTGTGACTGGGGTCTCCTCGCAGAAGAAGGGCTCAAACTCCTCCTCGTAAAGGAAGAAGTACATGACGATGTTGACCTTGGGGGAGTGTCGGACCAAAGCCTCCCAGCTGCTCCGCTTGATGGTGTGAAAATGAGTCTGACCGGGGTTTTCGCTCACCACATCAATGCGCAGGTGTTCCAAGTGGACGTGTTTTTCAGAGGAGAGGGCGAGTAGGAGCTCATCACTGAGGAGATGGTAGTTCAATGCCAGCTCCCTGAGGCCATGGCACTGGTCTGCAACACACAAGATGCCTGCAGAAAGAAATGAATACCATCTAAATATTACAAATGACAGTCTATACCCCTCATTATTTGTTATAACTCTCAAATAGTTTCTAAATAACAGCAACGCAAAACTGTAAAATCCTTTTTAATAACCAACCTGCTGGGGACACATGAGGACAGCTGCTCATCTTCAGCAACTTCAGAGTATCACTGTTGTTGGCCACCAGCACCTTCAGGGATGGATCATCCACTGGGGTGTCATCAATTTTGATGGAGGACAGGGACTTGGAGTTCACAAACACCACTGTCAGTGCAGACACAAAATGTGCCTGAGGAAAAAAAAAACTGGTTAAATAAGGACTGACGGTTGGGTAAAAATCACTAGTCAGAGTTTTCAACTTGATACGTATACAGCAAACATGACATGGTTGTGGAGCACCAGCTTACTTGAGACACGTCCATGAAGCTGGGCCGCGCTGTAGAAATCAGCCCCAGGGTTTTGATGGTACAGTTCACCAGTTGGGAAAGAATGTCACAGGCCGCCTCTGCAGATTCTGTGCAGCTGTCCACCTGGTTCGCCAGCAGCGATTTCCCATTTTTGGTAAAGACAAACACGCATAAAATGAAGGTGTGGAAATACTGAGGTGCAAAAATAATCTCATTTTATTAAACCCGTTAATGCCAAGACAGAGGATGTGTCATGGTGGAGCAGGTGGTTTGGCTTAAAGAGGGAACGTTTTGTATTTAGCTCTGTCGCCGTAATGACGGGGGAGTTCAGAGGAGGTAAAGGAGAGAGGACATGGGCAGGGAGGCTCTTACCTTGAAGCTGACGTACTGCAGGTGCTGGGCGTGCCTCTTGATGATCTGCTGAATGAGGTCAGGGTGAGTGGAGCGCAGATAAGAAGTGGCAGGCTGATTGAGCTCAAACTCAAACCTCCTCCACAGGTCAGGGGTGTGAAAGACGTCATTCCAGCGCCGGCACACAGACGAGGCTCTGGCCCGGTCAACCAGCGACAGGTGCTGAAAGATCTGCAAGACCACGTGGTGGGGGAGGTTACCCCAGTCCTGACGGGGAGACGACGCAAAAGCGCTCATCATCCACTTCTGCCTCTTAATGGGCTCTTCATGGGAGGGGAAGGCGTGGCACTTGGTTTTCAAACTTCTTCGCTTCATTCTGCAGGTGGTCTACTGCAATGGGAAATGAGAATTACAAATAAAAATAATGAATAATTGCAAGGTTTTAATCATTGTATTACTGTTTATTTCTTTGACCAAGCTGCTTGTCTGTAAATAATTACAACACGTGGAGATGTTTGAGGTAGCCAGGACACTGTCCAATTTAGCTGTTCAGGAATGATTACAATAGTTCTCTGGGGTGGTCAAAGCAGGAATCCCATTCAAAACGTATGAGGAGTCAATTGAAATGAGCTGTGTGCTCATTTCAGATTGTATTACGAATAACTTGACCATCCACCTGAAAAATGTTTGTATTATCTGTCTACAGAGCATTTCCACAGTGGATGGCTCAAATAGTCATAAAGGCAAAGGAGAATATTATTGACAGTTGAGTAAAATGGGATGTCCTGTTACATGATGACAGTAAGCAGAACTGAACGAAACAAAGCTTCTCTATCTGTTTGCATAAACAAGAACAAACTACTATCTCCTGAACAAATGGCATTTTACAGGTTGTAGACTTAGCTAAACCATTGGTATTATTGTAAATATGCAAACACGTTGTGCTTAAACAGATTTTCTCCCTGTTTGCATGAACTATATTGAACAGTCTATAAAAACTTCTTCACATTAAAGGGTGGTGATAAAATGTCTAACAACCATCTTTGCCAAAAAGCATTTTTACTTTATTGTGTTTACTTACTTTTCATGGACAAAACCTACTCTGAGGCTACCCACAACATCAAGCAGAAAATAGAAATACACAATCTGCCCACAGTGACTGGAAGGTTGAGCCTAAAAAACTAAGTCCATCACTTTGAGACATTTCTATCTGATACCCCTTTTTTTGTTAACTATGTTTAAGAGCAGCATTGCTCAACCATCAGCACATGGTTCCTCTGGTTACATTTAGTGCTGCCATTGTTACAGTAAATCACTTTGCAGTAAATGGCATGTCAAAACAAGCAGAAAGGATAAAGACACGCCGCTATAGTGGCTTCTTGTGTGGTTGGCCACACTAGAGCAAAAAAAAAAACCCCTTATTTATCTGGTGATCCTTTTTAACAGTGCAATCCCAACACAAAATATAGCCAAATAATAATGTTAAAAACACAGAAAATCTGCATTACTTACGCGTAACTGGATTAAGGACGAAACTTTCTATCGGTGTTGAGCTGACGGCGGTTCACTTGGAGGCATGGCCGGAGACGACTGGAGACTGTGCCGCTGATGTGGGACAGCAGCAGGAGCTCCCAGCTCCCGTAATAAGCCCCTTCCGCTTAGGCGACAGCTTGACAGGCACGGCGGAGCAGCCCGTACACGTGAGCTCAGGAAAACATGGATCTCCGCCCTGCTGCCACCGTCCGACGTGCGGAGGAGCAGATCAGAAGATCCTCCCCAACAAGATGCAAACGCCTCTATCGCGCATAGAAAGACGCATAACGCCTTTGTCCACGCCTGTGTGTTTACGTGGGGTCAGCGAGTGTGTGCTTCCCCGTCCTGAGCCGCGAGCAGATCGTTCGTGCACGCTTACGGCGAAAGTAGGTCAGTGTGTCAAAGTGTGCGCGTATGTGTGTGAAAGAGTGATCTTGATAAACACACTTGCATCCTGTGAAAACATGGCATTCATTGTAATAGTTTATCCTCTCATTTCTAACTGAATTATTGCTTATGACTTTGTTGATTCCAAGTCATGCACAAAATGAAGATAATAACTGTATCTCCAATGAGATAAATACAGTGATCTTATAATGAAAGTAGATGGAACTGATCATCTCCATGTTGTAGGTTTCAGCTATTTAGGGATTATTTATGTGTTTGTAACGTACCTTCAAGATGCCAAACAGATTTGAACATGCCATGTATTCACTTCACTTAAGTACCAGTTCTGAACTCATTCGTGGTGTGAGATAGTTATCTAGAATAAAAAGACATTGGGCTGTTGTGGCAGAAAATTCAACAGTAATTAGTCAGACTATGAAATTTCCTTCACTACTTAATTAGGACAACCAGTAGTTTTGTGGATAGAAGTCTGGTGGATGAGTCACAGTGTTTTGGAAGACCACTGGGTCTGGGTGAACCACCTTTGATCTTTGACACGTTTGGCTGTGTTACTTTAACTCTGTTGTGAATAATCCCAAAGCATTCCAAAGCAGAAAGTCATTTTTTTCTTTTTCACCTCTGTTGCCTCAAACCTGTTTCACAGGGTCGGGTCTTATTTTTCAAACAGTGTTTGTTCTCTTTCTTTCTTTCTTTTTTAAACAACTGACTTGGCAACCATATTATTTTCACTGTGTCGATTTTAAGTTTTGCAAAGTTATCATTTATTTTTTTTAAATGAACCATGCTCTTTGCAGGCTTTGAAAGACTGAATGAAAATTATGAAAGGACGGGAAAGCCGAATTGTCCTGAGTGTGGTTATGAAAACACTAAATGTTGCCCAGTTCCATGCGGCTCATCTCATCTCATCTGAGAGCCTCATGCATTTACCGGAAAACCATGTGCTCGAGAACGCCTCCCTTCAGATTCAAAGTTAACTAAACAACACATAGTTAAATGACTGAAAAAACATTGTTTCTGGACAAGGACGGGCAGCAAGATCACTGTGATATGTTGATCTGAAATATTCAAACTTGGCTTGAGACCAAAATTAACCTTTAACTGTGGGACAATGCCTTACGTTTCTGAGGCACCAGTTCACGTGGAGGTGCTTTCAAAGACAAGCTATTACACCTAACTTTCCTTACAACAGGGAGGCTGACCCCGAGGACTACACTGTTAGGCTAAGACGAGGGCATAGAAGTCAAATGAGAAGAGGGGCGCTTTAAAACCGAGGGACAGAAAATATATTTTGTCCAGTATTTTGTCTTGTAGGCTTTGCAATTTCTCAAACTGTGCTTTCTGGTAAACGATATCCATATTCAAAGATTAAAATCTGCTTAAAAAAAAACTACATGTCAATTTATATTCAAACATAGTAAGTTTAAACTGTGGACTGGTTACTGTTATAACTGCGAACTACAGTATGTGGCGACAGTACAGCCTTCAAGAAATTACGGAGCAGGACTTTTGCCCACGGTACGGCCTCAGTCCTCCACTCAGGCCCCGCCTCTCAGCGCTGACGCACCGCAGCGCTGTGGCCAGGCTCGTCGGCTTCAGAAAAAAAGAAACGAAAACAGAAAAGCTTTTCTGTAGCCCTTGGAGAAAATTCGCAATTCATCACTGCCAACTGTTCGGCACATTTGGAAGAATGCCGCGGCTTGTCCACCGGCTGACCTGTAACGTAGGGTGAAAGGAAGACGCAAGCTAGCATGCTAACCGAATCGAGCCACGCAACCTGACAGTCAACGTCCGATAGCCCCTAGCTAACGAGTTGTCTCAGTTTGTCTGGAGAAGGTAAGAGTTGATCCATTTTTAATGTCAACCTCAAAAACAGATGTGTTTAGCAGACTGGGTTGCTGTTTGTTACGTGAACGAAGGATGGCTTTTTAAGATAATATGATTTAACCGGCTTTCTGCCTGTTTGTTTTTTTGTTGTTGTTGTACTTTGTCATTTTTAAAAAAAGGTTGGTGACAGCTAACATATACAGAACTTATTATTGTTATTGCATATTCATTGTTTTTCTTTGTCCGTGTAGCACGTTCCTAACGTGCCATCAGATCATTTAAATTCATAAGCATGAAACCCTCGTCACCCAGCAGGCAAAATGTCACTGAATATTACTTAGAGGCTTGAGCTAAATATAGGGGATGCTGGGTGGGTGACTTACCCTGAAAAAGAGGAACTAATATGTTTCCCTGATTTGGCAGTTTTTCCTTAACAGACAGACAAAAACACTTTTCTGCCATTCACTGCTTTCAGTCTTGTTTTGTGTTTTTGTAATATCGACCCTCAACCTATTTTTCACCTCATGTCACTTAAATTTTTCTGAAATTGTTGACTTATTTGACCATAGAATAACCATGACTGTGATTTTAGAAGATCATTTGAAATATTAAATAGCATTTGTTTGACAGTAAAACAGTTAGATGGTCATATGATGGTTGCCACCCAAAACAAACGGGAGACCGTATAACAAAACGACAATGAGATCCATAGCTGTAATGAAGGGGATCATTAATGGAATGTTTTTGATCTTTGGTACTGACCTTATAGATCCGATAGCTGGAATAAATCCATAAAAAATGGTAGTACAGAAATAAACATTACCCTAACCCTAACGGAAATGGCAGTGGAGATCTGGTTGTCTCTCTTTGATTGGACTAATATTGCCTGTCTTAAGTGATCATCTTGTCCTGTTTTATCTATTAGGTGTCACAACTACATTAATATTTTATTTTTTTTCAGTTAAAACTCATGACTTGAGATATATATATATAGTGTTGTCTGTAAGTTGCTGGTCAACTCTGACTCGAAGGACTTACCAAGCTTCTCTACATTTAATCATTTCCAAATTCTAGGCTCAATAAAGGACATCTTATCTTTTCTTATCTTATTTCATCTTATACTATCTTCTTATTTGAACATTTCCCTGTTCTTGTCTAAATCATAAAGAGGGTTTTTTCATGCTTTTGTGCTTTTAGGCAAAGCAGTCATGACACAGACGGTCAGCCTGGGCTCTGTCTCCCTAAAAGTGGAGGGCATGACTTGTGGCTCTTGTGTCCAGTCCATAGAACAGCGGATTGGGTCTCAACCAGGAGTGATACATCTAAAGGTAAATGCTGTCTGTGCACTTTAGGTTATGTTTTTAGGTGCTGTACCTTATATTTGAGGAAATTTAGAATTTCACTTTAACTTTATGAACGTGTCTGACGTGACTTTTATTGATGTCCTTACTAAAAAAACAAAAACAGAAATATATCCATTAAGCAAACCTTCCTGCTTATTGTAAGGTTTAATTGATTGTTTAATGTTACTCCCTCTGGACTAGGCCTTCTAATTTACAATTGAATTGCATCAGCCAGTCCTTGAGAATGAGCATAATGGTAGCAGTGGTGGCCTGCTGTCCATTTTGCCTGTGTTTACCCCTTAGGCTGAGGTTAAATGGGAAAATAATTTAATAGTTTGTTCCAGATAAGGCTCTGCCCTTTGCAAGACTTTGACAGCAGGTCGATACGAACCCTCCACCCACAGGAAGTTGTGGTGTCTTAAGATAATTTAGTTCTTGGATCATATTGTTTAACTTGTGTAGAAAATATCACAGAAAAATGAATAAATTAATTTTCTCATGGTAGAATGATCACTGTCACTTTCTTCTTACCGCTCACTTTTAGAATAGGCAAAAAAAGGTTAATCCCATAGGCAGACACAAACTTTCTCACTACTTCACCCATTGTGTATTGTATGTTTTTCTTTTTTTAAATTAACTTGTGGAAAGTCAGGTGATCCTTTTGAGCATGTCACATGTTTCTTTCTTGCTCAAGAAGGAGAGCTGAGGGTCATCACGCTGAGAAAACATGTTTAAGCTGACCCAGGCCTCCTTTTACCCGTTTTATGTCTTTAAGGCTCGTTGTTGAGATGAGTCACTTTCCCAGTCAGGCAGTAAATGCTGATAGATTAGGTTGTGATTTAAGATGTGGGGTATGACCATGTCAGATTATTGGGATTTCAATGTTTGAACTTAGTTCATGTTAAACCTCTCAAATAAGCATGTTTATCCAGATAACCATCTGAGGCTGGCATTTCACCAAAGTCAAACAACCCAGCATTAAAGGATTAACGTTGCTACTGGAAAGCATATATTGGGTCATAAGTTGGTTTGTTTCGATTTTCACGTGTGTCTTTCTAAAGTCTACTTCAATTTTTATTTTTCAGGTTTCTTTAGAGGAGAGAAGTGCCACTGTCATTTTTGACCTCAGCCAACAGAGCCCTGAGTCTTTGTCTGGAGCCATCGAGGACATGGGCTTTGAGTCCAGCGTACCAAATGGCAGCACAGCCACACCAGTATCTACAGAAACCCATCTGATCCCTACCTTAGGCATGACACCTGCTGCCCAACAGGAAGCTTCGAAGAAGCTGTCGCAAATTCAAGGAGTGCTGGATGTCCAAAACAGCCCACCATATAGGGGTCTCATTGTCACTTTTATTCCCTCCCTGACTTCTGCACAGCAATTAAGTGACATGGTGGGAAATGTTACGCCTCTGGAGATCCAAGCACCCAGCAGCCCAACTCAAAAAGGCCTAAAGGTTTCTCAATCCGACACTATGGGAGGCGGGGTTGCACTTTTGAAGTTATGCATTGAAGGAATGACCTGCCACTCTTGCACAACCACTATTGAAGGAAAAATCGGAAAACTGAAAGGAATTGAAAAAATCAAAGGTAATGGACTTCATCTTTTTGTCAAGTTTGTGTTCAACAAGAGTTTTAGCTGGCATGCTGCACAATGTATCTCACATTTTACCACTGTCATATCATGACACCGGCTCTGTAGGTTCACACCTGAGTGTGTCCCAAGTGGGTTTAACTATGACTCATGAAATCCATTCACTGCTATTGTTGGAGAGATTGACATATAGAAGATAATAGGATTATGTTTGCTGAATGGGACGTGTCATTGTGTTGCAGTGACCATTCGAGATACATTTACTCGGACTGACTTTTTTAAAATAGTCTAAAAAAAAGACATGAAATCCGAAGCTGAAGTAGAATATTTGTGTAAAACTTATTTTATAGATAGAATGGATTTGATCAGATCATTTAGAGAACGAGGTGAAACAAATGTTTTTGTTTATGCAAAGTAAAAGTGAATTGCGGTCGTCTGCCTCTTTCAAAGTGTGAGCCAAACCAAAAAAGAGCAAATAATTCAGTAACAGCCATGTAATAAGGATGAAGGAGTTTCTAACCCTTCTTGGTTAGACTGTGTAATTTGTTCTTCAAGCCCCAAGCGACACTAGATTTATGTCTGTAGTTCAAATTGTGCAGCCTTTTGGCTGAAATTAAAGGCAAACTAGATAAACCTTACAGAACATCTGGGAAATGTGCAGGCAGACTGGTGTCTGAATTACATTGTGCAGATATTTTAAAAGTTTCACTCGCTGTAAACTTAGTGACCACTGGTGGTTGTCTGATTGTCTTCATGAGCCCTCTTGTGAGCAGAATATGTAACAACATATTCTAGCATATTAACTTGTCAGTGGTTCCAGCCAATAAGATTTTTTAAACAGTCATGATATTTTTATTTGATACACATGCTTGACCTGACCACATCTAGAAAACATGCTCATGTTAAATATCTGGGAATTCCTGTTTAAGAATAGTAACTGGTATGAGCCTCCTTTATCTACCAGGAGCAGAGGGCTTTGCTGCCCCAATTGAATGTGTTACCTTTAATATTTGAATTTATGAATGTAGATAAAAAGTCAAATTATTCTTATGAAAAATCTCTTTCTAACATCTTTATCTCTTTGTAGTAACACGTCTTATTGTGAAATTATGGCTCCATTTTTTTCTTTTGCTGTGTTTTAACTTTAAAATGTTTCCCTCTCTTCCCTCTCCAGTTGTTTTAGACTCTCAGGAAGCCATGATTGTCTATCTGCCTTACCTCATCACAGTCCAAACCATCATTGAGCAGATTGCCACGGCAGGATTCAAAGCTTCTGTCAAATCCAAGCCCCGCCCCCTGCAGTTTTCCCCCAGAGACATGGAGCGCTTTGCTGATTCTCAAAAACCAACAGTTTCCTCGCCATCGGAGATATCTGATGAAACCGAAATCTTTATAGACACCACACTTGTTGCGCTCAGAGTTAAAGGCATGCACTGCTCTTCCTGTGTGCGTAATATTCAGGACAACATCTCCATGCTGCCTGGTGTCTCCTCTGTGGAGGTCTCGCTGGAAAAGGAAAAGGCCTCCATCTGCCACGATCCTCTGAAGATCACGGTAACACAGCTGCAGCAGGCCATTGAAGCACTTCCTCCTGGAAACTTCAGGACCCAACCCTGGGATTCCTCCAGCCCTCTTTTTGCTGTTCCCACATCCACTGCCTCTTCTGTTTCACCACCAGTGTGTTCACGGACAACCCAAGCCAAACCTGCTGCTCCACAGCCTTGTTTTACCCAGCCTCTGGCATCCATAGCTAAAATTCACATTGAGGGCATGACCTGCAACTCCTGTGTGCAGGCCATTGAAGGCATGATCTCTAAAAGGAAGGGGGTGGTGTCAGCACAGGTTTCTCTGGCTGAACACCAGGGGGTGTTTGAGTATGACCCTCTCCTGACCACACCAGAGGACCTAAGGGGGGCCGTAGAGGATATGGGCTTTGATGCATTCCTTCCTGGTAAGTGAATAGATTATACTGCAGTAGCCATCTCCCACACAATAAAATGCCCCCAGTCAACAGGATGATTGTGTATTGTCAGAGATTTCCTAGCAGATATTTTATAATTATGTACGGCTTCCTTAAATCTTGTATTTTTGAGTTAGTTAACAAAAGAGCTTTCTCTTGCTTCAACAACAGCAGTGGGCTGGTACTTAGACTGTATCACATCAACCTGCAAATAACTTTCTGTTTTCTTTTCTCTTTCTTTAACAGAGACAAATTCCCTGCTGCCTGTATCAGATCCCATTCTGACAAGATCTCTAAGTACAACACCTGTACAAAAAAAGGAGATAGACAGCGACCCCTGCAACGAAACCCCTCAGGGACGCACTGGGGACACACACTCTAAATGTTACATCCAGATTGGAGGAATGACATGCGCTTCCTGTGTGGCAAACATCGAGCGAAACCTTAAGAATGAAGCTGGTCCGTTGATATTCAAATATTTAAAATGAATTAAACATGCATTTTTATTTGATTCAGGTTGGTTCAGGATCCTAAACAGAAAATCTCCAATGTTTACAGGTATTTACTCTGTTCTGGTCGCACTAATGGCTAGTAAAGCAGAGGTTCGGTACAACCCTGAAATCATCGACCCTCTGACGATAGCCGAATGTGTGAAAGAGCTGGGCTTTAGCGCCTCGGTCATGGAGGACTATGAAGGCTCAGATGGAAATCTTGAACTTGTGGTGAGTCCCTTTAAGGCTAGCAAGACACGTACTGCACAGTATTTTCTTTTTTTTATCAACCAACCAATTATTATTAATTTATATTGAATCAGAATGGTGTAGAGAACAAAAGCAAGGAATAAACTAAAAATAGAAAGAAAATTTAGATTAAGGTTGCATTGGTATAGGTAATTAACAGTATATAACAGTAATATATTGTAAAAAAAAAAAAAAAAAAAAAAAGAACAACACTAAAGCTTTAATTATAAAAATGCATGGCTAAATTATAAACTACTAACAATTTTATTAAGTACAAAGAATATGAATTAAAAAAAACTGACAAATGAAAGCATCACATTTTTTGTCTGGAAAAGTGTGCAGTCACAGACAGCTCGTTTGATAGTTAGGAGCTAAAATATCTTAAATGTTTTCATGACGGATCGAATGAATCTTGCTCGTTCTTCATGTGTTTTTGGCTCTTTAACTGATTGACTGTGGCTGTTAACCTTCTTTCAGGTGAGGGGGATGACATGTGCCTCTTGTGTTCATAAAATTGAGTCCAACCTCGTGAGAGAAAAGGGGATTATATATGCTTCTGTTGCCTTGGCAACCAACAAAGCCCATGTTAAATATGATTCAGAAATTATAGGCCCACGGGACATCATCAAGCTGATTGAGGTACTGCTAAAGCTTCTTTTTCTTCCTGCAGAATTTAGCCTTGAAGAATTCTTCATTGTATGTTTACAGACAGCATTCGGTTTCAGTCTTAAACCATTTTTTGTTTTTCAGAACCTGGGATTTGAAGCATCTCTGGTGAAACGAGACCGCTCTGCCAGTCACCTGGACCACAGCAAGGAGATAAAGCAGTGAGCAGCCCTACACTTTTTTTAAATGTTGTAATTCAGTGTCTACTTTATACTTCCATATTTAGCTGAAACCTTTACTCTTGTTACATTTAATGCTTTTTTCTATTTCCTTTATGTAAACGATGACTCAGCTACTTGCTTTAGGACAGACTAAAAAAAACCTGTAGGAAGGCAGTAAAGCCCCCACATTACAGAATAATTCCTGTTATGGCAACAGCCAGTCACTTCAGCACAGTGTTGACTTTTAGCATTATTGGGCTAATATCTTGCCTTGGATAGATATAATTGAAAGTTTAGGGAAATATAAATATGTTTATTATATGGACACTGGTTTGTGTCCATATTATAAAGCATTTTTAATGCTTGATGTTCTTTTATAGTGACCCTTAATAGCTGCAAAGCTCCATCGTGTAACTCCCTAACCCAGAAATATTTGTACTCTTTAAGGTGGAGGAAATCCTTCTTTGTGAGTTTGATTTTCTGTGTGCCTGTAATGGGCATGATGATGTACATGATCATCATGGACCATCAGATGAATGTATCCCACCATCACAACGCTACACTGGAGGACCGCAATCATTATCACTCCACCATGTTCCTGGAGAGACAGCTGCTTCCAGGGCTTTCCATCATGAACCTCCTCTCCTTCATCTTCTGTGTGCCTGTACAGGTAAACCACAGGGATTTTAGATGGTGACACACAGAAGTAATCAGTCTTAAATGTTTTTGATTCTGGAGATAAACTAGTTTTCTGTCTGTCCTCTTCTTAGTTTATTGGAGGTCGCTACTTTTACGTTCAAGCCTACAAAGCAGTGAAACACAAGTCCGCCAACATGGATGTGCTGATAGTGCTGGCCACTACTATAGCCTTCAGCTACTCGTGTGTCGTCCTGTTGGTGGCCATGGTGGAGAAAGCAAAAGTCAACCCCATCACTTTCTTCGACACCCCTCCGATGCTCTTTGTCTTCATTTCACTGGGACGCTGGCTGGAACAGATTGCCAAGGTTTAGCTCATTGTGATTATTGATTACTGTTATGTTTCAAATGAACTTTCCTAAACCCATAGACTGTGTTAGTGACAGCTGAACTATTTTATGTGCTTCTTTTCAGAGCAAAACATCTGAGGCTTTGTCCAAACTCATGTCTTTACAAGCAACTGAGGCCACAGTGGTCACTCTGAGCAGTGATAATTCTATTCTCAGGTACTCTTTGTTCCTCACACCCATAAGTCAGATCTAAACTTCATTTCATAACTGATCTATAACAAAATCATTGCAACGGAAATTTTGAAGAAGCTGCAGGTCATTTCCTTTGTGAGAATAAAGCAAAACAAAAATGTTCTCCAAATCAAAGCCTTCATGCTCACTGTAAAGGAATTTCTCTCTAGGTTTATCATATGTTCATCCAGGTTGTCTTTTCCTAAAAGATGCCACAGTGTTGTTGAATTTTTTTTTGTTTTTTGTCACTTGTGCGTGTCCCAGTGAGGAGCAGTTGGATGTTGAGCTGGTGCAGAGAGGTGACGTGGTGAAAGTCGTCCCCGGGGGGAAGTTTCCAGTTGATGGGAGAGTAATCGAAGGTCATTCCATGGCTGATGAGTCCCTCATCACAGGTTAGTTGAAGTGACATCTGCAAAGTTTGCTTAATGGTCTCATATCAGAATTAATGCTAACAATATTATGAAATAAAAAGTTCCTGAATGTATGTTGTGGTCACTTTAAAGAAGAAGATTTGAGAACCTAAACATCAGATGCATCTTATTTCCATTTTTTAGACTATTCAGTCTTTTGTTTTTTGCAATGGCAGTTTTGATATGCTTTTGCTATGGTTGAAAAAGCTGTTCTGATCTTTATTGCTTTATGTTAAAGCAGTGTGGCTGATAGAGGAGATGTGTTCTGCTGATGTCCTGTAATGCTTGTAATTCAGTATTTCTATCTATGCATTAATACAAAAAGTGCCTAATTTAACCTAATTTGCAAATGTTTTGAATAAAAAAGCAGAAACTTAATTGTGTGATGGTTCCACAGCAGCCATAATGACAAAGTGTCCCTGCCGCTGTCATTTGAGCTTTGCTTTCAATGTTTCCTCCAGGTGCACCGCTGCCGTTTCTCTCTGCCTTTCATGTGTTTTTCTGATCTGCTGTTGCTTTCTCATTTCAGGTGAGGCCATGCCGGTGACAAAAAAGCCCGGGAGCTCTGTGATTGCTGGCTCCATAAACCAGAATGGCTCTCTGCTGGTCAGCGCCACTCATGTCGGCATGGACACCACCCTGTCACAGATTGTGAAACTGGTGGAGGAGGCTCAGACATCGAAGGTGACTTATGTAGTTTCAGATTTGCACTCTTGTAAAATCCCTTGAGTGTTAAATATCTTGTGTATCACTCTTATAGGCTCCCATCCAGCAATATGCAGATAAAATCAGTGGCTACTTTGTCCCCTTCATTGTTGGCATATCTGTCCTAACACTGATCGCCTGGATCGTCATTGGGTTTCTAGACTTCTCTCTCGTGGAGATGTACTTTCCCGTGAGTAATGTCTTGTTTAGTTTAGTTCCTGTGTATGGAAGGAAGTGACATACACAAATGTCCTCTTGACATTACACACCACTCGGTGTCACAGCTTTGGAAGCACTGCTTTTCTTCTTCTGAAGACCAAAGTAGCTGTTTGGTTAGAAAAACTAACATCCGTGTTCCGTCTCCACAGGGTTATGACAAAAGCATTTCCAGAGCCGAGGCGGTGATTCGCTTCGCCTTCCAGGCCTCCATAACAGTGTTATGCATCGCCTGCCCCTGTTCCCTTGGCCTGGCCACCCCAACAGCTGTGATGGTGGGCACAGGTGTTGGAGCTCAAAATGGCATCTTGATAAAAGGAGGAGAACCACTCGAGATGGCACATAAGGTGGGTGGAAATGATATTCTAACACCTCCATCCATTATGTGCCAGAGCAGCTGTCATTGTCAATGGTCCCGGGGTCTCATGATGCAAAACTGATCACACATAGCTATTTCTGTAGATAGGATCAAAAATAAAAAAAAAGTTAAAATATTTGGTTATTTTCATCATGATTTATCACGTGTAGGTGCAATCGGTGGTGTTCGACAAGACTGGGACCATCACATATGGCGCTCCCAAGGTTGTCCAAGTCAAGATAGTTGTGGAGGGGAATAAGATGCCTCGCTCCCGTCTGCTGGCCATTGTGGGCACGGCAGAGAACAACAGTGAACATCCTCTGGGAGCAGCCATCACCAAGTACTGCAAACAGGTCAGTCTTTCCATGAGATTTAAACCAGCCCGCACCTCCTTTTCTTTCTTTTTTCTTTTCCCTCATCGATGCAACCGTTCTTATTTGCGAGCAGGAGCTGGGCACAGAGTGTCTCGGCACCTGCATAGACTTCCAGGCGGTGCCAGGCTGCGGCATACGATGTCAGGTCAGCAACACGGAGACTCTGCTGAAGCAGGTGGACAGTGACAGCGAGGACAACAACCAGCGCAACAGCATCCTCATCCAGATCAGTGACACCAGGATGTCCAGCACCTCCCATCCCCTCATCATGGATCCTCAGCCTCTAGGCATGTTGCAGAGGGCTCATCTGTACACAAATATTGTTACAGCTGCATTGATGTCATGTGTCTTTATACATGCAAATGTATATATATTTTTTTCTGTTGTTTGCAGACTCGGTTCAGACGGTCACCTACGTCGTCCTCATTGGCAACAGAGAATGGATGAGGAGGAACTGCCTGCAGATCCATCCAGACGTGGATGAGGCCATGACCGAGCACGAGCGCAGAGGATGCACCGCTGTTTTAGTGGCTGTTGACAGTGAGTGTTAATATTCATCAGGAAATTCCTTTTCCTAAGCCACCATCTTCATTAGAAATTATTCTGAGTTAGCAAACTTAAGGTTAGACATTTCATTTTGTCCACAGACTTGCTGTGCGCAATGATAGCCATAGCTGACACAGTGAAACCTGAGGCAGAGTTGGCGGTCCACACGCTCACCAGCATGGGTCTGGAGGTTTTCTTAATGACTGGAGATAACAGCAGGACCGCTCGGGCCATTGCTGCCCAGGTAAGAATGAAGTCCTAAGAGATTTGTAACTCCTGAGGATGCCAGGACATCTTAATCATTGTGTCTTTCCAAGTTTTTAAAATCCCAAATATTAAATAATGTCCATGTAAAAATGGAAATACATTTTCAAGATTTTCTGTTTGACGTTATTCCCTCAGGTGGGCATCAGAAAGGTGTTTGCCGAGGTCCTGCCGTCCCACAAGGTGGCCAAAGTGGAGCAGCTGCAGCAGGCAGGGAAGATAGTTGCCATGGTGGGAGATGGTGTCAACGACTCGCCTGCTCTGGCCATGGCTGACGTGGGCATCGCCATAGGAACCGGGACTGATGTGGCCATAGAGGCAGCAGACGTGGTCTTAATAAGGGTAACTTCTTGATTTTGAAAGCGTCTTGTGAATTCACATAACTGTGTCATAACAGGAAGGATCCAAAATGGGGAAAATCACTGCCTCACAACAAAAACTCGAGCTTTCTCCCTTTTCTATTTTGTGCCACCTCTCCTTCTGCCTGTTACCTGGAAACGAGCTGAGATTGCCCTCTTGAGTCCTCGCAGTACTTCAGGAGCACTCAGAAAGGATACACTTGTATAATTGTTGAAGTCTTGTGGACCACCATGACACATGATGTCACACTGACATGTTGTTTCTATCTCTGTCTTACCACCACCAGTCCAGATGTTTGACATAATATGACTTACATTAGTTCATTAGTCATCACAAACATATCCTGTTGTCCTCCCCTTCTCATGTTCAGAATGACCTGCTGGATGTAGTCGGCAGTATTGACCTCTCAAAAAAGACCGTGAGGAGGATCAGAGTCAACTTTGTCTTTGCTCTCATTTACAATCTGGTTGGAATTCCTATTGCTGCAGGTGGGTGGTGCAAAACAGGCGTTATGATTTCTTTCACTATAATATCATCCCATACACAGCAGGAGTAATGCAAACTTGGTGTTTCTTTAGGCGTGTTCCTGCCTATCGGTCTGGTGTTACAGCCCTGGATGGGCTCTGCCGCCATGGCGCTGTCGTCTGTCTCTGTGGTGTTGTCCTCTCTCCTCCTCAAATGGTAATTAGATGTTTTTCTCATGGAGTTGTGAGGTTACGTTTTGGAGTCTCAATCATTTTTCTGTCTCCAACTTTCTCCCTTTTTTTCCCCCGAGCAGTTACACTAAGCCGAGTGCCGAGAAGCTGGAAGCCAGACTCGGTAAAAGCAGACAGCAGGGCAGCCTGTCTGACGTCAGCGTTCACATTGGCATGGGGGAAATGCGTCGCCCCTCCCCCAAACTCAGCTTGCTGGATCGCATTGTCAACTATAGCCGGGCGTCAATCAACTCGCTGCGCTCCGACAAGCACTCGCTCAACAGCCTAGTGCTCAGCGAGCCCGACAAACACTCACTGCTGGTGGGGGAGACGCTGTGTGAGGAGGAGGTCTGCTGAGTTTGTGGAGCTCACACAGCCAGCAAAGACTTTCGTGTTCTGAACTGTAACCGCATTTGTTCAAGGCTGGACCGGGCTGAGTTGAAAGGAGTGCATAAATGATGGCCCATCCATCTGCTTTAGGTGCCTGAGGGCAGCTCTGTTTACTTGAAGGAAGCTTATATGTCTGTTGTTTTCTTTTAGCCCAAGCAGCAGATGACATGCACTTCAGCTGCAGACTGTCCTTTGTGGAGGTGACCGCCTCTGGGGGGCACTCTGACAAACCTATTGACACGCTGCTCTAGCAGCAAGAAGTCTTTGCAGAGCCTTGACGCAGGCTTCCACATTCAGGAACCAGAGTTTCCATCCTCCATGCCCCTGTGTTCATCTGCCTTTACCATCATTGTCAATCCAAAGACATTTACACAAAACGGTGCCCCTCCGAAGAGTGGACATGGCTAATTTTAACCAGTTTTCCTTGAAAGGAGAATAATTTCCTGTTGTATGACTATACATAAGACTATTTATTTTGTCATTATTTATCTATTTTCTTTGTATCCCATATGTAGAAGTTAAACTGCTAATGCAGTGTGAAAACAAAAAGTTGAATCCAAATGACAATTATTTTTGATTTTCAGTTTTCCAAAATATATAATTTCTGAGAATCGTCAGAAAAGAAAACACAGCCCCAGCGACCTTGTAACAAACAGCTAAACCTGACGGTTGTCAGAAAAGAAACCTATCAAATGAGCTGTAAAATCATTGTTACCTAAGTGCCAATTGAAACGCCACCTTGGCAAAGTCTAACACATTCCAAAGATAGCACCATACACAATTTTATCTCATACTCAGTGTACATGACGTTTGAGCAAAGGTCAATTATCCAAAGCAAAGATCTGAGGAAGGTTGGATGTCTGAACCTTTGATTAATGGCATAATACGTCTGTTATTCAATGTGAACATTATTCACTGTTCTATGTAAGCAGTAGTTGTTACATGGATGACACTGTGCCTGTATTACTTTAATTACCTGCTGAACACTGTTTGCTTTTAAAATCCTAAACTCTAGATACATTTATATCCTGTTTGGTTACAGTGATGATGACAGTGTTACTGCTCCTAAGACTTTCTTTTAGTGTCTAAGTAATGTCTGATCTTCAACATTTTTATGAGTCATGCTCTTGCATTTTATCAAAGGATCACAACTCCACCAGTTACTGAGATACAAGGTGTGATAAATTCAAAGTTTTTCACGAAATCTCATCAAATAATCTGAGTACACACTAGTCATATATTGTAATCCTTAGTGATCTTCATTGTTTTCTCCTGTGAAATCAATACGTTTGCATTAATTTGTTCAAATTCTCAGATGATTCCTCATGATACTCTGTAATCTCTGTCACGTCTTGCTGAGTTAAGCTCATGTCAATCTCATGTTTTTGTGCTAGTCTTTGTGAGGACACCTGTAGGACTTCAGATTGCAATCCATAGCTACTTTCATGTGTAGTTCTTCTGAATATCGTGTGCCTTGGAATAAAAAGCTTTTTATATCTGCTGAGTGGACCTTTGACCCAAAGGTGGTAGCATGGAGCTGCATTTTCACACCAGAAAAGACCAGTCTTAAGATTTCTGGAATTCATTTTATTCAGTTAGTTTAAACGTTACATCACTCCCAGTGTATCGCAAAAACTATCCAGTACAGTTTTTGTCATTTTTAAAAATTATTCGAATTAATGTATGATGTTAATGGACTTCTCTTTTTTTTGTTAGTTTGCATCACTTTGGCTGTGGTGATATTTAATTTCATTTGGTAGAGTTCCAGCTTGTGAATGTTGTCTTAGGTTGATTTTAAAACACAACAAAGGAGTTGGCTCTCATTAAATGTAGCAAATAGAAATATTTGTTTCATTGGGTAAAGTGAGATTTTTCTCAAATTTTTTCTTCCTCCATCACTGGTCGAGGGTGCACCCATTGTGATCAGGTAAGTGTTACAACATCGTGCTCTTCTACACTAACACCAGAAACACCTGGAGCTGGGAACAGAACTTGAACAGAACTCCTCTTTAAATCAGTGAGGAAAGCTCCAAGTCATCTTTATGACAACAGTGACCACCTAAAGTAAAGTTACTTATACAACCATCTATGGTGAGATTACAGTTCGAACATTTAACACTTTACCAAAATGACACAATGAGGGGGGGGGGATGGGTGGTAAAACTCAATTAATGCTCACAAGCTTCTTTCTGTATGAATTTCACTTAAAAAAAAATGTAAACATCTGAATTAAATGGAGCACATTTTGATTCACACTTGGTCCTTAAAAGTACATTTAAAATCACCTTAATACAAAATGTGGATTAGTTGCTTCTTACGGTTTGTGGCTTAAGGTCCATCTTTTTAACTTATCCCTGATTTAAACAATGTCACAATGGAATGTCGAGGCTCCCAAATGTGAAGTTATTGTATTACACACCCCTCAGAGTGGGAGAACACACTTCTGAGCTCAGATCACCAACTGTGTAAAAACACAGTCCACTTTCCACTGAATACTCACTGCTGTGGTCAAAGGAACAGAGAAGAAAATATTACAACACCCGACTGCAGCTGCTTAATCAGTAAACTGGCTCTGAGCTCTGCGATGGTGTGTGCTCGCCGAACTGGAAGCTTAGCACTGCGGAACATTGCAAAACACTGAGCAGGAGACTTGTTGGAAGTTCCAACATTCCTCAAATTCACCAAACTGAAATGTGTCGCAAAAATGTCCACAAAGCAGACTGAATTAGTGCTGGGGACGAGTCTGGCTTTTAAAACGGCAAGATGGGTTTTTCTGTTTTCCCTCCGTCCGCGACTACAAACACAGCTAGAGATGTGCCAAAGCGCCTAAAAATCAATATGATTAAGCTTCCACATCATTTTAAAATGTGTACAGTTGTGCTCTGAGAAACCTGCCTGTGTAGAACGATAATGGTTTACAGCCACCCTGGATCTGGTTTTGGAAATTAGGCTTTACGTAGTTGAGAACCAGTGTTCCTTTTTTAAATGTCAACACTTTTAGCCTTCTTAAACTGTGTGGCTTGGCTCCTATTCAGATTGCCCACAGTGGTTTGTTCATAGCGTGTCTGGCAAGCAGAATAAATAACATGACACAGATTGATTATCAAGAGATCAAATAGCACCATGTTGGCCCATGTGGTTCTGCCACCAGCGTTGGTTATAGGTTTTAAAATGAGTGGTTACAGCGGCCTGTTTGCTGCGACCCATTTGGCAAACGAGCTCAATCCAAGAGAGTTGAATAACATTTCAAATCAGTGTCAGAGGTTGTAATTCTTCTCATTTGTATTGTTTACCGCAGTTTAACAACATGTGAGTCCAGATTTGGTGAACGCAGAACTGCAGAACTGATTTAAACCAGACTTAAAGCAGGTAAGAAATAAACAGGCTGCCCACCTTGTGCAGGAGAGTGTGGTTCCACGGCAGCGAACGACCAACAAGTCACCAAATTAGAAATATTCAACAAAAACACTAGTCCACTTCAAATGTAATCATACACGGGGCCACTAAACATCTGCCGTGAAGAAAATGAACCTTTTCAGCCGGTCCAGTTGGAGAAAATGTTCTCTAACATTTGATTCAAATCAACTATCACAATTACAAAAGTGAACATCTGGTTATAAAGAGACTGACCGACAGTGAGGGAGTCAGACAGCCGACTGAAAGGTGGAAATGTGACAACAACTGAAACTTTGGCACACTGAATGAGGGGAGCTGGCAAAGAGGTGAGGACTGAGCCTGCAGCGGTGTCATGGCAGAGTTGGGATGAAGGGGCTGCACGCTCATAGCCCTTTGTTGAAGTAGACCCTCTCCACTCCGGGATGGCTGGCCCGGATTTTCTCCTGCAGCTCCGGCTCCAGGCGGCTGACTGACATGGAGCTGGAATCGGGTGAGGGGAGGAGGAATAAATGCAAGGGGTTAGCCGGTCAAACCCATCCAGAGAAGAAATGCGATGCAACCTCTGAGGCATAATCGAATCCTGCATGCTCTGAATTTGACCCGCTCACGACTTACTAATGTCTGTGTCGGTTTAGAAGTTTCACTCACCTCTTCTGAGGGAATAGTGCGCAGCACAGAGGAGTGGCAAACACCAGGCTGAAGGGAAACAGAAACACATGAAGGGGGGCAGGCATGTAGTGTGATAGTAGAGACTATCTTCATCGTCTCTACTTGTCTAAACGGACTTCAGCTGCACAAGAACGAGTGAAAATCAGTACATCTGTGCTTTTCTGCACTCAACTGCCTGTCGTGTGTGCTGGGGAGTGGGATGTGCTGCTAATCGCTTCATGTGAAGCAAAGGAATGTTGCACCCGCGTTTAAAAGGTCACACACAGTCGGCATGTACTGAATGGTGATACAAATGACCGAGCTTACTTTAAAATGTGTAATTTTCCTTTAAGAAAAAGGTCACAATTTTAAAAAGGATCTGCACATGAGAGCTTATCATGTTAACAACTCACCAAAATCCCACCAAGCTCACTTGAATGGGTGCGCTCATCCATGGGAACCTCTGAAAAGACCAGGCAAAAAAAGACTGAGGGACACAAAGGCAGCGAGCTCCCTTACTACAGTGGCCTCAGCAGTTTTCCTTCCCCTGATGTGTGGTTGGTAAAAACCCACTGCTCAGCCTCCTGGCCGACACCGGTCATTATTTCCTCCATTCCCCGATTCATCCCCTTGAAGAGTGCAACCAATGAAGTCATGCGCCTACCTTCAGAAAGGCCTTCTTTTCCAGATGGTTCATCAAAAATGGTGGGATTGCTGAAGGGAAACCAATGAAACATGACTCCACAAGTTATGTCACTTTAGGTATAAAGCCATTAGTTTTTGAATGATGGCAAAAGTCCTGCAGAAGGCGTCTAAATGAACTTCTGTAGCAGAGGCCCGTACCCATTCCTGGGGAGGCCATGAGGATCCTGGACACCACCACCTGAGAGATTGCCTGTTGTGCAGCTTTAGTCGACTCCCCTAACCTGTTGTCGTTTTCGTCTGTTACAGGAATACCATGTTGAAGCTCTCTGGAAAAAAGGTTATTTTAGGTTATCCGGAATTATTACATTATTAGAAGACACATTATAGATAGGTTGCAGTGGTCATACAGACATGACATAAGTACTGCACAAGGGCAAAATGATGAGACTGTATTCTAACACATTTGCTAAACTGAGAACTCAGATATACGGTGATGCAGTATTTCTAGTTAAAATATGACCCGATTCACAAGAGATGGAAGGAAAATTATTCAACAAATTAGGCAAAAAAAACTTTCACCTGCTTTCCTATCAACTGAGGAGAATTAAAGAGGCAGGACTATGTGATCATGATTGCCGCAGAATCATTTTCTCAATAAATAAACAATAAGAATCTTGAAGTTTTTTCATTCCATTATAATTTCTTTTTTTTTATGAAGAAACTAAATTATAGATTACCAAACTCTCAGGCCCAAAAACAAGATTTGACAGATTTTTTTCTCATAAAAATATTGTATTCTTAAAGTCAGAGCCATCGTGAGTGGATCCGCCGACATGAACGAGCGTGCGTCCTCACCTTTGTCTCATCAGAGGGATGTTGATACAGTTAGCAGCAGCGACGGCAGCAAATGGAACAAAGCGTCCAAACAGAGGAGAAACATGCTACAAGTGAGATAAGAGATGGACAGATGAGCGGGAATGGGGAAAAAACAAACAAAAACAAAGTATCTGTAAAACAGCTGAACCAGTCGACTTTTGAGAGCGGCAGAAGACCAGCCCTTTAAAGGATGGTTGTGCAGGCTGCTCTGCCACGCAAGGACCATCGCCACTAACAGCTGCCTGACAACATGCCGGGTTTTTGAGCACGTCCCAGTTAATAACATGGCTCCTCGGCGACTAACAGGCTCATTATGCGTGGCCAGCTCCGTGTCAGTCTGAGGCTGAGACTTTAAAAATGAGGTGAATGGGGTTAGATGAACTGATACCTTTGTTAGTGCATTTAGTCCTAGAGCGGTGACCACTGCCCCAGTGGTGGCAGACACATAAGCTGTGCCAAGCTGACTGCAAACGAGAGAATCACGGGGATCGTCAAACAGAAGAAATGTCTACACCAAAGCGGCTACATGAAAGGGTTAATGTGTCGGCCCGAGAGCAGCAGCCGGCCTCCTACCTCACAGTGATGGGGGCATCACCGCTCCTGTTGGTGTAGTTGACAATTGCATTGAAGGACTGATTGATCCACTGCCAAAACAGCACAGCTGGAGTCGTCCTGCAACCAGGACAGAAGACATTTAACGGCACTGTTTAAAAAAAAATCTGCATCCCTTTGGTTCAACGAATATTTCTGAAAATGTGTGTAGAAAATGTGTGTATCTGAACTCAATTCGGTCTTCAGAATCTTACTTGTAAAAGGTCATCATGCACCCGGTGATGGTCATGTTCATTGGAACCTGTGCAGACATACGGCCGATCAGGATCATCTTCTCTCCGGTGTCGGGGTGGAAGGCTGAGTCAAAAACATATTTGGCTCTCCACAGCTCATCTTCTGTCAGGTCTGGAGAGACTATGCCTTTCCTGCAAGCCCAGACAGGTAACACCGTGAATCAACCTCACCGGGTAAAGACAGAGTTTTAACACTGGAAAATCCAGCAACAGGCTAAGCTCATACACCCTCACAACACAACATAGAAAACCTGAAACATATAAGTTCATTTTTCATTTGATATGCTCTTATTTTAACATGGAACTGAAGGGACCAAAGACTTCTACCCTCTAAACAGTCCTGTGACGTATTTGTCAGACTTGTCATGCTACAGATGGGACACACAGCTTTTATTTATTCCTGTCTGATGGCTGAAGATCAGGCATCAAATGACATGTCCTTTAGCGAACTTACCTGTAGTCAGTGATTACTTTGTGTGCGTGTTCTAGTTGTTCATTGGTTAGGAGGATATTCCTGGGATCTGTGACAGTGAAGAAATGTTTGGCTCGACCTACAAATGTGCCCTGGTCCCAGCGGGGCTCCTTGATGTTTATGGAAGTCGATAGCTCTGCTGCCATATTTGTCTGGGAAAGGAAAACGTTACAATAGTCATGTATCAAAAGTGACAATAACTGTTGCCTCCATGTGTGCATTGTGTCCGGCCAACTGCCCGATGCTCCCCCGGGAGCCCCGCACCCTCCTCCAGCACCCCTTCAATCACCTCGGTGCTTATTTCTTCTGAAGGCACAAGTCAGAGAGGGAGAGCTGGTGGAATACAATGCTCCTTTTCTCCACTGCCACGCTGCTAATTCAGCACAATGTTGCCATGACGATAGCGTGACCAGACACAAGGTTTGTCAAGCACTAAATTGCGAAACCCCAGTAGTGCCCACAAACCCTCAAAGTGTGACTGTACAGCAGTGTGTGTGTGTGAAACTGTACACTGTAACGGACTGAGGAGGACCGGTTCCCATAATACATCACATGCTTTTGTTGGAACTATAACACGTTTAAATGAAACTTTTCTTTCCAACGTTGGACACCGAGAGGACTAGCTTGCTCTGAGTAAATGATAAACACCATCACTGTAAACGTGCATGCAGCACGCTCCCTGATGCTTGTGTGTGGGTCCATGTAACCCAGTCTGATCTGGTTTTTAACCATTTGTTCCTTGCCCCAGATAATCAGCAGTGAGGGGCGAGGACACCACGGTGCAGCCACCGGTCTCTGCAAGGACAAAGATGGCTTCAACAAATTATATCAAATAAGAAATTGTCTCTTTCTCTCTTTATTCTCTCTTTTTGGCTTTCTTTTACTGGATTTTGTTGGCTGTCTCTTTAAATAAACTCTGGGGTTCTCACTAGATGGGCATAGAGCACCTCCATGTCTGAGCCACAAATCACTGCTTTGGAGATTGTAAAGCAGTTGATTGTCCTTAACCCCCCTATTAATAGCATTAATATAACACCAAATCACCTATGAATGAGATATGGGCTGGGTGAACTTTGCACAGAGCCGGCCTTTGATCCATAAATGTTGAACTGCTTCTGCCCTCGCTCCCCACCAATGAACAGCAGCCTGCCTGGCCACATTAACATGAACGTTTGGGACAGCTCCTCACACATCATTCAAATATTCTGCCCATTCAGGATGACAACACGCCTTTTTAGTCCTGCACATGACATTCATTATGGCTGGAGAGGGGGGGAAAAAACGCTGTTTTTTTGGGTCTAATGTTGCGGGGGAAACACGTCCTGTGACTGAATACGCGTTATTGTCCAACCCGACGTAGACCAGTCCAATCTGGACTGCAACTGGAAGAGGGGTTCCCACATCTGGCAAAGAAAAAAACACCGACAGCTCTCTCGGGCGATGCCAATCCAGATGTGGTCGTTTTTTTTTAGCTTATAAGGATCGACATCTGTCTGCTCCGACCATTTTCCAGCTGTGCACCCCCAGATTCAACTGGTAACAGCGGGATTCTGAAGGAGCCTCACTGTCAAATCACCCCCCCCCCCCCTCGGTTTTCTGACACACGGTGGATGTTCACTTTCATCTCCCAGGACCCAGTCGTGATAAATGCACGGGTTACTTACTGCACTGTGGGCTCCGGGAGTCCGCAGAAGGTGTCCCTGTCAGGCTACAGCCAGCTAATTTTTCATGCAGCAGTCAGTACAGCCAGAGTGCACCCAGAGCCACGTCCCCGGATACCGGAAGCTCCCCCAGAAAGTAAAAGCCTTGCCTCAATATTCACCACGGAAAACACACTGTTCGAGAAGAAAGAGCCTTTAAAATACTATTCTAACTTAACTCGCTGGTTCCATACTGTTTAATGTGGGGGAGAGACCGTTTGAAATGACCAAATGGGTTTGTTTTTTAAGCCGTGCTAACATTTCTGAGGCGGGTTTCGCGCCATTTCCGCCCGCGTTCGGAGTAGAACTGCTGAATTGATTCCCAGGCGGTAAATCATTTATGTCTGTAAAAACTTTGGACAATTTCCACACACCCGAGTCTGCGTAGATCAAAGTGTCATTCATTAGCTAAACCATCGTTTTATAAAAGTAAAAAACAATCACAAACCATGTATCATTTCATTCGTGAGACATATTCAGAAAACAACCAAAATATTTCAAATATATATCTATCTAAGTGGAACAAAATATCAATTGGCTTGAAATTCCATATGGCCACTCAACAGTTTAAACAACATAATAAATCCGTTATGATATACAAAAGTAAAGTTTATTGCACCTGCTGATTATTACAGCGCTAATATATAACCTTTTTAAGTGTTTGTCTCCATCTAGTGGTAAGAATTGAGAACTGTAGTTAGTAATGCATTTACTTGTGCTTTAGGTGAAGAATTGAGCACTGAAATGTTCATTCTGATCAGCAGTGGATTTACTTACAGGATGAAGGAATACAGAAAAATCATTATCCATCACTCCTATTCAATAAAAGCAAATAAAAAAAAACAAGGACAAATTAATGTATCCATTGTTAAAATCTACTTCTATCTTCTGAGTTCAAGTAACAGAGAGAGGTCTGGTTCTAAAGCCAAATTAAAAATCTGGTCATCATAATCACTGTTGCACAAACATTACTGACCGTTACTCATTATTCATTGTTCCTGATAAGCCTACTGGAATTATAACAGCAGTATTTAGAGGGGCATTTGTTCATAGCCACTGATGGTTCAACACAAAAAACAGATCACTGTCAATGGAACATTGAAAATGTTGTTGAGCTTGATGTAAAATCATACTTTTTATGAGAGATTGAATGCTGTTTTTCCTCTGCTTCTTTATGGCATTCCCACCAAGGATTCTCACAGGAAGTAGTCTGTGTAAGCCGCATCACATGGAACTCTCCCCTGTGCAGCACAGGGTCAAACTGTAAGCTGAAAAGCAGCAGCCCCCTTAGTGATGTTTATTCTTAGAAAAAATCCAATCATTTCTAATAATAACAGGTAAACATCAAGATAACTGAACACCTGGAGAAGAATACACATACAAATGTTCATGTCATTCATTTGAGTCTCAACTTACAACGAGTATTTCAGAGTGTCATTGCGTTCCATGACTGCTGCCCGTCTCCACATAGTAATAACTCCTGCCAGCATAGTGTCCCATGAAGAGGTCGTTGGTGTCTGGAGACTTCCCTCCCATTTTAAAGAGCTCCATAAGGTCTTGGAACTGTCTATGTACACCTCCATAGACAGTTACTGAACATCTCACCTCCTGTACATTTGACTCTCCATTCTAAACATACTTGGTCTTGAACAGAAAGCTGCGGGGAGATGAGGGTGAGCCGGTATTAGACTGTGATTCACACTGGGAGTGCAAAGTATCACTGCAATGTAAGCACGTCCATGTTGAATAAAACACTCAGTATTAATCATCAAACAGACTATTGCAGACCTAATCATTGTGTAGGGGAATATTCTTGTAAACAGGTACCCACAGTGGACATAGCTAGCAACATTTTGCACAGATCCTCCTCTATCATCATGATGGGTGGCATAATTTAGACATGTATTCAAAGCATGGCCATGCACTGCAGATATTATTATGGTAGACAACATTTGTACACACAATTTGTCCCTGCTGATTTAGGAGATGGAAGAGTTAATGGTATGCTGGATCAGTGCTTTGTTAACCAGCCCGTCACACACACTTACCTTTTCACAGAACACTTTGACTTGCTTCTATGTTAGCTGTGTATACTCATTCAGTCGTTCAATCCATCTGTCCAACTTCTTTGTGAATGACCTCTCTGACATGTCTAAGTAATAGTCAGCCAAGATGCTTAAATATTCTCAGAAAAAAACTCTTCCTGTTTTATTAAAATACACCACTTTGAGGGAAAAAACATTTAAATGCTTTGTTGTGATGATTTTTTTCACATTCAATAAAAATACACACAAAATACTTTTGGGTTTGTTTTTTTGCATTTTCAATGATAATTTAGGATGCCCTGAGTCACTGTTACAAAATAATTCCTATGCATTTTAAAATGTATGCTCATACTCGACTTCTGCTGACCTTTACCAATTTGCTCGAAGCCGTTAGACGTGAAAAGAAAAAAAGAAAAAAACTACATTACCCTTGACAAGACGACTTCCTCTCAAACGCACATGCGCAGTCGTTTGTTCTACTCTAGACAGCTGTAGGAGAAAATGGCAGCATACATGCTAGGACAGCAGGTAAGACATTCAAACATGTTTGGCCATTTCAATCGCTATAATTCCGTTTACGTTAAAAAATTTGTTATAAGGTTTTGTATTAACCACCGTGTTTATGCGGATGACCAGAATATGACGCTAAGCGTCTTAACAAATGCACACGAGGCATTGCACTTGAATGACTGCTAACGCGTTAGCATACTAGCAAACTGCCTTCAATGTAAGCGCGTTAACAGCTCTTCGTTTTAGCGGTGTCTGTGCTGTTGTCATTTTTCTTTTACTACGATAAACTTTTTTTTCTAGGCCCGCCAGTTCAGCACGTCTGTGCTCAGACCTGCAGGAAAGTTGGTTAAGGTAAAATAAAAGAATACATCGTCAGTCGGCGCTGAGCATAACCAGTGGCCGACAGTGTGTAGCTCTTAGAAAGTGAATATGGTATTTAAGATGTTTGTATATCCTCTCTAGCCTCCCATCCAGGTCTATGGAGTGGAGGGCCGTTATGCCACTGCTCTGTTCTCAGCAGCCAGTAAGCAGAACAAACTGGACCAAGTGGAGCAGGAGCTGGGGAAAGTCTCTGTGAGTAAAAAAAAAAAAGAAAGAAATAATGACGGAAGTAATCTGTTCCAAAATACTCTCACACAAAGTACTATTCATCTTGTTTAAACATATTTGAATGTATCCAGCCTGTATTCTTTAAACTATGACAATTTTCCACCAGAATCAAAATTCAGTTGGTTTGCCGGATTGTTTTTCAGGCCCTGATCAAGGATCCCAAGTTGGCCGGTATTGTAATGAACCCTCATGTAAAGCGGAGCATCAAGCAGAAGACCTTCACCGATACTCTTGTTAAGGCTAAACTGTCCCCCATCACAGTCAACCTCATCAGTGAGTGATCCCTGATGAATGCTCAGAGACCAATAGTTTTTCTTTTGTGCTGCTTGTGAACTGGCTGTTACTTTAATATTGGTTAACTACACCATAGACGTTTTTAAGATTTTTATTATGGGTGTGTACCTTTGCATATTATATTGAACTTAGACTAAATTGGAGCCTACTTTTCCTGCTTATTCAACACTTTTTATGCATTTATTAGCATATTGAGATGTGCAAAGAATTGAACATGGTCTTTGGAACAGACTCAGAAATTTCTCACACAGGTAGTTCATTCCCATAAAGTAAATGTAATGTCATAAATACATTCTAAAAGTTTGATTCTGTAGCTGCAGGATTTATTTAAAAGCTGTTATTTTTGTCATCATCATCATATCATCTCTTGTCCTGAGCTGCTAATATAACGCAGGAACGTAACTTCACAACAAACCACCTGTAAAATTTATTCAAAGTAGACGCTTTTGTCCTCACTTCAAACTCTGTGTTTTATACAAAAGAAACTGTAATACCTCAACTATATCTTTTTAAAACAATTCATCAGATGTTTTGGCGGATAACGGCCGTCTTCCTCTGACCGGTGATGTGATCGGTGCTTTTGGTAAGATGATGAGCGCACACCGTGGAGAGGTCATCTGCTCTGTTACTACTGCTCAGGTAGGAAATGGATGGATGAATCTATCTTTGATTTTAGAAAAATCATTGGTCTTATAAACAATCCACATTCTCGATAGATAAGTGAACGGATTTGTTTTGTTTGAGTGTGTGTAATATAGAATTAAAGTAGTATTTTAATCACTCTGACTCTTTATTTGTCCTCAGCCTTTGGATGAGGCCAATCTTGCTGAGCTGAAGGTAGCTCTGAAGGGTTTTCTTCAGAAGGGTGAGACTATCAAGCTGGAAACAAAGGTACAGTTTAATTGTGTTCTCAGATATACACTAATTGCCATGTAGCAGATTTATTTTCTTTGTTTGTAAAAGTAGCCAGTGGCCAGTTTGATAAAACATCATAAATTCTGTATTTTTGAGAAATGTCCCTAAATGTTCTCTCTTGCAGTCCGATGCCTCCATCCTGGGTGGTATGATCGTCAGTATTGGAGACAAGTACGTGGACATGTCCACCAAGACAAAGATCCATAAGCTCACCAAGCTCATGAAGGAGACTTAAGTCCTGTGGACAGAATTCTGCAAAGATTACCATCGTGGGAAACGTTGATAAATGTATATTACTACTTGTCCAAGCACTGCGGTTGCACCATTAATCCAGTGTCTGTGCTTAAGTTCATATTGATGTTAATAAAAACTACAGAAAAACCGAAACTGATCTTCGTCTTTGTTCATTTTTCCAAACCTTGGCGCTTTATTTGTTTCCCCCGTTGGACATTGGGAGGTTGTTCCGTCCACGATCTGATCCACATTACGCCACACGCATCTGTCGCTCCATTTCCTGGATGTCCTTTGCGCATGCGCGGTCTGTCCATGTTTTTTTTAAATATTTTTTTTTTTTCGGGCAAAAATGGCTGCCGTTCACATCTAAACGTCTTCGCGAAGGATTAAGAGCAGGAATCGCGGCGGAGCCACCACACATCGCCCAGACGGGGGGACGCCCTCACGGAGATGTGGAGGCTGTCAAAGAGGGGAGACGCTCACGAGTCGAAATGAACCTTTTCTGCTCCCACATACGACAACAAATGAGGTACGAACTCATCAGTCCGCGATCTCGACATAGCAGAGGATTTCCGACGGCAAAGAATCTATAGAACAGAGTCTGTATTTGTGCGGGTTCCGAAAGCTGATGTCCGCCCCTCTCTGTGCACGGTGCTCGTGCTTTAGGTTGCGATGCGGAAAAGGCCCGTTTGCTCCATGAGAAACAAGCTGCTTGAAATTCCTCTGGAGTTGTTTTGTGACTGTCCACCTGGTTTTTCTCTCTGTGTCTCCCGGCAGAAAATGATGCACCAGGTGACCAGCGGCGGGGGCAGCAGCGACTTCTGTCTGAGCGCCATGACGGAGGACTGTCACCCGGCCGGCCACTTCGATCTGTGTAGCACGCAGTCCAGCAAATTCTACCCCTCTCCTGCAAATCCGGCCTTGCAGCTGTCCCTGGCCGGCCTGGCCCCCCTGCCACAGGGCATGCACAAAGTGGTGGCGTGTCAGCTGCAGGAGGCCCAGAGCGACTTCCAGCCCCAGGCGGTCAGGTTCCGGGCGGCGGAGGCCCAGGGGCCCGACGGCCCCAAGAAAAAGAAGGGAATCGTCAAATCGGGCCGGAGAGGCAGGCCGTCGGGGACCACCAAGTCGGCCGGGTACCGGACGAGCACGGGGCGCCCGCTGGGCACCACCAGGGCGGCCGGGTTCAAAACCAGCCCGGGGAGGCCCCTGGGCACCACCAAAGCGGCCGGGTACAAGGTCAGCCCCGGCCGGCCCCCCGGCAGCATCAAGAGCCTGGCCCGCCTCAAGAAGCTAGAACTGGGCTGCGACGGCGGCAAAAAACTCGATTTCAGCAACTGCAGCGTGCCCAAGAAACTGGACTTCACGAGCTGCGACGTTCCGCCGTTTCCGTACGGCGTGATGGAGAAGGGAGAGCTCCGCGAGCCCAGCAGCAAAGCAGACGACTCCAGCAAATAGCCCAGCAGCCTCTGGCTAAACCAGGATGCCTCGGAAAAAGATTTCTGAAATGCTGGCAGAAATTACTCTTTTTTTTCTTTTTTTTTTTAATAAGTCCAAGTACCATGTTTGACATTCCCACCACTCACTCCTAACAGGGAACTGCATTTAAAGGGAGCTACTCCTCTTTGGCACAGACGCATGCACATGAATGCTCAGCACCATCATCAGTATCACCAAAAACAAAAGTGTTAGTCCCTGCTTCCGTTCATTCTTTCGAAACATTTAACTGTTACAGATGTTTTTCCTTGTTGCGTTTTTTTTTTTAAACTTCAGGAAACATTTTTAATACGTTCAAACAAATCGACTTTTTCCTGAAAATAAGCATTTATATGTAGTTGTCTTTCATTTGTTCTCCAGTGTGTACTTTACTTTATGATATTATTCAGCGCCATAGCTGACATTTTTAACAAGACGCTTTTATTAACCTGAACCGGTCAAGTCAGTATTCTTCTCCAAGGAGTGTTTATCACACACTGTAAATAAGGCTTCCATCATGTATTGTCGACTTTCACTCTTAAACTCACTGGATTAGCACTTCCAGGCTTATGTGTTGTTATACTGATCATTAGATTTCAGAAAAGTCTCCATAAAACCGAAAGTTGCATTTTGACTGTATTAAATGCTCACTGTGCTGTATGTGAATCCTTAATAAAAGAAAGAAAAAGGTCGTTTTCATTCTTTTCTTGTGGAGTCCCGTGGAGGCAGTTCTCCGTGCAGACACAAGAGGGCCCGGATCTCCAGACAATAGCAATCATCGTGTAATAATACCTTAATTTATGCCTAGATTTGAATGATTACTCTTCTGGGCGCACTCTGCAGACGTGTTCTTTCATAGACGTAACAGAAGAGTGGGTTATAAGAGGAAGGGGCCGTGCTTCTGCATCAACATGGCTGGCTCCCGAAACATAGCTGATCTTTCCGTGTGATCAGTCATTACTAAATGTTTGAGAAATGAACCGCAGAGAGGTTTGAGCCTGTAAGACAACGCAGTGCTGCCGGGTGGGCCTGCTCTTTGTCTGATCCGCCGGGGCCGGCCCGCCGCGGCGAACCCCAACTGTGCGTCATTTTCACATTTGCGCGTCTGTGGAAGTTTAATTTCGATTTCCAAAGATAAGACTGCGCGAGCGCGCGCTGAAAAGGCGCCCGCTGTTGTTTCAGAATCGTGACAAAAACACAAAAAAAACAACCCCAACTCTCGGTAAGGCTCGTCTAACCCTGCCTTTTATCTGGTTTCGCTGTGCGCCTAGCGGCCTGTTTCCTCATGTCAGGGCTCTGCGTGGAGAGGCAACATGGCGCACCGGGTTAGGTTTGACCGGACAGGCCGCCGTGTGCTCACGGGCGCGCTGCGTTGCGTTTTGCTCAGTTGATCTCCCCTTTTTCCAATCAGAAAAAAACAAAACAAAACCCCGGGCCTGGGTCTGGTGGGAAACAATGGGGGCGGATGCGCGTGCGGTGGGACGCGTCTGGAAACGCGCCGCGGACGCGAATTCATGATTATTACTGCTTTAAAAAAAAAAACATTTTCAACACCACAAGCTTGAAACTTCACCTGGATGTCCGCACGCGCGCGCGCGCGCGCGCAGGCACTGTAACGCGTGTGTGTGAGGGCGTGCTCGTGAGGGTGCGTGCGCGCGAAGGGTGAGTGTCACGGCCCTGTGCAGACGGGGGGTTGGGTAGCAGTGCCGATTGGTTGCTGCTCACCAACACAGTCGGTCTGGGCTTGTTTTAACACAACCGGGGGCACTTCGACAGCAGGCACAAATCATGTAGTAAATAAGCCGCCGTGGCTGTTTGGGGGACCGGCTGTGGCACTCTTGACTTCCGCCGCCATGAGACGGTGCAGCGTAGCGGAGATTTAGCTGCTTATTTGGGATCTGAGGTGACAGTTTTACAGAGGGCCGCCGCTGATGAGGCGATGAAGTGCAGAGAATGAGAGCTGTGCCTCGGCCTACTACTAGTGCTGCTGCAGCCGGGATTGTGCAGCTCTGCCTTCACAAATCGACAAAAGCACTCGCTTTGTGTCACCCTCTCAGAGATCCGCTGTTGGTTTCGCGCTGGCCGACCTCCAAATGGTGAGTTTTTTCGCGTTTTTCCACGTGTTGACAGTGTGGTGAACTTAGAGCCTATCAGCCCTGGGTTTTTCTCTTTTTGTGTGCGTGTGTGTGTGTGTGTGTGTGTGTGTGTGTGCGTGTGTGTGAGTCAGTTGTAGCTTCCTATGTCGGTGTGCGGCTGTAGCCTGTTTGTGTGAGTCGCTCAGTGTTTCTGTGATGGCTCAGTGTCACCTCCTTCCCTGTAGCCTCAGAGCTCCTCCGGACTGGTGAGCGGTCGCCATGACCCGTGATCGGCGGACAAAAGCGGCTCCTTTTCCTCCTAATTTGTGAATGAAACGTGTGAACGGAGCGCGGCTGCGGTCGCGTTCAGTGTTTTGTCTCCTGCCGTCCGGCTGGCCTCTAGAATGGAGGCCATGCTATGTCGGCTTTATGGTGTGTGTGTGTGTGTGTGCGGGCATATGTGTGAGCGCAGTCTAAGGCTTGTAAGCCTCCTCTTAACTTTCTTTCGGACAGGATATGACTGCTGTTGTCTTCCTCTCCCCCCCCCCCCTTAAAAAAAAAAAAATCCGCCGTTTAACCAGTGTGTATGCTCTCCTGTGTTGTAGTCAGCTCTACAGATCACATGTGTGATCAGAAGTGGCACAGCTTCCCTGTCTTACCCTGCTTATTTTCATTTATTTTTTTTAATCTTGACAGGATATTGACATGACAGCATGAATCAGTCGTACAGAGCGGGTCACCGGGTAGGCTCGGTGTTTGGCTCAGCCCAGCCGGAGGCGAGGCACCGCAACGGCCCCGGGAGCGCTCCCTATGGAAACCAGCGTGGCATTGTGAGGCGAGGCGCGGGCCCCCCCCCCGCCGCCACGCCGCCACCGCCGCCGCCGCCCCCCGGCCTCAAACCGCCCTCCTTCCTGGGCTACGGTCAGCCCGATCGACCCCACTGCTACAGTCCGCAGAGGAGGCCGCAGCCCCCGGACGCCGCCCCCAGAACTCTGCGCTGCGCCAGCCCCATCAGCGATGGCGACGAGTTCGAGGCCCCGGCCGTCCAGCTGCCGCCCTCCCCGGGCGACCAGGAGCCGGAGCCCTTCCGGCCGCTGCGGGACGCGAGCAGGAACGGCTTCTCCCCCCACAGCCCGGACAGCTTCGGGCCCTGCTCCCCCATCCCCAACGGCTACCTGCATTTTGAGTCCACGCTGTTCGACAGCAGCGACATCAAGGAGGAGGAGGAGGAGGAGGAGGAAGAGGAGGGCTCGCGGGACGGGAGCGAGGCCCTGGCGCCGTTTCTCCACCCGACAAACTCCAGCCGGGAACGGGAGCGAACTCTCCCCGAGAGCAAGAGCACACGCAGCTCTGGGACGGACAAAAAAACCTACAAGCCGACGGTCTTTAACCTAATGTCCAAAACTATATCTGAGCTGAACCCCACACTAAGCCCCAGCGCGCTGCCCGAGATCACTTTGAGAGACGGGTGGAGTTTGGGGGAGGAATCGGACAGTGAAGTTGAACTTGTCTCTCCCGTTGACCCTGGACTTATCTCGCCAGCTGGTACCAACTCTAATGTGAGTAAAAAAAAAACAGTTCACTTTGTTCCCTCTCTAGAAACAAAGCCATACGTGTTTGCCTAGGTTTTTTCTGTGATTATGTCTGATGCGTGATGTCATATTCTGCTCAATTTAGTTTCAAGTGTCATCCTTAGATCAGCTGTAGTGATTCTTCTGATATGAAACGCTTCAGAACATGGGCCTTAGGACTTGATGCAATTTGGTTTTATGTTTAGTGTTTTCAGGTGAGAAGCAGCCTCACATGATTGCTTTGTCTTCTGCGTTAAAGCGTTTTTTTTCCTTCTCCCTTTTCAGTCCAACAGCCCGAAGAAAAAGCTCCCGCCTGCAGTCAAGTACTTGGACGGGGACTTGGTGTGGGCCAAGTTCAACAGACGGCCCTGGTGGCCCTGCCAGATCACCTGCGACCCGGACCTGGGCAGTCACACCAAGATGAAAGGTGAAGTTTAACGTGAACGCCGGCCGCCGGCCACAGTTCCCAGGAGCCCCTTGTTTTCATCATGTGTAAATACAACATATGTCCTGACTCGTTGCAGTTCCAAGTCCCCGTCCCTGTCGGATGTATTTCCTGGAGACAATCGGGGAGGTTGTGGAGCAATCCTGGGTCCTGGCGAGCGTCATCCTTCCTTTTGAAGGAGGCCATCAGTTTGAAGATCTCCCTGTTCTGAGACGGAGAGGGAAGCAGAAAGAGAAGGACTACAAGTACACGGTAAAACTCTGAAAGTGATCGCCGAGGTCGTCCGTTTTGCTCTCCTTTTTTTTTTTTTCCCGTTAGCCGTAAATTGAATTGGAATTCCGTTCTTGGCAGATTCCAAAAAGTTTGCTGACTGCGTGGAAAGTCAGCGTGGCGGAGGCCGAGGATCTGCTCCCGGGGCGACAGAGGAGCGGCGACAGAGCACTTTTAGGGCCCGTCAACGGAGAGGAGCGCGTACCCGGCGCCGCTTCCCCGGAAAAGGCGGCCGAGACTCCCCCAGCCGGCGAGGACGCCGCCCAGCGCCCGGCGCCCGGGCTGTCCCGCAACGGAGAGGCCCGCCCCCGCAGCAAAAGCTCCAGAGGCCCAGCCAGTAAGAGCAAAGCCCTCAAGAAAAAGAAGAAGTGCTTGTCGGACATATTCGGACACATGGTTGTTGCGCCGAAAGAATCCCCCGCCGGCGCGAGCGCGAGCGGCCCGCCTCACGCAGCGGCGCCCGCGCCCACAGAGGAGGAGCTGAAGGACTCGCCCTACGCCGATCTGGACTCGGTTCCCATGCTGCACCGCCCCAAGCGCACGGCGGTTTCCCCGGCGCCGCGCACCGACGCGTCGGTGGGCAGGGAGGGCGGTTCGGCGAAGGCGAAGAAATCTGGCGGAAAAGTGAGCCAACGCGCCAGAGAGTCCAGCGAGTCGTCCGGCGCTGCGGCGGGCAGACCGCCGTCCAAAGGCAAAAACCCCGGCCGGAGTCTGGGCGGCTGTCTGGAACTGTCGTTCAGTTCCAGCAAAAATCCCTCTGTGGCTCTTCTGGCCAGCAGCGGCCTGATGACCAGAGCTCTGAAAGCGGAGGAAGACACTGATCTTATAGAGGCGCTGGCCACAAGCCAAACCCCCAAACCCGCTTCCACCGCTGACTGTCCTGTTAGTAATCTCATCGGTGCCACCGTCAAATCTAAACCGCCGCCTAACTCGGAATCGCCCTCTGTGAACCGCTGCTCGCCAAAGAGGCGAGCGAGGAAGCTGGATAAGAAACTTATTCGGAATGGCACGTTGCCTAAACTGAAGGACGAGGGAGCGAGTGAATTCCTTTTGTCACCTGTTAGGATAAAGACGGAAAACGCTGGCGCGCATCCACCCACCAGCCCTCCCTGCCTGTCCCCGATGGGCACGCTTCAGGAGGGGAAGGAACTCATGTTCAAATCTCTCGTTAAGGAGGACAGCAGCGACTCCGAGTCCACCGTGTTCAGACCCGATTCCAATTACAAATTCAGTACTTTCCTGATGCTCTTGAAGGACATGCACGACACCCGAGAAAAAGAGGGCAAGCGCCTGGTGGTCCCGCCCTCCCCTGTCCTGATAAAGGAGGAACCCCTGGTCATCCCCACGTCCGCGCAGGGCGACCCCCTGAGGGGTTCCTCCCATGACTTATCTCTCGGGATCAAATTGGAGAACGGTCAGTCGGGGAAATCTGAAGCGTTCCCGAGTAGCCCGGTGACCCCCAAGATCAGAACTAAAGCTACGGCCACGCCGGACGGCCGTCACTGTGAGGACGTTCCCGTTCCGGACAAACAGCGCAGGAAGCAGAGACTCCCCGCCAAGCTGAAGCTCCGTATCCCCGGCCTGTCCCTGGACCTGGCCGACATGGCTTACGGCAGGGAGTTCGTCAGCGGCCACTCGGACCTGGCCGACCCCGGGTCGGACTCCCTCGCTGCTGCCGACCCTTCGGCCGCCGGCCCCGATAAGAGCTGGGAGTCTGCGCTGGCCCCAAAGAAGCGCTGGCGGGCGCTGGAGGGGGCGGCGGGGACTCAGGGGGACGCTGAGCGGGAGGCGCCCGCCTGCCCCAGAGCGTCCCCGGAACACGACCCCGACGCCGACAAGCACACGGAGAATGACTGGCACTCCTCAGACACCAGCAGCTCAGCAGGTAATATTCTAGCAGGTGTCCAGTCGTTTCCTAAATGAGTCCAATAAGCGAACAAAGGGAAGACAAAAATACATATATATACATATTTTTGTTTATTTTCACACAGGAAACTCGGAGAGCAAACGTCTCCGGAAACCAACTAAAAGGCTGCTGGAGTCAACAGAGGAGTATGAACAAATATTTTCCTCAAAAAAGAGATCAAAGAAACACGCCTCAGAGTCTCCAAAGATGGTGAGAGGTTTATCGTTTAGTTTCTGTTCAGTGCGCAGAAGAAAATACAACAGATGAAAAGGCTGAAAAACTGTTCCAGTGTGTCCTCAGCACCCACACAACCTTGAAAACAATTTGCAGATTTGCAGCAATAATCCTATATCCTTTTCTCAACTAATTTTTATGCAACTAGATTATTATTATTATCATTATTATGATATTGCTCCTCTTTGGATCTAAAGTATGAAATCCGTTTATTAAGAATGTCTGTGAAGAGTTCTTTGTTTTTAAATTTCAAACAAAACTTTATTTATCCAGGAAATTCAAACTCTAGTGGATTAAAATCGTATTTCTTCCTTTTCAAAGCGACAGGTAGCAGCCGATACAGCAGTGTGCTCACACGTGTTTGGAGTTCCTTATCTGTAAAACATAGCAACATCATTTTGATTGCAAACTATTCTTAGACCGGGTTGGATGTTCAGGCTGATGAGGATTTCCCTTTGCAAATGTGGCATTCAGACCTGGCCGCTCCTCACCAGAGCTTGTTCCGAACGCGGCAGACGGACGGCGGCTCGGGCCAAGTCCTCTCAGCGGGATTTCGAGCCAGATTTTTAATGTCGCAAGCGGATGTTTCAGCAGATGGGCCTTATCAGAGGCAAATCTGTGTTTGATAAGTGGTCATCAGTCACCACGTATGAGCCCCCCGTTAGATACTGATACGTCAGCCCACCGAGGCTCAGGTGGATCTCCAGCTGAGTCCGTCTCAGACTTTGAGCAAACATCTAGAATGCTGCATATTTGTTTTTGATGGAGGACGAGTTGCTGGGTTTTCAGAAGGAAACTACAGTCAGAGAAGGTTGCTTTTCTTGGAGAGAGCTTTTCCAGAAGCAGCCAATCGAGTGCCTGCACAGGCTTTGAGTGGGTCATGACTGAGTGGGAATATTTCTGCGTGAATCTGTCATTTGTTGTTGAATATTCTTCCTCATTTGCTTTTAAGACTCGAGTTGACTAAAATCAGAGGTCATTATATAACGCACAACCGTGCTTGTTTGTCTTGCGTGTGGCCGTTCAGGAGGCCTCAGGGATCACGGCCCTCCACCAGCTCAGCACCTCAGCAGATACCGACACGTCGGCCTGGTCCTCCTCAGAGCCCACCGAGCCTCAGCTGCAGATCCAGATGAGTCCGTCTCAGGATGAGCTTTCACCCAAAGCTCCGTCAGATTCTCCAGCTGCAACACAGCCCTCATTTGACACGGAGACAGAAGAGGAAACTGATCTACCTCTTGGGCTTGGTGAGTCTGTGTGTTGTGTTCTCCTGCAGAATTAACGGTACAGCAAAGAAAGACAGCTAAAGCAGAAGCAGATCATAACTTAAGCCTCGCAGGCTCATGCAAGGCCTGATGGTTTCCCTCTGAAACAGGATCAATCTGAACTCCTATGACCAGTTCAAATCGTCCTCTCCCAACCTAATTTAGTTAATGGATAAACCTCAGTGCAACGCAGGGCTATACAGCAGATCTCTTCTTTTACCTGCTTTGCACGTGGAGCTGTTTGCACTCTCCTGATTTCATTAAATGCTCATGTGATCTCTGATCATATTTCTTGCTCCAAATGACTCGTATCCATCCTTTCAGATATACGCTGAACAGATCTGAGCCCATTTAAGTGCTTTCAATGCTGCAATTGGTTGTTTCGTGTGATGGATGCAGACCAATAATGTGACTCGGCTCGGGATCTTTTCCTGGACCACATAACTTGCCTTCTGACATGTTCGTTTAATGAATGCAAAGCTACACACAACATAACTTTGCGGAAAATAATGTGCCTCCAGCTGTAACATGTAAACCACTGCAGTGTTTTTCCAGTTGGAAACTTCTAGTCATTTGTTAGTTAAATGCAGGCAGTAACTTTCGTTTTGGTCGGGCAGAGTATGCATTTATTTCATTTCTCTCCTATTTCAGACTTGGAATTAAAAACTCAAGACCGAAAAAAGCCAAGGAAACCGCCACACAAGGTGCTGGAATGCAGCATAGAAGAAGTGTCCGCTGCTCCTGTGAAGAGGAGGGTGAGTTCAGATCGACATGGCGGTGGAGTGTAGTCTTTGGGTGTGTTCTGATTCCACGGGTTTCCTGGAAACGACTGCACCAGCTAATTGGTTTACTAGCTTAGCTGTAAAACTGTTGGTTAGCTTTCTGTTTCTAAAGTTACAAAAGGAATCATGTGGTAGGGACATTGTGACGTTTTTTTTTTTAAGGATTGTTTTTTTTTATTGGTTGAAGAGATTCTTTATTTGTTTTTTTAAAGGCTAAAACTGTAAACCTAAAATTAGCCCTGTTAGCATTCTGTCGGCAAATTAAAAATAGTTTACGTTCTCACCTAAATGTTTTTGTTCATATTTTTTTCAAGGAGCAAAAACGCCACAATAACTTCACATCCGAGGGGAAGGTCTTTGTCAAGAAAACTCAGGTAGTAAAGAAACTCAAGATCAGCTTTTCTGTGTAATTTGCATCCCGTTAAACGATTAGAAAAGATATTTGTGTGCTGCCACCCTAAACACAATATCATATTTGATAGCTTGCTACTGTGAAGAAGGAGAGGCCTGTACCTAAGACAGTACCTGCTGCTGCCTCCAAACATTCGGGGAGCAGCTCTCCAGGCCCCCGGCCCTGTAAAACCCCCAAGCAGGAGGATGAAACTGAGCCCTGCAGCACTGAAGACAAACAACATGCACACGCTGGAGCACTAACTCCCAAATCTGAGGTTTGCATGTTGTGTTGGTCATTCATTAGTCCTCTACCGAATCATGTCTGCCTTCTCTTAAGTACAAACTGTTGACGTTCATCCCTCCAGGTGGTGCCGGTTGGTTTAAGTGATGGCCTCTCCTCTCAAATTGACGTAAAGGGGAAAATAGGGGCTACGTCTTTGAAGGAGAATGTCTGTCAGGTAAGATGAAATGTTGTGATGCTTTCCGTGGATTGGATTGTGTGACGTTCTGCGTTCGCGATGGTGGAAAATCCTCAACGTTGCCGCGTGTTTGCAGGTGTGTGAGAGGACGGGAGACCTGCTGGTGTGTGAGGGTCACTGTTATGGAGCCTTCCACCTGCAGTGCATTGGCCTGTCGGAAGCTCCCAAAAGGAAGTTCCTCTGTCAGGAATGCAACACTGGTGGGTCCACGCTGGGTCAGCTGTTACTGACCACTAGGCGCAGGTCCTGACTGAGGCAAAGAAGTCAAGTCATTCCTTCTTCTTCCTCCTTTTCTTTCCAGGGGCACACACGTGCTTTGTGTGTAAACAGTCTGGGGACGGGGTGAGGCGCTGCATCATACCACTGTGTGGGAAGTTCTACCACACGGACTGCATACTGGCATATTCAGCCACGCAGGCCCATAACAAAGGCTTCCGCTGCCCCCTGCATGTGTGTCTTTCATGCCACATCAGCAACCCTCTCAACATCTGCAGCTCCAAAGGTGAGATGATGATTTCAGGCATAAAAGACAATGACTGCAGTTCAATAAATGACCCACATTTTAGAGTCTTTTTTAATGAAACCTGTGTACTATATCTCAAAGGTCAGTTGAGTAGGTGGCCCATCGGTGTGGGTCAACATATCCGTGTGCTCGCACTGCTGAGAAATATGATCTCAGTGCCTCCCGAGTACGTTCACACTGTTTGTAGATATTCACTTGTGGCTTGTTCACTGAGGGTTCATTTGAATACCAGGTTCAAACAGGGACTGCATCACAGTCTTCTTCTCTTTGGGATCACCATCCACCAGAGCAAGGATTTGTGTTTATGGAAATGTCCTCAGGTTCTTTGATGTGTTTCATTTGAATCTGATCATTTTGCACTCACCCACAGGCTCTCAGTCACTTGTATGGAGCTATCAGGATTTGTTTGGATTATTAGCTGTTTCTTTTTTTGGTAATGTCACTGTGTAGACTGACAAAAGTACCTAATATAGTAACTTAAAGCCAGAACCTGGCTCTTGTGTTATCGGACATAAAATCCTTTCATCATGGATCCGTGCTTTATAACTATACAACGGCCTTTGTTCTCTGAAAATGCTTCATATAGGACCGGCTTTATTTAACATGATGTTAAATTAAATCTCACCCTTTGATAGTTGATTCTTAAGTAACAAATAAAGGATAGAGGAGCATTGTCTGTATTGTTTGCTCAAAGGGACAAAGCTGGTGCACATGGGTTCAGATTTCTGACGCTGCGTGTTTGTTCCACAGGTCGGTTGGCTCGATGTGTGCGCTGTCCTGTGGCCTATCATGCCAACGACAACTGCATGGCAGCAGGCAGCCTGGTCCTGGCTAACAATAGCTTCCTCTGTCCAAACCACTTCACTCCCCGCAAAGGATGCAAGAACCACGAACACATAAACGTTAGCTGGTGCTTTGTCTGCTCTGAAGGTGAGACTGGTCTTGTGTTTCTAAATCTTAATAGCATAAGGTCCTTTAACTTTTTGAAAAGCTACTAAAATTAAAATTCTTTTTTTTTTTTTTTTTTACAAGACAGTGTAATGTATTCTGTATGATGCTTTCTAAGTACAGCAGTTTGTCTTTGGCTCCCAAATACTCAGAAATTCAAAGCATTACTATTATAGCAATATTCTAAAGTTTAAATGGCATAGTCATTTTATACAATATATTTGTAGAATATACTGCTGCATCCTTCGTGTCAGTTGTAATGATGTTTATCTTTTTAATCAGTGGATTTGCTAACAATCAATGATTATTTAGATTTTTAATTCAATGCTCTCTATTAATTGTTGACAATGTGTATATCCATGCCTCATTTATTAAATGAGGCATAGATGCTGCCATAACCTTCTACAACTCCCTGTGTGATTTTTGCGCATCTAATAAAGATTACCAATGTGTGCTGGTGGGGTTTTATAAAATGTTTACAGGGGGCAGCTTGCTGTGCTGTGAAGCCTGTCCTGCAGCTTTCCACCGGGAATGTTTGAATATGGAGATGCCTCAGGGCAGCTGGTTCTGCAACGACTGCAAAGCTGGAAAGAAGCCACGGATCAAAGACATACTGTGGGTTAAATGGGGTCGTTACAGGTAAGAGAACAACACTTCTTCATAAACTTTACCTCAATGCAACAGCTGATTTTACGACCCTGTAGCTGTGTCTGTAAAACCCATATTCTGTGCTTTAGGTGGTGGCCTGCTGAAGTCTGTCTGACCAAAGATGTCCCCACCAACATCCTGAGGATGAAACACGAGGTGGGAGAGTTCCCGGTGCAGTTCTTCGGCTCCAAAGATTTTGTGTGGACATACCAGGCCAGAGTCTTTCCCTACATGGAGGGCGATACTCACAACATTGAAAAAATGGGCAAAGGTGCAGATGCAGTTTACAAGAAAGGTAAGCGCATTCGCATTTGAGTCCCTGTGCATGATGTGTATATGGTGAACTCAGTAAAACAGAATATGCCTTTTTTAGCTTTGAATGAAGCAGCAGAACGGTTCAGAGAGCTGCAGGCAGAAAAGGAAATGAAACAGCTTCAGGAGGATAGAAAGAATGATAAGAAACCACCACCCTACAGGCACATTAAGGTAGAGTGTCTACATCACCACATATTTAGCAGGACCTGATAGGCCTTCAGGCCTGAGACGGGCTGTAGAACTGATGTCCTGCCTGTTTTTTTCAGGTCAATCGCCCTATTGGAAAGGTGCAGATCATCACTGCTGACTTGTCAGAGATTCCACGCTGCAACTGTAAGGCATCCGACGAAAACCCGTGTGGCGTTGACTCGGAGTGCATCAATCGGATGTTGATGTACGAGTGCCACCCACAGGTGTGCGCGGCGGGAGAGCGTTGTCAGAACCAGGCTTTCACAAAGCGCCAGTACACAGTGGTGGAGATTTTCAGGACTCTGTCTTGTGGCTGGGGCTTACGTGGCATCTCAGACATAAAGAAGGTTGGCTGGCAAAAAATACACGAACAAAGAGTTTCCACAATTTGCTTCCCTATGATTCATCACTCCCCCCCTTTCACCACCAGGGAGCTTTTGTGAGTGAATACGTGGGGGAAGTCATAGATGAGGAGGAATGTCGAGCCAGGATCAGACACGCTCAGGAGAATGACATCTGTAACTTCTACATGCTTACACTGGATAAGGTGAATCATCACATACACAGTCCTCAGATGGCACATTTATAAGATTGTCACTACACGCAATTCATACCGGACACGAGTTGAATTCTGCAAACCAAACTTTTTATTCTTGTACTCAAGGACCGAGTCATTGATGCTGGACCTAAAGGGAACCAGGCTCGCTTCATGAACCACAGCTGTCAGCCAAACTGTGAGACTCAGAAGTGGACAGTGAACGGGGACACCAGGGTGGGGCTGTTTGCTCTGCAAGACATCCCAAAAGGTTGGGCTGTTGTGGTTCTCCTCATTCAGCTCATTCTGATTGACAGATGTCATGCATGATCTAATGCAGTATGTCGTTTAGACGTGGAGCTGACTTTCAACTATAACCTGGAGTGTCGGGGCAACGGGAAGACGGCCTGTAAATGTGGAGCACCCAACTGTAGCGGCTTCCTGGGTGTTCGGCCAAAGGTAAACGTTCATGTTCATGTCTCGCGCTTAGCAAAGTCACGGGTTCCTCTGACTGGTTTGGGTTCACAGTTTACACCTGCTGCCGTGTTCCAACCCTTCTTTTGTGCTGCTTAGAACCAGCCACCAGCTGAGAAGATGAAACTGAAGGAAGGGAAACGGAGGGTATCCATTAAGAAGAAGCCCAGACAGCAAGTAACGAAGGAGAGGGAAGATGAGTGCTTCAGCTGTGGGGACGGAGGCCAGATAGTGTCCTGCAAGAAGCCGGGCTGCCCGAAGGTCTATCATGCTGACTGCCTCAACCTGGCCAAGAGGCCAGCAGGCAAGTCCCCCGAACACACCCCTCAGTCCCCCGCTGCTGTCGTCTCTCTTCAACTTTCAGTTAAAATGACAGCATGCTGGCAGAATTACCGAGTTTGATAACGGCTCCAAAAGTAAATAAACTTAATAAATAGTTGTTTTTTTTAAGTTAAAAGCTTAAAAGGTCATTTTAAGAAGGAAAACCAGCAGGACAGTGTCCCTGGAGGACTACTGCTGCAAAGTCTTTAGAAAGCCGTTTTCCCTGCCCAGTTTAATCCCCCTTATCTTGTCTCCAGGGCGATGGGAGTGTCCGTGGCACCAGTGTGACGTCTGTGGCAAAGAGGCGGCTTCGTTCTGCGAGATGTGCCCCAGCTCCTATTGCAAGGAGCACCGAGAAGGAATGCTCTTCATCTCCAAGTTGGATGGCAAGTTGTCCTGCAGTGAACATGACCCTTGTGGGCCGAATCCGCTGGAGCCCGGGGAGATCCGTGAATATGACCCCAACGTGGCCTCCATGAGGCCCGCGCCCATCCCTCCCTCCCACTTGCCAGACGCCAGAGGAGCCTCCCACTACTCCCCCTCTGCATCCATCTCCTCCTCCGCCGGCCAGGAAGCGTCCACACGGCCGGAGCCTCCTCCTCCTCCTCGTCTCTACATCAACACAAAGACGGCGACCTCCAGCTTCGTCCCCTCCAGCGTGCCGTACCCCCCAGACAGAGAGGAGGGGAAACCTGCCTCCACTCCCACCTCCCCCAAAGAAGAGAGGGAAGACGGAGAGGTGGAAGATGGAGAGGTGTGTGGGTTAGACCTGGAGGAGGTGGACGACGACGATGATGATGACGATGAAGACGACGACGACGATGATGACGACGACGACGACGACGAAGATGATGATGACGATGAAGAAGAAGAAGAAGAGGCAGAAGAGGAGAACGAAATGGAGATAGTGGAAGATGATGAGGAGCCGCTGTACGGAGACGACCTGCTAAAAGAAAACACAGACGATAACGATGATGAGGATGACGAGGAGGGAGAGGATGTAAATGACACTTGGGATGATTGTTTGGATGATGATACTGAAGATGGAGAGGTGGACGGGGAGGACGTGGGGGAGTGGGTGAGGGTGGACGATGATGACAAGTGACACAGTCATTGACAGTCAGCAGGACCTCTCAGCAGACACTGACAGAACTAAAGGAGTTTAATATGCTGGTACCTATTGGATGCAACACTGCTTTCACTTGGTACATTGCCTTCTCATCTCCAGACTGACAGTGGGGGATGTGTGCTGGTGCTAAGGCTGAACACTCAGTTTCACTCAGTCTCTTTATACTTCCGTCAACATGTTTATTTGTTTTCTGGTGCTGTTTTGTTCTGTTGTTGTTTCTCTGTATTCTCTGTTTGTATCACTGTTTACATTTTTGGCCTTTACAAGAGTCATTGAAATGGTGTTCTCACTGGTCTATGTTACAGTTAGGCACAACAATACCAACTTGATGCTCATCAGGAGTGCAAAAATAAACCTATTGGAGTCATCAAGGCTATAGATGATTCTTCTCACAACAGAAACGGTCTGGATTTTGCATTATTAACCTTATGAAAACATTTGTTTTCCCTCAGAATTGGTAACCATAAGAAACAAAAATCTCATTCCACAACCCCAAAAAATCACTTCGCATTTTTTTGTAACTATTACGGCTCTTAAACCAACTAAATTACAGGATATTGACAGTTCAGTTAGCATGGACAATTTAATAAAACCATAGGTAGCCACATATTAAACTTTTATTCCATGCAAATGAAGGGTGCCGTGTAAGCCACATTTGTAAGAATAATATGGAAATTAGGCTAGATTATTCTCTAGATAAATACATTTTTAGATAACATTAATACTTTTAGCAGATGCAAGGTATCTGACAGGGAATAATGACATCCATGATCACTAAGAGACAAACTAAGCTGTTTAATACATTAACAGGAGCTGCTGTTTTAGTCATTAGACTGGTTTAATAACTTTTAGCATTCTAGGGGTTATACAACAGATATTATACCCTGAGTTTTACTTTTGACATTGAACAGAACATTTGTGTTATTGATCAGCAAGGCTGAATTAAAAGTAAAGGTAGCAGTGATCAATATCAGCGTTCGAATTAATTTAAAACTCAATGAACCCTTGATATTTTTTAGTCGGGCTCATTAAATATTGTGAAAACTTATGAATAATTTTTCAGTAACAATATACCGTCGAAATTAAACAAAAAACAAGTAGTCCGTTTCCTTTGTGTCCACTAGTTGTCGCTGTTCAGAGCAATTGATTAAAAACCCTCAAAGAAGAGAAGGATGTGACGTAGCTGGTGCCGAAGTAAAATGGCGACGATTGCGTTTTAACCAAAACACCCCCAACGAGCCTAAAAGATTTCAAGTTAAGAAGATATTTCCAAACTCCGTGGTATTTCTGATATCTTATCAAGGTAATTATACCATACATTTTCTTTTATGATAGGTTTGGAATATTTAATCCCCTCAGATGGTGAGCGGGTTGGCTAACCTAGTTTTATCTCCTGACATAAAATTAGTAATGCTATTTGTTTTATTTAAATACAGCCGTGGACATATCTGCATATGCTGGGTATAAATATATGTTTTAATGGGGTGCCTTTCAGATGACGGACTCAGTTGTGACCGAGCAGCCCAACGTAAACTCGGAGGGGATCGTGGGCCTGGATGAGCCCAAGAAGATGACCAGAGAGGACTGGAGGAAGAAGAAGGAGCTCGAGGAGCAAAGAAAGCTTGGAAATGCTCCAGCTGAAGTAGACGAGGAGGGAAAGTAAGTTTAGGTTTTAAAATTACTTCTCTACACTACAAACACTGTATTACCCAACCTTTTAAATAATTACTTTCTATTTTCTACAGAGACATAAACCCTCACATCCCACAGTACATTTCATCAGTGCCATGGTACATTGATCCATCTAAAAGACCAACACTAAAGCATCAACGACCACAGGCTGAAAGGGAGGAACAATTTTCAGCAATTGCAGAGTGGTACAAGAGAGGAGTGCAGGAGGCAAGGATACTAACATCTTTTGATTTTTAAATGAGCACAGCCATACAAATTCTTATTGAAGTAAAAAATTAAACCTTTTGTCTCCACACAGAATGCAGTGGCCACTAAATTCCGAAAGGGGGCCTGTGAGAACTGTGGAGCCATTACACACAAAAAGAAAGACTGTTTGGAGGTAAAATATTTCATTTAAATTAGTTTTTCACTTTTTTCTGACTTCTTTTGAAATGTATTTACTGTGCCGTAAGCAATTCTTACATCTGACCTTTTGGTGTGTTTCATTAGCGACCCAGGAAAGTCGGCGCAAAGTTCACCGGAGCAGGCATTGCTCCGGATGAACACGCTCAGATCCAGCTCGCTTTGGACTACGACGGAAAGCGTGATCGCTGGAATGGGTATGACCCTGAGGAGCACCAGCGTATCGTTGAGGAATATGCCAAAGTAGATCTGGTAAGAAGTCCTTTAGTAAATTAGGCTTGTTTAAAATCTGCATTCCTTCTCCTTTATTCTTTTTTTTTTTTGCGCTGTAAAATTGTGAAAGGTCATTTGCCTCGCTTAAGATAATGGGAGCTGATCAACACACAGTGTAGTGCCCTTGTTGACTGATTGAATTTAATCTTTTATATTTTCTAACTGTTTTGTTTTATCTTTCTAGGCCAAAAGGACACTGAAAGCGCAGAAACTTCAAGATGAGTTGGCATCAGGAAAACTAGATCAAAATGTACGTGTTCAGCACAGTGAACATGGGTTGTATTTTAACTGTCATGTGTTATGTAGTTGTAGAAATACACACTCTCGACCACAGTGAATTATTTGAATCTTTTCTATGCAGGAGCGGGAACATGCCAGTGAGGACGAGGATGAAGACAAATATGCAGATGACATTGACATGCCCGGTCAGAACTTTGACTCAAAGAGACGAATCACTGTCAGGAATCTGCGTATCAGAGAAGACACAGCTAAAGTAAGAATCTGCTACAGCAAATAGTTATTTTAGTCTTTGTTTATTAAACCCTGTTGAATATGAAAAAACTGCGAAGTCTAATGTGGAAACATTGGAGTTTTGAAGCAGATGTGAAATGTTAGGGATTGTAACTAAGCTGAAATATTCAGCAGTCTGAATGTCGCATCTTTTTTCTCACAGTACTTGAGAAATCTGGATCCAAATTCAGCATACTATGATCCAAAAACTCGAGCTATGAGGGAGAACCCATACTCCAACACCGGCATGAACCCTGATGAGTAAGAAACTGTGAAAAGCATTTTTCAGTTTTAATACAAGAACCTGTCTTTTATTTGTTTTTTTTTCTAAAATGATTTCAAACTCCTTTGTGTAACAGAGTGGGATACGCTGGAGACAACTTTGTCCGACATAGTGGAGCCACAATCACCATGGCTCAAACACAGTGTAAGTCGCAAAGACCTTGTCGCCTTTTTTCCCCTGCATGAACAGATGAAAAAAATAAAGAAAGTCAGATGACAAAAGATTATTTGAAAATTTACGATGAACTGAAAATTAAATTATGCACAATTTAGCAGCAGAGGAATTATTAAGTCAGCCTCTGTTATCCCCTGCAGCTCAGAAGCAGCACACTGGAGACCATGTGGTTTACGTGCACTGTTCCATTTCATTTCTGCTGTTTTCTTGCGACAGTGTTTGCCTGGGAGGCCTATGAGAGAGGCTCTGAGGTCCACCTTCAGGCCGACCCCACCAAGCTGGAGCTGCTCCATCGCTCCTTTAAAGTCAAGAAGGAGGACTTTAAGGAAAAACAGAGGGATAGCATCCTGGAGAAGGTACACAGACCGCCTATATTTAGAAACGGGATGGGGTCATTACATGCTTTTTTCCCTCTTTTTTTTCTTTATTTTTTCTTCTTTTATAGACAACAGCAGTTGTGGTTCTCTGTGAGCTGTCTTGAGTTGAGGCCTAAATGAGTGTTTGACACATTGGAATCATATGAAATACCTACTTTGACTCCACTTTTTCTTTTTCTTTTTTTTTTCAACCTGAGACAACCTAAGTAGAGGACCTGAAATCATACAGACAAACTAATTTCAGAGACTTTTCCTGTTGTATGTGTGTGGTGATTAGTATGGAGGTGAAGAGCACTTGGATGCCCCCCCCCGGGAGTTGCTGTTGGCCCAGACGGAGGACTATGTGGAGTACTCCCGACACGGTGCTGTTCTGAAGGGACTGGAGAAAGCTGTCGCCCGGTCCAAGTATGAGGAGGACGTGCTCATCAACAACCACACTGTGAGGACAGCAGAGAACTGGCTGGTTCGGTTGATTTCTGTTCGAGTTCGTGCCCACATTGAGTTGCGTTTTCTGCTTTGTAGTGTATATGGGGCTCCTACTGGAAAGACGGCTTCTGGGGATACAAGTGCTGTCACTCTATGGTCAAACAGAGTTACTGCACAGGAGAGGCTGGAATCGGAATCGTAAGTACTTGTCATCAGGTTGTATAAAGTCCCTCTTTGGTGCACAGAATTTCCTTCGTTATTTAGATTGTTTTTGAAAGACTTGTAACATCCTGCAGAACAACTCGGAATGTGTTCCATTTGAAGAGGGGCTAACCGAGCCACAGGAGGAAGAAGAGCCAAAGTCTCTGCTGGAAGTAAGTCACAAGTAATAGATTTAAAAATCTTCCAATTACTGATCGTTAACATAAAGAAGTATATGATACTGGATAGACATTCAGAAATGTGTGTTTAAATCCCTAGATGCATAGAGATAAGATAAAAGAGAAGAAGAAGAAAAAGAAGGGCAAAAAGAACAAGAAGCATGAATCAGACAGCAATGACTCAGAGGATGAGGAGAAGAAGAAGGAGAAGCTGAAGAAGGTAAGGGTGCATTTAGTTGTATTCTTTTTCCTTAGATGATGAAAGTTCCCTTTCTCACTGACTGACTCTTATTAAACCCCAGGCTCTTGAAGCAGAGGACAAGTGGGTGAAGCATGTAGATGCAATAATGCAGCTGGAGGAAAGGAAGAGGCCCTACAACAGTCTGCAGGAAGTGAAGGCCCCCACGGAGGAGGAGTTGGAGGCCTTCCGCATGAAACGCCCTCGGCCAGACGATCCCATGGCTTCCTTCCTGGGACAGTGAACTGGTCTCAGTCTCTTGATTCCTTCAAACCATCTGCAAGGACTCTACCAGAGCAGCTGCTGGGTTAAAAAAAAGGTTTTACTCGTAAAACTTAGCTTTGAGCTGCTGTAGGGTTAAAAAACATTAGAGAAACTCTGTGCTGTATTTTTCCGATTCCTTTTAAAACTTTTCGTTGTGTGCAGGATCTGCAAGCGGCTCTGCTTCTAAGGTTCTTGTTTTGTTTTGATTAGTCCCAGCTCTCATCTCGTCCTTGCAGGAATTCACATGACACCTCTCGCCACTTTTGCAATTTATGCATTTTTTTAATAAACTTTGTCTGAACTTGCTGTTTGGTGTGGTTTGTCACTGCGGTGCCCCTGAGATGGACTAGGGACACCTAAAGGGTAAACCCTGCCTTCAGTCCAATGGCAGCAGGTCAAATCAAGCTGATATAGAAAATGACTTATGTTGTATCAAAATATATCATTCTACAGCATAAAAATGAATTTCCCCTTAAAATCACTGTTATTCAAACCAAAACACCAATGCCCTGCCAGCTGTGACAGGGTCATGTGATCTCAGCTCATTCTGAACCCAAACTGGAGTGGAGGGAAAATCTACCATTAAGAGCAGAAACTAAACAAAAGATCACTGGCAAATGAAAGGGACGAGACAGCTGCATTTTTTAATCTAATGTTGTCATGTGTTAGTAGAAAATATTTATGTGATGAGTAAAGTATTTGTAAAGGCACTGTAAAAAAAAAAAAAAAAAAAAAACTTAATCAAAATGAACAGACATTTGACTTGGATTCCATTTTAAACTGTCATGGTAGATTAGAATGGACAGCAGAATGTCAGCTATAAATAGCCCATAAACGTGTGAGAGAATTTTTTGCTCAATTTAAAGTGCGTTACAGCAGATTTGGGAACATAAAGCAGCACATCAGTCTGCAGCTGGAATATATTCATTTGCCGCTTTTAAACGGCAGCTGTGGAGATAATTTTTATTGTTTTTTTCTGCAGATGTTTATTTTTACTTATAAATATCTTCAAATTGTGTCATTAGTCCATCACTCATCTACTCATCCTGAACAGTCTCAGTAAGAGTTGGTGGAGAAGCGTGGTGCCACTGCTTCCGCTGTGCAGTACTGTTGCTCCAACACGAATCTTATGACATCATGGTAAAAACATTTTTTGGCCCGGTTGCACAAACAGGGCGGATGTGCTGGAGTGTAATCCTCTGAGCAGAGCATTTCTCAGCAGAGCTTCTCCTGTAGAATGTTATCTCACCCGTTCCCTGGAAAAACATGTAGGGACGTTTCCACTCCATGCAGAAAAAGAGCTCAGAAAGAGACGAAAAACACCCCTGGACCCTCATTTCTACACTGGTGAGATGAGTTTTATTTTTGTTAATGTTAAATCTTCACAAGCTGGATACACTGTTGCATTGAAACTTTGAGTTAAAACATAATTCCTGCTCAGACCTGAGAGGAAACAGGTCCTGCCTGATTTTACTCCAGCTGTAGATGCATGTGCTCTGCCACCCCTCACTGTTGCTGGAACATCTGTGGCAGATTCTGGGTTTATTGACTTAATTTTCAATTTGATTATGAATAGGATGTAAAAATCTAATCAAATTTACCGTTAAACAGATGCTTTCTTTTGTTTTGCTCCCGTGCAGATGCCAACATGCTCCAGATGTGTGTGATGGTCTATTTGCTGTCAGCTGTCCTCACTCAGTCAACAAATTCCTCATCCAAGAGAGATCGTAATTTCACCGTCCATTCCTCCCAGCTGGTGTGCAGTCTGCCAGGCCCAGCAGGGCCTGCAGGGAACCCGGGAGCCCCAGGACCACCAGGGGCCATGGGGCCCATGGGGCCACCGGGTAGGGATGGTCCAGATGGAAAGGACGGAGAAAAAGGAGAAAAGGGAGATCGAGGTTGTTACTTTCTGGAATTTGCATTCTATTCTTTTTCTAGTGTTGTTTATATTTTGGGGGTTTTCTCACTATTTCAAAAACATGGCAGTTTAGAAAGTTTTCATTGTTTTGGGGGTTTTTAAGATTACTACTCATTAACATCTCTACAGAAGGCAACATAAATGGCAAAAAAATGATCCTGTAATTGATCTTGGAAGCTCCAGTTGTAAAGTATGGCTCCGTTATGTCCAGAGAGGTTTGGAACTCTCAGCCTTGCATCTCCTAAAATAAGTACAAGTTCAGAGATCTGTTAAGACTTTGTTGTACACACAGCATATTAAAGATTTCCCCACACCTCAAATTTTTTATTTCAGAAAGTGCAAACTGGGTGTGCCTATTCAACGGGCTGGATTTCTGTTGAGGTTGCCTGATCTAATGATTTGGGATACAGTTATCCTGTTGTTATATTTTTAGCTCCAGTGTGAGTTTAGCTGACTGCATCTTGTCAGTATGCAAAAGTTGTTCTCATGTTGTGCTGTCCCTGTGTGTATATCCTCATTTTTATGCATGCTTTTTGGGATTGCATGTTCCTTTTTTCATCAAAGTATGCTTTTAAGTTTTTTGTTCTTTTTTTCTCCTCGCCCTGATCTTGTCTTGATGTCCATGGTGAACCCTCATGGGCATTTCCTAATTGCACTGCTGACAGTGAAATTTGCACACTTGCAGTGCTTTGATTTCCTTTAATAATTTCCTGACTCTCTGCATAACATTCAGTGTGTTAGTAAATGAGCCCATGACTGTTAAGTGCAACCACAAGTTTGAGAGTGGTTCAAAATTTGTTTATGGTGGTACGATAAGACTTTCCACAGACTCCTAAAACAAAATGAATCTTATAAGTGAAAGGGTACCCAAATAGTTGGATTTTCTTCAAATAAAAAGTGTCGTTCACGTTTATTTCCATAATTTCAGTTATTTTGTGTCTTTACTAGGTGATCCAGGACGAACTGGGAACCCAGGCAAGCCAGGTTTGAAAGGTCGAGAAGGCATCATCGGGAAGGCGGGACCTCGGGGACTGAAGGGCCCTCGTGGACACTCAGGCTTGGCCGGAAAACCGGGACAAAAAGGAGACTTGGGTGATATTGGTCAACAAGGTCCCCCTGGAGGCTGCAGCTGTGGCAGCACAGCCCGATCGGCCTTCTCTGTGGCTGTGACAAAGAGTTACCCCAAAGAACGAATGCCCATCCGCTTCAGTCGGATCCTCCTGAATGAGGGGAATCACTACAACGCCAGCAGTGGGAAGTTTGTCTGTGTGATCCCTGGAGTCTACTATTTCACCTATGATATCACGCTGGCCAATAAGCACCTGGCCATTGGGCTGGTGCACAATGGACAATACAAGATCAAGACATTTGATGCCAACACAGGGAACCATGATGTGGCTTCTGGTTCTACTGTTCTCCACCTCAAGCAGTCTGATCAGGTTTGGCTTCAAATTTTTTACTCTGAGCAGAACGGACTCTTCTTTGACCCTTTCTGGACAGACAGCACCTTTACCGGCTTTCTTATTTACGCTGACCAGGAATTTCTCACTGAGGAGGATAGAAAAGCAAATGTTCAGTCTGATGATTAAAACTTTCTGAAACATCTTTTCATTCGAGAAATTATCTTCATGACTGACTTCCATACATATCTAAATGAGAGCCACAACGATGTCCTTTCATCCGGACATTTCTTTAACCTGCTTAATCCTTTTTAAGGGTCACAAGGAGGCTAGAATCTGTCTTCACAAAGATGAGCATCGGTGAATTCCAGCTGCTATACAAATCTTGACACCAGGGGGTGCACAAAGAAATATAAAAGGGAAAACCATTCAGTAGCGCTTCTTTTTTAAAGTAATAATGAAACATGTTTGCAGTGAACAATGTGTATGTGTAAGATGCTCAAAAAATAATTGTGTCATTGAAAAAGAAATAACTAAATGTCAACTTGAAATTTTATATCTTAAGTCCATAATGATACACAGATTTTAAGCATGCTTTTGAATGACAGTTTTGTCGTGATTGAGTTTGAGCTGTTCTCAACAAGAATACAATTTTCTTTCATGTCAGTGACAAGTTTATGTGTTACAGTTTGTGTGTCCTGTACATTTAACACGAGCCTCACTTACATTTTACAGAACAGAGGGCCAAGTGGTATGAAATATACATATTCACAGTACCCGGTACACTAGAGGTGCACTAGTGTCCAAAACAATGGTGAAGTTTGAAGAGAAAAATATCTACTCAGCCTTTGGTGGAGATGTAAACAACCAAGAAACATCGGAAATATGGGACGATCCACAAACCAAGAAACATGCAAACCACTGATCCAGTTTCCAGTAAACGCTTCAACTAGCAATGAATGCATTTTATCTAATACTTTATACATACATTTTTACAAAAAATATGACTATATTCAAAAAGGTTAACCAATTAAGTGAAAAACACATTTGTTGTTATGATAAAAATGATATAATATAATATACTATACAATATAACATAATATAATATTATACAATATAATATAACATAATGTGTCACAATTTTACAATTAAGTGTTATAGTCAACGTGACAAATTGGATAGTTCGTTTTTGTAGTTTTTCTAGATGACCCTTTAAAAACTACAAGTCCCATCATGGCGGAAAGACCTTCACGTCTGGCGCACGAGCCTCGCAGCTCAGCAGCAGCTGGTGCAGCCGGAGAGGCTACTTTGTTACCGCGAAGCAACCGGAGAGAAAAAGGCAGAGCAGAGTCTCTCGGAAAAAGTGTGAACAGTTGTGGGGAAACGGCGCAGCCGAGGGCCTGCTGGTGGGATTTTGGGACGGCAGCTATTTGATGTTTTTGCCAGCGAGCTTGAAGTTTGCGTTTTCCGCTTCAAAAGAGGTCTGTCTCAAAGTTGAGCCGAAACGGAGTTCTCTCATTCAGGATGTCGGACTGAGACAAAGGGGTCTGGGGGGCATTCCCGTCGGAGCGGAGCGGTGAGTGGCACATGCTATACCAACGACATGAAAAGTTCACCAGGTTGTTGCTTCTCAGGAAGGATGAGTTGTGTTTGTGATGAAGCGTCGCTTTTTATAGTGGTGTGCCGATACGGTTTTTAAACGAAGCTTGTATTTGTGACCTCAGTGGGCAGTTAACTTGTGTCGCCTCACTGTTGAGTCGCTGTCTCGTGGTAAGAGAACAGCCTCGGCGATAACTTACATGTGGGACTATAGAAAAAAAATTAAATCATTATTTAGTCAAGTGTCCTTCCTTGAAAGTAAAATTTCTGAACGGCACTTTAAACAATTTGACTTACGGCGTGGTCGAGTGGGTATTTAACCGAGCCATTTAAATTCCCGAGCAGAATACATGGCCTGCTCAGGCAGACCTACCTCTGCCGGTATTAAATGACCAACACATTTAGGCAAAAGGACTTTTTTTTTTTTTTTTTTTAGCAGAATCTGTGTTTCTTAAATACTCGTGCTTTTTATGACCCACAGATGTATCTGGGAATGAACATTTACAGAGAATCTAATCCACGTCTCTCTCTGTGATGCTTTAGTCTGTACATATAATGTTTTAAAACTCTTTATGTGATGTTACTCTCAGTAGTGGCTGCTTGTTTGGAAGTGTCTGAAGTTTTTCTTGTTGCTCACGTGTCTCAGCAGGTATATCTTGAATTTAAGAGCCTCCTCTGAATGGGAAAGATGGAGAGGGAGCTGCAGTGGTGGAAAGGACAGCTAGCCTCAGATATCCATCAATCCTTACGCATCAAGGTAAGTTTGACCAATGCCGACTGCTTTATATTAGTATGACATCAGGATTTTAATCCACCAATACCAACTGCATTTTGACTGCATGTGTTTTAAGAAAACTTCAAATTTACATGTAAACACATTAAATGGAGGCCATTCCTACGGCTTGATAGTCATCAGCTTAAAGACAACCATCTTATATTTACACAAAAACAAGCCAGTTACTGACCTTCAAATAATGATTTTAAAAAAAGATCTCTTTTACAATGTAAGTGAGCTGGTGCATCACTTTGCTATTTAACTGTTAGTGTGGTGGAAAAAAAGGAAAAGTCTCAATAACGTTAAATAAATCTTGATAAAGGTTTGGGGGTCTTGTGATATCTTGAAAATATCATTTAAATCAGTGATTTATTAGCTTTTATTTTAGTATTAGTGATATTCTGATTTGCATTTTCCCTTATTTTCTGACCATAATGTGTTTAAATTACATGTTAATTCATCAGTGAAATACGATCTGTCTTCTTATTCCGCTGCAGGGTCTGTTTGAAAGTCAACCTAAAGATGAGGGGGAAAATTAATTACACGGGCCTGTTGTCTATTTAAATCTTATTTAAATCAGATTATGTGGAGGAATTGAGGCTCATTAATTAACAATGTCTTAATTAATCTCATAGCACGATCGTATTTTTTCCCCATGTGTCAGTTTAAAGGAGGTTTAAAGGAGACATCTGTTACTTGACTGGCCATTTCAAACCAGCACTCCCCAGGCATGTTCGTACTGATGGGGATGAAGCTGAATCAGGTTGAGGATATCAGGTGTCTTGACTAGCCACATGTTTTGCATGCATGAGTCGAATAAGAACTGTGCCGCATCGGTTGTTTGTGAGTCATTCACTGAGATACTATTTTATTCACTTCACGTTGCCAGCTTTAAAGTTGACTGTTGGTTGGACAGAACACTTGTGTACAGAGCTGGAAACTAACAACACACCCACGTTTTTCATACAGTATTGAGAAAAGTGTTGTTGCCAGTCTTGTCAGAATTTGATTGACTCATCTCTGCATTTTTGTTGACCTCTAAAGCAACAATCTCCCCACATTGCAGCACGCTGCATAGTACAATGTCCTGGTTGTAAACTGAGCACTGTGTGAAACTTTACAGCAGACTGAAACGTGCGTCTCTTTAAGCAGAAGCAGTCTACAGCCAGGCTGCTCTGAACAGGGTTTTTCCCAACTCCTAAATACCTTTTATAATGTAACTCATGATGTTGTGAGGTTTCTGTGAAGACTGTCATTGTACATATTGCCATAAAAAGGTTTTCATTGCCATGATGTCCACCACTGGCAATGCTTTTTGCCTGTATTGTAAGCAAAACTTTGTGTGTTAAGACAAAGTCTAAAAGAAACTGCGCTAAAAAGGATAACCTGCTTTTGAATAGCACAATTGAATTAATAGCTGGAATTCAGCTTGAGCTGAGAGCCTAATGATTTGTATACGCATTTCCATCTAAGATTCATTGTATAATCAAGACTAATTTGAGAGGCCGTAAGGTTTTTTTTTTAAGGGTGTTTTCTAAAAGATTAAATGATTTAATTGCAAATTTTATTTCATACATTGCAAATAGCAAATTAATCTGTATTTGATGTTTTTGGCCTAAGTTTTTTCCTTTTTGTTTTTGATAATTCTATCGGGCAAGAATGAAAGCTTGTGGGTTCTCGTGGGAGCTTTTAAATTTTATTTGTGAAAGCTATAGGCAGAGTTGTCATTGATTAGAGTAGCTGTTGATAAAATCATGCACTGATTAAAAGAAAACCTGCTGATGAGTGGAGTTTGTTGGATGAAAGTTTAGTCTTCTAAGTGCCATAGATTTGGAGCAGAGAAGAATGCTGAAATCAGTATCTGAGCCTCACACAGCGCTCAGATCTCCTGCATGGCGCCTGCACCCCCACCGTCTCATGCAGCCTTAATGACGCTTGCTGCAGTGATAATGCCCTGATGTGGGAGATAGTGGTGGTGTGGAGCATGTGGCAAATTATCAGACATGCAAATCAGTAGGCAGCTGTGGAATTCTTAATTATGGTGCAGAGGCCCCACAAAGGCACCTCTCCACCCCACACAGACCCCCCCAATCCCCTCCAGCAGCCTCCTCCCTTCAGCCCTGCACCCTGCCCCCCTCTCCTGCTGGCCTTGCACCCCCAGACAGACAGATGGACCAGAGGCAGTGGGAGGAGAGGAGAGTTTGAGGAGGATTGGTTGATAGGGGAGGGTCATTGGGCCGGGGGTGGTGTTGCTCTCTGTTGGTGTGGGAGGGGGGTTAGTGTTTACTTTTGGATTCCATTGAAGTGTCAGTCTGAGCATCTCTCCTGTTATAGATCCGCCTAAAATAAATACCTGACAGTTTGTGTAACCCTGACAGATCTGGTTGTCTTGCCCTCACAGCTAGCTTTAATAACTCTAACCTGTTTTCTCTGAGTTTAGCCTTCAGCGTGGCTGAGCTGCAACAAACCGCACATTTGATGTCCCACGTATTCTTTTAGTGATTCTTAGCTAAATGTATATCTTTCTGTTCTTGCCTTTTGATAGATAATCCCCAAAAGTTTCATTTGTCAAATTTGAGAATATCTAAGGAAGCGCATGTTTTATATAACCTGCCAAAAAATGTCGACACAACTGATAATCATTATTTTTGGAGATACATTTTTGGTCTAAGAGATGCCACACAGCCTGGAAAGCAAGATTTGGATGCTTCAAGACAAAGATGTTGGATATTCTGTAACAGTTCGGACATCATGTGGGTTTATTGTAGTACCCTTTGTGCTTTCTTATTCTAAAGATCCCAGAGAGATTGATCTGCCACTCGTCCTTTTCTGTTTTATCTATTTAAATCTAAAATTTCTTGTATTAACTAGGATTTACAAAAGGCAAATTGTATGCACAGCTCTACAATATTACACACAACTCTACAGTATAGCCTTTGAGGAAGGTTTCAGTTTTTGAACATGGTTCTTTTCAGTTTTCTTTGTAAAATCCATCTGAAGAGACACCAAAGGCTGATTCAATGCTTGTGCCCCTGAGTGGCTTCTTCCCACTTTGAAACACATGCAGCTAATTGAACATGAACAGAAGATGTGTGAGGGGTGAAACTTAATCCTATCGGTTGCTGAACTCGACTGGGAAAAAAACCCTCCCCTCTCTAAACAGGGCACACACACAAACTCTTGCCCCATTGTTCAGAGACCCCTGCAATGACCCAAATTAGCTCCGGCTCTTTGAAGTTATTCTGAATTTGATGAAACGGAAAGAAGCCTGAATTATGCTGAGGCGTTTTCAACATTAACTGGAGGTTCTGTCTTGTTGTGTTTTAGACTACCATGATTTCACCTCACAGCAGTTAAACTTAGTCAAATTGAGAAATAGATGGCTCACTATTATTATGCATATTCATTACAACCCCCACACTTCATCACTGCTTCCTGCCCACCATGCTCATCTCACCCCCTGTTGTTTACACCTCCCCTCACCTCTCTTCCCCTCTCCACCTACAGGAGCTGAAGCTGCCAGTTTACCGGGCCCATTCTCCACAGATTGGCATGCGACGTTACTTTGCAGACTTGTTGGCTATCCTGAGCAATCGGTACCAGCTATGTCCCACAGCACGTCATCTGGCCGTCTACCTGCTGGACTTGTTCATGGACCACTACGATGTGGCTGTCAAACAGCTCTATGTCATTGCCCTCTCCTGTTTACTTCTTGCTAGTAAGTCTATAAACAGCCTTTAACTTCAATACAATCAACTAGTAGCTTGTTATATGCAATAAGAATAATTTTAAATGACACAAAGAATGTTTCTATTTGTCTTCTATTACTTAACATTCTTTTAGTGGGTTTGTGGTTAGCCTCTGGCACAAACCCCTTAGTGGAGACCTGCTGACTTAAAATAGACTGTGTTTCATGCACAGATGGCATGAGGCAAAAACATTTCCTGCAACAGGGCTAATTTGAATTGTGCTTTTTTTGTATGGGTAAAATTCTGTTGGCGCTGCTCATCTCTGCAGAACCTAATCTCTTTTTAAAAAAAACATCAGGGCTGTAATATGAGCACTTTGGCTATGTCTGATGTTTATTCAGTTGTGAGATAAACATGTGATACCCTTCAAATTCATACATGTTAAAAAAAAATTTCCTCTTGAAATCATCTTTGCACAGTTACACCTTATGAAAACATGCTTCTGTTTTGTAGTTGGATGAGTAACCTGTATGCTTGTCTGCTCTGAAATCTGTTTCTTGTTGTGTTTTGCGCAAAGCAGGTGTGTTAATCATTCTTCTCCTGCTGATGCACGGTGCAGGTTATGCGGTAGCTATTAGTGTCTCAATGTCTGTCTGGTGATTAACAGACTGTGAGGTTTTCCGTACATTAATGTAGCCCATGGCATCATGGATAATTAGACTAATGATGCTGTCAAAGTAGGAGTCTGGAAAAGAGTCTGTTCAGTGGGGAGAGCTCAGTGTCTGTGAGTGGTTGCGTACAGGCCTTTTTTCAATCCGTCACAAGTCTCTGTGGTGAACTCTGAGACTTAAGAGGTTTTATTTGAAGGCAATCTCATGAGAATTTTTATAGTTTTTCTTCCTTTTGGTTGTACAGTAAGTGTGATCATCCCAACATTGACAGAGGTTTTTCTTTTAATATATCCTAGATTGGTCTGATATTTTAAGATTGTATCTTTAAATTGCACCTCTTACTTAGTGGAGGTCCCTTTTCTGTTTTCCTCCGCCAGGACTCAGGGGAGTCTCTGTCATGATTGATGAAGACTTGAAAAGGCATTTGATTCAAAGCTGACTCCAGTTTTCATCCATCTTGAGGTGCTTTGGCATCCGGCCTAGTTATTGAACAACCCCTTGGTTTCTCACTGCTTCCCTTTGACACAGACAATTGTCTTTCTTTAAACTTTCTTGGCTTCCGCACGCGGTTAATTAATCTGTACCTCTTTTGTTCCTCTCAGCAGTCACAGCTTAATCCTGTTGCTCCATTGTATGTTTTTTTTTGTATGCACTTGTGTGTGAATACGTTTGCTCATGGATGAGCTCCTCTCTCTTAGGAGGAAAGATCTTAGTCTGTTTTTAAAAACCTGAATGGATTTAGTGTTATTTTCTGTTGGCCACTTATTTGGAGAGGTTTCTTTGATCTAGTGAGCCTAATTGATTACAGAAATAGTGTCTGGGGAAGTTAAATGTCAACTGCAAAGTTTCTATTGTGTGACATTTCATGAAGTCCTGCAGTGATGACATCGGTCTTTGTGGCACATTTGTGTCCATAAAAGAAAAGGTCTGCATACTGCAGCCATTTGTTTGCATTAATTACATCATTAATGCCTTTCTGCTGCCAGCCAGAACAAAGTTATAGATTACTTGTCATCACAATGCTTGTGAGTGTAAAACATTGTTTTGTGCTTCTGTGATTATAAAATATGGGAATGAAAGCTCTTTTCTTTTGTATTCTCAACAAGTTACAAGTCATAGCTTGTCGAGGCAGATGGCTGCCCACCCTGGGCCATGATTCTGCTCCAGCTTTCTGCTTCTTAAAAGGAAGTTTTCCTTGCCTGTGTCGCCTAGTGCTTGCTTTTGGTGGGAATTGTAGGGCTTAACTTCAGAGTATGGTCTGACCTGCTATTTTTGGAAAGCGCTATGAGATAACTGTAGTTGTGATTAGGTGCTATATAAATCAAATTGAATGGAATTGAATAGCTAGTATTTTGTTGAGGGAACATGATTCAGTAGGTGATCTCTAGCAGCAGACATGTATAGCATCCTGCTGAAATGACTGAGCACAAGAAATTTAGTCATGTTGACTACCGAGTGCACATACACAGGCCCGGGGGTGGGGAAGAACAGTGCGCTGAGGGGCACCTGCCATATGCTCTTCGAGTCAGGCCTCAAACAAAAGCCAGTCAATGCAAGCAGGCCAGCCAGCCAGACCCAGGGAGGGGGAGGGGATTGCTCTCTAAGGCGGGGAGGCTGTTGTCTGAGCGGGCGTGTACGATAGCGATTCACCATGAGCCAGTGCTGCCATAAGAAGACACGGTTGCCATGACAACCGTTTGATAAACCTATGGATTCTTTTCATGCAGTCGCCTCATTAAGATCCACCTTGAAGTTTAATCCATCGGAGAATATCCGGTAGTGCTGCTGCTACACCACACGTCTAAGTGAACCACTAGCTGCTGCTGGTGTCCTTTTACCTTTTGCTGCTGGCTCTTTTTCCTTCTTGTTTTTCTCACCTTGCCAGGGTCAGCCAGCGCTAACCAGTCCTGGGACAGGATGGCCCATAAAAGCAGCCCCTCATCCCCGGGGGGTTGGTAAATGAGAGGAGCGGTACTTCAAAGGCAGGTTGGCTGCTGATGTTAAACAGGGTAGAGAGGAAGAAAGAGGTGGCGGCCTTCAAAATGGAACAAATCAGAAGTGAAACACCTAGCAGGGTGCTCTGAAATGTAGATCAAGTAGAAAACAACTTCCCCCTTCATTCCAATTCGAGGTTCGACCGGATTTCTGATAGCTTTCGATCTGATGGATACGGCTCTAACAGCCAAGTAAATGTGAAGGGAGGTATAAACTGCATTTAAAGTTAATGTCATCATTTATTACCAATACTTTATTTTTTTTGTATCTCTTCTTGTGGTAAAACTTCCCTGCAAGCATTTAGGAAAGTATCCATTTTCCCATAACATGCTTTGCCACCCATGGTGTGAGCCACTATATCCCCCCCCTTCCGCTCTCTGACACACACATGAACAGAGCAGGGGTCAGGGTTCAGCTAGGGCCTTACGTTGTGATGGCCACTAGGACCAGGGGGTGACAATGCAGAGATTTTGTTATAGAGTTGGGACTGATTTCTTGCAATAAAAGACACTTTAGGAGAGGAGGAAATTCCTACATAGCTCTAAAGTTAGAAAAAGCAGTGGACAATAAGACAGAAAACCAAAGACTTGAATTGTTATAGTTTCTTTGAATCTTTATCTGCAAGATTTGATCATTATTACTTGAGTTTTGGTATGAGTTTGACCAAAGCCAAAAAATTAAAATTCACAAAAGCTGATGTGCAAATCCTCAAACTATCTAAACTTAGAAAAATCAAATTGTAAATTGATTTATTTACTCTTATTCACATGTTATATTTTTTTAATGATTTTTTTCAAAGAAAATTTTCTATACAAGATGTAATGCTACTGAAATTGTGATTTAAGATCCAGCCAGTTAGGAGTGTTTGCCAAAGCACATTCATTTGAAATACTCCACACTGTTTCTCTGCTCTAATAAAATGTTGGTTTAGATGTTTTAGTACAGCACCAACAACGGACAAATCACTGTTCAAGAAAATGAGAAAGATTGATTGATGTTGGTTAGACGTTTAAAAGACTTTCCCCATCCAACCTCAGCGCCGTGTGTCGGACGGCTTAGTCGGACAAAGGCAAGGGATCCAGTTTAATGGCCAGTTTGAGCTGTGTTCAGTGATGTCTAGTCACATTTCCTGTTTTGGGAAAATTGTTCTCATTTGTGCAGCTTTGTTGATGGATGAATGTGAGCTGTGGTGCTATGTTCCGTGTTGGGGAATTTTGTAAAAACAGTTTCCTATTTTGAGTTGGAAATTTTTTTTTGTTGGAGGTTCAGGTTTTCTGGAGCATTAACTGCACATTGTTCTTTTATCTGTCTGTAGTTCCCCCCCCCCCATATCCATTTTCAGCTGTTCCTAAGAATTACAACCTCACATTTTGTGATACAGAACACGTGGTGTGATGATGCTGCTGATAGTCTTTGGGTGGACCATTTTCTAAATAAAGCATACTACATTTACAAGCAGTTAACACGATTATCTGCCAGCTGTGCAAAGGTGAAAGAAGCAGCAACCAGTATCATTTTAAATCCAGCCCATCAACTTATTCCAGTTTTTTTTTTAGCCCATTACTTTATCCCTTCCCTGCTAACTGAGATGGGATCAGTTGGCTTCCTGCATTCCAGGTAGGCATAACTCACAAGAGAGGAATGCACCGTCTCTTTCAGCCTGCATTCAGAGTGACAACAGTAAATCGATAGGAGCTTTGTAGGCCTGTTGCCGCAGTGGAACTGTGAGATGATAAAAGACATGCCTCCAAATCCAAATCAGCTTAATAGCTTACCAAACATTAGACCAAACATTATGAATAATCCTTTTTTGTAAAATGAAACATCATGTGATTTGGTTGTACTCTAACCTGCAGGGTGGGGAGCTTTCTCAAATTTTGCAATCTAGTTTTTATTGGTATGGTATTAATACCCCCCATATAATGATAAAAGATGGATCAGACTCTTGCATGGAAAAAATAAATGTTTGTTTCTGAGGTAAATATGCCATATATGAGGAGACTTAAAAAGAGAAGGTGTTAAAACGTAATTTGATCGTTCTCTAATGATTAATGGTAAGCCATGCTTTTTCTGTCTTTTGTGTTTGGCCTCATTAAGATGAAAAGCAACATTTTACATTTTTTGCTTTTCCTGTCACGATGTTCATGTCATTGTTTTCAATCTCCTAGTAATATTTTCTATTTTCAAAACACAATGACAACGACAATAATTAACAGTCAAAACTGAAAGTTTAAACTCCTCAGTGTTTTTATTTTTATGCCTTCTTAACAAGCTGAAACTTAAGTTGAGGCTGATGATCCTGTCAAGTTAACTTTTAATAAAACCCGGTGTCAGATTGTGTTTAGTTTTAAAAATGCTTCTATAATATGTTTTTAGAGTGCACATTACTAATGAAAGATGCTCTGTATTTGTGTGGTACAGAGCTCTAGACTATAGATATTTTGTGTTGTATGACACTATCCACTGAATGTTGCCACGTTTTTTGTTACACAGGTTCAGGATTCAGTCCTTTTTTTTCTCTAAAAAAGTTTTCAAAGCATTTCCACATATTTTTCGTGTGTCTGGTCATCCTTAGCTGGAAACCAGAGGAATGGCTAAAATAAAGAGATTGGCTTGTTATGTCTTAACATCAAAGATGCTGGTGTTTTGTGGAGATTGGGGGCATTGATGGCTTTTTATGGCTGTGTCTGTGCGGACATAGTAGCCAAGCCTTAGACACTGATCCAGAGGATATGAGGGGGAGAGGATAGGGCGAGCGTGGACTGGGTCACAGAACGAGCGCTGGTGGCAATAAACGGCGCCTTTTCTCATTGTGCTTCCTGTTCTGCTAGAGAGACGCCATTACTGCCTGTCTGCTAATTACTCCTTCGCCCCCACCTCCCGGCATGTTGGGCTGCAGATCCCCGCCCTCCTCTCTTCTGCCTCGCTTAATGATAGGTCGCAACATCAGTGATAAAACTTGCACTTAGCAGAAAGACGTTTCAGAAGACTTGGGCATAAAGAGATAAATTAGCTCCATCAACAGAAGAGACAATAGAAAAAGCCATTGCATGTCCGACTATTGTTGCTGGGAATGTTAACATCTAACTGCTGCTCAGTTATGTCAATAAAGCCCCTATTTTGAGTGTTTGGTTGCCATGGTTTTAGATTAGAAGATTAACCCAACAGAGGGTTTTTTGTTGTTCTCAGCTTGATGCATAACTTTTTAATCCCAGCATTTGTGTATAGTGCCAAGTAATTTAGCTATATCCAATGAGTGTCACTTAAGCAGCATGCTTTAGAGAGTGTGTGTGTGTGAGTGTGTGTGCGCGCGGGTGGTTGTTTACATGTTGGTGTGTTTTTTTAATTATAAATAGTTTTATGTACTTTAGGAAGTGGTTTGTTGCTTGTGTGCAACTTAACCATAAATTGTTGATAACATTTAAAATTGTATATTAATGAAAAGTTTTTAATAGCAGTTGTTAATAGCATGTATGATATTCATCCAAGAATGTTTTGTTTACCCATAGATGTCCACAAAAAGACCTGCTGACAAATGGTCATAATCGTTTTGGAACGTATATAACTACAGTGTAGTTTGGTTTTATATTCATGAAATCTTAATATCATGCTTTACTGGATGAAAAATAACAGACTATTTAGTTTATTAGTTTTGTTTTTAACTTTCACAAACATTTCAGCGATCACTGAGCCGTGCTTTTGGGGAGCTGCCAGTTTCATGAAAAGACCAAAAACTGTGTGTGGCTCAAGGCAGGGGCTTTACAGGGAAGTCTGTATCAGGGTAACATGACACCTTCCTCACCCTCATTCTTAATGTTTGAGAGGAGGCCTCTTGGACCCATGGATTAAAGGCAGAAACACCCCTCATCATTGGTCACATGGACCCCCGAGGCCTCAAGGCTGTTGCTATGGAAAAAGAGTCCTCCTTTAGATGGGGAGGGAGCACTCCACAATGACACCACTCTGTTTTCTGTGAGGGGTGAGGAAGAGACTGGGGGATCGAACTTAGATTTTCATAGAAAGCGTGAGGCTTTTATAATCCACTGAAAGAGGCCCACACTCAGCTTATTAGTGTAATAGCTTTGCTTTATAGCCAGATGTTCAGAAGTAGTCAACTTAATTGCTCCTGCTTTGTAGCCACTTCTTAGTTTCTGCAGAAACTGGAGTAAGCTGCTTTAAAGCTGATCAGAGACCTGTTGCACATGATTATCTCTTTTTAAAAGAAAACAACTTGTTTTGCAAACATTCATCATGTTTTGTCCATTTAAATATATCAGAATTTCAATAATATATAGGAATAGGCCAAAACGTTTAGAAAATCAATGGCTCTCCATTCCAAAACAATTTATGGACTAAATGCTATATTAATCTTAATGTTAATTTTTGTTGTATTTGTCTATAATTTGTTTTCCAAATTTTAGGATCTGTTCGGTGCAGAACTTTAACTTCTTTGAACAGCTTCTTTTTTTTAGGGGTAAATGAATCCTCGGCGAGATTCGGAATCAATTGGTGTGTATTACTGTAACCTCCTTGTTTCTGTTATTTACTTTCCAGGTAAATTTGAGGAGAAGGAGGACCGTGTTCCAAAACTGGAGCAGCTGAACTCCCTTGGCTTTATGTGCAGCCTTAACCTTGTTCTCAACAAGAGGGATCTGATTAAAATGGAGCTTCTGCTGCTGGAGACTTTTGGCTGGAATCTGTGCATGCCCACGCCTGCCCACTTCATTGACTACTACCTCCACGCCGCAGTGCAGGAGGGCGACCTTTACAACGGCTGGCCCCTGTCCTCTCTGTCCAAGACCAAGGCCTTCATGGACAAATACACTCACTACTTCTTGGAAGTTTCCCTGCAGGGTGAGTAGAATCACCTTTACTTTGTCATCCAGCAGCTGTCGGTTTACACCGACTTGCGGGAAGTGTTGATATTGAGAGTGATCGGATGGCTTTCCTCTTGTAGATCATGCCTTCCTGAGTTTCCGACCATCCCAAGTTGCTGCTGCATGCGTGGCAGCATCCCGTATTTGCCTTCAGATTTCCCCCAGCTGGACAACTGCTCTGCATCTCCTAACAGGCTACACCTGGGACCACCTGACGCAATGCATTGAACTCATGCTGCTGTAAGGGACATTTTCAGATGCCTTTTGTGCTTGTCAATAGTGGCCAACTAGAGAGTGTTTATCATCTGACAGAGTGGGGCAAAAAGCATTTAGTCTGCCACTACTGATTGTGAAAGTTTTCCTACTTAGAAAGATGAGAGAGGTCTGGAATTTCTTATCGTAGGTACACTTAAACTATGAGAGGCTAAATGAGAAAAAAAATCACAATGTGGGATTTTTAATGAATTATAACTGCTATTGTTTTCTGGATTAATATTTTACTTGAGAATTGCACACTTATCATTTCCCTGAAGCTATGGTTTCAGGAAACATAATAATTTTTTGTGTTTTTTTGTTGTGAAATGACAGGGCTCATGACAACGATGTGAAAGAGGCCAATAAAGCCAAATCCACCCCTCCTCACCGGCCTTCTTCTCTGCAGTCCCAGCCGCTAGCGGCTCACCTTTCTCCAGTGTCAGCCATCCAGAGACCAGCCTCCTCCTCCTCCACTTCCTCCACACCACAGCTGCTCTTTCAGCCGGACACTTACCCACACCTTTCCCAGCATTCTCCGTCCCTTTCTCAACTGCAAGTGTTAGCTGACTCCCAGGCTTTGGGCCCTGTGGTGAACATGTCTCAGGACTTTCTTCAGAGCCACAGGATGGGTCTCTTAACAGGAGCTCCCTCCATCACAACTGGAGGGGCGTTCCCTTCTTACTCAAGCCTGACCTCAAGTCTCCAGGCGGGAGCTCGGGCCCTTCCACTCCAGGGCCCCATCTCTGTGCAGATGGCCCTCGCTGGAGAGCCGCGACATTGTCTGAGCATGGCCTACAGCGGGGGCTACCTGGGGGCGCATCACACGTTCACAGCTGGCTGCTTTGATAGGTGACGCCAGGTGACGGAGAGGGAACACAAACCCCAACGAGAGTCCACTGCAATACCTCCAACTCACCCCCCTCCCCTAACGCATCCCCTAGTAGACCTCCTCTCTCTCTCCGTCGACACTGCAGCTCGTCCAGCTCGTCCAGCTCCCCTGTCCCTCTCACAGAGACGCCTCAAACGCAAGCAGAGGCCAAAAAGCAAGGCAGACCCAGTGGAAGTCATCACTCTGACGTGACGACTGCTCCACTGCCTCATTTGAAATACAGAGGCTCTGAGAAAATGTTCCTGCCATATCCTGAACTGGATTTATAAATCTGTGTTATAACGAGACTGTCATCACTGTGAATGAGATGAAAGCAGCAGCGTGATCGAACTCCCACCTCATTCAGTGCCTGTTTTCAGTTGTGTGTCACAGCTGAGCCAGTTTTAGTGCACTGAACACAAAGTATCTGTGATGAGCGCAGCTCGCTGCTTGACTTCTTTTTTTCTTTTTTGATTTCTGATTCCAAAAATGTCAACAAATTTAATAGAATATTTGTGACCAATAATTTCCAGCCACCGTTTGAGTTTAAGTGTTGACTGGTCTGGACAAAAAAAGGCTGTGTATGTCTTTCTGCTTTTCCCCTGAAAATTGACAAACATTTGATATAATGAGCTAAGGGGCTCCTCTAGGAATTCTTTCCAGGACTCCAAGAATTCACTGGGTGCACAGCAGGTGAAGTCCGCAGCTCAAACAGGCCTGCAGTACAAACTTCTTTTTTTTCTGCCCCCTCGCCCTCTCTCTCTCCCATCTCCAAAGTCAAGCCTGTGCCCGAGCTTCACACATGCAGGTAAAAATGGGGCTCTCTTCCAGCTACAGGCGTTTTCCTACTAAAGTTTTATTTTCTCCTGCACCACTCAAAGAGTTTAACACAAACTGACGTGACTGGACCAGCATGGTGAAGAAGACTTGGACGTCGGTTGTGTGTTGTGCATATGAATTGCTGCTGCCTTCTTAAGAACTGTTGGTTCTGTGTCTGTGTTAATGACTCCAATGTTTACATGAACCACTATCAGGGACTTTTATCAAGATTACTTGAATACGATGCCATTGAAACATGCCATAGCTTTTATTTATGATGACTATTTGTTCCTGTACTTATTTTTTAATTAATTTTGTTTGATATAGTGTAGCTTTTTTTCTTTTTATACCAACATAGAAATCCACCATTGATTAAGTGTAGTTTTCTTTGTACCTGTTCATTGAAACTGTGTATTCAGGCTCAGGTTTTAAGGCTGAAGCTAGCTGCCTTATTGTCATTCTGTGCTATAGTGCTTTAAACTGGATGCAAATCCAGTGTCTGTGGGGGAGCTATAGTAATCCCCTTCCTCATCACTGGACTCCACTCCGCTTACGTCTCACTAATTGAATACATGAATCTTATTTTTCGAAATAGTGGAACAAACCCATGCTCACTGTTTTCACAAATAAACATCTGCAGCCAGTCATGCGTAATTGCTTCTCAGATTTCTAAAGCTGCAGTCCCCCATCTTTAACTTCCTGTTAAAGTTTAAACACAACCAGATTCCCAGTGCTGATCACAGAGGTTGTCCACTGCTCACCATTTTGGTTCTTTAAATGTGTGGACCGCAAGCCTTTGGGAGTTGTGGGCCACATGGAGACTAATTTAGGTATGTCATTATCAATCAATTAACTTGAATCCAAGGGAATCCATATATGCCTCCTGTTTTATCCTTATATTGGAGAACTCAAATACAGTTGCTATAACTAAGGGCACATAAGTCAAGTGCTCAGCATTTCGGTTGATATCCCCAGATAGTAATGGAGAAGTGTTGGCTTGTTCTGGGGAAAACGAAAACTGCTGAACTGGTTGTTGTTCCTTAAATGTTCAAACGGAGACTGGCTTCAATTCTCTGGCTTTAAAGTTGTTCGTTGTGGACCCTGGACACACCGCTATGCTTGTGCCTTGCCCACAGCAGATGTTTGGTTCACGTTTGAATTCTGAGTTTTTGGATGAAGCTCTCTGACTCTGCAACACATGTTTATAACTGTTGGTACCCCGCTCCTGAAATGAAGTAGAATACTATGCCTTTTTTTTTAAACCCTGTGTACCATTTTGTTACATTTTTTCTACATTCCTTTTTGCTCCCATTATATTTGAAATGTTTGTGATTTTTGTTCTCCCTCACCACCAATGGATGCTGTTAGTCAGAACTAGAGTTTGCTCTTTTCCTCACTATTCACGAGCAACTTGTCATTGAGGTCAAAGGTGCAATAAGGTGTTTTTCCTGTTTTAACTGACCACAGCCATCACTGTCTCGTGTGTACCACTGGCTCAACTTTTGTAACTTATTGTTTGACTATTGTATGATTTGATTTGATTTCATCTAGAGGGCGGTGTGCTCTGAACACAAAGATTATGTTGCATATTGCAGCCACTCACTTTGAGTAACAGATATTACTGAATACTTTTGTCTTTAAGAGTGTTACTGTTCATCTGACCACGAAACGTGCTGAGGCTACTCGCACCACACAACAATTGTCCTGCGTTATAGTGATGAATTGACACCATGAACTTCTAATGTTATTTTTGTATTCTTTTTTAACAACCTGTAGTCTCTGCTTTTGTGACACTGAATGATAGTGTTTAATCATAAGGTGTGATGACAAAATAAACACATGTGAGCTGAACTTCTTAGAGGTGTTTTTTGGTTGTTGTTTTTTTTTTCCTCTAAGGAGGTGCAAGTGATGGACTGGCTGCTTTTGGAAGCCGGGTGCTTTCCCCCTGCTTTGCTTCAGGGAAGAAAATGAAAAATCTTTAGCAGGTTTGGCCTCTGATGAGATGCTATGAGGGGACCACACCATCCATTAAACCCATGCTAGATCAAACTAAGGCCACGCGTTGGAGTTTATTTAAATGCATTTATTCAAGTGTTGTGTTTTCTATTTTGTAGTATTTTCTGTCTTTTACTTGTCAAACTCCTTACTGTGCTCAGAAGCCACTTTTCTAACACAACGTGGGCTGAACCAAACATGTTACTGCATCTCAGAGGAATGTTTCTACTTTCTCCGCCAATGATTAAAGCCCATTTTATTTTATTCCGAGGCAGCTAATTTAATCTCACCCTCCTGCTCTTGTAACCATGGGTGGAATAATAAATCCACGAGCCGTGCCACTCACCAGACTGCTGACAAGGTTGTTATTCAACGGTTAAAGACATTCTGGCTCTCATCTGCTGAACTCCACCACCACAGCTGAGTAGAGCCCTCGGTGTCGTCAAGGGTTCTGGTCCATTCAGGGCTCAAACACTCGAGACATTATGCTCCGATATAATGCTCACAAACAGCCCACCACGTTCATGTTGGCCATAGAATGATCCCATAGAAAAACAGCTGAGCCTCAGCTTTGTCTCTGCCTTCACAGTAGAATATTTACAGTGACGTAGAAAAAGTGTCCGATAGTTGGGGATGTGTTCATTTGTGTCCTTGTTCGGCCTTTCCCTCCTTTGTGCTGGGGATGATGAAAAGGCTGCCTCATCGTTAAATGCATGGATTTTGTTTTTCCAATCCATGGCAGAAATAACTGACCAGTAATACACAAATGTTTCTATCTGGAAAATCTCCAACAACGCATCTGATGTTTTTATTTGCAGGTATCCGCTCAGCTTCAGAGGAATCAATAAACCGTACAGATTGAGGGGCATTTGTTCATCTGCAAAGGGGTAAAAGAAGAGAGACGGAGGGGTATGAGTGCCCCAGGCCATCCTTCTGTAATCTTTTGTATTCACAGGCAAAAAGGGAGGATCCTTACTTCCTTTGAATATATCCTGGAGGAACAATTTGGAAAGGAACAAGATGGGGGTGCAGGGGGGGCTGCTAACCTTGTGTCTGCTGTGGGTGTTTGACTACACATTCTTTATGTCATTCAATGAACACTAGATCAGCAATTTAACAGAGGTTATGATCACAAATTAAACCAAGCACACAGATTTGTGCCAGTTACGCACATTGCTGACTGTTCAATAACTCAAGTGTCAGCACTCAAATGCACACTGCATTTTCCTTACTGTGATGTACTAGAAACTGATCTTAAAAAATATAATTTGCTATTTTCTTCTTTTGTAATATAATGTAATAGACCTTCAAAACAGTCCAAATTGCTAAAGATGGAATTAGTGTTTTTATTTTTTTTGTTAGATATGTTTGGAATGGACCCAATTTGCTCTTAAATCTGATAAATTGTCCAGTGGGTGTAACCTTTGTGTTATCAAAGTGCAACATGATTATTGCGCGGACACATTCTGCCGTAAAAATAAAGGTCTGCATCAACATTAAGTGTGCAGCCTCATCAATGCGGCTCTAAATGTCTCTCCAGCACCATGAAATCTAATATAATAAAATGGAATCAATGTGGCACCACAGCGGACCTGTCAAGATTTGATAGATCACCAAAACTAACAGACAGGAGATAATAAGCAGACGTATACAAAGAATCAATTGTCAGCCTGAAGGAGCCGCAAAGCCCCACAGCAGAAAGGGGCATGCCTCTCCAAAGGACCTCTTCTCTCTCTCTCTCTCTCTCTCTCCGCAGAGGTGATTTTCATGAAAGAGTGGGCACTGCTTGGAAAATAAGAAAATAAAAAGGCCCTCCTCATCCTCAGCACACCATCCCTGCTGCAGAGCACACTGTGAAGGCAACTTGCTTGGAATTAGCATGGTGCCTTTAAGCGTGGGCAAATGTCCCACAGGCTGAACGTGATAAACTTGTTGACACAAAGAATTTGGAGCTGTTGTTACAGCAGAATTATTTCAACAGAGTCTCCCAGATTGGGTGATAGAGGGGACCCTTCGTCCAGTGAAAACGGAGTAGTCATAGTTAATCTCCCTTCGGAACACATGACAGAAAAACAGCCGTCCCTGTGTGTGTTTTTCCATCATGCTCATCAAAAGCCTGACTCCATGACAGGAAGCATGTAATACGAGTCCATATGGATTACTTTCTTTTATTCCTTTCAAGCAACTGGAGACCCACTAGATTCTTTCGTGAACAAGCTCCACTTTATTCTGTTTCGAAGAGCACAGAATCTGAAATATCCAAAATGGTTGCCTGAATATCTGATCTGTTAGGGATTGCACAAAGGCAGATGTATGTATACATTTTCTGAAACAACAGATCTTTCATAATAACGTAAATAAAATAGCACAACTTTGAAATGTTTAGCTGAAATCATATGCAATGGCCATGACTAAAAAGTACCCAAATCAAATAATTGTGGAAAAAAAGACTTGTAGAGTTGAGGCCTAATTTTCCAGCTGGAAAACCACAAAACCTCACGTGGTGTAGCTAAAAATAAGGATAAAAAAGTGTAGTTACCTCTGGTTCCTGTGATGTGTGAGGGCGCCCTTTAGTGGCAGCGAGGGATAAATGCATCCATTGCCAGCTTCATTATTGTATGTAAGGCTGTGAGACATGACCTTTTTTCTTTATTTCTTTCTTCCATTTATCAATTTATTCCAAATCGCGAACACTTTAATCTGAGCACTGTAATCAAAGTATATGTGTAAACCCATATGTTTAAGCATGCGATTAATCAATTTACTTTTGGTCTAATTCAAAAGAAGTACATTATCATAATAATGCCAAAAAGTAGAAAATAATTTGAATTTTTTTTTTTTTTTAAACAGTCAACATTGTTTTTGTCTAATGCATTTTTCAGTATTTCATATGTTGAATGAATGTGAGACATTAGGACTAAAAATCAGAGACATTTTTTGTATTTTGTACTTTCAGTCACTTTGGCAAATCCAAATGTTTTGCTTATTGGTGAATGTGAGGAATTATCATCATATAAAACCTGACAGCTAAAAACCGTCTGTGCAAATAATCCTATTTTAAAATGTGTGTTTTAAAACTATATGTACTGTACTGTAAGTCCAGGCCACATGTTTTAGCCTGCCAAACATTTGTACTCATTCTGTGAGAGAGTTGATGATGTAACTTCACCTCAAGAGGCAAGAAAAAGAGGAGGAAGCTTTGTTGTCACTTTATTGTCACTCGCTTAATCAAGGTGAAGCAACACTGAGCAAGTCGCTGAGCAGACTAAACCCACACATGCCCTCCACAAATGTGACACAGAAATGAGGAAACGAGGATTTTGAACACAGACAAGAACCTCACAGTTAAGAATCTGGTGTAAAACACAATTTAAACTGAAGCAAACTAAAAGGGAAACAGGGAAAAAGCTGTAAAATGCTTTTAAAAAACCGGAAGGAAGGCTAATCAAGAATAAAACAATTTCAGATTAAAACAATGAAACATTATGTAGAAATACAGTACTTAGTGTGTTTTCACCACCCCTGTGTGTAAAGCGATGGCACCAGGTGGCGTCAGCCATGTCATGCTGGGAGTCTTTTGACATGCGTCCCAGTTTGGATGGTCACACTTCTCTTCTTTTTCCGGTGAGCACCGGCGTGAGCTCTGTCATTCGTTTTCACTGAAGCATGTTGAGTCTCGCCGCTTTAGACCTTCTTGTTAACTCTGGTGAAAGTCACACCCTTCTCCCCCGCAGTTACACAAGTCTGCACAATACCACACAGAAAAGAAGAATCGAGCTTGGTGAAGATACATGGCAGGGGTTTGACCCATTGCTCCACAGTTTGAGAGCCCACACTGATTTGAATAAATAAAGGCTTCACTTACCATGACAAGCTTGCCCTCAACGATCTCTGCTGTGAAACTGTATTGAGGAAACTGGATTGAAATCTTCCCACCTTCCATGGTCACAGGGGCCTGCAGGTCAGGGGAACAGAAGGTGTCAGAGGTCATCTTTTCTACGTAACTATTCAAAGTAAAACGTTTTCTTTCCCCCCGGTGCCTGTTTTCAACTCACCTTAAATGTGGAGCCTGTCATTGTTGTCAACTCACACTCTTGACCGACCGAGAATTTATTGGACCAGGTCCAATTCGGGATGGTTTGAGTCCAGGTGAAGTTGTTCCCATCCTGAACCACCTCTGTCACCACTTTGTGGTCAGTCTTGGCAGTAAGAAGCCCTTTGAGAGAGAAAGCAAGACTATCTTAACATTGTTTAAAACGATGATTAACTCTCAAAGATAAGTTATCTCTTAAAGTATTCATGAAATCTTACAGTACCAATTGCTTCCAGAAACTCCACGTAGTTCTCTTGACTTTCAAGCTCATATTTCCCAGCAAACGCCATGATGCTGAATAGAACAGTTGAAAAAAGGAAGGAGTTTATGAGTCAAAAGAGGAGTGGCCTGTAACAAATCTGCGTATTCCTGTCCTCCTTAAAAAAAAGACTTCACCATGTGACATGCCCACAAGTGTGGGAAAAATGTTTAGTAGTATTTTTCCAAGATCCGGCTGTCTCATTGTTGTAGATTTCAAAAGCATGTCCTTACTCGTGTCAGGATCAGTCTTTCGGGCACCACCTTTATGTGCTATGACTGAGACGTGGTTTGCATTTTTGAGCAAATGTGGTGTCATAAAACACACAACAAAAATGTTCTAATGTCTGGTTGAAAGCTCTTCTCAGCAGAAAGCCTTTTCCGGTTTTGTCCTTCCCTTCTGTGGCATTCAGTGTTGACAGTGGTTTTCACAAGAGAAAGAAGCATCTGGTGATTTAGGTGCGGTTTCGATGTCTGATGTTTCTTGTTAAGAGCTGCCAGAAGACTGAAACTGAAACAGTCACAAAGCATGACATGACTGCTCTGTTCAAGCCTTTCCCTGGCCGTTTGCGTAAGGTTTGCAATCCTGTTATGCTCCATCATGGTACAGGAATGTTTACTAAGGGTTGACGAGATGATGGCATATGTGTGACAGTATGATGCTGTGGGTGGGATCAAGATTGAATTTTGGCTCAAGGGGCATTCCATACCAGCCTTCCAGTTTTTATCTTAGTTTTTTGTTTTTTTTAATCAGTTGAAGTTTATGGGGTTTCTGCCCTACCAATGTTTTTCCCATAGTTAAAAAAAAAATTCCACAAGCCTTCTACATCGTGTCGACATCGGGAGTCAGTATTTAGGACTTTTTTATCCACCATTCACTTGGTGTTTAGTGTGAGTCATATGCCATGGTTAAAAAACATTTAAGAGAATATGTGAATCATTTCTTTAATTAAAGTGTGGGCTGTATCAAAATGTGTGTTTAAGGTAAGCCCAAGTATGTTTCTTCACATGCTCAAGACGCACTCAGAAGTGTCGCCATACATTGATGTGGTCATGTTCTATGCTTTAGGTTTAGTGATTTTGGTTTTGTGTTTCTGTGCTTTTATTTTGGAGTCTGTCTTGTCTTCCTGTGTTTACTTGTGCCTCTCAGTGCTTCACTCCCCTCAGGTCTCTCCTTTTCCCGTTATCACTCAACTACCTGCACCTGTGTGTCTTTGTCACCTGCTTTTAAGGAGAGTCACACTCTCCTTTAAAGGAGCTTCTTGTTCACATCAGTCCTTGCCTGATCTTACCATCATACTTTCCTTGTCTTTCTCTCAGTCTGTGTCTAGGTTTTGTTGGTTTTAGTTGTTGCTTTTTGTTTTTCCCAGTTTTTTTTCTATCAGGCTTTGGCTCTGCCTTTTGTTGTTTTTATAAAAAAATTAGTTTTCTTGGTTCCTCCCTGTGTTTTTACTCCCTATGCCTTACATTTGGATCCCTTCACCACAATACCCCGCCCCTATGCGTGACAGCTGTGAGATGTTAAGGCATTTTCTATTTTTTGTGACTGACAATGTTCACATGACAAGATGGGACTAAATGAGGAAAAAAGGGGAAGTATAAAAGTTCACTGACTGTGGAAAATGCTGTGCAGGCTTTACCCCAGACTGATGTGCTGCTGATTGGGTTCTTGGGTCTCAGGCTTGCTCGGAGGCAGGGAAAACTAAGAACGCTTCCTCTGACTATTTCTATGTATTAAGATTATATTATCCAAAGTAATGTTTTGATAAGAATCCCGAAATCTTAACTTAATTGGTTATTTAAAAAAAACAAAAACGAAAGGATGATTAAAATTTAGGATATTCTATTTCAGAAACTTCAATCTAATATTTCTATATCAAACATGTTTAATCAGGACCAGTTTTGGATCATTTTGTTATGTTTGGAGTTAGTTTGGTGTGTACAGCTGTGAACCCACACAGTGAGACAATGTGGAACACGACCAGTCCACCGGCAAAACAAGGACATCTGATGGAACAGGAGAGACAAAAATGGCTCACTTAATCCTAGTTTTCTTGGCAACATGTCAACTCATATGCAGCACCTTATTTATCTTTATTTTTTGTCTCTCATTCCCAATGATTGTTTGTCAAGTACAAACCGGGGCTGCAGGCAGGCCGCTCCGGCACGCTTATCTTCTGCTGTCATACCTCTGAAATGTGCAAAATATAGTTGTTGTTGCTGTGTTTTGCGTGTGTCCATGTTTTTGAATTCCTTATTTAAATTATTTTTAATGAATTTTTCTTCAAGGAAATGTTTTTCCTGTCTTTAGGAGGAGCGATGCTTTAATGCTTTTCTGCCATTGCATGTGGAAATGAATGTGCAGCATCAGTAAAGCTGGCATTTGGATTATTTTTTTTATTTTTTATTTTTTTTTACAGTTTTAGATGACTTCCATTTGGTTTGTGGACCTGACTACACATTGTCCGTGTTTATAAAGAAAATAAACCTTTTTGGGATTGTTTGAATCATTGTCTTCACAACATGGAGACATATGCAAATCCCCTTCAAGCTTTGAATCAATTCAGTGATTGAAAGTGTTCTCAAACCGTTTTCTTCTATTACATTTGTTGCAAACTGCTGATTGTGATCGTGTACTGAATCACGATTACCATCCCCATTGACATTACGTGCCAACAAATGTATTCTTTTTCTTGTCACTATAGCTAATTTTCCCCTCTGTCTTCTTTCTCTTGAACTGTGAAGTGTATCAATAGATGAGCGTAAATGCAAGAGATGAAGCTTTTGTAAGCTGGGAAGTATGAAGTGGAAGTAATCTGTATAATCTTTATTCCAGACACATGAACAACACTGACTGTTGTTTTAGGCATCATGCTGATGTCAATACATAACGGTGCAAGTACTACATCTGGACTAGAGACGGAAAAATGGGATTTGTTTATTCAACCTTTAGCCGAGCAGCAAAGCTTTATTTTTTTTCTCTCTCGTATGAACAGATTCTCTCAGCCTGTCCTAAATAAGTATAATTATCTCAATTGAGCAACTTTTTATATCGACTACTAATGGAAGGTGAGCAGTAAATGGTTTTCACGAGGTTCAGCCGGCATGAGTGCCACAGCTCAACATGAAGGTTTGCCTGGTCTGATGACCTACGGACGGGCTGTGATGGCAGCTAACTCTTTAGATAAGTTTTATAAATAACATGGATGGCTGGATCATTAAGTTAATTTCATAACAAGTCATCAATATAATCAAAAAGGAAATGGATTGAAAGTCTGCCCACAACTTTCATTTGAGCAAACTTGGTTTTATTTATCCATCACATTTCTACAGACATACCAACAAGATGAAATCTACTGATTGTGCGCACAGCTGAAAAAAAACAAAAAAAAACAGGTTATACTTTTTTCTTTTTCCACAATATACCATGAAGATATTGAGTGACAGTAAAAGAAATATGATTCTTTTTTTTCTTTTTTTTTCTAATCACACTTTGTACAGGACTTGGATTCCTTTTCATGTTAAGTCTTTTTTTTTTTCTTTAGCAGGGAAAATGTGGACTTATCTGAAAATTGTAGTGGAAAGGCTGTCGAAGTCCATCTTCTTTCCTTCAGGTTTCTTTATTTAAAATCTACATGCTGGTTTCTTTTCTCGTCCACAGAAGGCAACAAGTAACTGTTTTTGATAGTTTTCGTCAATCTTTTACCGTCCACTTGAAGAAAACCTTGCTTCTGTATCTATCACAGAAATGTAGAGGGGAAAAATACCTGTGATACAGCAGCATAAATTACACACGATTATCTCCTCCTTACATTTATCACAAGAGACCATCCACTGGCTGATGAATGATCATGTACAGTGAAATCTATACTGTGCCTGGAATCGCCACAGAAAATTAGTCACATCACAGTAAAATGCAGCCATCACACCTTGTCTTCGGGCATGATGTTGTCTTTGAGTCCTCCCTTGTCTTTACTGCTCCCAAATGAAAAGGAGAAGACTCCTCCTGTGGTCTCCTCAGGAGCTTTCCCCGCTGTCACCTGCCCTCCTACCCGCCCCTGCATGCAGTCTGCCGGGCTGCCAGGCAGGAGGTTGGGTGTGGATGGCGTTGGAGTCGTGGCACCCCAGATGTATAGCGTATCCCCCTCGGGGCAAGGAGGCAGGCCCTTGCTCAGGAAGCTGGGGCTGGGGCTGGCTGAGGACGGCAGAGTACGCTGACTACCGTTCATCCAGCCGGGGGTTTGATCTGTGGAGCTTTTGCGCGAGTTTACGGAGGAGGTGAAGTTGGAGGAGCGGTAGTCGTATGCTCTCCAACCGGGGCGCTTTCTCTGGTGCCACTGACATCTCAGAATCCGAATGAATGCCAGCTTGAACTCGCGGCTGTAACAGGGGTAGATGATGGGGTTCAGGCAGCTATTGAAGTAGCCCAGCCAGAAGATGACTTTGAAGAGGACCTCTGGTGGTCGCAGGTTCTTATTAAAAGACCCTGGGGAGAGCACAGGGGGTGAAACATAGGTGGGAAGTATTAGCGACAGCTTTCTGCAGATATTTAAAATCTGATGTCTTATTTCATATTACTTTAATCATGTAATGGCACTATCCTTGTTTGCATTTACTGAAAAAAAAAACTTTGTTTATTTAAAAAAAAAAAAGATATTTGGAATATGTTAATGGTCAGAAAACGGTTTATGTAATTCTATGCTTTCATTTTTGTTTCCCCCCCCCATCTCCTGAGTAGAAATGGGAATATATGTAATTGTTGATTATCGTCACCTTCAAGAAAAATAACCAAAATGTTCCCTTAAACCTATAGATGAGTCTTAAGTGTATATACAGACATTTTAGATTGGATTAAAAAAAAAATACTTAACCGACAAAAATAAAACCCAATAAATTTCTCTGACATGAGGTGACTCCACTTTCATAGCTGCTGCTCTCAGACTCCAGGTCATGATATTCCCAGTAGGTGGCAGTATTGACCTAAAAAGAAAACTTGGATCAAGTGCGATCTCTTTGCTGACACGTTTGTGCGGACAGTTCCACCCGTTTGCAGAATTTTAATAAACATGTTTAAGCATTCAGGAAAGCTTTCATGAACAAGAGATATGCACCCTTAAAAACCCAGGTGTTGGGTCATTTGGAGCCCTTTCACATGACTAAAGAGTTGAGCGACTATGTCTTTTTAATTTTAAAACGGTGGCAATTGCAGGGATTTCATGTTAAATGTCTCCTTTTTTAGAGGAGAACCATGATATTCATATCAGAACTTCCGGTGCTCTCTATTTTGCAGTGGCAGAGGGAGTCAAAGAATGGCACTCGTAAAGGCTGGAGTAGTGTATATTTTAAATTAAACAAACTTGAATAAAATAAATTATCTTTTTAGATGGGATTTAAAGCTTTCAGAAGAGTACGTTCATCATATCTGAAGTCATTTTACAGGTTTGTTTCTGTTACTTTACACTTGTGATGCATTTAGCCTAGATGCCGCAGAGTTTTAATAGACATTTTATATGCCAAGTAGGTGTAGGGGGAGGCCTAAAAACAACAACAGGCTATTAATACGCACAGCAAGATTGGGATTAGTGTAAAACAAAGACATTGTGTGTTTGTTTGCGGGCAGATGTGAACATTTCTTAAATTAAGCCAACCCACGTTCTTACATTATCACATTCCCAGAGAGACAGAAGATGTACTGTAATCTCAGGCTTTCATGTGTGAAATTAGCTCTGGTAATTTAGGACAGTCATGTGGAAACACCTCGGTTTCAGTCCTTTATGAGGAACACAAAGTGCACAAGGTATACATTTGGAAGACAAATGATAAAATCATTCAGGCTGAGGGCAAAGATAAGAGATTAAAGCCAAATGGATACAAATTAGTCTTCCAGTTATTTCTTCCACAAGATTAATCAATTTGGGTACAGTTTGATAAAATACTATAATTTTAAGCACAGTGTTCTTAGCAATTCCATATTTAGTGTATGCATCTGTGTAAGTGTGTGGCTGCCAGACTGGGATGAAACTAAAGTCTGTCTGAATGTGTCTTGGGTTCCGTGAGCTGCCAATAAATAGGTTTTCTTTTAAGTGGTTGGTATTTTCACATGATATTTTCCCTTCTGGAAAACCACTTAAATGTGGCTGCATAACTGTAACTTATGAGTGTGATTTGGATACAGAGCAGGTCTGGGTAGAATAAAAATTTTGGACAGTTCATTTCTCCTCTCTCTCTCTCCATCTATCACCATGTGTCAGTTTGCTTCTGTTAGTGGTTTGCAAATAATGATTCACTGTGACTATAATAACTGCCTCCATCAAAAGTCTTGAAAGCTGAGTATAAATGTCAAGTTGACCCTCTTTTTCTTTTTCAAATAAAAAGACATGTTTAAAGCACGGGACTTCTACATTTTTGGCTGACTGATGTTGCCGATTGAACCTTTTTTCTGCCTGCTTGGGTGAAATATTGCTCCACTTTCCCATTCTAACGGCCCACACGATGAGACGAAGACAACATTCAAGCTGAAATGAGTCTTTAAAAAGTTAAATACTAGGTGACCCCTGCTTGTACTCTAGAGCTAAAAGGCCTATCTTGGATGATGGGTGAAACCTAACCAATGTTTCATCCCATCATTGTGCTGTTGATTAAGGAATTCCAGTTGCCTTCTGCTGCCCGCACAGTTTTAATATCCTCTAATTCTCTACGATTTGTTATCTCTCGATACGGTTTCATATTTAGACAATTAGAAGATATAACATCTGTCATCAACAGAGCTCTGGTGAACGGTTCCGCAACTTTAAATAGCTTTTAAATTGAGTGGTTATAATTTGGAGATACCAATCTTTTTTTAACGTAACATAGCATTAGTCAAGCTGTGGGGGTCCAGAGAATTGTCCCGCGAGATGACACTGCATTAAGATATGCAGATCTGTGGAAAGATATCAATGTTTGTGCGGCATTGTTGATACCCAAAAAGCACGGAAGCCTCCGTCTTTCTGTAATGGAAAAAAGTAAGAAGCCACCATAAGTCTTTATGAATATGGCTGACAGTAAAGGGTAAAAAACAACCCAAGGGTGACTATGAATGAGATCCAGATTTCCTTGGTGGAAATGGGAGAACCTTGAAAAAGTCCAACCATCAGTACAGCTCTTTACCAGCCAGAGCTTGAAAGAAGAGCGGGCAGTCAGAACCCCTCTGAAGGGCCCAAGTGAATATGCCAAAGGGCACCTCGATGATTCTCATTTTACTAAAAACCGAATCCTCTTATCAGATGAAAATAGGATGGGAATATTGGAGCAAAGACATATGAGACAGAAAAATCAGGCTCTGTGCATCTGCCCCTTTGGAACATTTCTCTAGTTGAACATATATGGTGGTATCATACTAATAGTTTGCTTCATTATTTTTTCCTTTAAGTTTTGCAGTCACTTTTTAAAAAGTAACACTGTGGAAATGATGAAAACAGACATGTAGTTGTACATAAGATAAACAGGTTTTGTTTTCTTTTAATTTACCACATTCATTAAGAAATTATTAACACCATCTCTAATGGTCATATTTTAGGTCAGTGTACTAACATTTATTTTAAAATGTCATGGTTTAAAAAATAATGTTTAAACCATTTTCTGGACAGAAACTGTAATCTTTAAATAACTTTCCTTTTTAATAAATCATTTTTGAAAAAAAACAAAAACTGGACCAGCTCTAACAACAGTTTTCAACGGTTATGAACAATGATAAAATAATAAGACATTTTTTGTTAGTCAGAGGTAACTTGCTCTGCTGCACTAAAAATGCTCTGGTTTGGTCAGGAACTGAGACACGACAGATAATTTAAAGGTATCTCAAATGGACTGAGATGCTAGCACGTGCACAGACGAAAGCAGACATGCCGTCCTGCCCCCCGCCCTGGGGCCAATAAATATCCAGACCTGAATACAAAGACTAAAGATGGGCCAAGGCCATTGTTGTCATGCGCCTCCTTTCCACACAAGCCCAGGATTAAAGGGTCGGAAACACTGGCCAACAGCACACCTTGTTGCCATATTTGGCACATGTTTGTGTATCTAAGTTTCATGTGAATGTGCTCCATTTTAAGCCCTTTTTGAAGTGTGTATGTCGTTGGCTATAGCAGAGGATGCAAAGGGTGGGCTGTAAAGCCATGGTATATAGAGATAACAGCGCACGGCTTTTTGTCGGTGCTGATCTCGGGCCCCTCTGTTACTACAACTGCTTGCACCTCCTTCCTGCAGAAAGGCACGCACACATTTCACCGTGAAACACAGGAACATCTTAACAAAACAAGGCATCCTGTTATTCTCACTAATTGGAAGAAGCGGTGCTTATTCTGTGCCATGCAGAGCAAACAGACGCACAATCTGCTCCCCTAAAACTCGCACATCCTGTTTCATAACACCAATAAATATGATTAATGTGTCTTGATGTGAAAGAATAGGAGTGTTATTGCCCCCTCACACGGCTTTCAATGAAACCTCGGTGTGATGCTATTTTGGGGAAATTGTGTTGACATCTCAGAGACCCCTCGGCCTCACCCAGCCCTCTTCCCCGTGGGCCCCTCCTGCTCAACCCTGCCATTGCTTTGACACGTAGCACTTTCATTATTTTCAAAAACCATTTCAATTACCCCTGGAGCACAGGGGCCTGCCAGCTCAATGGAACATGAAAACCTTAATGATTCACACAGAATGAACACATTAAATACCCCCAGAAGTACATACAGGAAAGTCCAACTACAAACACTTAAAGGTACTGGATTCTCTCATGTTTGGACCAACCATTTGCATGACTTGGCACATAGAGTCGTCACAGCATAATGCTGCCTGCTCTGGCTGTGAATGAGCTGTGGGAAAATCTGTGCCATGAAACAACACGTGCAGCCCACTAATTATTTCACTTTGTCCGAGCTGAGAGATGAGAACAAGACAAAAGGCTCCCTGAGACGTGCATGACATGTAGATGAGTCCCCCCACTCGTTCCAGTTGCGCCCCACTTTTTAAGAAGATCATGTTTGTGATGCATTTAGAGCACATTAAGCATGATCCACAGACCCTTAATAAATGCTTTCAGCAACTAATGCGGCTTGTGGGTTTTATAGGAACTGGATACGCTGTAATGCATTAGTTTTTCCTCTCTGATAATGCTCCGTCGATGTCAGTGCAGCAACTTCATGAATATGTATAGACCTTATTACAAGTTGCTAGCTTGTTTTTAAAAGATACACAAAGAAATTGTGACGTCATTTGCTGGTTTGTGAGGCACTCTTCCAGGATTTTGGAGAAATGGGGGACGTTTACTATACAGATCTATCTTAAAATCAGAGGTGACTATGCAGTCACTGATTACTCAGAAATATAAGTTTGTTTAAAGACGATATAAAGATATTAAACCGGATATTAGCAGCAAAGGGCAAATAATTTCTTTAAAATCATACTTGACGCAACATACAGTAACATAAAACATGTCAATCTTGGGAGCTTAAGATATTGTTTTAAACATTTTTTTTTCTTAATTTATTTTAAAAAATGTTATCAATTGCATCAAGCAGCCATTTGAAGTGAAACTGTATAATGGTCTCAAATTTCAGCCTAAAAGCATACTAGATCGAGAATGTTTAACACTGAAAAATAATTTGAAAAAAGAAATGCTTAGATCAGTTGTAATTGTTTTTCAATTAATATTTGAGCGAATGCAGGCAGTATTTTCACAAATCAGCAAAGTTGTTCAGTCTTCTAACTTCTACCAATCAAATTAATTAATCATTTAACTTTTACGATGCGTAATTATCCCATATGTGACCTGTCCTTTTCGTTTCAATGAATCCAATTTAAATGGAGACACGTAGTCAGCACTATGCACCTCTCGCACTCATATGCAACTCTTGAAACAATAACTGACATTCAGTTCGGACTTTAACAAAGCAACATTCAAAAGGAAATAATGTGAATTTAAATTTAAGACCAGCTTTGCTGCACAATAAAGAGATTGATCTTGCATAAATTAAGTTCATTTATGCAAATTAATCTAAATTAATCCTATTCTCAACAAAGAAGGTTAAATTTCACTTCCTTTTGTTTATCAAATCATTTGAGAAAATTTATTAAAAATCTCAGTCAAAAGAAAATGTCCTTTCTGTCAGAAACTGCCATTCTGCTTATGCTGATATAAAAAAAAAAAGAAAAAAAAAAAGTCAACTTGCTGGTTAGAAAAATGTAAACAAGAACTTAAGAAGCTATGAACTCAGGGTTACCACAAACTGAGACATGCAGCTGCAATTCTTTCACCACCATGTTTGACAGCTGATCTAATCTCACCGCTCAGTAAATGAAAGCCTCTTTTTCGAAAATGTTTCTTGGGAAAATTCAGCAAGGACAATTAATTTAATTGCCAGAGTATCCTGTCTGATGCTCCTGTAATAGTTCTCTGTATTTCTAAAATTATGTTTATTTAAGAAGAAAACATCATGTGTAAGTTACAAGTTAAACAGGGTTCCATTTTTTTTGTTGTTGTCTAAATTAAGTCAACTGAATTCAGATTCAGCATTAAAAACTAATACCAGGCTCAAAGATTTAAATGGATTTATCTTCAACTGTATGTTACAATGCATTTATTCTTGTTTCTTATGAGTACCGGAACCATTTGCGGAAAGAAATAAGAAATGCACAGAGACCACAAAATGTTGTAGTGTTGTCAAGGTGTGTCAACTCATTCAAATTGGAACTGGCTATACTGACACCAAAATGAGTAATCTGATTATCAGTCACACTCAGTTTAGGACTAAGACAAGGAACTTCAAGAAGATTTAAAATCCTTGGCAAGATGTCAGGCACCAGTCGCCTTTAACAAAGCTGACGATGATGTGCAGTGTTTGAACTGGTTGTGCTGAGATAGCCACATCAAACCTGTGATGCTGGCCCACTGATAAAATGTCACCACTGAATTTAAAATTTGTCCTGGCAATATTGGTTTTAGGTTTTTTATTGGAAACAACTGTCAATATCTAATTTGTTTTCATGTTTTAGATGAATTCCCATTTAGATTTAAAATAGTATCTTATGTACATGATCAGGCTTTTTTTCTGTGGTGAAAGCCTCTAATGGCTTTGATGTTGCCTGACATGGTGTCCAACCACAAAATGTAGAATAAAGTACCTTAAAAAGCCTTTTTAAACGAATCTCACTTTTAGGGAATTTTACACATGCAAAATGTAAATAAAATTAAATCTAATATAGAATCTATTCATTTGTATGAGTACTCATAACAATAATTGTTGCTAAGAGGGTGTTTTTTCGCTGAATATATAATTTTATCAAAGAGAATGCTTTATAAATGTATGGTTTGGGGCAATTGTCTTGAAAAATACGTTTTTTAATTCAGTGTCTATTTTAATTATTAATAGTTAAGGATATGCGGCTGATATTGTTATACTGTAACTTTCTGTAGAGCTATTTAATCTTGTCTGAGTGTGCCAAGTCAGCAACTCTAATATTTGAGTTTTTTTTTTGTAAAGCAGCTGACCTGTAGTAACTTTTCTACTCTTGAGTTGTGTATGCCTTATTTTGCTCCAAGTTAATGGCATAATAGTGAAGACATTCTAAAACTTTTGGAGAATGACTCGAACTGTGCAAATGGTTGCCTGCTTGCAATTTGACAAACAACAACAAAGTATTTACAGAATTTGACCCTGATAGGTAAAATCAGTTGTGCGGGGGAGTGTTTGCATATCTGGTTAGGCTCCGTGCAGAGGTTGAGACCTCACGGATCTGAGGTCACAGAAGCCCTGGCTGGCGGCGTGCAGCCTCACTTTCATCTTTGCAGGCTTGATGTTTAATAATGTGCAGAGACGGACCAGGAAGCAGCATCACTGATAAAATCTATCAAGAAACGAACGAACAAACCTATGCACGCATTCAGGCCTAAAATGCCACGCATTTCAACCAGGGTACACACAGTGCCATAAACATAGCCCCTCGCCCCCGCTCCTCACACACACACACACACACACTCCATATCAGTGACAGTATGCAGTGGAGCTAGCTGGGTTAATAACTAGTGTGAAACAGGAAATCCCACTCCATGGGTGGAGCAATGTGAGCGAGTGCCTCGGTCATATGAGACTTAAAGTAAATTTTAGCTGAGACTGAACTTTCACCAAAAGGCAAAAGCAAAACAAATAATTTAGAAATTATTTTGAGAAACAGCTGAGTTTTAATATCCTGCTTTCACGTACCGAACCTGTTCTGAAATCATTTAAAATGCGCATAAAATAAACAAGTAAAGAGCTTTGTTTCAGTGTATCAGTATGCTACGCTGATCGCTGTACCATTGGGGGGGGATTTCTTGGCAGTTTGAGCTGTTGTGTTATATAAAGAGGCCTGTACTGAAGCCCTGCACATGCTTTCAAATCAGATTTTTTAAAGAACAACTATGTAAAATCACATTTGGTATCTCTGAGAATCCCTGGAAGCTAAATAATCCATGCTCTGACACTGCCTCAGGCAATCATTTGTGTGCATCTATGTGCAAACGTGATGAGCTGCAGTTTGAAGCCTCCAGCTTTAAACCGCAGCCTCCAGCTTCTAATACACATTTCCATTTGATCACAATTAATGAGCACAAACACATACATAATGTGTGGTACCCCAAAGTGAACCAAAAGCATGAATAGTTCTCCAAGTGATCATCTTAAAATACACAATGTGAGTTATGAAGTCTATTGTGTCTCGGTCACTAAAGATGTTGTTTTGTTAGCCTCACACAGGTCCATCCGTATTACACTGCAGTACCAATGTTTAATTTCCTCTGCAGCTTTTGTGTCAGACATGACAGCATCTATGGCATCTTGAATGCTATGGATCAATGGGCCTTGGATAACACCCACTGCATCAAAGGCAGGCCACCTACAGATTCAATGAGACCCAGAGAATACTGCAAAGATAACAGTAATTGTTTAGACAAGCTTGCATGAAACTCCTCCTCAAATTCCTGAAAGTTTCTATCACATTATTAAGAGCCCCTGAATTTGAAAACCTCAACCTCTGAAAAGGTTTGGGGTGGAGTAGATAGAACAACTGACCAGCTTTCAGTTTGCCAAAATGTGTTAACACACATAAACAGAATATACAAATAGGATTAAAGTGGAATTGAGGCTGGGCTCAACTAGGTAATAAGTACTCGGTGTACCATGCATAAGGGTGTGCTTGCCCACCCAAGTAAAATATAATGACTCCTCTATCAAAGCCCACACTATAACAATCCACAATAATGGATGCTACCCAGGAGAATTCTCCTGTGCCAACAAGAAGATGATTTAAAGGAACTGCAGCAGACCTCTGACATTTTGACTGTAAATAATTGTCTGAAAGTTTTAATAACCACACGGGTGATTTAGAAAATGATAAAATTGTAGAGGTTATGTACAGGCAAATGGGTGCAGGGTTGTGTTTTCATATCATTAGCAACTGTAACTGTGGAACTGTAAAAGTGATCTACTGAACCTACCTAGGGGTAAGGACAGAAAGAAGGGCAGCCAACAGAGGACAAACATGCCGACAACGACTCCCAAAGTTTTTGCTGCTTTCTTCTCCCGGGAGAATTTCAGAAGTTTTACAGTTAGGGAACTTCTCGCCTGGTGCGCGCGGCCCTTGCGGGTTCCCGTGGTGCCGGGGTCCTCCTGCACCTGCGAGCCCTTGTGGATCCTGAGGGTCAGCTCGCTGGTGTTCATCCTCTCGCGCATCACACCTGCCTCCAGGTTCTTAGTGGTCCTTTTGGCTACGATGTACACGCGACAGTACATTGCCAGTATGACGGCGAGCGGGATGTAGAAGGAGCCGAGGGAGGAGAAGAGCGCGTAAAACGGCTCCTCCGTAATGGCACAAACCGTGTCGTCTGACGACGGCGGCTGCTTCCATCCGAGCAAAGGTCCAATAGAGATGACCACCGATAGCACCCACACTCCGAGCATGGCCAGCAGAGCCCGCTTTTCTGTCACGATACCCGGGTACTGCAGCGGGTGGCTCACTCCAATGTAGCGGTCAATGGATATTACGCACAGGCTCATGATGGACGCGGTGCAGCACAGCACATCCACAGCAGCCCAGATGTCACAGAAGATCCTGCCGAACACCCAGTAGTCTAGGATCTCCAGCGTGGCCGACACCGGCAGCACCGTGGTGCCCAGCAGCAGGTCAGCCATGGCCAGGTTGATGATGAAGTAATTGGTGGGGGTCCGCAGGTGCCTGTTGCACACTACGGCGAGAATAACGAGGATGTTGCCCACGATGGCAAACACGATGAAGGCACCCAAGACCAAACCGAGCGGGATGGCTCGGCGGAGGTCCACCTCCCCGGGCTCCGACTGGTTTCCCCCAGAACTGTTGGTGAAGTTGACCAGGAGAGACTCGAGTTCCGAAGAACCATTTTTCCACAAGTTTGTAACATTGTCAGTGCTCAGACTCATTTTGACTTACGGCGTCCTCCATAGCAGACTCGAGCTCACTTTTAACCGCAACTCAGAGAGCTTAACTGAACATAAAGCGTAAAAACTATATCGGCATGATTAGGCTGATTAGGTTTTCGTATAGGTGCTTCTATGGTGGTCTTATCAGTTCATTGTGAGCCTTCAGTTCACAAGCAGTCGTTTTCTCCTCTCTCCTGAGGGCTCACTGAAGAAGTGAGAGGGGAGCTGTCATGTCCTGCCTCCTCTCCCACACACAGCTTTGCAAAAAAAAAAGAAAAAAAAGTGACCAGACATCTCCAAATACAAGCCGATGAAGTGCGCATGACGCACCACGCGAAGAGACGTGACTCCACACAAATGGCACACAGGTTTTTATTTTTTATGTTTTTTATTTTTAAACATAATTTTATGCAGACTCGGGAGTCAGAGTGTAGAACTGTGCGTCATGGAAGTAGAATTTGATTAGTGTATTGTATTTATTTCAATTGGACCCCCCAAACAATTGATCTCAGTTCGTGTGGGGCACGTGCTTGTTCGTCAGTAATGGAAGGTGTTCCACATTGCAATTGTTGAGCCAAAGGTACTTTAACCTTATTTTTGCAGTACTTAGTTTGCTTCAGTGTTCTTTTGTTGCTTAGTTTTCATGCTTACACAATGCTTTAAGGATAACTAAATGAACATAATGTACACCTACATGATTCATAATAAGTTGAAGTATGCTTTGAAACATGCCTGCCATAAACATTAGATGCGATTAAATCAGTTTTCTTCACGAATCTCAGACAGTAGGCTCAAAAGGCTTAAGTTTAGAAGTCAATTTGATTTAAAAAAAACTTAAGGTATTTCTTATGAATTACATTCCTATTTTGGTCAAAAGCAGTAGTTCCTCAGAGTAATCTCATTCTGGATGTGCGCACAGCTAGTGAGTGACTGGGCTGAGGTCCAAAGGTTTTGGTTTGGTCTCAAGAATATGAGTATAACCATCTTATATGACCCTATCTTCCATGTCAAACATTGGATGGATTAAAGAGTGAGTAGAATGTTATGATACCATCTTGCCCTGAAGTAAGTTTTTTTCCAATATCAAACTCCTGACCAAATATGGTGACTTTCAAAAGTTTGCTGAGTGTCTTAACTTTCTTTACAATACTTCTATTAATTCAGCAGCTTTTTTCTCCCTTTCGCTCCTTTTCAGATGAATGTTCTCCTGACATTTGGATCACACAACACTGACTCTGTATCATGCATGAAAGCCAAATACTTATAATAGGAACTGATGGTTTAATCCCTCTTTTAAAAAAATGTTTTTTAATGAAAATGTTAAGCAAAGAATGACAAAGGAATTAGTCAATAATAGCAAACCTCACATCTCTTTAAAAATAAAAGGTTAAGTATTTAAAAGGTTGTACTCCAAAATTAGACAGGGAGGCAAAAAGAGTTTAATCTCATTTTATTGCTAACCAGGGTGGGTTTACTGGGATTTTGGCAAGCTCACAGTGACAGACTATTACGCAGATGTACTTCTGTACAATGTAGAAAAAAGGAAAAGTAACAGGTTGGGAAATAAGCGCGCAAATGTGCAGTCAACAGACTGCAACGCAGTCAAATGTGAGTGTACACTACCGCAGCAATCTGACAGGGAACAGGTTGGAGCCCCTAGGAGATATACAGCCTGCTGATGAGACGATCCATCACAAGTGTATGGAGTTAGAGATTACAGGAGAGCAGACACTTCTACAGGCTGGACTCGCTATGGAAGATAGATGGACGGATGGATGATTTTAAACAGTCAAATGGTACACATATTTTCATTTTAGAGTAGCTATTGGTTTGTTGCTAAAAAAGAGCCTCATAACCACCTCCCGTCTTGGACACAGACTGACATCTACAAAGTAAAAGAAACATTTGTATGGAAAATCTTTTTGGGGGGAATATCTATGGGCACACAGAGGGAAGAAATTAAATAATCTGAAATGGATGTAAGATCAACAGCATGAAAGCTGGTAGTCAGAAGTTAAAATTATGCCATTTTCAAACTTTACAGGTGAGCTCAACAGGGAGAAAACAAACAGACCTTCTTAGGTTGGTCTTTATAAAAAAAATAACTAAAAGCAACAAAAGCTTATTAAAAGAGATTTAGTTTCCATAAATGTAATGACATAGGATTCCAAAGACGCAGGAAGTTGACATCGAGAATAACTGAATCAATTCTTTGAATTTCGATTCTGAAATTTCATGCATTATCAACAAGGAAATGCAGTTTCCACTTGATTTCTGTTTCCTTCCGAGCAATAAATCACACACTCTGAGCGTCCAGTCACCATCATAAGCACAAGATATTTTACAACCTTCCAGTCGATCAAATCCTGGCATTATGAAACAGTTTTTTTGCTTTGATGTGGCCCATATACTGAGGGAGTATCAGAAGTACCAAATGTGCACTTGGCAGTGTGTTAAAGTCCAATAAAGAAAAAAACTTTCCAATTAAAAAAAAATAAATAAAATAAAAAAGGAAAATTTCTCCTCACATCAGTGTTTCCAGAATGGAGGAAAACATGATAAATTCCTGATTCTGCTGAAAAAGAAAAACACTTAACAATTGCATGTGAGAGATTTAACTGTTCAGCAGCATTTTAAGGATGTTTTTGAAATATTGAATACACCTTGAAAAATGCAAATCTCACCAAATAGGCAAGATGATGCTCAGAAGTAAAGATTATGCAAGTTTGGAGTGATTTCAGAATAATACTTATATTTACTTTTTCTGAATATCTCTGTTATCATCAACAGATAATCCATGCAGAAGTTTTGCATCATGCGTTTCTTTCCTGTTCTGTAATTGTAAAATGCTTTGTCTTTCAGTCTAATCTATATTGTTCATTTAATTTTGGCAAAACTTCCAAATATATTCCTCCTGCTGTATTATGGGTTGATCCTGCCTTGGCTTGCTGTTTTTACCACTGCGAAAAGTTAAAAGGTGAGATATCGGGGTTTTCCTTTTACCATTTGCTGCCTCCTGGACCCATAATCTGACCTCAGACTGATGTTGTCACAGCAGAGCTGTACCCATTTACAACACATGGTCAGTATTATGTGGTTCAATAAGAGAAACAAATAAAGACTGAGTCACACTGAACACACAGGACCGATTTAGGAGTGGAGGAGTGGGACCTGTAGAAACCTGCAGACATATTTACCGAATGCTGTGTATATACTCGATACAGTTTCACCTTTTCGTAGAGCCTGGTGGTTCCAAATGTACCTGTATTAGCTGTTGTAAGATTAAATCATGAAGCATTTCAGGCAAGTGAACCTCAAAAAATTGTTGTAGAAATTGTTATGGGGTGGCCAACTGAAAGATAGCCCACACAAAAGCCTACACATAGGGCTAATCTATAGCAGCCCACCTTTATGAGTGGGCCTCAGTGGTTTGATTGTGTTGTCACCCACACCATATATGGGTGATGTTGTGTAATATGTAGAGACCAAAAGCTACTTTTTGTTGTACAACTACTTCTGGTCTTTATCTTAAAGGTCAACCCTTACGACACATTCAGAATGCTTTTTAAACAGGTACTTCAGTGTTCAAAATTGGATCCTGTATACCACAAACCACAGAATAAAATAGGTTATTTTCATTTTTTTCACTGAGCAATTTGAATGCTTTAAAAATATGTACTCAGAACAGAATAGGAGGATAGATATGTTCAGTTTTATTAAAAATATTACCAAATCACACCAGATGCCATCTTAAGCCAGGGACAGCCCACTTGAAGCCAATTACCATCCAATTCTCTGAAACACTGACAGAATCCAATCAATTCCAGTCAATCAAATTAGCCAAGTAGAGCCAAGCTGAGTTGAAAAAAAAAAAAAAAGTTGCCTTAGAAAACCACATAAATTTCTCTTCAATCAAGCCTCCTATCAGCATGCACAAGGAGATGAGAGAAAGAAAGGAAACGCCAACAACAAATCCTCCAATCTAAAAGGAAGACTTTTCTAGCTGAACTAAACTCACCACCACCTGCCTTGGCTTTAGGGAAGTTTACCATTGTGCCACATTAAGGCTCCCTGTAAATACACGTTTCAGTCATTTGGTGGCTGAGAACGATAATTGCTTTAAAAGCTGCTTTTCAAAGGTATCTATGTTGTGAAATGCAATATTTTCGAAGCTTGGGAGTCCATATTGGTTGATACATGATGTTACAATATATGTATGTGTGTGAATATATTTATATATACACACCCTAATCCTTTTTTCCCCTCACATTTTTCTAAATTTTCTTCGCCAGTCAAGCGTAAATATTGTTTATCTATAAAGCAACACTGTTGCTGTGCCTGGTGTCATTCTGGTGAAATAACTAGACACCTCCTGGTTAAAGACAATACCAGAATGATAGCATTATCTAAAAAATTCCCAAATAAACCTTTCCATCAATGGTAGCCATACACATATATGACTGTCTTTTGACAGATACGTTCTTTCAAAAACTTTTCAAAAACTCCAAGAAAGAGTAAACTGTTTAAAGGATTTGACCTTTATGCCAATTTATAATACCCTCACCAGTTAATCTGCTGATTGTAGTTCCAGGGCAATATCCCTTTTATAATCTGTTGCATCATAATCTGTTCACATGTTCTGAGTCCAATGAAGTTAGTCTGTGAGGAGACAGAAAATAACATTTATCATATTTGGTGGTTATGTAACCAGCCTTTATCTAACCAGGCAAATAACAAATATCAACTCTTGAGATTGAAAATCTCTTTTGAGTGTCCTGGTCATGACGAGCAGCAACTTGGTCTGCATGATTGAAACTAAAGTATGAACATTTTAAGCGCACAGCACACATCGGTGTGCACATTTGAGTATGAACTGCAGAAAAAACAACAATCATGTATAGCATGTGTATTTGAATGAAAGAACATACATGGAATAACATGTGATTGTCATTGCAGATTAAACAGAGGCAATAACAGTTTCCCATAACATTTACAGCAAAATCTGCTCACCCCCAAATTATTTACAACTTCTTTTAGTTTATTTCAATTTTAAAAAATCCAGTTTTGTACGTTTACAAGCATTAAGAATGGTAAAGAGAAACAGTACTGTAGACAAAGATGATACCCATGCTCTTTTAAATGATATATGTCTGGATATAAGGCCAAGAAAACTACTACGCAAAATTTACCATTCACCTTCTTAAAAGAGTGAGCAATGGTTTCAATATCTGCAATGAAGCTGAGTGCCAAATAACTG